CGATCGGTTGTCACAGCTCTGATAATGTCAATATAAAAGGGCAACACGCAAAGAAAGTCGAGGAGTCGGGAAAAGTTGAATATAGCACGGAGGTTCGGTGCTGAGATGATATGCAACAGTAATTCGAGTGTGAACTAGAAATGATACACATACGGAGCTAAGAAAAAAAACATGGTCATGCTACAGAGAACCAATATGTCAACATACCACAACCAGACAGGCAGCTTCAACCCCATACACTGCTCGAATAGCTGTCGTATCTTTCAAAATCGCATCCACAGTCCCCAAACACATGGTCACCACCGAAATCAGCAGCGCACCAGTAAAGATCCTTCTCAACGTCCGTCCAATCAACGAATGCTTTCGATCATGCAATATATGCTGAATCTTTTGACGCCAAGTCATATGAGACATGCTAGAATTCGACGAAGTCGACGACGTTGACGTCGGTGACCTCGTTATAGGTATGGCTACAGCCGATAGTCTACGTCGTACTGGAGGGTCGCTTGCATGCGCATTCTCTCGCTCATCTGATGAATCCGAGTCCTCCATAAGATCATCATCATAGTCGTCAAGTTCAGGGTTAAATTGGTAGTCGGATGGATGTGGGCTAGGCGGATTGGAAAGTCTGCGGTTCCTCGTGGTAGTGACATTGGCGGTGGAAATGGATGGTGGCTTGGGAACATCAACCCTGTACGGTGACATGAATGTTAGCAAACAGCTGTCTTATAAACAGAAAGCATAAACCCGCTATTCGCTGTGGTTTGACTGACTTTTCTAATTTCCAGTTCCGCCCATCCTGTAAACTCCCCAATGACGCACTGCGCCCTAAGCTCACGCTATTATGACGTTGATTAGAACGCAGTAGAACCATGATGCCTCATAGCACCAACAATAAGGCTGTATATGTTGATTCAGCAAACAAAAAGTATGCTAGAAACTACAATTCGACAATGGACAAAAAAAAAAACGACGAACGACCCAACTGCCATGGGTTCTCAAACAGAAAGTTTTAAAGTTCCTATTGAATGATTTTACCAGTTCCCTGGTCTTTTGGGCTTAGTCAGGCGTCAAAAACGTGCCCCGCTGGATGATGAAAACACTTGCTGGATTTTTGGTCATTTAGATTCTTTCAACTGAGAATACTTTAAATAAACCGACACACTATCACTGGAAATAAGCTGTATCAGATGTATTGAGGCCACTATCCATTTCATATCATTAACATATTCCGCAACTCTATGCTGTACTACAGTTTACATACCCATCATTCTATACTGTACACGAATTGAGTTCTGCCCAAAATACAAATACCATGTATATCCACAAAAACTAGCCTCCTATTCACTAGGCGATGGCTCACTTTCCACCTTTGTCGCAGACGACTCACTACTTGATCTTGGAGCATCAGAACGTGGGTCTTGACTTGGTGCATTGGACGATCCGCCCGATGTCGATGGTTTCCGTTGGTGAACAAGCTGTGGAGGAGGGGCATAGTATCCGGGAGGGAGAGGCATGCCAGATGGCATAGCGGACATGTGAGGATTCATGGAAAAATGAGGGAAACCTGGGGCCATCATCAGAGTTCCACGTCCATCAGGTACCATCATGACGCTCCCTCTTGCATCAGGCATTAGCATAACGCTCGCTCTCCCATCTGGTACCATCATAACACTCGCCCTTGCATCAAAAGGAACACTGTTCAAGGGCGGTAACGTAAGTGCACCGGGCGGCGGTAGCAACCCTGGTGGCATCGTGGTCCCAGGAGGCAAGGGCATTCCCGTCGGGGGCATTGCAGACATCCGATATCCAATTGTCTGACCCATAGCAGGCGTAAAAGGTGTCGGTGGAGCAAAAGTCGACATGGGTCGCACCATCATGTGCGCTCGGAGTGGCATCTCTGGGACCCGTCGTCGACGCTCCTCGGTCAGTGCTCGTTCCTGTACCCACTCACTCCATCTCTTCATATTGATCCCGCTATGATCAAACTCTCCATCCTTTCGACTGTGATCCTCGGCTTTGATCTCGCCGCTGACTTTACGTGTCTCTCCCCATGAGAAATCATCAAAATGCCAAAAGGCGTATAGTGGAAGCACAACCTGCCACAGCGGAAGAGCGACCAAGAAGACCAGGAACCAAAAGATGTAAATCAAACGCTTGACAGTCAACAATATGAGGACTGCTGGTAGTCCAAGAATTGCTGCAAGCATCACGAGGGGAATGATTTGTGGGTCGCTCGACACAAAAGTTTGCACAATTAAATAGATCGTGAAGCCTGTCGCTGCCGGTAAAACCACCGACCCGACCAGTTCCATGAAGATGACAAACTACAACGATAAACACTAGGTTAACAAATCACGATGAGGCAACGAGCATGGAATGTATGATAGCTCACCTGCATACTGAAGCAAAAAGTTCCACAAAGGTCCCGCACCAACACTAATTCCAAGAGGTTATGGATTGTACTGTTAATCCATCGCCTCCTTTGACTCAACAATACAGGGAACGAGTCTGGAACAACAGTCTTGCAGATCGCACGCGGGACAAACACATTTCGTCGTTTTGGGAAGGCCTTCAACATGAGAGTTGTCAAGTACCGATCTTCGCCAAGGAGAAGTAGATTCTTCATATGCAGAGTGTCGACAATATTTTCAGAATACGCTTCCACTACGTCCGGATTTGCTAGAATCGGGACCCATTGACCAGATCGACCCTTGGGAGCTTTGATTCTGTACGCCGAGAAACATCCAGGGAGACATGTTACACCACCAAAGACAGACTCGAATGCCTTTGATAGATGGTGCGAGATGTAGTATTCGTAAACTTGAATCATCGTCACCCAGCTTTGCCACTTGTTATGAATCTTGGTCTCTCCGCACACACCCATGATTTTTGGATCTCGGACCATGCATGCCACAAGGTGCGTAATGGAGTCAGGATAGATTCGAGTATCAGCGTCAACCATAAGGACCGCTTCGTACTTGTCAGGATGCAGGCCGGTAATAGTCCATAGCTTGTGGAAAATATCAAACTCAAGCTCCGTCATCCGATCGTCAAACATGACTTTGGTCAGAAACTGCATTAGCAGCACTTGAGAGTCACGTTTGCCACGGTTGCCGGGCTTCATGACGCCACTGTCGGGGTTCCGTTCCTCTTCGTTACCCACTTTGACCACCAAGATCATAGGGACTTTCCCGTCTTTGCGATTCTTCACTGTCCTCGACATGCTTCGAGAAAGCTTTTGCTGCTTCTCAGAATCTCCGTCAACCCCAGCCTTGTCATCGGGATAGGATACTGACACTGCTCTTTCTCCTTTCTTTCCACCCTTCTGCTTTCCCTCCTTTATGGCATACCGGTACCATCCCGCGTAAACTCGTGCATAATTCTTTCTCTTTGTTCCATTGGCAATCGCAACGTAGCTATAAGCCTCCGGTATTCCTCCCCACCTAGGATCATCATCGCGGAACCGTTCATCAATTTCCATCATATCGATCAAGTACTCGGGGGTAGGTTTCGCTTCTCCAGATCCCTGAACGATTCCGTCTGCAATCACGAACAGAGTCTTATGCGTGGAAGGGTAGTACGCATGGGCGAGGGAGTCAAGAGTGGCGCGTATAGAAGCATACCCTTCCGAATAACAAGGAATCATGACCAATGTGTGCATCAAGGTGGGGTCATTCAAGGCTGGGTCAGCATGGGTGTACGGCGCCGACAGTTGCAGATCCTTGTAGCGATTCCGAATTGCCATGTCGATCTCTGGTACATCCACATCAGGGAGGGTCGGTTGCATCATTGTCCCATTGGGCCCAACAACCGGTTCTCCAACAGTAGAGCGCCGAATGGATGAGTCGGAAGCTTTACGCGCGGGTTGGGTGGGCGCAAATGAACCGACCGAAGATTTTCGTCTCTCCATCGCATTGTGCATATTGTCCATTTGGATAGCGTCCTGGGGTGACGGCGACCTGTTCTCTGCCCCAGCAGCAGCCAATTCCTGTCGACGCCGTCGCAAATCTGCTGCGACTCGTGAGTCCTTATCCCGTTCGCCCAGCTTCCAGCCGATCAAATACTGAAATATGACGGCCAGAATAAAGCGTGCTCCGACTGTCCCCATAATGAATACTAGCGAAATGTACACAAGAACGTCGGATACAACACATCCGAATGTCGTAGAGTCAACTCTCGCAATCCGGAAAATTTCGTCCAGGCAATCGGCTCTATCCTTCAAGCCATTTTTTGATGTGAATACCTTGGTGGCATCTCTTCCTCGGTTCTTTTGTACAATCTGATAAAATTTATCTCCTGCAACCAAATTAAGGTAAGTGCATCAATACCATTCGCGAAAACATATGAGTTACTATACCAAAAAGTTCAGGGGTTTCAGCCAATCGAGAGATATTCAGTACGTTGCTGGATGTCTATCATCAACATACCAATCATGACAGAAGCGCGACAGAAGACTGCATACCCATTATATACAAGTAAATCGGTGCTTGCCTTGACTACATCATAGTCCAAAAAGTAATCCGCTTGCGGTCGGATAGCGGCCAAAGGATTGAAAGGAAGGCCAGCGAAAGGGCATCCAGTGACCTGCCTGTAAAACTGTTACAGAGGGATCTTCACATCGACAGATCAGTAAAGACCCACTGCTTACCCTGCTGCTGGTGGCCACACTCCAGTGAGAGTGCACGGGAACGGTTGTGCGTCTCCGAAAAGCTTTCTACATTTGCCATTGCTGACAGGAAATAAAACACTGAGGTCTTCCCCAGCAACCTTAGAGTTCAAAGAATGTAAAACGATTAAGACATAGCCAAAAAAAAGATGATTTGTCCGCTAGCTTTACCTGAACATAATCTAATACTGGCTGTCGATTACCGTTCAGGATTTCGAGAGCCTTACTCGCATCATACATCTTCCCACGGATGGCAAATGAACTACTCCCCACCAGTTGCTTATAGTTGACATTTTGTCCTATATGTCTACAAGCGACTGCGTTGAAGCCGAATGTCAAAAACCCCACAAAAAGCATACAGAAGCCAATGATGATGCAAAGGGCAATCTTCTCACGGAATGCCATTTGAATCAGTGGGTCCTTGATTCCACTGAATTTCAACAAGGGAGCAGGTAGATAACATGTCAACATCTTCACAGCGACGGTCCAGCAAGTTGTTCTTTGTTTGATTTCCGCTTTGTTACGCCCAAGCGACCGACGGTGGAGTGTGTCATTGCGAGTCAATGTCGAGTGTGCTGATATTCTGCGTTCCAGGTCTCGCCCGGCTCCGTTCTTTCCATGACCACGACTTTGACGAACGAGTGATTTCTTCCGTCGAAGGTCTCCTTCTGACGTATTCGTTCGTGGGACTTGGGTAGATTGCCTTGACGGAGCGGTGTTTGAAGCACGACCTGTTCCTATTGGAGGCCCAAAGGAATTCGGTGGAAGGGGCATCCCAGCAGGATAGGATCCCGGGTCTGCCGTCCGGCTTTTCCTAGTTTTCCCTATGGACGAGAGTTCGGGCAAGTCAGCAAGAGTATATAACCAACCACCTGTTCCCGGGCGGGGTGCGACCAAATTCCGTCCACATGCATCCACATTACCATTGGACGCAATAACTCGTGGACCATGACTTTCCGTATAGCGCACCGGTGCAACTAGCCCCTCCCTTGACTCACTCCGACAAACATTGTGCTCACCATCTTGGCCATTGTCCGGATGCGAAGGCATGTTTCACACGAGAGTAGCTTGGCCCGCTGACAGGCCTGCTGTTTTCTATAGAGAACATGTCAGTAAGGTTGAGTTTTGTGCGGGCAGTCGACATAACCACAATGGAATGCGTACCAGCGAGATCACCAAAACTACCGCGAACCTACCGCGGAATGCCCTATTGGGGGACACAGGGTCAAGGGCGCGGGAGAAGGGATACGCAAGCTGGCCAAACGCAACGGATAACGAAAACAACGCAGGAAAGATGACAATGCTCAGCTACGAAATGTGGATAAAAAAAAAACTGCGAAATCTCCCAAGCGGTTCTGCAGATACAAAAAACTTTAGTCCTTTGCCTCTTTCCGCTCCCAGTGCTAAAAAGCGGTCAATTCCCGACGGTTTGGCTCACGTTTCAAAGCCACCTCTCCCCAACACGTGGTTGAAAATAAACAAAGAACACTTGCGAGTTTTCCAATAGAATACTTGTCAACGTTTGTGAGTTGGGAATATAGGACATTCCACACACTGTATGGGTTTCCAGCTGAGACGGGTTGGTCGATCCCCCCCGTCCGTCTCTGGGCACGCCGGGACTGGCATATGAATTGCTTGACCATCCTTGGATGAAGGAACAAGAGAAACAGAAGTGTGACATGAAACATACATGCCAAAACAGCGCAAAGACAGTGTTGAAGCCCCCCCATTCTCTGTACAAGACTCACAGGAACCGCCGACAAATGTTTAAACATCATCCAAGTCATTTCCATGTAACCGTCTCCGCTCGCTTTATAGGTTACGGTTGAGACACGGCCAACTGTGACATCCCAGGAACCTGTGGATACGAGTGAATGTTTACCGCATCCTTGCGATCAGGCGTCTTGGTGGTCAATACAAGACCGCGGTGCGTTTCCCCAAGGCCATTTTCACGAGAGTACTGAACGAGAGATGTAACCCTATCCCTAACAAAGAGGGGTTGGCTCTCTTTATAACCCTGCTATGGGCAAGCCCCACTGAACTAAGATGACAAGTGATGTACACTACAGGTATCAAGAATGTTGCATGATGTCTTTGGACCTTTTTGATGTGGAGACAGCGAATGGTGCCTGTGATCAAAAGGAGAATGTTGGATTAAGAACCTGTGCATAAGTACTACTTAGAAGGAACCACGTAATGGTTTCTCTGGCTAGGGAACTTTTTTTTCTGTCGAAAATGCTCTTGCGTAGCCCTTACCCTGAGATGCTGGAATTCTCTTTTGAACATGAAAAAAAAAAAAAAATCCACTCAGAGATATTAAGCAATTGATCTTCCCCCAGTATAATCCCACAGTAGGTGTATCTTATCTTGACCTTACTCTTGCCCAAAACACGGTCGAAAACAAGCGCCGCGGTACGCACAGCCAATAAGGCACTTAACAAGCTCTCAGCATATCCTAGCTCGATTACGCAACCGATGCAAGCAATAGTGGTCTTTGATCAATCTTAAACTAGTGACCATGCGTGCCTTTGTTTGCCTGACCTAACTCAGGGTGTTCCCCAGATAAATATTACTGTAGTAAGCAATCATCTTTAAAAGTATCGCCCAAATAACTTGACGTCATGCAAGAAGGGCACGATTGCAAGCCTGATGGACATTCAGGTGAGCGTGCAATTCCTGCTTATGTCATGTCACTTGCTCGCGTCCTTTCATGTGCGCAGCAGGGAATCGATACGGAAAGAGAACACTTCCGTCACCTGTACACAGGCTTTTAAAGTTGAGCCAAAAAAAAAGATGGAGATTGCGAGTATTTGAGCTTTATATTTCTTCCCGATTCCTCTTGACGTCTCTGCCCTACTGTTCTTGCCAGCCGGCGAAAGAGTTTGCATTGTCGTCAACGTACATCTAATTCGTCCCATCCGCAATGGCATCGCTCCAGTTTTGGCTTCAATTGGCTGCGCTTTGCACTCTTCATGTTGTTCAGCTGGTATGTCTGATAACTTTGGTCATCGCGATACAAGCAACCGTCTGGCTAAAGGGCGTCACGCTATGAGATTTCCGCCGCTATTTTCGTTGGAGGGATTGTGGACCAAGCAGAATACGGGCCCAGAATATGGTAAGCTAGAAAGGATCCTTTCAAGTCCAAAACAACATATAAGCTGCTTCCGCAAGGATCCTAAAGCTAAATATATTCGCGTCCATAGCTTGCTCTTTGTTTCAAACTACCGGAATGAAGGCACAGAGTTTATTTTCGAAGCCGAGTCGGGTGCTTGCCATTTTGCGGTCGGGTAGGTCCTTGCACTCTCCCTATATGAACTGTTGAGAGCTCCTGACTAACCCGTATATGGCGGCAAGGGTTGGCTCCATCGGTATCGTTTTGGCCCTTATTGCACTCGCATCAACACTTTATTACAATCTAAACCCTACGAGGACCGTACGCACCAAGACCGTTGCTCTCATCTCCGCCATTGTATCATCGCTTTACGCCATCTTGCTGCTGATTACTGTCTCAATAGTCTCCGTCGGTCTAACCAACACCTGCCGGCAATTTGAGAACGTCCAGAGACACTCTTGCACGGACGTGTTTGCCACCGGATTCTTCTACGAAGGCATTGTCGATAGGCTCTACAGGAAAAGCTTGAACGTTGTCTGGATTGCTGTCTCCGCTGGTTGGATTTCAGTGGGGACCTGGGTATTGTACGCAATTGTGGAATGGTGGACTTGGAAATTTAGGATGAACAAGTGGTGGTGAGATCTGCGGAAATTAACATCAGAATGTCCATATTTTGTACGTATGTAGTTGTGAAAATATGCCTTTTGTCTAACATGTCTGTTCCATATTTCATTCATTATCCGGGCAATACAATAGTCAGTGCTTATTGTCTTCTTGCATTCCCTTTTGCTGTCTAATTTGTTTAACCCAACGTCCCCGAGGTTTGTTTTCCAACTTTACACGACTATTTTCTCTTTCTCGCACCCTCTTCGGTAAACATCCCACCGCTTTCAACGAACTTTTTAATCTCGGGAATACTTTGCACAACAGGTTCGGGAATAGCAAATAGAAGCGTGACTGTTGATTCCATTTCCTGAAGTCGGGCTTGCGCCGTTGCACGCATACTCGCGAGGTAAACCAGCAGCGTACTGGCTACCGATATAGCAAAAAGGACAATAATAGCTGTTTTTGCAACGCTATTGCTGTGGCGGGAAACGGATCGTACATATTAGCTTTCGGTAGCTGCACATGGAATCCAAATCCCCACCCACCCGCTAATGATAATGTTTTGAAAAATAGTGTCGACTTTGTTCAGGTTTGTATTAAGGCTTGCCGATAGTGTAGAAATAAAGTTGAAAGCGGAATCGCTCGTGGTGACATTGCTAACTTTGACTCTGTTAAGAAAATCCGTCGCTTCATTAATGAACCATTCAATCTGCGCGTCGAGTCCAATAGTCAGATTTCCGCATGCAGGTTGGCAGGGGGCAGAGGTAAGGGTAAAGGTCTGTAGATCCGGGATTGTCGTCGTCGCAATGCAGTTCACGCCTGTTACAGAGTCGTGATGAAGGTTGATCAACTTGGTCAGACGATCGTCTAGCCACATGATTGGAGCGTTTGGCAACCAAGTAGTAGGGTCGAAGTAGATACACTGAAGAATTTTAAGGTTGGAATGATCTTCATTTTCCTCATTATCGAGCACGGTAACATACCTCTGCTGCAAGCATGACAACCGCTTGCATTAAGTATCTTCTGCTGTTTGTGTAATTCATTGTCGCTGCATACGAAATAGACATCATCGCTCGATACTGTGGGGAAAAATCAGTTCCCATAGTAGGAGGAACAAACTTGATAATACTCACGATTGGAACGATCAACAACGCAGTCGCTGGCAAGCCTAATAGAATTAAGCCCGCTAAATACCGAATGAAATGCTTCTTGATTGGACTCTTATTCACCACGTCTTCATCAACAGTCATGTTCATCAATTGCCTAGCGGCGAAGTTGCCGTTATTGCCCTGTTGCTCATCGTTATTCTTTCCATCTTCTTTATTGCCTGCAGTTGTTGTCATTTCGTCGGCAATGCTCTCAATCTGAAATGAAAAATTAGAAACAACAGTATCGTGAATGGCCGATAATCGCTAATTACCTGCTCTTCAACATCTGTCAGCATATGCATGAGGGGTTTTTTGGGCAGCAGAGCGAACATTTTCAGAGTTCGGATTTGCTCGTCACTTGTCTGATTCATCATCGGAAGTAAAACGACATAGGCCCACCCCAACATTGTCACAACCAGCAGACCGCACAAACTGTAGAGCACATACTAGAGTAATATTTTGGGGTGAATATTACAGCTCTATTTTGAGACTTTGAATTCAAGGTACATACCACACTCTGCATGGTTCCATTTATCCACTTTTGCTGGCCCCCGCTACTCGCACTCTCAAAGGCAGGACCGACAACGATAGCATTATCAAGAAAGAATCGAACACGATTGTCCTCCAGCTGACTCGTATTGTAAAAATTCCAGCCTTGTGGATGCCATCTTGGTTGGTCAATGTGCAGAGCGAAAGCACGAACATCCATACGTACTCTGTTGACCCAGTTCCACGCCGTATTGGTATACAAGTTTCACAAGTTGGTAGGCATTCATATACTGAATCTTTTTAATCGAAATAGGTAGCTGCGACATCTAGAGCCACAAGATGTCAATCACTGTTTCATCCTCCCTCTATTCGCTTGTCTTACCGTCACCGCAATCGTTGCCGGGTCGTTATAGAATCCTGCAAGATAGGAAACGTAATACGTTGTGAAGTTTCTCATTAACGACGCGATAGAAGTCTGTGCGTCAGCAAAACGAGTACGCAGTTGCGGTACACCTTCAGGCGCAACAAAGGCTGGCTGTACGAAGGTGCGAACATTTTGCACAGCCAATGTTGCAGCACGGGAGAGCCGAGTGACGCGAGCGAAACCGGAGATGTTGTCTTCAGCAGATTGAAAGGACCAGATTCCGACGGCAATTGTGGTAATCACGATGAAGAGGTAGATTGCTAGGCCTAATTTCTGTCGGCGATCCAGGATGTAGACTGGCGCTTTGAGCCGGGATTGGAGCTGGGCTCTGTGGTAGGCCTGAGCGGATATCACAAAAATGTGAGCACCTGCTGCCACAAGAAGAACTTCAAACCTCGGTTCTAGCCCTCTCACCTTTTTTCTCTCCTCTCTTTCTGACGACTGATAAAGTAGAAAACACGCAGAAGTGTTAACACTTATGGAATTCTGCAACTCACCAAAGAAGAATATTTACCCTTGTGCTGGGAACTGATTCACTGGGAGCCGGCATTTTATCGGCCCTTGCAGCGGCTTCAGCTATCTCATCTTCTTCTTTGAACGTTCCGTGAAATCCAACCCCTTTGGTGACTTCCTCGTCGTCATCATCGTCGTCATCAACCTGAGTCTTGTCAACGTTCGAGTATCGACGCCGTAGATACGTCTCGGGTTCGATGTTTTCAATTTCAGGGAAGACAATCTCCCTAACAATAGGTTCATCCATATTGGATTCGTCTTGTATTGGCGCATCCGTGGGTTCACTGCCATCCATCATCTTGCTCATGGTTTCCTCCATGACGACGCTGATGTTTGGATCCATCGCCAACGGTCGGGTCCTGTCTCGAAGGCTTGCCTTACGACTAACAGTAGTTTGAGAATTGTATACGGTGTTGGCGCTGCGATGCTGCAAAGAGCTGCGACGAAGGGAGCCAGCCATGGATCCTCGACGAGACTCATTCCGATAGCTGGTGGTAGCCATGCGTGTCTCGAGCTCTTCGATCTCTTCGGCAGCATTTGTGAATTTCGCTGCACCTTCTTTGTCGTTCTTCAGGACCAAAATCAAAAGGCGCGACAATTAGGTAACAGTGTTTTCTGCTCAGAGGATTGACGAGGACAAGTGAAACGAAAGCTTACCTTAATTTGCATCAAAAAGGCGGCATACATCCTCAAAAGCACCTTACTCTTGGGCCATCTCGAAATCAACTTTTTGTAATAGTCAGTAGCCTTCTGTTCCGCTTCACTGATACGCTGGAGGAAGATGGGATACGTCTTCGGGTCCCTTCCGCGTTGGTGCGTGCGAACGTGCGTTAAGAATGCACGTATTTCCAGAAGGGTTGCAAGGTGATTCCGTCTTGCACCATTTTGCATCGTCTGAAACTCGACGTAAGAGGAACTTTTTGACGTAGTTGAATAAGGGTAAGGGTTGCTCATGCAAGGCCTGGACCTGAGGTACACAGTACTTACATGTTCAATGTCGAGGAGTTGAGACCTTCGGTTCGCTTGGACTGCTCAATGATATGATCCTAACAAGATTCCAGTTATTGTTGTGCTTCATCTATCACCTCAGATCGAAATTTCCAAACCTGCATAAAAATAAAGAAGCGAGCATCAAAAGCTGGTTTCAAAGTTTTCGCCTTCTGGATAAAATAGGCGGGCTCTTCATTTCCTGGCGGAGTGTAGTTCTCAAGATACTCGGCGTATCTGGATTCAACACCGGATAGATTAGCGAACGACTGATTTTCGAGGAGGAAACCCATCGAACATACACAAGATTTAACATTGCATCCTTTGGGTACTGACGAAACCCCTCTGCGAAAATCTCATCCATGATAAACAAAGCCTCGTCTGATCGGTTGTTATGGACGAAACGACACGCGATTTCCACTTCAGGTACATTGTTAAATACGCGAATGTCCTATTTACATGTCATGAATCAGCAGAAGATCCTGAACAGTCCGTCAAGTAGTTGAACAATCACCTTTGGCCGAGTCCGTAGTGTAGTAATCGTTTGCAGATTTTCCAACCAATCGCTCTGGCTGTTCTCGGAATCTCCAATAGCCGCCGTTTTGATAATCCGCACCCCACCTTCTTCAGCAAGCTTGCCCATTTGGGGAAGCATTTTCTGCTTCAGTTGCAGCTTTCTATACACTCTGCTGGTAATGCTTTTGAAGGCACTACGACAGGCCAAAACTCCAACGACGAACCCAATAGGCACGGTAATGACCGCGACTATGGGAAGGGCGATGGAGTCTGATCCGATGGCATATGAGATGGCGGCGATAATCCCACTCAAAAAAGCGGCGGAGAAGATTCCGGCCCGCAGTTGGTTGACGGCAGACTTGTAAAAAGGTTGGTAGGCTATCATGAGATACGAAAGAATGGCCGTAATGGGTATCAGCACAGCAAGGCTGAAGCGTGGATCACGCGCGAGTGTGAAAACAGAGGTTAGGATAATACGAAGTACGACATCTGCGACGGTAATAAAGATCAGATATGTTGTAACAGATACAGAACTCTACATGAACTTACATATCGTATCCACCCTAAGAAGAAGAGACCATCATTAGACCGTGGACCAGACTAGTACATGAGCTTAACATGCGACCCACCTTCCGATCGGGACTCGTGCCATGGCCGATTTTCGATTGGGGGTGGTTTCCAGATAAATTGACGACATAACAATGTTGTACGGTACAAAAATGATCATCAGAAGGATAGCAATGACAGTTTCAGCTGTGTATGCTCCCGAAAAGCATTGAACGCTCGGATATTCTATCAACGAGTTATCTGGCCCAAAGCACGTCACTGCAACGAGAAGGACCTCCAGAAACGGCATGAACAAAACGGTGCCGAGGAGTTTGGTGACGAGACGGAGGGTTTTGAGTGCCAGCAATGAAATACCCGCAAACTGCTTGAATAGTTACCAACTGCCACATCAAAAACGGCTTCAAGCTCATCTCGTTGGGCATCTTACCTTGCCACTTTCGAAAGAAACAGCAACCTGTGCGGCGGCTGCAATCGCCACGACAACAAATCCGACCACAATTCCTAACAAGATCAGGTATTGTCCATACTCATGCGGTCGATACGAAAGCGGATTGGTCACATATTGCGCCCATGTTGGCATTCGGCCATAAAACGATGGGTTGTGCGCAAAGGCAATGAGCTACAATGATGATGTTGGTGAGTTGTTGGAACTTGACCTTGAACTCTAGCAGAGATAGTTTTTGTTGCATCTTTGATTTTACCTGGATATCTTCCGTGAACATGATGATGTATGACAACAAATTGTTCACATCGTTGTCTTTCACCATGCTGTACAGCACGGAAAACATGACCTTCTCCATGGCATTCTGGGGTGATGAAGAGCGATTTTCGTCCATTAGCAATATTTCAAATGATGGTTGAGGAGATAGCCTCCAGCTTTCGCTTGTGCCGTGGCAAACAAGTTTCGGTAACTTAACAAATCCCTACATACCCCCAAATACATTCGGCCATCTTTCTCAGCCAGCCCAGAATCGCTCATTGTATTGACTCGGTCGTAGGAAACAATAACCGAAACAAAAATGTCACTTTATCCGACCGTAGCTAAGATAGCATAAGGAAGAAATAATCCTTTAGTGTGGTAACAGGATAGCCAACTCTGTTGAAATAAGTACCGGTCCATCCGAAAAGAACAATGCGACATTTGAGGCGGGACACATATCTCGTAATCCGTCCCATGTCGTATGGGACCCTTCGATTGTGCAGTTGCCACTACAAGGATGGGCACATGCACGTTGACCTGGGTATCAGTTTCCTGAATGCTGAGAAACGATGTCGAACAATAGGAAGGCAGCATTTTCAGATGAGACACTGATGTATGGGGCTCGTCTTTTGTGGCCTCTCGGCTTATCGAACTCGATTGGGGGACATTAAGGTAATGATCTAATTTCTCGGTATTGTTTGGGGCTTCGTAAGTGTCGGTCATTAATCACGGCAAAACGATGGAGGTTATGACAATACATGCCAGAAGAAAGGAACCCTTGGGGTAGACAAGACACGATTAGCTAATCGAACAAGCCACGTACCTGGTAAGTTTGCTTACGTACAGCTCAGCTGTTAGATTGGAAGTAAGCAACATTCAACATGATAATCAATATGAATGTAGGACGCACAGCTGAAAGCGCAAAACCAGGTCTAAAAAGTTATTGGTAAAACAAGAAATCAAGATGTTAGAAGCTACTTTCCAAGCCCATATCGGCTCGGCCCTTAACACGCGAAAGCGCCCCCATGCTCAAGGCCCTGCACTGCCGCTTGTTCAAAGGGTTGGCGAGCTTGAGTCCAAATGACACCATGTTATATCAGCCTCAGACGCCAAAAATAAAAAGACCTGGTGAGACTTAAATTGCTTCACTTCACTTGCCGTAGTAGCAACAATGATGCATACAACTGCCCGCCTTGTCGTAATCACATTGCTCCTACCATGGACTCTTGTCTTTGCCCAAGTTAATGGCCAACAGAAGCCCACAGGCATCGGTGTAGAAGGCCAACCCCAATTTTCCTCGCAAACACTGCCGGATCCGAGCACTTACCAGCATTCAGTCTCTCTGGCGAATGTCGGGAGTGGAAACTATTCTATGGCTTTTGCATTGGAAAATGGGGCGAAGAGCGTGAGGTTTTTGATGATGTTGAGCGGAGTACAATTGAATCGGGTTCGTTTGACATGCATGCCTTGTCATCACCTTTATTAGCGTACCTGACTACTAGTTTGAAACATGGCGATAACACAGGCATGGATGGGCATTGGGTTTGGTTCCTCCATGCTCTCCTCGGGATTCATTATTACACATCTACTCGCAAATGGAAGCGTTGAAATGCACGAGCACACTCATAGAAATCAATATGCTCCGCCAACCAGCCACGAGGATCCTAAGAACTGGGTAATGGAACCGCTGAACGGGGGATACGTCAATGGCATAATGTTCAGTGAATTTCGTCGACCAGTCGATCCGCCGCCGCCGGTCGAATACCCGCACGTCACTTTGTCCTTCATGAGTCCTCAGCATATGATTTGGGCGTATAATCCAGCTTCGAAAATAAACACATTAGGGCATTATTTTACATATCACATGCCCAATGATGGTAAGTATTGCATTCATGGCAATTGTCGTTTTCGGCAGTAAAGATGATTTGGAACCCGCTCAGATAACGGAAATGGCTTGCCCCACCTTCCTAACCAAACCCACGGCGCCCTCCTGGTAGACTACACCCGGGCGACCGTCGAACCCATCCCTCTTAATCCGTACCCTCCCAAAGTGGCTCACGGGTCACTCATGTTCATTGCATGGCTCGTCATACTGCCAATGGGTGCCTTCATCTCCCGATATCTCCGCTTCATTCCGAATTGGATCTATTTCCACCTCACCGCTCAGCTTCTCGGGGTCCTGATCATCATAACATCGTTCGTGGTCATCCTGGCAACCTACATTAATTACAATTATCCCCATGCAATTCTGGGGACGACCATGATTGGGTTGCTGTGCTTACAGCTGTTACTGGGATTAGGGAACCGGAAAATGTTGCGAAGTGTCTTACCGTACTCCCCTCGTCGCCAGTTTATACGCATATTCCATCGAACGTTGGGGTACACTCTACTTCTCGCCGCGATCGCACAAGTAGCTCTTGGATTGCGCATCCTCTTTCCCTTCGAAGAGCGGCGTGGGCTTGCATTCTGGATCGTGTACATTATCGTCGCAGGATTGTGGATCCTTTTGTTTCTTGGGACCGAATTGTACCGCCGACTCTTTTTATCCGTTAAGGATAAGACTGTTCCAGCTCCGGAGGTGGAACAAGGGAACAAGTTCCTTGAAGCAGGAAAGCCCGTTCCGAAAGGGATGACAGAATTGGCAAAGGTGCAGGATGAAAAAGTCTACCCTGATTTACTTTCGTATGATTGGAGATCTCTGGATAAGGCCGTGTCGGATGGGTGCGTTCGAGGTCTTTTCCTTTTGAGTTTGCTAGCGCATTGTTGTGACTTGCTTTCAATGACGAGCAGGGCGATCCTTGTAGTAGCGAACGGACGCTACGTCTACGACGCTTCCCAGTGGCTCCGGTAAGGTCATGCTGTTGTATCGTCCTCTGTATGATCTGGTCTCAAGCAAGCATGATTTTCATCTATTCAATGCAGCTCTCATCCAGGTGGTCAGGTAAAAAGTCCCACAGTTCCACAGCATTATTGGTTCGTCGAGCAATAGCAGTGATATTTTCCATTCTAGATCATCCTCTTGGCAGTCGCGGGAACCGATATATCCAGTGATTATTTTCATGAAGGTTCGTACCTAATCACATTTGGGAGTCCCATTAAGAACGAAAGCAAGTAACAGTCATCAATTTTCAAATATAAAGCCGGATACGATGCAGCGGAATTTACCCCACCTCGTCGCATACCATTACAAAGGGCAGAACGACAAGATGTGACGACTCTGCACGAAAGTATCCCGTCCACCACGCCTTCCAATCTCGCTCCTGATAGTTTGACGTCAATGAGCGGTACAACAGAGTTCATGGAGACATCACACTACTTGACTGAGGAGGACTGGTCCAAAATCGTACGAGCACGTCGAACGCATGTGCATACAAAAGTCGCTATCATGCGCTTGTCGAATTTGCTAGTGGGGGAGTTACATCCTTCTCATAAACGGTGGCAGAAGGCGTTGAACCAGGGGAGCGAGCCTACCCTTGTAAATCAAGATGTTGGGGATGGCAATGACGATGCACAAAACAGATTATTCGATCCAGAGGAGTATCGTCGGTATGCTTTAACATCAAAGACACTCGTCAACCCCAACACTCCTGGCCACCCAATCTTCCGCCTGAGATTCTGTCTTTTGTATCCTTACGAGCGCAGACAAGGCGAGCCAGAAATTATCTATCCTGGGCAAGCAATGGAGATTCAGATTCGCCCACATGCCGATCGAATCCCTTTATCGAGGTACTATTCGCCTGTTCATGGAAATATGATGGCTCTTGAAGTCTTGGTAAAAATGTACCCTGGGGACGGAGTATCCGGATATTTGGGAAAACAGCGACTTGGGGAAAGACAGTTCAAGATTCGCGGCCCGCTTGGGGATCCATTGGTTGGGCCGGAACGCCCGCTGGGGTTTGGCGGGACTGGGGCGGATTGGGTGCCGGAAGATATGCTATTCGTGTGTAAGTATAGAGAGACAACTCTACGGCTAGTAGGCTGGTAGTTGTCAGGAATATCTGTTTGCGAGAGCTCTTGCTAATCCATCTTAAACAGCGGCGGGAACAGGTATAACCCCGTTCCTTCAACTTCTTCAATATCTCTTCCTACCCACATCCGTTCCCCTCCTTGTAAGCCTTCATTTACAAATCCCAGCGTCCGTCCCCAAGGATCTAACTCGCAACTTTTATATCGCAGGCAAATGGTGACTACACCCCCGCAATGTCCGATGAAATTGCTCTTCACGAGGGGGACACTATCGTAGTGCAACATCATTATCTGGACGGATGGGCTCTAGGACGGAACATAACCACGGGTACGGAACTGCATCGACCATCAGTGATAATCAGTATAGAGCTCATTTCCCAATCCCAATGATAAATAGGCGAAGAAGGAGCATTTCCTCTCCCAAAAACGCATCCCCGCACCTCAACGAAATTAACGTTACTCAACGCTGTGCATGCCCCACAAGACATTATTGGAACAGACCTCATCGATGCGGTTCTTCTATCTTACCCTCGGCACCTTCAAGTTCACCACGTTATATCATTGCGCGAGGGTAGTGTGGAGAATGTCAGCGGATTCGTATACAGGGGGCATGTATGTGAGGCTGTCTTGGCACAGGCTGTTTCGAATGAAAGCATGGGGGATGAGGAAAATGAGAGAAGGTCTGGGAGGCATGCAGTCGTGTGTGGACCGCCGCAATTTAACTCGGCGATGGTGGATCAGGTGGGTTCAGGAAATTATTTGGGACAATCTGTTTGTTTATACTGATGCCTTGCTCTCGGAATATGCAGCTCATTTACAAGTTTGGATACCAAAGCACCGATGTCACCATGCTGACCAGCGATTCGCCGTATTGGTATCATCATCTTGAAACTTGTAATGGGTGAGCACTGTCCTTGGAACTGTCGATGTTGGCATCTCTTTTGCGATCTTGGTGACGCGGGCTTGGGACATTCTCAGCACCCCTATGTATATTTTTGCTTTTGTCTACGCCTCATGTACATACTGTAAACAGGTTCTGACCATGTTGGTAAATTGCAATTAGGAGATTTACTGGCAGCTTTCTCTATGCATATTCATATGTGCAGACCCAGGTATATTCGGTATATTTATTATGCAACTCAGTCTTGGATTACCGAGTGGTCTCAGAAAAAAAAAGAGGTTCCTGCCCTCTCAACAGCCAGTATATAAACTTCGCTCAGAAACCCTCACACCTCTTCGGCAATCTTAGAGCTTAATATCCCTCTACAATATTCCCCAAAACAATCCACAACACTTGGTTTTGACATCGAGTTTCCTGTTCGCAGTTTATCAAGTTCATCAAAGAACATTGCGTGAATGCTTGAGAGGGCAGCCTGGACGGGTTGGAAGGAAACGTCCCAGATGTTGTATGCTGAGTGTGCTTTTGGACGTATTTCCTGTGATTGAGTTAGACCAATGTGCCTCTGTGACTCAAATATGAACGAATGACCTACAATTAGGTGGCTGTGCTGATCCTTTCGCCATGACATGCGACTGTCGTCCACAATAAGCGGCTCCAATCCGAATCCATAACCATATCCTTCTCCCTCCTCCTTCGGTAGCGCACCCTTTTGTTCCTCCTCCCACAAGTGCCAAAATCCATACAGACTAGCCAAATCTTTTGGAGGTGGGAGAGCGCCCTTGTCTCGTGACGATGGTTCCGCAGATTTCCTGCCCTGCATTTGTTTCAAATGCTCATATTCGCTTCGTGCAGAGTATGCCGTTCCAGTAATACGCAGTGCAGAACCGGCTGGTACGTCGTTCAGAATCTCACAGACTTGTTGGACGTACTCTTGGTCTCCTATTGAACAAAGGCTGATTTCAAATCTTTCCTTGGCCCAATCAAGGAAAGCAATGACGGACGAAGAGAGTACGACTTGCATTCCGCGACGCAAGGTTACCACACGGGATTCCGGAACTGTTTGAATGAGATATTAACTTGTGATCATCAAAAAATGTATCTTGCTAATGCGTACTTAATGGTACTTGTTCTCGTGGTAAAGCTTTTGGCTCAGGGCCCACAGCCCGGAGAATAGTATCGTCAATGTCAAGGACGAGGGGGAGCTTGCGATCGAACAGCATTTTATCAACCTGCTGCCGTAGCGCCTTGCGAATGGCACCGGCCGGTATAAAGTAAGCAAAGATCCTAGGTGACGGAAGGAAATAGCATAAGTTTCTAACGGCTTAGTAAAGTCACAATCCAGCCGATCAGACTTACTTTCTATTCAACTTGTCTCGTGAAGGCTTCAGGTGCATCTCCCATTCCCTGTCAGTTCCCTTCTCCTTGATATTTACATGAACAGTCTTTCTCAATCCGGCCAAATCCTTCCAAAAGTCACTATCTGGTTCCGGCCACTTGAAGACAAGCCGATGCTGGCTACCGTAATGACCAAGTTGACCAAAGCTGCTGAAAAACGAACGCGGGAGGGGTTTTTGAACTTGGAATGTAGAAGCTAGCAGAAATGTTTCGTTGAATGATATCGTGCTGACTTCGTGCAAGGTTAATGTACATGGTGTGTTATATGGTGCGGGTAATATGAGAGTTGGTGAATAGGGCGGAAGTCGGGATTGAGAGGAAAACTCGATATACGTGGGAACAGGAGTTGGAACCACCGGTTGCTCATCAACGGCTGGAAGATGCCAATGAGGTTAATGCAAACAAGATTAAGGGACCCAGCGGAACTCTGAAGGATTGGTGTACCTGGTGTAAGAGTAGACTGGGTTATCGGTGCCATAAGGCCATCCAACCCTCCTGGAACTTGGTGATTCTGTATCGTGGCATTTATAGCTTGTTGTGGTTGCATGTATGTTTGCAAACATGATACCAGGCTACACACATACTGTTGAAAAATGGAGAATAAACTGGTAAGGCAATGAAGACACTGATGGGACTGATGTCTTGCATGCACATGGCTATGACTGGAGATGGACGATCATGTCCATCTTTCGACAGTACACTGCCAAGATATGTCGACGTAGGGAGTGGATACGACTCCCAATGTTTGGGTATGTAAAGTCAATCCAGCGCGTTTTCTCCCCAAGTATTGGATATGCTGCTCCAATCCAATTGCAATGGCAAGGCTCCTTCATTTTGTGCATCAAGATATGTAAAGCGCAAACTCACCTCCAGTTGACGTTGTGCGTCGTCGGGCGACACAACTGGGGACAAAAGAGGCAAGTTGGTCGTCGGCGACATGGCTTGACCTTTCTCTGCCGTACCATCTATATTCAGCGGAGTGCCAATTTTTCCCGAAGCTGCATGACGGACAGTTGGAACATGCGGGTAATGTTCATGGCGTGGTGAAATCGCTCTGTATGGTTTGAAATGCTTTTTGCGTGATGACCCAGTAGTGGCTTGTTGCGCTTGAGCATGCGTGCGAGCGGCGAGCTGCCGTCGATCTGAAGGTGGTCGTTGGTGTAGGTGAACGGTGCCGTTGGGAAGAGCTCCCCGATGCGACCGTGGTTGGTGACCGACGGGTCCCGCAGCCCAACCGCGTCGATGATCCATGGCGTGTAAAATGGGTAAAGGGCCAAAAGGACGGGGCCAAGACGAAAGAAACAAAGAGTGCAGGGAAAGACGCCTCAGCACCGACCTCGCTCGGCGAAGCAGACCAAATATGCCTTTTGTAGTGTTCACCGCTGTTTGGGCTGCCGAAAAGTTTGCGGCTCCAAAGGAATACGGCACAGGTGGGGCTCGTATCAAAAAATGCCAAGAGGGGATGTAGAGTGCCTTACACTCAAAGGCAGCAACAACAGGCTGCGCGCAGTCAATGAGAAGCTACTGCAGCGCCTACTTGACAGCTTACTGAACGCCCACAAGTTCTCTCAACAGAGACCTCGAATATCAAATCTGCTGTCAAGCAAATATACGCCAGAAAGCTTTTTGTAGAGTCCCGGATTGCACACGCAGAGAGTCCAACCCTCCTTTTTCACCTTTTTGCTTAAAAAACAAACACGGTAATTTGGGATGCTCTTGCTCCCCCTAGTCTTTTTACTTTTGAGCACTTGTATATTCCTTTTGGGACCACAGCAAACCGTTGGGTCAGAAAGGAGAGAAAGGCCGAAACCCAAAAGACTTTATAAATGCTCAGTTTACACACGTGATAAACCAATGGATGCATCAAATGCATTCCAATGCTTTGAACACTTATGTCATCCGTTGGCACACCTTTTTTTACTTTTTGTTCTTCAATAATGGCCTATTCAACTACTAGCCATGTGGAAACAATAAAATAAAAGGCAGGTTGAAGCAAACGACCATAAAAAGAACAAGTCAAACAAAAAAAGGCCTAAAAGAAATCTTTTTGTTTTTCACGGCTTTCTTCAGCCCCCAATTGCCCCAACATCCACAAAAGCTCTTCACGCAAAATAACAGAGTCAAAAGCTGTGAAAACGGCCCCTAGGGGTTTAAACTAAACTGCATAGGAAAACCACTTGTCTAGCTGTTTCTTTTGTTAGCCGAGGGGTGGCTTGCCGGGGAAGGGGGTGAATGGACTCATCGATGGGCATCCCCAACGAAAAGCATGAATTTGTCTTTCGTGGCAAAATGGCATCCACGAACACACCAACGCGAAATAGGTGTAAACATGGGGAGAGCGAAAAAACGCTTTCTGAACGTGGCTGCCGACGGGGGTTCCCCAGCCCAAGAATCATCGCCGATCCTCCGTCCAGCAAAGAAGCTCTTTGCCGAGAACATATGTCATCCCTCCCGCCCGCCGAGACCACTATTTTCCACCTTCCCGCCTCCCATCCCTTTGATTCTTCACATACACAATACATGCTCCTAAAATCTATAAAAAAGTTTTGTAAAAAGCTTCGTAAGAACGGGAAAGCACCTGTTACTGCTGGCAGTGTTCGTCCAGACAGCGTTGTCATTCACGAAGATGCAGCCACTGCGTCGTATCGTCCGTCGTTTCTTTGGGAGTCCGATGACGATGTGCGCCACTCGATACAGGACAAGACGAAAGCAATACCAGGACAGGGCACTTCCAGACAAGAACCCAGAGGGAGCAACCGGACCAGTGACATGTTGAAATCCTCCTCTCAGACTGGCCGTTCGCATGACTCTGTCAGACCCTCGTATTATGCGACACGCCCATCCATCGACTCTACCCGGTCAGCCACAGGACCTGGATTTTCGTTTTCAACGTTTACCCCAACTCCTATTGACGCCCGTTGGACACGACGTTCCGCCGATATGCCGCGCGAGGTCCACCATCCCTTCCCTCCCCTGCCCCCATCAAAGCTGTCACCGCGACCCTCCTCCGTTACCTCCTCCACACACTCTTCATCCGTTTCCGCCCACCTTGACGCACAGATGCAAGCACTCAATGGCGTCTTTTCACGCATACGAGCCGCACAGGATCTCAAAAAGGAGAACCTACAACGACGAGAACGCTCATCCTTTGATTTTCCCCGGCCCGGTGCCCTCACAGCATCGGTCCATGGAGCAGGCCGTGGATCACAGGACACGTATGGATCCCTCAAAACGCAGACGGGGAGAATCTCCCAGGACACTCTATCAGCAACCCCATCGCGGTACGATGCCCCAAAAAGGTCCTTTGATCAACCAAGACTGCAAGCACCGTACCTTCCTCCACCGACTCCCAAGAGTAGACCCATCATTGTCATTACACCAACACCGCCAGATCATGACGCTCGATCGACCGTGTCGCATTGTACGCATAAATCCAATCGGACAGATTCAGGCTTCCATCGAAGCGAATTGGAGTCTTTATACATAGATTTGAAGGATTTATCCTTGGATCAGTTGGTAGAAAAGTATGCGACCGTAACCTGAATTGATGAGCTGATCAGCAGTATCTTGCGTGGACGTAGAGTCCAAGCATACATGTTCGTAAAAGGAAGATAGACTGAGTCAATGGGCTTGGGATCCTTCTCTGCCGTTTTATCTTTTCCCTGTACATTTTATACTTGATTGTAATTGATATTTGGAATATGTCACGGAGACCTTGGACTTTTTTTTTCATGACTATCGAAATGCCCAAGTGATCTATTACGATTGGCTTCTGTTACCCGTTTCCATACAGGATGAGAGTGGGATCCACGTCGAGCATCCTGCAGAACACATATCTGGAAAAAGCAACACCAATATTTATATTTGGACGGTTTTGATGGCATGCCCTGTACAAGCCCGCCGTTGCCGTTCTCCCCTTTGAAAGCAATAACCTCATGTTGGTGAAACGCAAAGTGGAGAGCATTTGATAATGACTGAACGTCTCATACGGAACGAGCCATAGAGTAACGCTTCAACAGGATGACCTCATCTCTGAAGAAATAAGTCATGACTTTCTCAACCTGGTTATTTCATGCTCGTAGCTGCTCATTCTCGCGCATAGCTAGCGCGCACAAACCACATCTCTCGAGGGGGATTTGAATACTGCCAATTACAGGGACTGCCAGACTTGTAGCTCTTAATTTCTTGATGGAAGTATCGACAGCAATACAAAGGCTGTTCTGACATAGACTTGTAATCACAGTCGTTTGTTTATAGCAGTCATCCGTCATAGCGAGTTTCTGTTCCGCTGCGCCGACGGACCGCTCAAGTTGTCTCTGTGATTTCTGGTATCCTGCATCCTTGCGACAAGGGTGAGTCCAAATTTTGCTCTATGGTGACAAGTTCCACCTGATGCTTTATTCCATTGTTCAGCATTGAATTGACTCGGTGATCATGGACTGAAGATACAGCAATAGAACTCAAATAGTTGCTCCATCCCAGCTGGTCAATTCGTCTAATCCGAGACATCAAACTGATGGATAGCCCTTACTCGACCCGGACTCGCCATCTTACATCCTGGAAAAGGAAAACCAAAATCTTTCTAAAATCCCCCTTGACATTGTCTTCTTCTCTAATGGATGTGACAGTTGCTCGCATGCAAGGTAAAGTACTGGAAAATGGTCATCCACTTCATACCCGCATCGAACGAATATGTGCTCGCAGAGAGACGCAAGTGTCTTCCAAAAGGATTGATGCCTCCAGGTCCGAACCCAGACGTCCTCGTGTCGAGTACATAATAACAAGGAATAATGTGTGATACCTCTTATGTACATTCATATGTTCTCGCAATTAAAACCTTTCTTATCATACTTGACTAGCAGCAAATAAACTGTAGGGTTTCTTGAACCATTGTTAGTACATTAACAAAATATATTAATCGGATGTGAACTTCAAGTGGGTCAATTCCCGCTTCTCCATCCTTGCCGGAACGATTCTGATGAGCAGCTTTATCAAGACATGACCCAGTAGATGCAGCTGAAAAACACTGACTCAATATAAGGGAGCGCTGCTAAAATACAAACATGCTTGACCTTGATTAGATTGCAATAAACATATCCGCTGTTGAGCAACAAAACGACCAGCAAACGCTTCTTCAGTCGACCAAATCTGTGGCGCATGTGGCGGATGATACGCGTACGTAAGGATCGTATCGCTCCTGCTTTTTTCCTTCCTTTCCCCCCATCAAGTTAGCGCTTTAACTTTTAGCGAACACGGAGATATAAAAACCCCTCGTCTCTACAACATACCAAAAGAGTCTACACCCCCATTACCACACCAAATTATCTAACCCTACGGACAAGCAAAAGCCTATTACCAGTGCTACTATGAGGATTTTGCTTCCCTTTGCTCCATTCGGATCTCTTACACGAGTACCTATTACCCCACGCATTGTACCAATACCTAAAAGAAATGAGCAGAGTGTCGGGAGGGTATGGAGGGGGTGGGGTGTAGCGGCGTTGATCGTTGGGTGTGGGATGGGGGTAAAGTACTATAGGGAGATGGAATAGATACGGCGATGATTGTTGGGTATGGTGATCTGGCAGGTGGTGGGATTGTAAATTGATAGGATAGCGTTGGGGGAGTGTGTGGCAAATAGGAATGAAATGGATTATAGGGGGATGATTTTGTAACTTTTGCAAATCGTAAATAGAAAAGTGGATAGGTTGCTCTAGTACGACATCACTATGGGTGGCCCGTCATCACAAATGTGATAATACATTGGCACCAACAAGGCAAAACACAAAAAGAACTACTTTGGCCAAAATCAATGTGAAAAAATCCGATTTCATTGTTAGTGAAAAACGTATACCACATAACATTGAGAAGCGCCCAACAAGACAAAAAGGAGCTGGAGCACTGTCAAAATACTACAGCGCAAGTCCGAGTCCAATTCAAATGCTTCATCTTAATGATATTGAACAATATCTTAAAGGATCCGTCTGATAAGCATATTATCCATCCCATGCAAGAAAATGGCGAGGCACTTCAAATGGTACTATCCATTATACGGAATATTTGGTGGGGTGTGATAGATTTTCCAAAATGCAATATCCCAAAGAATCTCAATCCCGTTACGAATTAAAAGACTAAGCAAAAGGTGTATGGTTGTCATTCATGGCAAGGTTATGATCGGGTCCATAGATGCGTATCCAAAAATGTAAGAGAAAAGGAAAAAAGCAATGCAAGCTAGACCCCCATCCGAAATACATCAATTTCTCCATATACTCTTAGCCCAGTAGTTTAACTTTTTATCACATCCATAAAAGAATGTGCGTACTGCAACATCCAAAAAAGTTCTTATCGTACACAAGTCTAAAAGATATGCATGCGGGAATATACCATCATTGAAAAAGCCAAGATACAGACACATACGACTACATACAACCACCATACATACGTACATACAAGAAAAAAATATACCACCGATATCCTCATCTAAAAGAAGAAAAAAACATGCACATACACAAACAATCAAAAAAAATGCGACACCAAAAAAAACAACTAAAAAATACTAAAATGCAAAAAACCGACCCACTTTTGCAAAAAACTAAACCCTTCTATCATACTCTACGCTTTCATCCCCAAACCCTCTTGACCCCTTTCAAAATCCTCTCACCATCAACAGTAACAACTTGCTCACACCTCAAAATATGCAAGATAGCCTCCCGCCCATAAGACATTAACAAACTCTCAAGCCCCATGAGCACACCCACAGAGATTTTAGAGAGCCCCTCAGAGCCTCCCAACGCAACAAAATCCCAAATCCTGCACACGGTACCGAAATCAAGGACGCCTTCCCAGCGTTTATGCGGGCCTATTGAGTCGGATCGGTGCCGGCGGATAGGAGGGTCCATGGAACATTGACTGAGAAAGAGGGTACGGTACCATTGTGGGAGATAATCGCTCGTCTCGATGCCTAATTGACGGAAATGAGTCCAGAGTTTCGGGAGGTGTGTTCGAAAGAGGTGATCGTGGGCGGTTGTCAGTGGGGTTGTTGTGTAGTTTAGACGGAGGTTGTAGTGTGCGGTGGGGGCGGTGTGGAAGAGGTGAATGAGGGTAATAAACGCCCGCTGCACAAAAAGTTCAATACCCAATTCAGAGAGACACAAAATCGACGTGGATGAAAACTGTACCTCTTCTTCCATGACTGTCAACAACATGGCACACACGCAGTTGATACCTTCCACAAACCCAAGTTCGGGATCATAGAGTGAATAAGCTTTCAATAATCTAGTTAAAGCCGTTTGTCTGGAACACACATAGAATGGATAAATACCCAACATCGAGGAAACAAATGTAAAACAAATTTGAGAGCCGTACCCAGGTCCTTGTCGCTGCATAAACCATATATGGTTCCCAAAGGTTTTGGAAACAGATAAAAGAATATCTGTGTCGTGGGCTGAGGGTTGGGTTTGGAATTCCTAAAGGAAGATCCAATCAGTACAAACTGCATCCAACCAACAAAAATATGGTCGAGAAGGGATGGTTAGAGGTGGTAACCAACTTACATGGTACTTTTCAATGAAATCCGCTTCAGCCATGCCAATCTGGTCGGGCGTCATGCGATCGTAAAGTCCACTCGTCCCCGTAATAAGATGGTACCAGACATGACCACGCCAGAGTTGGGGCACGCCCTTGAAAAGTCGAGAAAAAAACTGTATACTACAATCAATACCCACACAATAACAATACCGCAAAAGCAGTCACAAAAACCCACCTTTCCATTCTTGTTGAACGAAAACAATGGGGAAATGGCCACCTTGTTTGGTACACTCGCTCCTTCAGCAGACAACATCCTCGGCGTTCCACTCGCCTCCCTGGCCCTTTTATCCGCCTCCATAACAGCAGGATGAACAGAAACCTCAATAGCCATTCCCCGCCACTTGCGACACCGCTGCTTTTCCGTTTTCAAAAAAGCCGCTTCGGAGAGTTTATCACCTCGTGTCTTATCATCATTGAACACGACGAATCCGTACATATCCGCTCTAGAGTACAACTCATCAACAAATTCGAAAAACATGTCGCTGGATTTACGAGAGGAGGCCTCGAGGGATTTACGAGGACGGTCGCGGCTCGGAGATCGGAATCGGCTTGAAAAGTGTGAACTGGAGCGACCGGAGCGTTGGCTCTTGCTTCGGGTGGGTGGGCGGTCTAAGACGTCAATGGATTTACGTGGGGGGGAGGGTGAAGAAGGCGGTGTGAGATGATCGCGGAATCGGTATTTGACAGACGGGGTCAGGGATGACCGCGTCGAGCCAGTTGACAAGGATCCAGTACTCGTCTGACGAGCAAATTGGGAAAAGATCGGTGGCTGCCCTTCAGCGGCGGGTGCGGCCGCTTCGGTGCGCACTGGTGTACGCGGAAAGGTATGTAGCGGAGTCGGTACGGTAGTAGTGGTGGGTGAGGTCGGCACATGCAGACTCCGGGTATTCCCTCGTGATTGTACAGGCTTTTCATTTGATGACGATGACTCGGGTATTGAAAAAGATAGAGGTTTAGGAGATCGACTGGGAGAAGTTTGGAGTATCCCGGTGGATTCAACGGGTCGGGTAGGTTGCGTTGGAGATTTCCAAAGACCCGGCATGACACGTCCAAAGAACCCTGGCTTCCCTCCTCCTTCCAAGGTTTTCCGGGGTGGCAGAGTCTTTTTGTCTTGATTTCCATCAAAGGACGGTCCTGTCTCATCAAATCGCGGTAATGGGCGCCCTTGTCTCGTTGACGGCCCCGTTCTGTCCAACCCACCTCCCATGACCCGCCCACCACTCGATGGAGACCCCCCTCGATCCCATTCCACACTTCCAAACACCTTTTCAGCAAACTTGCGCCCAGCAGTATCCGGATCATCCGAAAAATCTGAAAACTGAACTTTATCTATACGCGATATTATATCATCAAATCCCAATCCAGCCGTCAAGGACCCCAACGTCAACCGATGGTCCTCCAACTCTTGTTTTCGTGTCGCTTTAACCTGTGGAAGGGATGAGCTACCTTCATACGACCGCCATTGTCTTGGGCCAGTAGCCTTCGTCGGAGGCCGTCGCCCAAACCCAACCGTCTCACCCCTCTCAAAAGGTTTGAACTCGGTAGACGCTATGCCCCTTACACCCGAATCCGTCCGTTTGCGTGACGCATCATCGTCCTTGTGGTCCACCTCCACCGACCGTAAAGACGGAACCGTTGATTTCCATTCCTCAATCTTGTCCACCAGGGCAGGCGACGGGAGTGGTATACGACCCATGGTGTCAGTGTCTTGAATGTGAATGGGGATACGGGGACTGCGTTGGTATTGGCTGGCTCTGGTATGTTCTTGAAGACGTTGTTCGGGGAGGGACGCCGTTCGAGAGGGTGCAGATGGGAGAACGGCGCCGTTTGTCATGAGACGTCAAAAAAGAAATGAAAAAAAAAGGTTGGGCGCTTTCTATGTGAACGGGAGGCGAAAGAACTTTCTGCGATACAAGTCTGTCAGTGTTTATCGAGTTGCAACTTGCCAACCTTGATTGCATGCTGCTAGTAATTCCAACACAAAAAGAGCGCCGCCAAACTCACCTTCGCCTCTAGCCTTTAAGCACTGAATGCCCAGTGGTAAACAGCTTCCCTACACCGTCCCACTCTTGTAAAGAATAAAGGAAAATATAGACCAAGCGAAGAGCAAGTCCAAGAAGAGATTGCGGATGGAAATGAAAATAATAATGTCCAAAAGAAATACCGCCGCCGAGCCGTTAACTTTCAAACCCGCATGGGGGGTTGTTCGCGGTGCAACAAAAACTAAAATCAAGTCTTGCTTTTGCTGTCTTGCTTTACAAGAAACAACACACACACAAGTAAGGCACATACGCAAGCCAAAGCAAGCAAGGAAACCCCCAAAAAGCTGTTGAAAAGCGCAAATAAAAAAAAAAAAAAAAGAACACTATAAAGTGTGCTCAAGAACACTTGCGAGACGCGAACGGTTGAAACTGCCCAAAGGGAGTGATAAACGCTCTCTTTGTTACAGCCCTCTTAACAAACAAAAGGAACCTACTTTTTAAGCAAAAAAGAAACCCAACTCTTTACAGCACACACTTTTGGCGACCGATGCACCAGCAAATCATTCAGTTTATCCGTTTTGAACGGCTTTATGTTTATTGTTTCATCGTCATCCAACCATCCTGATCATCCAGGAGACTCCATGAGCCGCCTACTACGGGAGGGCTGAGGAAAAAGCTGTCAGAGAACTTTGTACTGGATGGTTGTTGGTAAAAAAGACGTAGTTGTCACAAGTTGGCGGGCATATCCATCAGTGAAAAACGCCTTTGGCAAATCCTCCACAGAAAACCACCTTTTGTTTATCTCATGCGAGAGCATAACGCTACCGCTTTCGGGAGTAATCTGCTAGAATGTGAGCTCTAAAGGAATGAAAAACGCTTGCTTCGGGCCACCAACAACCGCAACATTCACAAATGCCAGCCTCTCAGCACAAGGATGTCCGCCACTGACCATTCCTACAAACATAAACCAAATGGTTTCATACTCTATCTTGAATGTAAGGTAAACAAACGGTTATCATCGCCCAAAAGTGGTCCTACATATCGACATCTGGCTGAAATAACAACATTTCTCAGCATTTCATAGAATCGCTCATTAACATTGCAGGCAAAAAACATGGTCATCAAAGAAAAGCATGTCTGCCCACGTCATGCACAACAAGCATAAACCTCTATAAGACCATGAAAAACAGCACACAATCAAACAAACATTAAAGGCCAAAACATCAAGACACATTCTACACATGTCCCCAATTTTCATTTTCCAAAAAAAAAAAAAAAAAAAAAGATATACCGTCATCATCATCAACATCATGACACTACAAATGACATGGACAAATAAAATGCAAGAAAAAAAAACGAACCCAAATCACATACACCTCTCTATACAAAAGACACATCTAACCTCCCACAACATCACACAAAAGACCAAGAACCACCAACCTAACAGGTTCCAACGCGAAACACCTCCCACCGCTCAAAAAACTCTTTTTTTTCCTCCTCAGTAATCACAAACTCACTCTCATCGACTCCTTCATCATAGTAATCTCGTTTATCCCATCCAAGTGTCCGAAGAAACTGTTCCTCCTTCTCAAGAGACGCAGAATACTGGAACGTGGACGAGTAGACATCGTCTTTGGCGGAATAAGTGGGCGTCGAGGGGATCGAGGTCGGTGTCGTGCTGCGAGAAGAGGGGGTAGAGAGGGGTGGGAGAGTCGAGGGGATAGGATCGAGAGGGAAAATATCATCATCATGGTCGTCGACAGGGTTGGACGTGTCCGAGAAATCTTCATCGGCAACCAGACTCGTGCGACGGGAACTGGAGGTACTGGATCCGCTACTGTCGTCCACGGGTTGGGGAAAGGAGCCCTTGGTCCGCGGAGAGGCTTTCATACTGCTGCGGAGTTTTGGGCGGTTGGAAATCATGACAGGCGGAGAGGTAAAATTGGGTTTCGCCACTGAACGTGTGGGCATGGCCTTGGAGTAAGTGGCGGCACGTGCAATGGGGGGAATCTTGCCAACAGACTTGGACCGTTCGCGGAGGGAAATGGATTTGCCGTGGAGCTTGGGTTTATCGAGTTTGGGAATGAGAGCTTTGAGGCGGGCAATTTCGGCAGCTTCATCGTCGTCAGGGATTTCATTGTCTCCTTCGCTTCTGGATCCATTGTTTTGAGGAGGAGCAGCGACAATGGAGACAACGTCCGGTTTGCCCCATGCAACGCGCGGCTTGGAGGGGGCGACAACGGGAGCGTTCTTGACGGCGGGCCCCGGTGCATTTCCAAGAGAAGGCTAAAACAAAAAAAAATGTCAATATGATAAACATATACTCGGGACGTCATCAAAAGTGAATAATTGTTGGTATCACGGCAAAGACTTACAAAGTTGTTCTCAAACGACACAGGTTCGACAATTTCTGTTTCCGCCGGTTCGGGGAACGTGGGTCGACCTTCAGACGACGGAGATGTGACCAAGGGCTTAAAAGCTCCAAGTGTGGATGAATTCAACTGAGGCCAGGGTTGCTGGCGTGCGGGTGCCGGTGCCGGTGCAGGAGCAGGCACTGAAGCAGGAGCACGCCAGGCTGGCGCCACGATCCCATTTTGAGACGTGTGCCGCTCACGACGTTCACCGCGGCGTCCCTGGTGAAAGCCCGGATGGGCGGCCGAAGCCGACGGATGGGCAGGCGCAGCACCCCATACATTTCCATTGCCGTTCGTTCCCTGAACGGGGGATCCACCCCAAGCACCCGAGGTGCCATTCGTTCCGTTAGTCGTTCCCGAATTCGTCCCCTGAAGGATTCCCTGATGGGATCCCTGTAGACTTGAACCTCCCCACGCACTCGCATTTCCATTGCCGTTGGTTCCTGTTACCGGCCCCCAAACATTCGAACTCGAGTGACCATTCCCCCACGCAGATGAATTTCCATTGCTAGTAGGCAAATATCCATTGCCGTTTGTACCTGCAGTCTGCCCATTTGTCATTGTCGTAGTCGTCGTAGTGCTAGTAACTCGTCCCATGGCACCGCCGGGACCCAACACCAGGTCCTTTGTCCCAAATGAACCCAGAGCCGAGGAAGCGCTAGCTGTCCTCGGCCGCGCCTGACTATTGTGATGCGAGCGTAGTTGCTGTTGTTGTTGGATTCCGCTCCCACCACTGTGGGTAGCTGTGCGCGGTCGAGGTCCCTGCATCAGAGATGGCTGGGTGTTTGAGGACGACCACCTCGGGACAAAGGCCTTGTCCATGCTTTTGCGTTTGACACACACACACAACCACCACAGGCTCGCGAGCGGAGGGGTGGTTCACCGAGGTCCCTAACGGCGTGCCGAGGAAAAGGTGAGGGGAACCGCACGCAAGCCAAAAGTGCCCCACTGTCCAAAAAAGTCCCAAAAGTGCACCAACAGCGTTCGAACGGTTTCAAAGGGGTATAACGAGGTATGTGAGAGGTAGCGGTTATACTAGTGTCCTTTCCAGTAGAGAGTTGCAAGGCAAACGAGCGGGCAAACAAGGGACACACGCAGAGAGAAAGGACAGGAGACCGCAACAAAGTAAGAGAGCGCAAGTGAGACCGAGAGAGGATACAATGTGATGGGCGCAGGGAAAGGCGAGAGTCCAAGGGAAGCTCCTCCAAAAGCTCAAGCAGAAAGGCGAGGAGGATAAAGTGTGCGTAAGACCGTTCAAAGCAAGCAAACAAAGTGTGTGTGTGTGTGTGTGTGTGTGTGCGAGAAGGGAACTTGTCCAACTGTCAAGAGGTGGCAGGAAACAGGGCTGTTTCGCAGTTACGAGTGCGCAGTTGCGGGGTGTGGTAACGTTTGTTGCAAACGTGGAATGTACTCGAGGGTTGAAAGAAAGCTAAAGTGTCAATTGCAGAGAGGTGTAAAAGGACGACGACGACGACAATAAAAAAAAAAAAAGGGACAACGACGACGAACAACTCAAAAGAAGAAGAAGACGGAAGAAGGGCAGAACACGTGTGTGGCAAGACGGAAGGCGTCACTCCAAAAAAGAAACAAAAAAAAAAAATAGTAAGAGAATTCAACAACGGAGCGATAATGGGAATGAAGGGCGAGAGCGATGAATGAAAAAAGCGAGGTAGCCAAAAGAAGATGTCGTCGTCGGTTGAAATGCAAGTAAGTCGTTCAGTTCTCGTTGAGCCTGATACCACACACAAAGACGAGTTGGCAAGTTCTTTCTGCAAGTGTGTGATATCTTGTTCTTGTTGCGCTCTTTTTTCAATGGGAGGGATTCCAAGTCCTTTTTCACAAACTTGCTCTTGTAAAAAACGTGAAATGAATTGCCAAAATGCTTGTAAACCCCGTAGGAAATGTCCTTGTCCCCACCAACTCTTTTTCCCCACTATTTTGTCTCACTTACAAAGTCACAACGCCTCTTGTCTTGTCACGTGAATGCTATGGGGATTTCACACTTTCAAGGCTTTTCAACGAGAGATGATTTATGCAAGAGATATTGGAGACAAAGAACAATGTATAGTGATGGGACATGAAGGAGCGTTTTGCTATGTGCATTGCAACTGGCGAGGAAAGAGAGCGTTGACTATTGGATTACCCACTTGGAGCAAGAAATTCTTTGTCTCATGAGATGCAACTCTTTTTTACTGGTATGATCCACATTATGCATTAAAGAGTCGTAATGCAAATGCATCAAAAGAGCAGAATTCGGCATGTGCCGGGTATACGTCTAGGAGCCAGAGCGGAATGGCAACTCTACGAATCGTAAACTGTACCCTGCTTCCAATTCCAAGTGTGCGCACATCAAAAGTGTTCAAAATCATCCCTTTTGCCTTGTAGCCCCCACTCCCTCCAACTCTTTGCAAAACGCTCTACAAAAAAGGTTCCTTGGAGGGCAAAACACACACACACACTCAAAGAAAGGAGACAAAAAACCCCGGAAACTCTCCCCCAAATGCACTAATTAACGCTTGTTTCTCCGTTCGCTTAGCTGCGTGCCTCTCCTCCTTTTAATCCCTTCTTGTTCGGACACTCTCGGACAACAATCATGAACACCTTTTCTCCTCCGTTTTTTTTTTTTTATAAAACTCCTTGCAATTGATAACACTGCAACTCCCCCATAAAAAAGACCCCCAATTTTCAGCCTTGAACTCTCCAAGCGCGCTTATATCCCTCGTTTATTTTCTTTGCCAGGTGATCGAGGTCTTTCTTAAAAGTAAACGCAAAACGTCATTGAGGATTGTTTGGCCCGCGTCTCTCTTGTATTATATAAAGGGCTCCCTTCTTGACGAGGACGCTTAGAGTCGCATATATTTTATTTTTTTTTTTGTGTTGAAAGGTGAGTGTTGGATGAAAACAAAGAGTAACAGCTTGGGTTGGGCAAAAGTGGTCATAGCGGTTATGGCGCCCGCCCATACAATCGTGTAGACTCGCCCGTGTACGCGGGGTGTTTGCAAGGGCAGGCGGGCAAGGACAAGCGCAGCAACGCTGGGTGGGCCGACTCGTCGTCCCTTCCTTTGGAGGAGGGAGATAGGACGGGAATCATATGGAAAGGCTATCAGTTAAAGTCCTGCTGTGCCCGCTACTTTCGACAGCCTTGCGTGTCGACCAACAGCGTTTGTTCCTCACACAACCCTTTTGCCTTGCAGATACCAACTACGTAAAATACACACACACACACAGAGATCCGACTAGCCCACTGGCGCCCTAATATCCCTAAACACGCAAGAAAATGCCGATATCCACTGGCCCAGCGACTACCGGCGGCAGCACGACCGGGTACCCCTACTGCACGCTCCTCACTTCCGATTCCTACCTCCCAGGCGCTCTCGTCCTGGCCTCCTCCCTCCGCGCCACTATTACGCGGCACCCGCTCGTCTGCCTCGTCCCCACCAACGCCCTCTCCCCGTCCGCAAACGCCGCTCTCCAGCAGGCTTATGATAGAGTCGTGGAAGTTCCCCTCTTGCGCTCAGCAAATACAGAGAACCTGACGTTATTGGGGAGGTTGGATCTCGACATTACGTTGACAAAACTCCATGTATTCAATCCAGATGTGGTGGGATATGAACGTGTCGTGTTCATGGATGCCGATGTGATGGTGACGCGGAATGTGGATACCCTGTTTACGTACTTGGACGGTGATGTGGTCTTTGCAGCTGCACCCGATATTGGCTGGCCAGATTGTTTCAATTCCGGTGTGTTTTGTCTCAAGCCTTCTCGGAACCTGTTTGAAGGCTTGGTCCGAATGGCGACGACAGGTGGTAGTTTTGATGGAGGTGATCAGGGTGTGCTGAACCAGTTTTTTTCGTCGTGGGCTTCGGGCGTCCCGCGGCCTGGTTCGGCGTTTCATCGAACGGGGAGGTTACCTTTCACGTTCAATGTCACGCCCACTTCGTTTTACTCGTACCTGCCAGCATTGGTCCATTTCTACAATGATATTTCGGCTGTGCATTTTATCGGGGCTCAAAAACCATGGCAGATGTCTAGGAATGGGGAAGGAAGTGTTGATGCGTAAGTAAACGTACTCACTTTTTTGACTTTTTTGCATCCCGTAATTCAAAGAGTACGCCTTCACACAGAAGCGGAAAACAAAATGGACCCATGAAAGAATTCATCACCAGGTGGTGGCAATTCTACGATGCCGTCAAGCACGTTTACAACGTCGCCACCAAATCCGTTTCCTCCTCTGCTCATCCCACGGTGCATCATCCCACCCCGGTCTACCATAACCTCCACGCAACCACTCATACGCAAAACGCGTCTAGCACAGCGTACACGAACCCGGTGACCGACTTTTCCAACTACCGGGTCGCATGGGATGAACGTGAAGCGTCCCCTGTCCGCACGACCTTTGTAGATGACCTTGACCCCGTCTTTTCCCCGACGGAACCTGAAGCCCTCTACCCAGACATGATATCCACCCTTGAATCCCCTATTACCGGCCCTTCCAAAGCTGGTCCTTCCAAGGCACCCTCTAAACCCACTCCCAAACCCATTTCCCCTGATACCACGAAATCTGCCGACCTGGGCACCTACCGCGTCGGCTGGAACCCCACTGAACTCGGCCTCCGCGTCGTTGATTCTTCGACCGCCAGTCTCCCCCCTCAAGAAGATGAGGCTTTTGACGAAGAAAACCAAGAAGCCTTCATGGCAAGACTCAAGAGGCCTAAAAGTGCTATTGCGGCTGCGCATGATGAGTTGGGTATGTAGACGTAATTTGATTATTGGTTTGGGAGTATCAACTCAGGTGGGATTGCATAGGGAAACTAAAGGGAAAAAGCTTTGCGAGGTAGAGTTTGTGTGTGTGTGTGGGAGGGAATAGATGAGATTATTTACAAAAAAAAAAAAAAGTGAGGAAAGAAAACAATAAATGGTTATTTTTTTATTGAGCTTTTTTTTTTTTTGGTTAGTATCTATGCATTTTTATATTTTTGAACTCTACTGTAGATCCCATGGCGAAACTTGGCTTTAATTTGCCTATACCACCATCTTTTTAAACGTATTTCGTTGGAATATCCGTCAGAACAGAGTTGAGCGACCAATATAGAACCTGTGATAACCTTGGTTTTTACAGGTATTTTGACAACACAAAAACAACGCATTAGCAAAAGAACTATGAAATGTCCCCATTTTTATGGGTTGAGCTTGACACCCTTGGGATCCAATATTTGAAATAACCATATTAGTAAACACCAAACAGCCGCAAAAACTAACATACGGAAATAACATGATCAATAGAAATAGTGCATGTTTGCATCCCTCGGATATGTCCCTTTGAGATTCTTGCCGGTTTATGCAAATGCGATAGCCAAAAAAAAAAACAGGCATGTAAAAGTTTTTTGGATCGCATTGCATACATTTAAGCGCCATGTCAAAACCAAAACTTCCAAAACATTATCAACAAATCGCAAAACTGTTGCTTGGGTTGCTCTCTCAGATCGATACAGACATCATCCACATGTCCGATCTCTAAAAAACATGCAACAGCTCGGAACGACACCAAGCAAAAACATTAAGACGCAATCTATTTACACCACAAAACCCATACAATATTACAACATGAAAAGAATAAAAAAAAAGTTTCCTGTCCATACACCGGTCCCACCACTCTATCCAACCCAAACAAAACAAGAAAGAATGTACATTTTAAAAAAAGTCCATACCATAGAACCGTTCCTTGCGATGGGGGGTATCCAAAATGTATAAACTACATATTCAACCAAACATGTGCCGCAACATCATGAATCGAAGCCCGTCGGGAGGGCCTTTTTTCCAACATACAGTCCAAAAGATCCATACATTGCGGTGACAAGCGGTGTTTGGGGAACGTGTAAGCGTGTTGAGCAGCTTGAGCAGGGGTCGTAAAGGGGACTTCGCCGTTGAGCATAATGTAGAGACAACATCCTAAAGCCCAAATCTCGGCTTCAGGACCCCGGTATTTTTCACCGCGGAGGATTTCAGGGGATGCGTATTGGATAGTTCTAATGGATTCAATAAGTCATTTTTGCATAATGGTCAAATAAAACGCAGTTTGAATAACGAACCCCAAGAACCGATCAAAAAGCTTTCCGGTAGGTTGAGGGACAAAAGCCGCTGACCCAAAGTCAATCAATTTGACACAAAAGTGTTCGTCAACGAGGATATTCTCGTCCTTGATATCCCGATGCACGATCCCGAGGGAATGCAAGTGCTTGATGGCGGAAATGATTTGACGAAACACAAAGCGGGCTTGGGATTCCGTTAAACGGTCATGTTGTTCAATACATCTAGATTTTTAATCAGTACCAGCGGTCAAAAAAAACAAAATAAAACAGTCGTTGTACGTACTCAAAGAGGTCCATAGAAGGCCGTCTTGTCAATTTCGGAATCATCATGGGCGACAAGGGAGGTGAAGCCGGTGCGCTGCCTGACGAAACCATCCCACCCGACGCCCGCTCGCCAGGAAAAAACGAGGTAGGTGTAATGGGAGTAAGAGTTTGCGTCGGTGGTGGTGCAGATGATTCTCCAGACGGGTCAGATCGCGTAGAAGTCCAAGGTGCACCATGAAGTTCAGTAATGAGATAGAAAAAGGTCATGTCTTCAAAGAAATCAAGGTATGTAATGATATTGTCGTGTTGGATCTAATAACACAAATACTTTGTTATTATCCATTGCCTGCAAGCGTTCAAGGGCAAAATAGAAACGGCAAACTTACATTTTTCAACATGAAAACTTCCATGGGTACAACGCCCAACTCTGCATCCCGAGCCCATCCTTGCGCAGGCACCTTGCTCTTTACGATAAACTTGCAAGCAACTTCCCGCTCATCACACTTTCGCACCGCCGAACAAACAAATCCAAACCCGCCACTCCCAAGTTCTTGACCAAGGGTATACATACTCACAAACGCAGCATTCAACTGATGTCGGTTCAAGTACCGTTCCGCCATCGAGTCGGCTGGAGTAGGTGGGTCTGGAGATGGGTAGGCTTGCTGTGCTTTTGTTTTCGGAGGAGGGAGTTGTTGGGCGACATGTTGCGGGTAGGGGTATCGCTGCAATGGTACAGCTACCGGCCGTGGTGGCAAGGGCTTGTTGGGCGGTGGACACGCAGGAGGAAGATTGGCAGTCGATACGGCGAGTTTGGAGGGTTTGGCACGCGATGAGATGGGAACCCGCGGTGGGATCGACGCGTTTGTTGCTTTTCGCGCAGACGAGGACGTTAATGTGTAGTGCGAATGGCTATCATGCGTCGAGAACGAATGTTGTTGTTGTTGTTGTTGGTGTTGTTGTTGTTGTGGATGCTGATGATGAAGAAGGTGGTGGTGATGTTGAGGAGCTTCTGTAAAGAGCCGGCGAGCTTGAAGTGGCTCACGCTTTGCTTGCTGATGTTGGGGAAACGGCAGAGGCATCGAAGACGATACATACGGAACGTGTAGGTCAAACATGTCTGTCGTCTTTTGTATTGTAATGGAGGTGGGGTATATTCCAGTTTGCTGCGCACGAGAACCGCCTTTGTTGGCGGGGCGAACTGGGCAAAGGGCGAGATCCAGGCGTGGGAAAAAAAACACGTATCAATGGGTATAATCGCGTGTAAAGGAACTAGTTGGTAGATCTGTCGACCGACGACGACCACGCCGAGAACGATGTGTGTGTGTTGCTGCCTTGTTTTGTTTCGGGGGTCGAGCCCGGGGCAGATAAGTACAGATCTTGAGCAGGATAACCGTGGTAATAATCAACTCCTCCAAGTATTAAAAAAAAAGAACGAGGCGACAAAGAGGAAAAACACACTCGAGCGTGTTGTTTTATAAGCGCGCAAGGATGTCCTAGGACGACGACATGCAGCGGAAGGGGGGGGATGGGAGGGGGAAAAGGTCCTCAAAGGACAATAACACACAAAGGAGTGAGACAAAGATCGGAAGTCTAGCAAGCGTCTCTTCCCAATATGTTCTTGTCCGAGTCTGGCTTTTTTTTTTGAGAGTCCTTTTTCGAAACTTGAAGTTTGTTGTTGGGAGGATTTTCAAAAAGGAAAAGGGCGTAAGAAGGAGGAGGGCCCAAAAGGAACCGTTTTTTAAAGGAGCTCACAAAATCAAGGGCCTTTGTTAAACGACAGATGATGCCTGCCAAAATAATAAAAAGGTCGTGGCGAGAAGAAGAAGAAGACAACGAAGAAGGAATGGAAGAGGAGCGCGCGCAGTACACAAAGTGTTTTTTCTTGTGTGTTTGTGTGTTTTGTTTACCCTACTTTCATAATTTTGGGCCCGACAAGGTCAATCTCCCAACCCTTTAGCCTTCCCACTTTAACAGAGCCTCTCGCCAGCTCTCAAGGCGAGGTCCAAGGGGGGGGACAGAAAACAACAATCAAAAAGAAGGGCCTATTTTCTCCTCCTCCGTCCACCCCCAAGCGCCAACCACAAGGGAAGGAAGGAGGAGGGGGGGAAATATTGCAAAAAAAAAAACGTAAACGTTTGATATTGTGTGTGTGTGTATAGATGGGTGTGTGTGTGTGCAATGTGCTTCAATGATGCCATGTCATTCGTCTCCTTTGCTTTCCCTCCCATCCCCCCACCCACCCACCCACCCACCCACCAGACAACATAATAAAGAATAAGTACGAGGTGCAGGGTTCAAAAAAAGATCTGGCGCAAACCCAACAACCAGATATAACAAATCAAATACGAAATACAACACAAAAAAGGGCATTTTAATCATGTCCCCAGATCACACAAAGGAGAAGTGTGAAATGTAGCAAAAAGGCACAAGGGGGGCCAAGGGCAGCCAAGGGCGGGCAACAAAAATAACCATCAACTATGAAGCAAACAAGAAAAAACCCAAACCAGGGCCTTGTGTGTGTTCGTGTCTACACTAACATGGGCGTAGTGTGTGCATCTGAACAAAAAGATCCATACACAGACTCTCAACTACGTGTGTGCTCGCTTGGAACTGCAAAAGGACATGGCAGGCCAGCTACAGAATCTCTTGCGCCTTTTGGCCATTTGGTCATGTTTGCAACCTTTGGTAATAACGTGCGCGCTAAAACAGGACTCGAAGGGCTGCAAGGGACAAGAGAAGGGCTCGCTCGCCAGTTGAAACGCCCGTTCTACTTGCTGCGCATTCGATCCTTTTGCATCAAATCTTGAAAGTCCACATGCTTTGATGCTCAAAGCTTATTAGTGATCTCAATCACCGGCATTGTTCATCGTCATCATCATCGTCGTCGTTCCTTGTCGTTGTCGTCGTGATCGTATTCAACAAAAGTATTCATCGACAAGTCGAAAAAAAGAACACCTTCTTCTTGATCAACAGCGCATGGAGGACAAGGATTACCAAAAATGGTTAAATGAGCCATGCCACACTCCCGGGTCACGGCCAGAACCGATAGGCTGGCCACAGAATTTGATTACGCAAGGCGTATGTCCCTACGAGCTTACAACGATTTCACACTTCTAGTTTGCTTTGGGGCAATGCACACAGATGGACAGTTTACGGGAAGCGTCTTGGGATGGACAGTTGCACACGTACGAAGGTCATGCAGTCCCTTCAGCCACCTCAACCACTAGCACCTCCACCACAACTTGAACGTTTAGAATTAAAGAGAGCAACCGGTAAACACTTTCAAGGGGCGAAATTGAAATTACTCGGAGAAAAACACAACTAGGATGCGGTAAAGGCAATCCCATCATGATGACCATATTAGTACAACCCGTACGAGTCGGACAAAGTAGAGCAGACACGCACACAGGACGATTGAGGCCACCCAACCCGATATATCGGGAAGCCCTTGTAGGGCCCAGGAGTCAAAGAAGGGAACCATATGACGTTTTGCAACCTTCTTTGGACATACCATGGCCATTCTTTTTGGGTGATTTGCATGCCGGATGCGCGCAAGTTCCATTGAATTATTCCTGGCTCCATCACTGTCAAATTCTTTTTATCCAGAAGTTGCACAGGAAACCTGCATCTCTCCTTCGCCTTTGTTCATGATGGGTGGGTGGTGATCAGCAGACGTTAGACTCTGGATATTATTGCAGGAGCGGTGAGGGGAGCAATTAGATCGAGTTGGCATTGGGAACACTCGAGATAAGATGAATGGGCTTGACAAACCCGACAATCCGAAGCTGATCGTCAAGCCTATTTGAAAATCATGACGACAATGCAAGGTCAAAAATAAAGACAAGGAAACGAGGTTTGGTAGAGTCCTTTTAATGCTCGGAGAATAGCTTTCCTCCGACGGATTTTACACTAGGGCAGCAATGACCGGAGGATGGCTTGCTCCGATGGTTTTTGCACTAGGGCAGCCATCAAAAGGATTGCATGTTGATGAAGGGCCCTTGTTCACAAAATCGGTGCAGAGCCATAGCATAGAGCAAAGTGTCGAAATTCCAACGTCTTGCATTTACATCTCTTACATATACACAGTTATTCAATAGTGCCATGTCTGATTATGAGACTCATCTTATTTACTTTGACCAGCACACAACACAGGATCGAAAGAGACATGCCGCATTGTCCTAACCCATGGCAAACAACACCGTCATCCTTCCGCTCAAAACGCCCACTTCTGCTGCAATAAGCCTCGTACCCTCTCCCTTTGGGTACTGTTGAAAACGCCCACCCTATATCTCCCTTTTATTTTTTACGCCGAGGTAGCCCCCGTCGTACCCGCCGAGATGGGAGTGTTCCACCTGACGTTGATCTGACGTTTTTCAATGTGGGTCCTAAACCCTTCTTCAAGGGCTTTAATTCCAAAGGGAGACACGTCCAACACCACGGCACGCTCTTTGCTAAAGTAAGCCTAAATTCCGCGCCTGGAATTGGACTGTGAAAAATGGCTATGGCCCCGCGTCCGCATTCTTTTATTAACACTGGTGTTGTTTGTTTTTGTACAGTAGGGTCTCGATCATGAGTCCTCGCCTTTTAATAAAGCTATTCACAGCTTTATGGATCTGCGTGCCCTTGACTAATGGATTTGATGGGATCTTTTGTCTTACCCAGGACATCTCTCCTTTAGCGTTCCAAACACCTCCCCAGCTGACACTTTGCGGGCGCCCTCTCTGATGGACATGCATTTAGGGCCTGCATAGCTTGGCTCATGGATGTGGATGTGATTGCTCTGTGGCATTGTCCTGACCTTTCCCGCGCGTCTTATCAGATGGACATGGGTCTAGAGCCTGCATCGCTTGGCTGATGGATGTGGATGGGATTCTAGCATTTTTGAGCCTCGGCCTTGTTTACTAGCTTTTACAGGACATCCCTTTACACAGAGTTCCGATCCACGACAATGTACGCGCTCGCCAATGGATTGTTTACTCAGCGTGTCGCGTTCGTGTTTGTTTTTGTTTTTCTTCCTTTGATCAGGTTCTTTGTAGACTCTCCACGCGTACACAAGAACAACGCTTGCAGTTGCGTTGCTTTTGCTGCGGCAGTCAATCCAGCTGTCACGGCAAAGTACGGGCATGTGCGCGAGCGGGCAGACCCAGCATTGTTCTCCTCCATATCGGTACATGTTTACGAAAAGCAGATATATTGATCCATTTGATGACTTTTTGGGTAGTGGACAAGATGCAAGTCACGCAGAGGCAAAACACACACACACGTCCCAAAACCGCTCTGTGTACTTGTCACGCGTGCATTGAATGACACTCTCATATTATCCAAGTACTAAAGTGGATTTTCACCCCATCATTGATATATCCATTGCATTTCTTGTCTTGTGCGTGAGATATCCAAAAAGAAAAAAAAACCCCCCAAATGTCCCAAATATCAACAGCCATCTAGTCTTCGAAAAGGTGTTCAAAATCCAAAACGGCGGTAGCGACGGCCGCAAAAAAAAAAAAACGGCCCGTGCCACTCGAGGCGAATTCGGAGCCGGTTACCGTAAATTGTGCCTTGAAGCCCCGTGTGTTTCAGCTTGGATCGGTACGGGGTCATTTGCGTTTCAGACTGTCCAAAGATGAGACACAAACGACGACGACGACGACGAACGACTCTTAATCAATCCAAAGACTTTGGACTTGCGAAAACAGTTACCAGTCTTGTAAAACATTTTACGACAACGAGGTTGATTCACTGGTCAACACGAGCGAGCAAGCGAGGACGTAACGTAGAAAGACGCAAGACAAGATTCTGGCCCATGTGCGAAACTCTAGCGTAGTTCTTACCGACGAACCATGCCCCCGCGACTACCATCTCTAGGTTTGGGGGCATTCTTGCTCCCCATTCTCTCTATCCTCCTCGTATTCCCTGGCCCAACATTTACTGCCACTGGCCGGTTTTCAACGCCAGGAATTTGTCAAACCTTTCTAACCACTCTTCCACCCGTTCTAGACATTTTTGCGATAGAGGACCCAGATGCCTCTGTCCAATCATGCGCAAACCAATGCGTATCACAGAACCCACCGGTCAACAGGATTGCTATGGGCGCTGGGACGCAAGACGGTCGAGTCTTTATCTCGTGCGCTTGTTTCCCAGCAGATCAAGCTCCACCTTCGACAAACCCACCTCCGCAGTCTTGCTCAACGGTCTGTGTGCGGGACGGATTCTCCTGTGGGAGTTCGGTAGATCCTAGGACCTGGACGGTGTATACAGTCTCTATTCAATTGGATTCGCCGGCCGTGACTGGGCCGACAAAGGGAACTGCCGTGGGAGCAGGGAATAAAGTGGATGGAGGCAGCCGACAAGGTGTGAATCTCGCTCCAATCATCTTTGGCGTTGCGGTGGGATTGGTGGTGATCGGAGCGGGAGCTGGGTTCTTGATGTACCGGCGTCGTAAAAGGGCAAACATCAGTCCATTCCGTGAGCGAAAAGTCGGGACGATTAATAAAGGAGACTCTACCGGACCAGATGGAAACGGTGGGGACATGGAACGAGGATATCGAGCGCAAACAGAGTATACAAACACTGCGGGGGGTGTCCTGGCGATGCCGAATGCTGAAATGCAAATGACCGAGCTGGACTCGCGCATGAGGCTGCCGAATGGTGGAGCTGGTTTACCTCCACCCGTAGGCCCAGTCAGTGACCGCAGCATGTTGGTGGCAGGAGCCGGACCAGTAGCAGCTGTTCGCGCAGACATTCCCCAAGGATCGCAGCAAGGATCATTGGAAAGAACGGTTCTCGCGACAGGAAATACCACTGTCCCACCAATTCAGGCCTTTGATCCTCCTAAACCCATAAACCAATCCCAACCTAATGCCCCACAACGCGCGGCCCCCTTCCCCCTATCCGTGGATCAAATGGGTTCCCTCGAACGAGCCGTATTGACAGCGGCCAGTTCGGTCGCTGAACCACTTGCCGAGAATCCTACGGCGCCTGCAAGACCAGCCCTCGTAAATTCTGCCAATGTCATAACAGCCAATATGGCCATCATCCCATCCATTCCCCTCTCCGTCTTATCGTCAGGAAAGAAATCCGATACATATACACTGCCTCCGCAGCTCCGTCAAGAGAATTTTGAGGAATTTGAGAGATCGAATGTAGTCCAAAATCAACAAAAGTCGCGTGACAAGCGCCCGGATTCGGGTCTGGGTGGTTCGTTGGAACGCTCCTCTATTCTTGGTTTGGTTCCCGACGTCATGCCTACCCCGCCACCCCGTGCGCAATCGGTCAGGCCGGGCACGACGGAGCCAAAGAACGCACAGTCCAGTGTTATTCCCGATTTTGGACAGCAGCAGCAGCAGCAAAAGCAGGTAGGACCCATGAGTAAGAATCCCGCCACCAATGCCCCACGGACAACGACGACTGTTTCCCAGCGGAGTGAGAAATCAGAGACCCAAAAGGCAGATAAACCAGTGACTGCACCAGCTGCTGAACCCAATATACAAAAGAGGGGCCCTGTTCCGATATTGCAGGCTCCACCGAGGAAAGTCAAGAAAAATGGCCAAAATTCCGCTTCCCAGCAGCCCCAAAACCCGACGCTGACAACCACACCTTTCACTCCACCCCAAGGCCCGCCGCCTACAGAGGAGCTCCCCATTCCTGCATCGGCAAACGTACCACTCTCAAGTCTCGATCGTTCCCTACCGCCGCATTCACTACCCCCTACCGCATCCCGTCCGCCTGCTTTCGAAATCCCTCCACCAACCCGCCCAGCGCCAACTCAGCCTCCCAGCCAGCAAACCTCTGCGAACTCCAATCCCCGCAAAAGTACAGCAGGCACACTGCAGAACGGACAGCCCAAAACCATCAAAATCGATGACCAAATCATGAAGGATGCTTCTTCACGCGTCGTTTCGGTGCGAGTGAGCTCGTTACCAGAGACTCGCATACGTGAGGATGAAAAGATGCTTATGGGCCGGCTTTTGAAGCAAGGTGAAGCCACAATGACTGAGCAGAGTCAATCGTCGGGAATGCCAACGGTGCCCACGCCATCGCAAAAGGATGTTTCTACACCTGGATCTGGTCGGACGGATGACGCTAAACCAGTACACAACCCGCAAGCGGCTCTCGAAGCTCTTTTGAAGATTGAGCTCCCCAAACGGGTGGAAAGGCGACTATCAAGCCCAGCAAGGAAGACGAATAAAGGTTCAGTCAGTAAAGTGGATGAACCAGATGCACGAGCGCCACAAGACCAACTTGGTCCACCTGGCCGCTCTGATACTCTAACCAATGCACCCCAACGCGACGTGAGCGCTCTCCCAAAATCATCAGACCCATCCACATCCCAACCCACAGTCAAACCCGAAACGATGCAGCGCGCCATTGACCGATTCCGCGACATTGCACGCGCGTCAGCAGAACTCAAGAACCCCGTGCCAATGCAACGCGCCGTGGATCGCTTCAAAGAAGTCCAGGGGACATTGGAGAGGAAGCGCGAAAGGGCGAACCAAAAAGAAGCAACGCAAGTAACGGAACCCGTTGAGGACAATTCGTCAAACGTTCCCGTCAACCCATCCAAACCCCTCCTTCCATCCTTGGTCCCCCGTTCAGATAGTACTAGTATGGGATCCGTCCGTCCAACAGAACGATCAGTACAAATATCAAGTACACTCCCACCGGCCGTGAAAGCTGTATCAGGAGGATCATTGGATCGGCCAGTAGGTGGTCCTACCCCATCTTCAGTTCGTACAGTTTTGGGTCCTCCCCCTTCTACCGTACCCGTACCACCCACGAGGAATGCCGTACCATTGCCTCCTCCCATTCGCGGGGAACCCAGCCTTGAGCGGGCGTCATCGGTACGCACGATTGGACCTTCCATGGGGTCTTTACCGGCGCTAGGGGATGTGATGCCTCCTCCCTTGGCTCGGACTGAAGGTCCTCCGGCATCCTCGGTACGAAGTTTTCCTCCTCCGCCACCTGTGGCGCCGGGACCGCAAAGAGTGAAGAGCGAGTTGCCCCCTCCTATTGGATCATTGCCGCCATCTATGGGGAGCGATCTACCGCCTCCAGTGGAGCGTAACCTAGAGCCGACGGGACCAATGGTTCGGTCCCTCCAATCGGAGAGCTCGATGAGGACCGTCTTGCCACCTCCTATTGCCCGTGCACCACCAAGTACATCTGACCTTTTGCCTCCGGTTCGAGCAACAGGGGCAATGCAGCGGGCGTTACCGCCTCCTACGGCTGACCTTCCACCTCCTCCTCCTTCTATTCGACCAACAAGGCCAATGGAGGGGGGTCCTGCTGACGTTCCTCCCGCTGTCCAAGCAACCGGCTCCTTTTACAAGGCATCTCCACCTTCGCCAAACTCTCCACCGAGAAGCGCCTCACCACCGCAGCCAAGAGCAAGCACCATAGTCCCCGCCGCACCCCTCCGCTCCACCCTCAAACGTTCTGACCAAAAATCCAAAGTCACCAAATCAGTCCGATTCGAAATTCCCGCTCCGAACCGCGATTCTCGTCCCATTTCTGTACGGCAGAGTTCTCTTATTAATGCTCAACGCATGCGTGCAGCATTTACTACAAATGATCCACGCGGACAGCGTGTGAGCAGCTTGGCGAATCAGCGGGGTCCGGTATTGAATGCCTATGCTATTGGGCGTCAGGCGGCGGTACCCAGACAACTTGGTGCTGGTAGAGACAGTGTGAGAGGATCCGGTATGGTGGAATACGACGGTGGAGCAAACAGGGATAGTCTCAGGACAAGAAGCGTGAATCTATCTGCGCCTCCTGCATGGATCAAAATGAGACGGGAATCCAATATGCCGAGTCCTATGCTGGCTGGCCCTGAAGATACGCAGAGTTTGGTGAAAGAAGCACCCAAAGCGCGTCTTGCACAGCCTGAACCCGTCCGTCCTCCCACACCAGTAAAGAAGGACGAAAGCGAGCCTCAACGTGGTCCAGCCACACCTGTCCCAACATTCTCACCGGAACCACCCTCCGTACCCAGCGATGAAATGGAAAATGTATCTTCTCCAATTGTGCAAGTCTTACCGCCTTTGGGCCGCATCACATCCACTGAACCATCACCGAATGTTCAGTCCAAGGACGCTTTCACAAGAGGGTACGCGTCAAGTAACTCTGTATCATCAGAAGACGAGCTAGAGTCACCGTCGTCAGCTGCGTCGGAACTTAGTGTCAGTCTCAACCATCCAGCCCCTCCCTCTCCTGTTCAAGAACTGGACGACGCAGAGCCGGTTTCTTCCGAGATGGAACAACCAGGTCTTGAAATACCCAGTTACTCTACCGCAGAAGAACCTGAAGACATTCCCTCGACAATGCCATCTACCCTTCCTACACCTTCCCAAACAAGCTCCACCACTAGCTCTCAAGCGTCACCCGACGCGCGCATGTCCTTTGCTATATCCGAAACTCAAGGCAGCGAACGCACCTCCAACTTCTTTGACGCATTCTACCGTCCTACGTCTTCTCTTGTTAGTGACGAATACCTTCGAGGGACAGGCCTGCAATCAAATATGGATATGATTGACGGGGATGCAGATGACGAGCGCGAAGATGATCAAGTGCGCCGCGGTCCTTTGGTGGAGGTGGAGTTACCTGAGCGGATTCCAGTCGTTGAAACAGATCATGTTGAGGCGCATTTCAATGATGCGGAACCGCCGTTCCTGATGAATGGTTTGGCGGTCGCGTCGGAGGTATCTGCTTCGTCGTCGATGGCACATGACGAGGATAACCTGATGAGGCGTTCGGAATATTCGCAAGAGTCGGATATGGAGAGCCATGTGACGGATATGTCATTGACGGCTCCCGATGAACAGGATGAACCAGAAGAGACTGTCATCCAGGTGGTTCAAGGGGATCTTTCAACTACCCATTCCTCAGTGCTGATATCTATTATCGATGATGAGAACATGGGGTACTCTCAAGCGGAGTCGTCATTCTTGGAGGACGTAAAGGCAGCTCTTCCTTTCTATGAGGAGGCAGAGATGTCACCGCCCATCATTACGGTCCGCGTGGGCGATACAGAGGATACAGACGAGGATGAGGACGAGTTGAATGACACACAGATGAGCTCTAGCCGGTCATCCTCTCCCAAAACGGTTGATGAAGAGGACGACACGGACACTGCATCGCCTGCAGACCTTCCTCATGCCCAGGATACCAACAGAGAAGATGACACTGATGCTGAAATACAAGAACAGGGACACACGACCCCTCCAACTTCCGTTACGGAGAGTGCGAATGCGTCCGTGAACCCCTCCTTTGATATGCTAGAGTACGACATGACACTCCCTACATCAGCAACAACTGATCCAAGTAGTGACAATTCTGGGAAAAATTTGGAAAGCAACTTGATAGATGAGGGTTTACTCTGGGTTGAATCCGTCAAGGATGAGGATATGGATATCCTATCTCCGGAAATTGAATTTAGCGAGCAGGATACGGACGAAGAGGATGCGATCGCTTCTGTTCCAGACACCACCAGCGAGAAGCAGTTCTGGGCAGAAGATCAAGTGACACAGTCTGGCGACCTTCCTAGACAAGTGCCAAGCATCGAAGAAGCACAGCACATTGAAATGGCTCTTCCTGTTGTGCAAGTACAACGCCCAGAAATATATATGGAGACCAACATCGCATGGTCGGATGCACGCTCCGCATCTCAGCCGACCGCTCTCGCAGATCACGACACTGACGAAGAGCCTGCAAGAAGGGTTACATCGACTTCAGAACAGGTCGCCGAGTTCACCGAAACATCTAATGAGCACGACGCGGAAGCATGGGGCCCCAGCTCCGCCACCGTCAAGAGAACAAGGACTTTACTAAATATGTTTGCAAAAGGAGGCAAAACCTCCAATCAACTGTCAAAAGAAGCTGCACTCTCTCAGGAGCTAAATGAAGTTGACACCCTCCCTGTTCCCCCTACTCACCATCACGAACCGGATATCAACTACGCACTTTCCCCCATCTTTTCGTTACAGGACGGATATACCGGTAACGACATGCTCGCAGACAATCCAGCCACCTCCCCCGTCGACAACATGCCATCCGACACGCAAGATTATCTATTCCAGAAATCATTTGCACAAATCGATGATGGAATGGACACGGATGTAGAAAGCGCCAATGATTCGTTGCAGAGCCCAAGTCCAGCCACCAAACATGGAACTGATGTAGTGGAACGGGTTCCATCTCCTGTTGCGGATATCGCTGTCCAAGAAGCAGAGCAAGCAGCTCCGGTGTCTCCTCTTAAGGAACAAGGTCCCACTGCGACGCATCCTCTATCCCCTTCTTTCTCCTTGGATGGAAACGCACAAGGTACGCTTGAGTCCCCTTCCCCAGTCCCATCCTTCCACCTCGACGAAGCAGTAGACGAACAAGATGAAGACGTCGAGTCTCCCCTTGCTTCTCCCATCGTTGCGACAGGAGAGTTCAACATGTGGCCTGCGGTTGATGCCAATGAGAATCAAGACGTGCAGGAAGGTGTATCGGAACTAGATGAGCATGCGGTGCTTGTCAAAGAATCTGTTGGGCAGGATGAACCTGTTGATATGCCCGTAGAGAAACAGAATGTGGATGTGAATGAGGTACGGGATTTCCAAGAGGATGCAGACTTGAGGGTACCGGTTGAGCAAGTACTTGCGAATGAAACCGTTGTTGCACCGGCTGAAAATATCGACATGGCTGTATCAAAAGACCAACCTGTGGTCACTGAGGAAACCGTCGTGCAGAATGGTATGGAGGACTGGCCGATGCTAGTGGAACCAACTGTAGCTGAGAATGTGCAAGCTGAACGTCATGACAACGACTTGTCGGTACATGAACATCAAAATGCAGATGTGATTGCAGAAATCGTTCCGCAAGATATCTTGGATGATGTGATAGTGCCAGAGGAGCAAGTTGTACCACCTACTGTACAAGACCACAGTATCGACTTGGCCGTAGAGGACTCAACTGTCGATGTGATTGAGGAATCTGTCGTGCAGAGTGACATGGTGGATTGGCCGTTACCAGAGGAACCTTGTATGGATGAGATTGTGCTATCTGAACCGCATGACAACCACTTGTCGGTACATGAACATCAAATCGCGGAAAGCGTTGCGCACAGCGACATGGAGGAAGTTGTACCACTCACCGTACAAGACCACAGTATCGACTTGGTGGTAGAGGACTCAACTGTTGATGTGATTGAAGAATCCGTCGTGCAGAATGATGTGGTGAACTGGCCGTTACTAGAGGAACCTACTATGGATGAGAATGTACTAGCTGAACCGCATGACAACCATTTGTCTGTTCATGAACGTCAAATCGCGGAAAGCGTTGCACAGGCCAGCATGGATGATGTGACAGAGCTACGGGAGGAAGTTGTACCGCTCCCTGTACAAGACCGCAGTATCGACTTGGCTGTAGAGGACGCAACTGTCGATGTCACTAAGGAATCCGCCGTGCAGACTCACATCGTGGATTCGACAGTGCCCAAAGAGCTAATTGTGGATGCGCAAGAATTGGCGCAAGGTGACATGCTAGATTCAATATTCCTCGAAACGCCATTCATGGATGACGTTGAGGAGGATTTGGTAGAAGATGACTCGATGGATTTGATAGTGTCTGACGAGACAGTAGCCGAAACGCCAAGTATGGATGAAAACGAAAATAAGGTCACAGCAGATGACGTGATGGATGGAGCAGGAGAAGATCAAGTGCAAATCGTGCATGAACAAGAGAATGAGGAGCAGGTCAAGGATGACGTTGCCGAGACGTTCCAAGTTTCCACAATAGAGACGGACCTATTACCATTACCTGCTTTCGAACGTGCCGTGGATGAACACACATCACCGGAGAACATACATGAGCATCAATCCGATAATTCCAACGTTCCAGTTACCGTATCCGTCGCAGTGCACAATGAGATACCATCCCAGCCCGACCAAGACATCAAGGAACAAAAAGAACGTCAAGCACGCCCGATTCGAGTCGGTTCCAAAATCCCCTTGCCAAGGCGCTCCATTGATATGCACACGGCACCCACATTAACGTTAACTGTTCCTACCTTGCCCAAACAAGAGGAAGAAGATGAAGAAGAGCATGCAAGTAGTGGGGCGAACCACACTGTCGAACCAAAGTCGCCTATTTCTTCTCTTGTTGTTGAGGAGCCCACTGTCTCATCCCCCCCTATCCCTCTCGAACCCAATAACGAAATCACCGTGGTGGACAATGACACGGAAAAAACAAACGAAATTATCGACACTGAAACCTCTACATCATCCCCCGACCCAACCACCCCCGCAACCACAGCATCCTCAGGTTGGGGTACCCGCATGCGTTCCTACTGGTGGGGCTCACCCAAACCCAATGACTCTGAACCCATCCAACAACAACAACAACAAGAACACCAAAAGCAAGACCAACAACCCACACCAACTGATTCAACCCCCTCCGAATCCCCATTACCCCTCACAACACCCTCCCTCCTCAAAACCCTCGAAACAACCCTAACAACCTCCCAAACCCTCCGCACAAAACCCCCCATCTCAACCCCCTCAGCCGAATCCCTTATCCAAACCCTTCGATCGCATATTCAGGCGATTGATAAGTTGATGAGAGAGGATACGGAGGGTTTGATGGAGTTGATGGAAGCTAAAGTCCGTGTACGGGCTGAATTGGAAGAGTTGGAGGATGTGTTGGGTTTGTAGATAGTCTATAAGTAGTTTTTCTTTTTTTTTATTGTTTTTTGTGCAGTTGTAGTTTGGTTAGGTTAGGTTTTTTTTTTTTTTCTGGTTCTGCTTTTTTTATTTTGTTTGATGTGTGTATGTATGTATGCTTTGTTTTTTGAATATGAGATTACCTTGTGCGATTTGATTGTCTTTTTTTCTTTTCTGGGTTGCTGTTGTCGGACCATGAGCGTACTGTTACGACTATCAACGCTAGACGCCGTCACCTCTCTATTCTTGAACAACCTAGTTGCTGCAAAGATGTCTAGGACCGGACGGACTATGAAACTAAACCTGCATTTAGCTCCTTGACATTTGCGGTTCGATTGCAGTTTTTGTTGATACACTGGCACATCATCACACACAGTAATAGAAATAAAAGGCATGCAAACTCCGGGACGATATGCGCCGTTTCGTTAAAGGAGACTATTCCGTTAGCAACATATATCGAAAACGTTATGATAAGAATTCTCAGCTCCTTCTGACCTTGATTAGGTAGACAGATTTTTGAGATACAGATAGCTCATCACATCCAAAAACGTTCCAGCAAAGGCGCTGGGTTTACCTTGATGGTACGTTTTAATAGGCTGTATAGGCATCGGTCACTCAATACTTTATAGTGAAAAAGGGATGATGATGTCTTTTGTTTCTCTGAACGGGTTACGGTGCTTTATTCGGAAGTGTTCCATTTACGACAATTACGAGTTTGAGAAATCAGGTTTTCCTCCATCTCAGTGAACAAGTGATGTAAAAGTACACCTTGCAGTTGGACGTTCTGTGCACTCCTGTGGGATACACGCAAGGCGAGAGATTCGACGGTCCACCCCGACTTTGCGCCATGACGCCACAAAAAGTTCAGGAACGATTTCCCCTGCATGGACAAATATTGCACATTGCTCAATCCACACGATCATTTGTTGCAGATTCCACACACATTCGCTTCATCATATTACGATGCATAACAACACGTACACACAATTCCCTATGCTACTTCAAGTGTCTATCCTTTTCTATCATCTTCGAACCCGTTTTGACAAATGTCCCTCTTCCGCTCCCGGGCTAGGAAGGAAATCAGGAGTCAAGCCACGTTTCAAGGATACAGCAACGGGGGAGCACGTCCATGTTTCTTGAGGTGGAGTGAGCAAGAAGGTGGCTGTTGGTGCATTTGTTGATGCCGTTGTGGTAGAGATGTTGGTGTGTGATGGTCGCAGGGTATCCTTTTCTTCATGATCGAGCCTGCAAAAGATATCTCGCCCCAACACTGATGTTTGGTCCATGTGCGAGCATTTCCCTTCCAAACTCTCCAGCCACCGACCAACAACCTCCTTGCTTCGCTTTTCTCGCTCTTCCATCAATTGACGTTCCTTGTTCCACTGTTCCCTGACAGTCGCGGCACGACGGTGAACAGCGCGAGACCAGTTGATCCACGTCTTGTTAGCAACAAAGAGATTCCATTCAACAGCTTCAAGAAAGGTCGCCTCGTTTTTACACAATTCGCTAGCGGTCAAACCGCAGATTTTTGCCCAGGCCTTGTTGGAGTAATTTTTATCTTGGAGGTATTTGTTGGCGAGGATGAGTGCAGAAAGAAACATGCGACGGCCGCAGCGGAGGGGAGAGGTCGCGGGAGGGATTAAAGGTGAATCAGCCGGAAGGGTTCGGCGGGAGATTATAGAGTTTCGTAGACGAATTAAATAAAATAGGGCGAGTTGGAGAGTGGAGCAGGATGTGCGGGAGCGCCGCAAGAGTTCTTGAATAACTCGGGAGAGTGGAGCCAATTTGGGTGAGTTGGATGCGTTTGCTGTTACTGAGTGTGCCGTCGCACGGGGAGGCCAAATGGATTCCACGAGAGATGCGGCTGTGCAGACGAGACTTTCAACAAAGTCTGGTTTGCTTGCGAGATACAAGTCTTCCGACGGCAATGTAGGAATGCTCAGTCCTGAAAACACAAATCAAACGTCAACACGCTTGATCGGCTGACACATCATCAAATCACGTGAATCAGGCACATACCTGGCTGAGGTGGGGCTAGAACCGCCTGATGCTTCTGCTGCTGCTGCTGCTGCTGGTGACAGTGGTGGTGGGCGATATGGGCGAGGCGTGTCGTCTCGAGCACGTCTTGTTCAAGGCTTGGCTGATGCTGTGTGTGATGCTGGTGAAACTGTTGATGGTGGTGAATCGAGTGCACATTGTCAATGACAGTTGGTTGAAGTAAAACTCGTGCGGTCGACATATTGGTCGGTAGCGTACTGGGAAGGGCGTGAACGGCAAGAGAAGGGAATGGGCGAGAGAAAAAGGCGAGAAAGGAAAAGACCGAGAGAGGTTTAAAAGAGCGAGTCCAAAAAGGCTGTGGAAGACACAGCCCAATAGACACGGAGAGGGTGCCAAGGAAGTAACTAGTTGGAAAGGGATGAACAAAATCTCTTGCAAGCGATCGAACAAGACTCTAGCCAGTCTTAAAAAGGCCGTGGAAGGACGGCGACTGCGGCGTTCATGGTGACTGCGACTCGAGACACCTGCATCGTCCAAAGTCGGGAAGAAAGGTGTGAAATGGCCAATATATAATCTCGATGGATGATGAAGAAGGGTCAGTCACGATCCCCACCCAACAATGGCACAGTCACGTCAGACGCAATCAATTCAGCCATGAAGTTTCCCCACTTTTAGAAATTTTTTGCCAAAATGATTCATCATTTGAGAGGCTCTGATGGACTGTGCCACTCAGATCCATCCAATCAACGTCTACCTGACTCTTCATTATTACTATATATAGACATACTATATCTATTTATATCCAAATGAGTGGAATTAACCAAGTCCGCCTTTTGCAAAGATTTTGGTCAACATTTCAGGCAAAAATACATCCAGCCGGTCCGGACCTTTTGCGGATATTTGTTTTTTTTTTATTTTTGGCTGTGTTGAAGCTGCATGTGTGATATTTTTTTTTTTGTTTTATAGAGTGTGAGTTCCGGAACAAGGCCAAAGAATGTTGCAGAGCCATGCTATTGTGTGATATCTACAAATTGTTGCCATGTAGGGGGAACATTGTGGGATGGAACTGGGGGAATATCCAAAGTACACAAAACTGGGGGAATATCGTTTGTTTTGCGGGGCCGGGCAGCCAAAAATTCCTGGGCGGGTCATCCAGACGGACATCAGCCGGGCCATCAGCCGGCGGTTATTAGTAAAACAAAAGAAAAGGTACTGCTATACATGTAGGCCAGGGCCGAAAAATTCAAGATAGCCGTCAGCCAAGGCATGTCATCTGCCTCCAATCAAGTATTTGGAGCGGAATTTGAAAAAAGGTGTGCACATTGGGTTCCTATCTCTGCAACATTCTCAGCCAGGCGTTGTGTGTTTTTGCCTGAAAATTGCCTGGTATTTTCGCTGGATATCATGACAAGGCTTGTTGCCCAGTTGGTGAAGCAAGCACACGGGCGACAATCGGCCACGCGAACAATGGCATTTCACACTTTTGGACCCAAAATCCGCGCGCGGTCATCAGGCAGTCAGACTGAATGAAAGGTTGATGGATGATCAGCAAACCTGACATGAAAACTGTAATCTCGCAAGGAGAAAGCTCCCTTAAATTAATTATAGGGTTTGTTTAAACTTTCTGTTCTTTGACCAACCTACAAGGCAACCAATCACTCTGCCCTTTGTCACTCATCCTTCCAAGCAAAAGTGCTATGCTACTTGTAAAACTACTTTTTTTTGTTGTGCTGGTGTTTTTTTTGTTACTTTTCCATCTAACATGCACGCTGCCAAGTCCGGGCTCGCTTAAATGTATCCATCCCACTACCGAATGATGCTGTCCGCACTTTCTGCAGCATTTTGCTTCCAGTTGATTTTTTTTACCTTGGCTCTTAAAATGGAGGCTCAGTACCAAATATTTAAAGGAAAAATACAAACAGTTGGCATAGCTGGATGAAGGGCTAAGGCATCGGATTTACACGTGGCCGTGGAATGAGTTTTGCTCTGCTCATCGGGCACCCAACGCTTCGGCAAGAGTCGGCTTGTACAGTTTTTCTCTTCTTTACAGTTGTTGCATGGCAGGGATCGTCGCTATCCAAGAGTAGGTTAGGACTCAGCCAATTGGTGCACCCAGTTGCTTCCAGCAAGTTCGGCGCGAGATTCCATCTGGGCGAGAGGAGGGATTGTGTACTCTTTCTGCTCGGTACATTCCACAAGTTTCTTAGCGATGCTGCTTGGTAAGGATCACTCCGAATACACGGGTTCGTTTTGATGATTTTTGGATGTGGATGCTCCAGCTAGCGCTGTACCGGCCTTCTTTCAGTGAGAATCTCCCTGCTGTGCTTTTAAGGATAGGTGAGGAGCCCCGCCCATACAATAGTCCGCTCCCGTACTGTATGAGAGGTTGCCTTGCTGAGCCTAACTAGTGCGACAGGGAGTTTTTTTTTTTAATATGCTCCTTGTCCTCCTTTGCCGCGCATTGCTGGAGATGTTCCGGCCGTCGTATTGTTCATGACAAATCACTCAGCCGTGTGTGCTTGAACGGTCCCTTGGAGTCGGAAACGAGCGCCCTATATGACTACGGAGTGTACTACTAGTAATATCTGCAAGTCTCCCAATGTCATCCTTTTCATTCCGGAAAGGAACCCCCTTTCATTCCAGCTCAGTACAAGCAGGAGGTATCAATTAATTGTGACAATATCTTAACAAGTCATGTCAATTTTCATTTATCATCACACCAGACGCACACAAATGGGATGGCCCTCCGGCTTCCGGACCTGGATTAACACACACTATTTCTACTTCATCTTTACCCGCCGAAATCTCCTCAACGACCGGGTAGTGCGGTCTGAACCATAGCGATAAATACACCAATCCAAGCAAAACAGGTACTTCTATCAGTGGACCAATCACTGTTGCAAGAGCCTCTGGCGAATCGATGCCAAAAGTCGCAACGGCCACAGCAATGGCAAGTTCAAAGTTATTACTCGCCGCCGTGAATGACTGCGTGACAGCTGTGGGATAAGGCATGCGGAAATATGCACAAGCAAGAAAGGCGAGCGCAAATATGATGCAAAAGTATAGTATGAGTGGCACGGCCACACGCAGGACTCCGTTTATATCGTCAATAATGCGGTGCCCCTGGAAATAACGTGAACCTGTTAGCAGGAAGGCAGTGAAAAGACATCTTGGTCTTCAGCGTACCTGAAGAGCAAACATGACCACAATAGTAAACAGTAAGCCAAGCAGACTGGTGGGACCAATCCACTTGAGAAACTTGCGTTGGTACCAAGTTTCACCGAGAAGCCCTCGGCATAAATGACACAGTACAAATCGGGTAAGAAATCCAGCAAGGAGGGGAATCCCGAGGAAGATCAGAACGCTCCTTGTCACTACGTCGAAAGAATGTTCACAAGATTGTAGTAACCTGTCAACCAAAATCAACAAAGACTCTTACCTAGCCACATATCAATGTCAATCGAAGAGCCTTTACCAACGATGACCGTGTAGAAGTATGCCAATGGGCCATATAAAAGAACTTGCAAGATGGAATTTAAGGCAACCAGGACGGCACACCATTCCCGATCCCCGCCAGCAAGCTCATTCCAGATTAACACCATCGCAATACATCGTGCAACTCCCACCAAGATCACACCAGTACGGTATGCGGACAAATCGGGTAGAGTTGCCCAAGCCAGCGCAGCCATCAAAAGAGGAGCCAAGAGCCAGTTGAACAGCACCGACAAGGCCAGGTTGCGGAAAACGCCCGTAGTTTGAAAGATTTTGGAAAGTTTCTCATATTGTACTTTGCTAAAAGGCAAAAGAACGGTCTCAGAAACTCCCAATTGATAACATTAACCGCTGCCGCTCCAAAATCTACCAAAAAACTGGGTACATCATCCAAAGAAGTCCAAGTGCAATAGGTAGGGAAACGTCCGCAATAGTACTCGAGTTCAGAACAGTCCTAACGGAAGGAACAAAATAACCCAAAAGAACTCCGAGGGCCATTGCTGTAGCAGAGCGTGTCAGAATGTCAGAGCAATAATCATTTGGCAATCCACAGAGGGTACAAACAGAGAATAATCCATATCGGTAAGAGCCGATCAAGCCAAGAGAGTTGGGATAGGACTGTTTGATTTTCTAACATGCTGCTTAACGTTGGCTGGTTTGACAAGAAGAGAACTCAGTGTCGAAGAAACGAATTCACCGTATAAAAAATCCCAGCACAATCATACGCAGCTGTGATGTGAGCAGCAAAACAAGATGATTGGCTAGCGGGACTGCTTACGGCATGGACAAAATGTCGTTCCTACGCGTTACATGTTCTGTCCTGGACAGAAGCAAAAAAACGGGTTTGATTGCAAAAGGGTTAGTGTTTGGAAAATGGTAGAGCTAAATCCAGATCTCATCCGTGAATTGCTATAGAAAATAAGAAAATAACCCATCCACCTGGCTTTGGTCATACTTGACTGCCATATATTATGGTTGGATAAAAAACCATGGCCCTTTTTCTCAAAGGGGAATGAAATTGAGAGCCTATATATAGCGTCAGAGCAACATGAACCATCCCAGAGCAACGACTGCCATCAAAGGGATGTTGATCATCAATCGACCACTGCCAGACACAGAACCAGGCGGCAATTTGGTACCTTCTTCGAACGATCCAGGTACCGTCGTGGTCGGCTTGGTCGATGATCCAGATGAGGTGGCAGTAGAGGAAGGGGTGGTGGACGCTGGCGGAGTAGAAGAGGCTGGAGCGGTAGAAGATGCCGGTTTACTGGTGCTGGCGGTACCTCCGGGGGTTGACGTCGGAATAGCCTGGCCTGGATAACTCAAAATCATTAAAAACACTACCACACTTCCACACAGCATCATACACAAGTCTCAACTCACCAGGACATAAAAACATTTTGTTTACATAGTCGTACGATTTAACAATGGTACAAGCTCCAGTAGCATCCGGGCAAAATCCATTCCTTGATACATCATCACCACCAATGCACTGACATTTACAGTTTTGCCAAGTGCCTTGTACACAGCCTCCTGATGGGGGCGCATTATCGCAACCTGTCCCTGGAAGAGTTTGGTTTGTTGAAGCTGGAACGGGGTTGGATGGGGAAGGGTTCTCGACTGGACAAAAGAAGCAAGTATCGGACGAGTACAAGCCGAGGTTGCAGCGGATGGTGAGACCTTCGTCTGTTTGACCATCTAGATACCCGGCGACAAGAAATGAGTACCCTGCTTCATACCCCAATAGCATTCTTTACACGTACTCTGATTATCATCTCGCCCATTGCATGTTTCCTTTGTCACTGGGCCAACAGTTTGTTCCGGACATTGGACAGCGGGAGAAGTTCCAATCTTATCCAATCCCACCGGGTTCTGCATCCATGTCAGTAGCTCTTCAACTGTAATGTACCACACTTGGTTGTTGGTGTAATCCCGTGTCCATTGGATAAAATTATTGAGAAGGGCAACACGGTCATTATCGGGATCCTGAAGAAACCAGGCGGGGTGCATCCTAGAAAGAGTTTAAAATCCAAGTATTTGATATGAAAATCATTCTCAATAGCGCTGCTTACCATAACCCCATAGGCGTTCTCGTACTCTCCCAATGTAATTTAAAGTTGTATTGAAGGAGCTGCATCAAAAAGGCTGGTGTTCCAGGCGGATCCATGACAGTGTATTCCATCCCTGTACTCTGGTCTACCAGTGAGTACATAGGGACTTCCCACAAACCCGGAAACTTTCTGGTATAATCGCAATCGCCAGTTTCGCTATGTCAAACAAACAAATCAGTAACCCTTCAAAAAACCCAAACTCATTAGCACGGCCTACCAAACATAGGGAAACCCGTTATCGTAAGTAAATGGCCACGGAGCCGTTCTAGGATCGGCTGGATTTGAACAATCGTAAAGGATTTTTAAATCTTGAAGAACTTGATAGGTGCTCATGTTGTATTGCAGATACGGCGCGCGAAAACCTGTTATGCCATCGACGCCAGAGAATGCTCTGAGTGCCTTTCGGCATCCGTCAATTTCGTCCAAGCCGGCGTTTCCGGGATGCGTCATGGTATGAATCGCAATCTGTTAAAGCTTAATCGTCAATATGCGCGGTTTTTTGTCACCCTAATGGCATGTCCTATAAACCTCATGTCCCGCGGCCTTTAACATTTGCACTAGATGATAGTCCGTATACATGGTCGAAACATAGTAGGTGGCATCCATTCTACACCCGTTTGGGTTTTTGGAGGTTGTCACGGCCGTGGAGAGAGGGTATGTAACGGTATTCACAGCATCATCAAAAGTGAGCAATACAAATTGAGGGGTACTGATATGGACATAATTGGTTAAAAAGCAAAGACTCAACAGAGTGACAAGCATTCAAAGTCTTACTTGGAAACCGAAAGGCCACCTGGGGGCATTCGACTCGGACAAAAGCAATTCGGCAGTTTGCATACTGTTGGATCGCAGGTATATCCGACCGTCCCTCCATCCCTCCTCACCGGAGTAACAGCACGTCGCTGTCGAACGGTTGGAGCACGACTGGGTGTAAAGTACTGGTAAGCGGCAATAATAGCTATCATTCACACACTCGTTAGGAACGCTTAACGTGCAACAATGCTCTTCCTGTTCACTTGGTTTACATATACCTGTGATACTCAATCCAGCCAATACAATCTTGGACCTCCATGAGGACTGCCGAGTAGGTTGGTTGGCAGGGACTGATGCCGCGGTTGATGTCCCGGGAACAGTTTTACGACGTCGAATCGCTGTATCCATTATTTTCTTCCTAGTATTGGGCAATGTACGAGGCAGAACATCCAACACTTTTCAGCTTTTTATAAACCAGCTTATCTAACCAGTGTGCAGGACCACGCGCTCCTTCCCTCAAGCGGTTGTTACATCATTCAGAGCTATTGTTTTTTGTGGGGAATAGTCCATGAACTGAGAGAAAATAGGATAAATGCCTTTCCAAGGGGTCAATGCCTACACACCCCCAGTACAAGTTTCCTCGTTTTCCGTAAACCCCTTTCTCCCTGCTACTAAATATTGGAGACGGTTGCTTCGTTAAAGTTTTGAAAGTTTGGCAACAAGCACCGGAAGAGTATACTAGTGTATCCGTCATCTAATGATTTTGTCAGAGTCACAATGTTTGTTCATTAATCCAACTTTTGTGAAAAAGATTTCTCGAATGTTTGCAAACATGCAGTGTATGTGATGCTTGGGCCAACATTGACCCACTGGGCTTTAATTTCACGAGTCTCAATACTTTGTACTTCTTCTCACTTGACAATGCGGTCTAATGGAAAGGGCCATGAGGTTCCCCAATGTGTTGAGGGAGGAGCATAATCCAAAACTGTTCGGGCACGTCGATCATTCAAGTCTTTTCTCTGGCGGTAACACTTGGATTGCCAGCTGCGATCAACACTTTTTCATGCAGTATATGGTTGCCAGAATGGAAAACTCACATCCTATTAACCATTCTCTGACTCTTTGTAAAATCATACATGTAGCGTGCTGGAACGTCAGAAGAGCAGCCTTCAGCAGCACTGCGGAGTTGTTTCAAGTCACGCTGACCAAAGCTATTTCATTCGAACCGGCGGCAGACAGGCTTATAAAAGGAGGTCCGACCTCTCGCTTTCTCGCCTTTTTTCTTTTACTCCCCCACTTTTCCGCATTCACTACATCATGCAGAAACACATTCTTGGTTTATACACTCCCGTTGTTGTTTTTGCCGCTGTCTGTACTGGGTGGATACTAGCTGAACGTGGTAAACAATCTTTTCCTACAACTTGAATATATATCGAACTACCAGAACAATGTACGAGGATAGTGATTATGACGACCGAGGAAATAGAGGGGACTGGCGATTTCCTTCTCCCCCGCCTTCTCCACCATACGAGCCGAATTGTTTAGTCGCTACGGATGTCACTAGACAAGTGACAGAGGATTCGACGGGAACATCCGTATCCGACCAAAACGCACCCCCATCGCCCCCGTCTTCGCCATGCTCGTTTATTTCACACTCTCGATGCTCGCGAAGGAACTCGGACCTCCCTCTTTGTCGGCTCCCGTCTCCAATCTCCCTAACTTGTCTAATAGACGGTATGGACATCAGTGACGATGAACCTCCATCCAACTCTGCCCATACCTCCTCCAAGGCCTGTTGGCCTGCGAATATGCCCGCCCTTTGCCTATATACAATTTGCAACTACCTTTCTCTATCGGATCTATCACAATTTTATTGCACCTCCCGGACCATGCACAACTCGCTCTCATCTCTGCGTCCCAGTATCCTTTCACAGCGATTACTCCAAGGTCGGCATTTATCCGCGGACCTATTTGCTGCATTTATTTCGGGACATTCACCATATAGTCATGTCGCAAGGGATCCACAATCTTTTGGAGGTCGTAGCAAAGTGTACGCACGTCTACGTCGTGATCAACACGTGGTGGATGCCTTTGTTGGGGCGCTAGTAGGTTGTGTGTCTATGGCTAGGGCAGATGGAACGTGGACATTGGGACGTAGGAAGGCACAGCTTGATTCCGGAGGTGGCGCGTTAGTCGATCTTTGGGACGAAAGTGTGGCACGCATGGACGCCGTCCGAGCACTCCTCCTTCTCTGGCCCATTGTTGACGCCGTCAAGCGCGCCGCAGAATCCATAGTCCCACCATCCTTGCCTCAACCCACAAGCACCCTTGATCGTGACCCAACATCCCCGTCTCACTCGCTACTCTTACCTCAAACCCTTCTCAACACCGCTCATCTCGGTCTCGCCGCTTTCCCTACCGACGCACTTCAACTCACTTGGTACATCTCCTACCACGCAGCTCGACAAGTCGTCTCGCGCTTTCAATTGGCTGGATGGACGTCTCCCAACTATCACGAAGGCATGATTGGCCCACTATTATTCTCAGGACGGGACAAGTTGACAGATATGCTTGGTTCAGAAGATGATGCACTAGTGTGGGACTGTGTCGGGGAGTTTGAAAAGTGGATGGCAGTCTTTGGGGGATGGTGTCCTTTAAGGGGCGTATTGGAGAATGAGCTTTTGGCAAGGCAATGAAAATAGGAATTAATTTGGGATTTAATCTTGCTGTGCGTTCAGAAATTGGTTTTTTTTATTCTGGTAAATGGTTGCTTGTTCATTTGCTACTCTTTCCCTCGAGCGAGGTTTTATCAAACCTCGAGGATGGGATTTTAATAATATCGTATAGGAGCCCAAAGCATCGTGTCACTTGGCTATTTTAGAATGCAAATGCAATAATAAAAGGCACTGAGAAAAAGAAAACAAGAGGATAGAGCACAAAAATCTATGGTTTGTCTATACAAAAAATCACGAAAAGTATCTACACAAAAAGTACAACACACCATCTCTAAACCACAAAAAAAAACATTACTACTCTAATCAGCACCTTCTTCACCCACTTTGATAACTCTCACAAATACCTCCTCCAAACTAGTCTGAGTAACCCCCCAATCACAAACCCCATTTCGCGGGCCCCCCACTGCCATAACCTCGAAAACACGCGCAATATCTCCATCAAACTCTGGAGTAAAGATATAAGACACTGTCGTGGAAAAGGTTTCCAATTTTTGCCACGTTCCAATGGCTTCTTCATATTCCGCTGAGGATTTGAGCGTACCCCATTTCGCTAGTTGACGGCCGGGCAGTACCTCGCCTTCAACAAACGCACAGGCTCGGGCCAGTTTTGAGGTGGTTTCGGATGTTATAAACAGCTTGAAACCCGAGCCGTAGAGCTGCTTGAGGCGGAGTTGGGGCCCAAGACATCGGAGAGAGCCTTTAGACATGATGCCGATTCGTTGGCAGCATACTTCAGCTTCCTCCATAGAATGCGTTGTCTGTGTCACGTCGGGAGAGTTAGTGGAACTGCGGTTCAGAAGGTAAATGCTTGTACACATACCAGCACAATCGTCTTGCCGACTCGAGCGGAATTGATAATGTTCCATATGACACGTCTAACCTCTGGATCCAAACCGGTCTAAAAGCCAACAATGAGAAATTAGTCACTAGAACCAAATCTGGAAATACTATGCGGAACTCACCGTTGGCTCATCCAGAAACACAACTTTTGGATTTCCTACAAGCGCAATAGCAATGCTCAACCTTCGCTTCTCTCCGCCACTCAACCCCTTCACCAATCTCTTGTCATAACCCGTCAGCTTGACAGCCTCCAAACTCGCCGCAACTGCCTTGGCTTCGTTCTTCGCCGGAATGCCCTTCAACCGCGCATAGAAATAAATGTGTTCATCTACGGTCAGATCCTCCCAGAGGACATCAAATTGGGGACAAACACCAATCATTTTGTACACTTGTGATGTTTGGGTCGCAATATCGTAGGAGGCGAGGGTTGCCTTGCCGGATGTTGCAGAATAGAGGCCAGTCAGGATTGATATGAGAGTCGTTTTGCCCGCGCCATTGGGTCCGAGAAGACCAAATACAACGCCTTCTTCGATGGCGAGTGTAACGTCTTTGACAGCTATTTTCGGAGTCTTGCGTCCGTTACGAGGCGCATAGGCTTTTCGCATGCCTTTCATCACTAGCGGACAATCGGCGCGATACTCGTTATTATAAACTCGCTTTCGCTCCATTCGAACATCCTCATCCTCATCGTCAGATCCAATATCGACGGCCGAATTGGGTTGAGCCGTGGACGAGCTTCCCTTGGCTTTCTTGGATTCCAAAAAGGACGTAACTGGGAAATGCCACGGTCTGCGGATTCCAAATTCGGAGGGAAGGACTTGGTTCAGATATGCAGCTAACCCCATGAACACCACAGTCTCAACGGCCATAAAGATCATAGCAGTGAAGACCTCATCACCCACTGTGACATTGTCGAGCGTATAAGGCTAGAGTGTTGTTGTTAGAGATTATATGCGAAAAACTCGCGTTCCATCATATCCGCAACTCACCCTTCTCTTCCCAGAAAAGGACGCATTATTGATCACTCCCAGACATCGGTAAAAGGCAAAAGGAGGCCACAAAAAGAACCCCGCTGGAGCACTCTTATCCGCAAACAGCTGATCCGTAACGAGGGATATAATCACGCCGCAAAGAACCGTAAGGAACACCATTACTGGAATACCGCCATGTAAGATTCTCTCAACCACAGTAAATTAACGGTATGAATGGGACTCACCAAGTGCATTCCGACTCTTGCTGAACAAACTTGCGAAAAAGAAGGCCAAAGCAATTTGCACAAGACCCCACAATAGGAACAAGATAACCAGGACTGAAAATTCGGTTCGAATAAACATGTCTAGACGCGCGGCAACGCCCGATACCAAAAATATTGTGGTCGATAGGATATAAAGGACAAAGAAGGTCACATAATGCGATAGATAGTAGATTCCGGGTCTAAGACCGTTCTGGATAAGAGTACGAATTGAGTCATCCATGAGAAAACAGTGAGTCCATTGCGTTTCACGTACCATACGCATCATCATCAACACCCTGTCCTCCTTCTCACGAACCAGCACAATCGTAAAGATAGGCAACAGGAACGACACTCCAAAGGGGTACAGAATCCTTCCAATCGCCCCACTGATGGGAAGTTTAATCTTTCCATCACTCAGTTGAGGAAACAGACGCGTGCCTTGAGTGATCACCGTAGTTCCCAGAGCTGCCGGATTGCTGAATCGTAGAATAGCATTTGACAGCTGTGACAGCTGAACAAGCTGTCGTCGTCCAGCGGTAGGATAGCCAGCAGCATTAGACAACCGTGAGTCCGTGCCCATAGCCATCGTGTACGCATAGTTTTTCGTCGGATGGTTCAGGTTGGTGAAATAGACATACCCATATGGCATGTCAGATGAAACACGAATCACATCCTGGAAGAACTTGATAACATCAGCGGAGGATGGTGCGGTATCGAAAATCACGTGTTTGTCCAATCCAGCCAAGTTCTGCAAGACTTTGTTTAATCGTTGTCCAAGTTCCGCGTCTAGTTGGGGCACGGTGCCAAATGCGGTTGGGTTGAGCTCGAAGTACGGAACCTGTTGTAAGCTCTTGAGAACCAGGGCATTCACATCCACATCCACAAACCAACGCGGCTCAATTGTGTCTAAAAGACCATTTGCGGAGGTCGCAGGCTTAAACATGGGAACCTCCGGTCCGCCGCCAATAGTTTTAGGAATCTGATTGAGGTTTGTCAAGGGCGGTTGCTGCGGTGCACTGCCAATATCGGCCGGGTTTACATTTGGGGCGGCTCCGACAAGTGCCCAAGGTCGCATTTGATACTGGGCGAATGACCGCGCAAGACTGTCGAAAGTCGAGGCAGAAACAAGGAATAAGTATCGTAGTAAGCATGCCATATATTGTCGTGTCTTACCTGACTGCCTGTCGTAGAGCCGCTGGATCCGCCAAAATCTGCGGTGCCAAAATGTCCAACCAACCACTGGACACTTCGGATGTGTACGCACTAAAAGAAATGGGAGAAAATGCGGTACTTAAGTAAAGTATGCCAAGGTTTAAACTGTTCTCGCGTTGCAACACACCTGTCCTTGATTGCATACGCATTCTGCTGCTTCCTGAGAACCCTCTGGTAGATATTTTGATCATCCCTCGGATATGCCTCCCCAAACCAACTCACGCACGGTGTCTCCGTCACCAAATCTTGGGCACTCCGTGTGGTTGATCCAGTAATATCCAAGTCTGCAATCGCCAACAATATCACGCTGAAGAAGTTGACGTGTTTGGTCACACGGGACGTCCGGGGAACAACTCCTGGTGTCGTATTGAAGATACCCGGCGAAGTGAAGTTGAATATCGGCCAGTTTTGCTCATTTACTGACACACGATCGGAGCAGTAAACAATGTCAAACCCGCGATCCTGGTTTCTCACAATGTTGGCAATGACGAATCCGACAATGCTTGACACCAAAACCATGATCAATGGACACAATCCAATACAGCAAATGTTTGTAAACCACTGACGCCGCTGGAAACTTAGTGCCTTCCTCGCAAGCGCTCGCACTTGATATGAGGAACGCTTGTCGGGAGGCCCAAGGTTGATAGACGCTGGATTTGTTTGTGCCGAGACTACAGATGAGGCAGACGAAGATGGGATCAGGTGTGTTTGACTATTTGCATGTCGAAGGCGATAGTCAGTCCGCTGACCTTGCGTTTGCCGAGTTTTTTCCATGGGCCTTTGTTGCATGGAAGGAGCCGATGCAGGCTGATTCCTGTACTGGGATGGCTGCGGGGGTTGCGGTGGGGATTGTTGCGGGGGTTGCGGTGGGGCTTGCTGTGGAAGACTCATGCTTTGTGGAGAGGTTTGGGAAGCTCCTTGAGGGCGCGTATATGTCCATGTATTTTGCGCAGGTTCGACATAGGCCGCGCTAACAGGCATCGGCATCAACGTTGCTGGCCCTGGCGGTGGCTGCGTAGGTCGTACCGCAGGCGCTCCTTGATGATATCCATCCACATACATTGGATAAACAGGTCCGTGCGGTACAGGAGCTGGATAGAGTTCGTAATGTGATGGCGCTTGCTGTTGCGCGCCTGCATGCGGTTCACCGCTCCCAAGCGCATAAAAACCTTGAGATGACAACTGCTGCTGGTGTTGCGGCTTTGGACGAGCCGTTGGGTCGCGCGTAGGGTACATTTCATAGGTTTGCATGCGTTGAGGTTGAGGCGGTCCTCGCGCATACCGTTCATCTAACGGTTGCATTTCTCAGACCAATTGCCCCCCTCGAAAGACTTTAACTCTCTGACGTCCGAGACAAAACAAGACTGATAAAACCTTGTAAGAAAACGACCAGATGCCCCGTTCTAAACGTTCGACGAGAGCCAACCAACACTACAAAGAAAGTAGGAGATAAAAAGGAAACTTGTCAAGTGTGATGTCGCGCGCGCTGCATTGTCCCCCTTCCCAACTTACTACTGCGCAAAACTCCAATACTCTGTGGGAATATTCCCTTCTTAAACAAAAACCCACAACGGCAAACGCGCCGCATCCATTTGCGGTTTTGGAAAGAAGATTTTTGTGTTTCAAGAAGAGGTTTATTATGATTTTCACAGCCACCCATAAGTGTTCTTTATTTACGGGGATTGTTTTTTAGGATGCGACGAGACTTGGCGAGTTAATGAATTGTGGGTTCCTTCCAGCAGTTTTTCACTGCTTATACTACTACTACTACTATTCCAAATCCTTTACCTTGACCCTCGGAACCACATTCATACTCATCAACTCCTGGAACAATAATTTACAAGCATATGGTATCTTCACCTTGACAACCCCACGGCGACTCTTGCAATAGTTGCAATATCCATGCCAGCCACCCACAAGCCCACAGTCGCCACACATTTCACAATCATAAGCATCAGAACTGTACAAGAGTCGCTCAATGAGAAGCGCCGCTGTACCGTGTCCGATCAAACAATCGCGTTCCATCTCTCCTACTCGGAGACCTCCATCTCGCGATCTGCCTTCGGTCGGTTGTCGGGTAAGAACCGCACGAGGACCCCTGTATTGAAGTCACAGTTAGCACCAGGTTTTACTAAATTGGACACAAAAAAAAACCTTACTTTGAACGAGCGTGCATCTTGTCCATCACCATGTGCTTCAGCTTCTGATAATACACTGGTCCGAAAAAGATGTAGGCTTGCAATGGCTCGCCAGTGATACCCGATGTTAGATAATCCTTGCCAGAATAGCTGTATCCGTTCTCAATCAGAATTCGAGACATATCATCGACTTTACTCCCGCCGAAAGCCTGAAGTGATAAACAAGAAATTTAACAGGAAGCCTACCAAGAACATTGTCAAATGTGCTCCCCATCTTACCGTTCCATATTGCAGCTGCCCAGCTAAAACCCCTGCCTTGCCAGCCAACAACTCAATCATCTTCCCGACTGTCATACGTGATGGGAAACCGTGAGGGTTCATAATGATATCGGGAACAACTCCATTGTCTGAAAATGGCATGTCTTCTTGTTGAACGATGATACCGCAGACACCTTTCTGTCCGTGACGGGACGAGAATTTATCCCCAAGCTCCGGTCTTCGTGTTTGCCGGATGCGAACCTTGACCAGAGTCTGATCTTCTTCATTGGTTGTAAGTAGAACCTTTAATGAAAAAGTTCTAGATGAATAATTAACCGTGTATAGAGCCACACCAGAGAAACCTACCTGATCAATGACAGCGTCACCTGGGTATTTAAAGCTAGTCGGGGCAGACTTGTACTGGACCGCGGTTGGATCTGCCCCCATGAAATGCCCATGCTCTCCACCTTCCGTCGCAGGCGCAACACGTGGAGCGGTTTCGACAGGACTTTGCTTATTGATAACGATCTGGCCAGTATACACTCGTTCCCCTACGCCGGCGATACCATCGTCGTCCAAAATGTCGAATTTCTCAAGAACGTTGCCATGCTCATCTTCACCCCGATCTGCGAGTCGGTCATAAGTTTGATTGGGGTACGACTTGATCATTGTTGAAAACTTTCGCATCACTTGGCATCGACCGAATCCTCGATCGACAGAGGCCTGTTGACAGTATTTGTTAGATCAACACCTCGCAAGTAATATGGCTGTTGTTATATTTACCTTATTCAGCACTAGAGCATCCTCAATATCATATCCACTGTAACTCATCACAGCCACCGTTGCATTTTGTCCAGCAGGCAGTTTATCATACCCAATCAATTCTATAGTTCGTGACCGCACCATCGGCTGTTGAGGATACACCATTAGATACAAGAGGGTGTCGATGCGTGTGAGTTGGTTGTAGGAAATAGCTCCAATCGCCTGTTTACCCATAGCGCATTGGTACGTGTTACGTGGCGATTGGTTATGGTGAGGGTAGGGAATCAGCCCCGCAACAGCTCCCAAAACGGTAAAAGGTGCGATTTCCACATGTGTCGTGTTTGGTAAAGCCAATGCGGTATCCGCTCGAGAGTCGACTACCTTCCCAAAGAGTTGGTCCGGATTATACACGATATCTTTATCGTACATGGCAATATCCGTGTCCGTTTCTTCGTTAACATCGAGATATTCGACTTTGCCTTCCTCAATCAAATCCTCAAAGGTCTTTACACCTTGAATGATAGATTTTACATCCTTATCTGTCACCAGGCTCTTCCCTTTATCAACGATGATGAGTGGTCGACAGACACGACCACCATCGCTACTGATATTCACAGTTCGCTGTGTCACGGTACGATATACGGAAACAAAAGGTCCCACTCTCCCAGCGCGGCGCAATCGCCGGAAATCCTTTACAAACTTTTCCGGATTTCGGTGAACACCAAGGATAACACCGTTCAAGAAAACCAAATACGTGTTTTCCTCATACAAGTCTCCTCCAGTAAGTATGTTGATATCCTCTACGCCCAATATGAATGCAAGACGTCTAATCGTCGCATCGTCAGAATCGGTGGTGATGTGCGTCATCAGAGCCAGGTTCTTGATCAAACCACAAGCTTCACCTTCGGGGGTATCAGAAGGACAGATGACACCAAATTGCGAAGTCTAACAAATAGAGATATCTTGCTGTTATTAAAACATTTTGCGTGAAGCTACGGTTTAGTACCTACTTGAAGAGCACGAGGGCCAGAAACTTTGCGTGTCTTCTCAAACTGACTGCTGATACGAGTCATCATTCCAAGAGCTGAGACGTAACTCAGTCGAGAAAGAACCTGCGTAACACCAGCTCGCTCCATCTTGAAACGTTTGACATTCCAATTTCCGGATGAAATGGCACGGAAAAGTCCATCAGTAATGAAGCGGGAGGTTTGAGCGACTGCAGAGACGGCATCGTATTGTGAAGTTCGGTTGGATCGTTTAAGTTGTGTGTCAATGGCACGCTTGATATTTGCTTGCCATGATTTGAATAAATCTTCAAAAAGAAGGGATAACAGCTGGCCTGCACTGGTCGGCAAACAATCGGTCAGCTACATTTAACCACGTTTCATATCCTCCTGCTGACACTCACAGTTCCAGTCGCTTATTTCCAACAAAGTCCCGATCATCCACAATACCGCCGTCCTTAACCGCCTGCAGTGTTCGACGAACCATCAAAGCAACATACACAGCCTTCGGTCGAAAGTTCCATTGACCATTCACATCCTCCACTGGGACGTGTGCAAGAACTGTTGTCGCGAGAAGATCTCGCGCCTCCTCGAAATAATCTCTACGCATTCCAATTCTACTTTTTGCTGTAGTGACTTTCACCTTTCGTCCCAACCAATCCAGTGCTTGACGTTGTGTGTGGACTGATGGGTCCAATAATGCAGACTCCTCCAGTGATGGTGAGAATAACTCTAGGAACTTTTCATCATCGCCACAAATCAACTCGGCAATTTCCCGATCAGATTCAATTCCCATTGCTTTCATCACAACCACCACTGGCACTTCAGTTATGAAACTGTTGTGCTTCATTGTCACTCGTCCGGTTTTGCCGTAGACTACGTTGGTTTTACTCTTCTTTTCGTGCGTAGAACTGGTTACGGCAGCGTTGATAAAGCCCATCCGATCTGTTTCTACAATGATTCGGTTCTTGGACAATTGCTCCTGGATAAGAATGACCTTTTCCACACCCCGAATGACAAAATATCCACCTTCAGCGGAATATAAGCACTTGCTAGCCATGAATCAAATCAGAGTACATGAACACCTACCTGGATCCAAAGGGCACTCCCCCATTTTGACCATGTCCTCGGGCGATTTGCCAGTAAGAACGCATCGATTACTCCTCAACATAATTGGCATGCGTCCGACTTCAATGCCCCTCTTCTTCACCAACTGCTTGCCCCGAACATATTCGATGTCGACTAGAATTGTACCAGCATAGGATATATCCCGCAATCGACATTCATGTGGAGTCAATTCATATGTGACTCCCTTGCGCGCATCGTAAGCCTGGGGATACTTGACTCGGATATCCCGGAACCTATCAGGATGATACGATCATCTTAGAACTCGGTAATATGTCGCAAAGCAGGCATATAATGTCATACTTTAGCCAAAAAGTGGGATCTACATCACTATCCACCTTGGCATTCGCCAGCAGGATCTGTTTCATTTCGGTTTCTATGAAATAATTGAACGAATCGACGTGCTGCTTGATCAGACCCTTTGTCTGGAGGAAGGCAGGGACAAGTCTCCATTTGTCCTAGAAAGGAGCAGAGTCAGTAAATATGCTCAGTGTTCCTGGTAGTGATATCTGCAGCAAGTACCTCGGCAGCTGTGATAGGATCGGTCAGCTTTTTGCCATTGTATCTCAAGTCATCCCTTGCCATTGTGTCCATTTCAAAGATGGAGCTTCCCTTCCCTCTACCAATTGGCTCGCCCACTCCTGCCCTCCCACCGCCGTTAACAGCGTGTGGAGGCATTTTGCAACCTCTCTGTGCAGATCCTCACTCTGTCAAATAGGTTACTCGTCAGGAAATACAATATAACTGCCCGAGAAAAGAAGAAGGATTCTTACCACAAGATCTGAAATATGGAAAGGGCTTACAAGCCAACTTTTGGTTTCGACTTTGAATCCTCAGTGGGGCAACAACTTGACGAGAACTGCGAAAATGCCGCACAGGCTTCCGACTTCTGCCCAAACTTGACAGGCTCAGGGTGTACAAGACAGCAACAAAGATACCTACTGCTGTAGCAAGCGATATATGCCCCAAAAGACGCTAAAAAAACTTCAAATGTTGTCTTGCACAGGCATGTTGAAATGCTTTCATGGTCAAGAACGATCTTCGCTCATGAATTGTTTTTGGTAACTATAGCAACTAAGCTCTACTGCGCACAGTCATCGCGTCATCTTTTTGTTGATATCGAATTTCCACACCTTATTTTTCTTACTTGGCGTTTCCCGACTGGAAGACGCCTCCGGTGCTGCGGGAAATGCTCACAAGCTAACTTGAACCTGCGATCCTCACGCAGCGACAACTCTCTTCCTGTCTCATGCGGAAGGTGGTGGTAGAGGAACAGCGATATTAGTATGGAGGCTCCTCCAAGTGGGGCCGCGACGAGTTCACCCTCCACCGCTACGAACTTGGCACACATGGCTGCACCGGAGGTGAAACTAAAGAAGGAGACGCCCGTTGCTGATTTCCTGTTTGGCTCAGTATGCATAATGCATGTACACAGTTCATAAGAGGTCGATGCCTTACACCTTCTATTTAATAGGTCGCGGGCATGGTTGGAATGCTGTTCCAGTTCCCATTCGATACCATCAAAGTACGCCTGCAATCTCAACCCTTGTCCAAGGAGGGAAGAGGGACATTATTTCGTGGTCCACTGGACTGCTTTCAACAAGCTGTAAGAAAGGACGGTTCCTTAAGTTTGTACAAGGTAAACCGATGGAAATTCATATATAAATGGCCTGGCGGTTCCTGATGATTATCGACAGGGGCTTTCCGCGCCTCTTGTAGGATCGATGCTGGAGAACTCGGTTCTGTTTGTAGCTTTCAACCACATTCAATCGATAATACGGGAGTTTTTGAACAAGGACGTTGGTGAACCGCTGAATCTGGGTCAACTTGCGGTTTCTGGATTTCTCTCGGGCGCTGTAGTGTCATTTGTGTTGACCCCTATTGAATTGGTGAAGTGCAAGCTGCAAGTTCAAGATGTGCTATATTCGAATCTCTCCACTAGTTCCGTGGGTACAGAGGATAGCAGCCGAACGCGTCGGGTACCTTTTCGCGGTCCTGTAGGTGTTATTACACAAACCATCCGAGAACATGGTTTTATAGGGCTTTATCAAGGTCATCTAGCCACGTTTATCAGAGAAGCAGGAGGCGGTGCGGCTTGGTTTGGCGCGTACGAAGTCATGGTGAAGTACTTCATCAACAGATCGACCAACCCTGCAGTTAAAACAAAGGAAGACCTATCACCATGGCACATAATGGGAGCTGGTGCTGTGGCTGGAATGGCATATAATGCAACGTTATTCCCTGCCGACTGCGTCAAGAGCCGGCAACAAACGGCAGAGGGGAGTGCTTCGTTTGTTGGCGTAGCAAGATCCCTATATAAGGCCGAAGGATTTAGAGGATTCTATAGAGGATTTGGGATTACCGTTGCCCGAAGCGCGCCTACGAGCGCACTCATATTCGCCACCTATGTAAGTGGGAATCGTGTATTGCACAGCGAAGCCTGACTGACTGTGCTATTGTACAGGAATTGATGAGCAGACACTTGGCAATACCGGTGTAGCTCAACGACCCGTCAATGTCATGCCTTCTGTTGATCTTCATCCTAGAGATAAGGAGGAACATTTTTTTTTATGTATTTAGACAGTTTTGAATGAGCATTCGAACATGTGTGTCGAAGAGCGAAGTATACCCGTTATTAACACCGTGACTGGATAGAATCAAGCGCTAAGCACCCTAATGATCGAAGAGATTGCCAGCTATTGATGCAATCAACCAACAACCCTCTCTTCCCGGCTCTAGATTTCCGCCAATGGCTGCGCCGGGAACGCCCTGTTTATCGGCCAAGCTTTATTATGCGTTACATTCATCGTTCTCTGTACCTGTTCACAACCAGTATCTACCATGCGACATTCCTTTGGCTATTTAGCGCCTATTAAACTACTCACTAGATACCCTCAAGGGCGTCAGGTACTCTTCCTTTACAAATTTCTCGGTCTTACATGACTTTTCATAATCCTTGGGGATCATGCGATCAACGTGCTCCATAAACGCATCTAGAGTGCACAGACTGTCATCTCCCTCCCGGTGTTTGCCGACTGGAGCACATGCAGGGATGCGGAGTGGTTGACCATTGTAGAGCATTCGGACATAATGTGGTGGTGGATTGATACCGACCAGACGCGACCAGACTGATCGTTTGTGGGATGCTTCTTCAAAGAGTTCAAAATTTACCTAAAGCGGCGTTAGTGAGGTGACTGTTAAGGTGGGACCTGCGCGGTGTGGAAGTTTTACCATGGCCGCGAACGGTGGGTAGCGTCCGTCGCTGACCTTGAATGCTGTGAGCAGAGGACCGATGGTTCTACATAGAGCAGGTGAATACACATGTTGCAAACGGAAGTATTATACTGCTGAAAACATAAACAATCAGCCAACTCACGTATCATGTGCGGAATATATGGCCAACTTGACAGGATCGCGATTACGAACTGTCTTTTCTATCCTTGTTTTCAAATCGGAGAGCAGACGACCGATAGCCAAACTGGCCACATGCTCTGAATTCTCACCTGCTCCAAACCTACTCTTGCTTCATCAGAGTCACCTCCTCTAGAGAACACCTTGTGTGTCACCCACCATTGTCTCATCGTAATGCTCTCCAACTCGTCCATATCTCTCTGCGCAACCCCCTTGGGCAAAGGCAGACCGTGTCCTTGCATGCAGGCAAAGATATCATACAGCGCATGTATTTGTAAGAGGTGAGGTTTGTCGATATCCGTGCCGAGATGCGACAATCTTCTCAAGAGCATCTCGGTCTCCTTTTTCAAACTGGCTTGCACGGAAACACGGAACTGTTTTGATACAGCATTGAGATAACTGCAGTTTGGATGTGGGTACATGGTTTCGTTTTTCATAGATCTGACGTGTATTGTGAGATTTGCATCTGCTTCATCCACTCGTGCAGGGGGAGGGTGCAGGCCATCCAACAAGTACTGGAGTGATTCGATGGTACGCGCATAATCCGTGCTTCGAAGATAGACACGTTTATGATAGTCCTGGCCCATCGTCCCTTCTAGGAGACCCAACTTTTCAACATAGAGCTTCCGCAGGTTGATCCCAGCCTCCCTCATGGTCTCTTTTCCTTTATCTGTGAGCTGTCCCTGAAAACAGTCTCCAGTGCGCACAGCAGTCTTTAACTGGGAAACCGCTTGCATTTTTTCAATGTCATGGTCTGCCGGGTTGAGAAGAACACGATTGAAGTGGGGTGGGCGCTCCAGGGGAGGAGTAACTGAAGGGTTCAATACTGTAAGGAATACTCAAGCGGAGGAGGGGACCCTGCTTTCGTCATACCAGTATGTTGACTCTCTTGTAAATCCCCGCCAACTACGTACAACGCATGCAGAAAGGGAGTCAAGTGGCAGCGGTTCCACAGCCCAGGTGCCTGTATGTTTGCAAAGAATGGATGTGCAGGGCTACGTTGGCCTGGGGGAGGAGAACATTCGTAAAGTAAACAACAGTAGATCTCCATATGAACTCTTTCTCACCATGCCTGTGAACAACTTCTACGAGCTTAAGCTTCAATGATGGAGGGTAACGCTCTGCAACGGTCGCCTCATCTGGCAGTGGAAACGGCATCTTGTTTAGATGATGACCTGTTCGACGGTGACACTCTGAGCCGACACTCACGAAGCTAAGCCACGTGTTGCTTGTCTGAATCTAGTTGTTGGAAACTCGGAAAACTGAGAGGGACTTAATACCTTGAGGATCGCTATTTAATTCTGCCATTTTATTTTTCTCGATATTGACCATGTATGAACGTACACAAATGGACATGCCAGCAAGGCGGTGAAATGCACAATGGTGTACACCGCAAACATTCCAGCATTCTTGTTTATGATGATGTTCCATTATCTTTACTGCCATGCCTATAGGCAATTCAATGTAGACAGCTGTCCTCTTTACTTCATCTGCTTCTTTGATCCTACGATTACCCTGGATAACTACTTTATGTTGGAACCCGCCACAGGCTTTGAGGTACCAAGAGAGGCTGAACTAGCTTCAGGTGCTGCGTCTCTATGAGACTATCCAGGGTCAGCGGAGTCAGCTGCCTTTTGGCTTTGTTGGACGGAGTGGATGATGTGAGAGATGCTGATCGTGCTGAAAGCATGGGGGTTGTGGTGCGTGTCGACGTTATCCCTTGCGATTCCATGCTGGTGCTGTATATCGATGGCGTGGACGGCGCTGGTGTACTTGCTGTGGAGGCACTTTCCGATCTGTCTTCTTTGAACTCGTCATCAGAGGGCTGAGAGTCACTGTCACTCAATGAGTGCATTGAAGCCTCCTCTGAACGATTTTCCGATTCTGACGGCGCATCTTGTTCATGTACTTCCGGCCGCGGTTCATCGATGATGGCCGTAACAGGTCTCTCTTGTTCGAATACATTAAGCTTACCCAGACTTTTACGATCACCGCTATCCAATCTCATTCCCGGACTATTATTACTGACATTCATAGCATCAACTTCCTTGGCGCGAATCGAGCCGCGATCACCACTGTGCCGATCCTTGCCAATAAAATCTTCCACAGCCACCATGCCGCGGCGCGAGGCGGATACAATGGCTCTCGTAATTCCTTGAATATGCTCCCGCTCCATTCCTGAGCTGCCTTCTTCCTGTACATCTTTCTGAATATTGTCCGTATCGGCTGTTTTGAGACCCCTTCTAACAATGATATCATACTCGCGATCCAGATCATAAGCAGCAATGTCCGATCGGTTGTCATCTGCGCACATAATCTCAGGATCAAGCACGCTACTATCATCAACCTCTTCGTCTTGCTCAGAATCGGCGGATAGCAGCCGATTGGAGACCTCTTTATTTCTGATCAGGCTATCTGCCATTCTAGTGAAGCGATAAAGGTTGTGTTGATACTTGGACTACAAATGGGGATATGGTGACTTTGAGATCCACAGAGAGACAGTATATCAAGTACTTACATCATGGGTGAGCTTGACATCGTCTTCATGCCAGACCTGCTCAGAAGACTCTGAGAGCTTAATAGGTCGGGTGAGAGACGGCATGGGCGGAATCGGAAGGAACGGGGCTATGAGCTGAGCTTGGCCAGTTGGTTTCGCACCAAAATTGAATTGAGATCTTCGCTTTTTTGAGGTCCTTTTCTTCTTCTTGAGTGTACTAGGCCGCTTTGGCACTGGCTTCGATACCTTGGGTGTAATTGGCATCAGAGGTGTTTGGACCGTTTTATGGTCCCTGAAGGCCATTGCCCCTGGAGTTAAAAGCCGACCAAAGAGAACTTCGCGAGACGGTATCCGGTTAGCGAGAGACGTTTGCTCACTATCGGCTGGCAGCCGGCGAAGGTGATGCGGATGTGATCGATGCATCTGTTGGACGATCTCTCGATACCAAGCTGCTGATGTCCATGTTGATGGCACGAGGTTTCTGTAGGTTTGTGGGCTTGTGGGTAGTCGCGTAGGCAGCTTCTATCCATGCTCGCCTGCGTTAATGCCAGTTACAGTATGAACAAAGCTGCCACCTTAACTCACCTGTCGTTCTTGAGCGATGTCTTCATCCTTTTTCCGCGCTAGGAGTCTCTCCATTCTGATCTTTGATCTTGCCGCATGCTCCATAATCTCTTGTCGACGCTGTTCTCTGTACTCGTTCCTTTTTCTTTCCAAAAGCGCTATAATAGCTTCTGTATGGCGGAGGCGATCGATTGACTGGGCTGGATTTGTAGAGCGACTTTTTCTCAGTTTGGGCGCAGGGCGTCCAGGTATTCTAGACGGAATTAACCGCAGTCTGTTGGATATCTTTGCATTAACCAGTTTAGCCCATAAACCTGCATTACTGACAATGCTTTATACCCACCTCTCTTTGTATGAGAGCTTTTCAGCCGGTACCTCCACCGGGCCAGACTGCTCGGTATCTTGGAGGTTCTCGTTGTCATCATTTTCCAAGCTAATCTCCGAAGTCATAGCTCGGGAGCCGAAATGTGACCCCCCAACGCTTTCGCTTCCAGCTTTTCCAACATTGGGAAGCCCAAATGCTAGTGATCCCTTTGCAGATACCGACGCTGCGAGTGCGACACCGGGTGTGAGAGTGGATGCAAGGGAGAAGGTTGAAGCCTCCAAAGACCGACGGAGGTTCTCAACCGGATCGAGTTCAGGACAAACCGGTAAGGAGGGCGCAGAGATCCCAACCCGCTTCAACGACATTGCTGTTTGTATTGGACACGACCACCAAAGCAAAGCGATTTGCAAACCAAAGCTGAGTTATGCCGTAAGCAGAAGCCCGTGACGGGTTGTTTTTGCGGCGCCGATCTGTCGGTCCGATCGATCAGTTCGGGGAGAAAGCGGAGGGGCAAAAACCACCCACCAGGATTTGCAACTTTCATTTCTTGATCCGATCCAAAAAAACAGCTCTCGTTTCGATCGATCAGCAAAACTCAAATTAATGCGCGATCCTTCAGACAAAACATTGGGAAAACAACGTCTGTGGGTGGTGGAGATTTTAGAAGGTTGGCAATGGTCATTAGGACAGCATCCAGGAGTGTTCTTTGAAATCGAGAATGTAGAGCACGTTTATTAGAAAATGCATCAACGATTCAAAGTCACTATTATGAGCGGATGCACTGCCGCTGAGAATGAGCTTAAAGATGCCGATACTTGTCAATCACCCCTAATACTTGTTAATACGTATACCTAATTGCAAGAGACCCCATACGTCATCTCTATTGGCTTGCCGTGAAAGGCCAATATGGTTTTTTCATCAGTCGCCGTAATGATATCTTTGTCATCCGTCACCATGCTTCCTCAAGAGCTCCTAGAGTACATATTTGTACATGTCAGCGACCCGCAACATTTGGTGCTAACCTGCAAAAGATTCTTCATCATCGGTCAGTCGGCATCCATTCGATTACGATGGTTGAAGCATCAGTTTCCATTGCTACCAAGGCTGCACGAGTATGCTGCGTTTCAGGTATTCAGGCAGCAGAGTGGATATAAGAATATCAGCAGAGTAAAAGAGCTGGTACGACATCCGGTTCGGCTTCTTAGCGATGCGCTCTTGGCCAAAATGGTGTTGGCGTTCGATTTTACGGAAACGGTGGAGAATACGACAATTAGGTTGCTTGACCAGGAACAAGTCGACTCGGATCTAAGGAAATCGCATACAGCAAACTCTACCTCTCAACTCTTTCCTGCAGAATGTTCACTACCATCGACGAATTCAGACAGCCGAACCGTCGTAAACACGATCTTAAGGTTCTCGGTCGCTGTTGGGTACTCGCACACCATCGAGGCGATCCTTCACCGTCATGCATGTCAACTTACCGCCAAAGAAATAGGTATCGCTCTTGCGTTTGCGTTTGCCAGCGGAAAACTTTCTTCCATCCATCTCCTCCTGGACGAACTTGAGATGGGATCTATACAGCAAATTGACATAACGGGCGTGGACGTGGCTTTCGAGATTTTCTATCACCTTGTGACGGATGCAAGATTGGGCAGCAATGCTTGTACTCTGGTGAAGCGTTTGCTAAGAATATTACCGGCCGCTCATCATGTGGGAATGTTGGACAAGTGCTTGTACTGGTTCTTGACAAGTCCTCCCGTTAGTAGGAAGGGATTAGTGTCGAAGAACTCGGATCTTTCGTGTCCATCGTACTCTCTTTTAGATATCTTACTGAACATCCGATGTCGCACCTACCGCTCCCACCCCCAACAGCTCCCCCTTACCTTTGGCCAATTATCTGAATCAGCCTTACTTGCATTCCTACAGTCAACCTTTAATACCAAGCTGCTGGATATCACGGATCCTTTCATTCGATACGACCTCCTTCAAGGCATACTTTGTCAAGATCGGGAATATTGTCTACGATATCTAGTTCAAATTCAGAAAATGGACCCGAGATTCGACAGCGATTGGTGTCTCAGGTTTGCGTGCATGTCTGGGAGCATTGGATGCACACAGTTCCTGGTAAACGAATGCATGGTTGATGTGGCCGTTGGAGGAGGCTTGGTCATCCGTGAAGCTTCCGCGAGCGGGAACGGCGAAATCCTTGGTCTGCTGCTGAGGAACGCATCGTCACCCATTCCAGTAAAGATACTCAATGCATCACTTATTATCGCCGCTGAAAACAATCAGATACGAACAAGCGAACTGCTGCTTCAATACGGAGCAGATCCGAGAGCAGATGGCTATATGCCATTGCGAATAGCGATATGCAGAGGTTATAAAGAGGTGTTGGATGTGCTTACCCGATGCGGTGCTGCTTCCTCCATGTATGGGCAAGGGGAGAAGGGAGTCATGGATCAGGTTGTTCATAAATTGAATCTAGGACGAGGGAAAGCGATTGACTTTACATCAACTTGATGATTGTTTTTATGGAGAAATAAAAGACTGGAAGCTTGAAAACTAAAGGAATTAACAGAAAGCAACTGCAGGCTTTAAGTAATATTGCAACATCACGTGTCCCGATCATTGTGTAACACCTGCTGTAAGCTCTAAGCCTCACCTGGCAAACTTCGAGCTGTCAAACTCAACTTCTTGCCTCGCTTCACAGCCGTCCACCTTACTCAGACAGTGGGTACGTAGCAATTGAAATATATATTTAGGCCAGCCATTCTGTCCAATATGATCTTCATTTATCTCGTTGTTTCCAAGCATGCCACGAAAAGAGTTTCAGCAGGATGTTTCCAAGCTGCTAAAGCTTCAACAAGCGTTTGATGAGTCGTCTTACCTTCGAGGTACCATCAAATTCTACCACTCTCCCTTCAGCCACATGTTCCTATGAGAGTCTGCTCAAGATGCTTGGTTATTGAAAACACATCATCAGGTCTAGCACGCGGGGACGAAGATGGCATGCTGGTTTTCCGCTTCCATTATGCAGGTCGCCGCCGCGTGGACGTTTCTCTAGTCTTTAATGGTACATTCTCATCTCATTTGACCCAAATTACTCCCTGGTGGACTGACTTGTTCTCTGGAGATCTGCACACGTATCCGGACGGATGCTCAGGTTTTTGCTTTCTGGATGATTCGCATGCGGATTTTCGAGCTGCTGGCGGTAAGTTATTGATATGAAGTAGAGCATACGCATGCAATCTATTGATTTTAGCTTTCCGGTGTAGCCGCAGAGGCTGTCGCAAATGTACCCATTTCACGGCAGTCAATATTTCAATGCTTTGAATCATGTATTATTCGGTTGTGTGACATCTTCAAAACTCCTTCGGATCCTCTTCTGAGGATATTGGCAAAAGGAACGGAAGCGTCCAATAGTGAGGGGCAGGTTGAGCGTGGTGAAGTGGAGACTTTTGAAAGCGACTCGAGCGACGACGATTGCAACTATGGTTCGGATCTAGATGACTCGATTAGTGATCTCAGCGGCATATCAGACCGGATGCGCGAACTGTTGTTGAGAGATGTCAATGAGCTGATCAGCTGCGGGTACAAACATCAGGGGTATTTAACCTGGCCTGCTGAAAATGGGTATGTCCGTGAAAGTTGGTGTATTCATGTATATGTGCTTCATCTCCTTTATTGACTCCGCTTAGCTTTATTTTGTACAGCAGTATCTGGATACAAGAATTAGTGAACTCTGGCATTCTCACTCAGGATCAGTGTCTGGCATGGAATTTAGAACCATCAAAGTATATGTTCATGCTGATGAAGTTTGGCCCAGAATATATCGAAGTTCTAAGAAAGGTGCATATTGGAATCAGTGCGGTACCGATCCATTCTGTGAGTCTTTAATGCTGTTTGTTTATTTCAGGACAACATTTCGTATATAAGAGGGTGCGTTAAGCGTTAAGTCAATTAAGACATTTGGATTCGCATTTACTGGAAACGTATATGGATGTCCAGGATGGACACTAACCCAACAGCGGCCTACCATCCGCAGCCTCTAGTTGAATTTCGGGTCGTGACAGGAGATGTACCCTCCCTCTCAGCTACAGACGGCATCGGCATGTTCCAAGCAAACACCGCAAACAACGACCACTTACGCCTGCAGAACAAGACCAGACAGGAGACACGCAGGACGATCTTGTCACCCTTCTTTTTATCTTGGTCTTTGGCCGACATTCTCAACAGACGATTCCTCGTGCTATTGTCGTATAGGCTACAATTTGGTTTGAATTGGTGTGTGCGGTTTAACCACGTACTTGGTCTGGACTTCCAACTTAATCATTGATTCCATTCTGAATAGGGCTGGCGCCGAGCTTATGTATGAAAGGCGCAATGCTATATCCGGAAATCAGCCGGATCCATGCTTTCCGTCCGGAGATCCCCATACTAGATCTACTGATTGGGACCTCTGTCGTTCCGCCGATGCACAAGAGCTTACTTTCATCCAACAGCATCGACATGCAGATCAGCTCAACTCCCTGTCTGCGGATCCAGCTGATAGTACGTCAAAGTCCAATCGGTTTCACCATTATTTAAACTTTCCCTTGCTCGCTCTTCGCTATGTTATCCGCCGTCTGGCTCTGGCATCACGATTTTGTCTCGTGTGTCATCGACAAATAAATAAAGGTCTGTGCGATGCAAATGACCAACTTTATGTCTGATTCTAAAGTCAATCGGTAGAATTCGAACCTTTGAAGCCTTTTGTTTGCGATTCTGCGTTATGTACTTATCAGTATTTTCATCTTGGCTTGGGAGCATCCATCGAGCAGGAGGTAATACTCGAGCTTATCATTTCTATTGCATTGCGTATCAACTTGATCCTCGATCCAGATTATCCATCATCCAGGAGTTGTGGATATGCTCGTGTCGTTAGCATATGTGGCAGCGGCGAACCAGAAACTTGACCCTTTTCCGCATGGCGTTGGTTATATGAAGTTTGCTGTGCATCCGAACGCTGGCCAAATTTTATTGCGCGAGGGGAACTTTCTGTCTGTTCAGGTTGAACCCTTTGTTCGGCTGGCGGTAGGCGACATGATTGAGGTGACTATTCCGTGGATTACCGCCTTGAGAGTATAGGCGTTTTATATTGGTTCACTCGCAGTATTGTTATCAAGGCCAGAATTTCCGAGTCAAAGTGCTTGCAATCGACGACTATCTTGAGATCTCGGACGAGCTACCGATAATCAATAAAAGATCAGTGTCCTTTCAAGATCAACAAATTCCCTTCAAGATTATCGAAAATCACTGGCTCGGATGGCCGATAAGACAAGCTGGGGCCGTACGTGCACACGAGCATAAGCTCGTGGTTCAGACCTTGGATCAATTACCTCCAATCAAAGACCTACAAAACGCTTTGAATCAGCAGTTGGTCACCGGATTCATGCAATCAAAATGGAGCCATCAAACGGAGGCCCAAGAAGAAGACAGTATGAACGCCAATGTGCTGGACAGGGAAACGGAGTCGAAGCGGCAAAAGATGCCCCAAGATTGTCCCACAAAACAAAGCCCGTCGTATGTGGACCGGGGAAAATCTTTGACATTGCGGTCGACCCTGGATTCCATCAATCGTCTACTGTACCCACTTCTGAGGTGGATCATTTGCAGTAACCGTAGTCATGTCAAAGAACTGGTAGACGATAAAGAGAAGGTTGCAGGTGTTGGGGTTGGTTATTGGCAGGTCAGTGAACGATCATTTCAATCTTATCATACCCAGATATGCTAGAACGTGACTTTGCAGTTTAAAATGGTCATGAGCAATCCTGACAAAGAGGAGCGATTTTTGAAGGAGCAAAGAGCGCTAACAGCAAGAAAGCGTAAGTGTTGGATTTTGCAACTGCAAGATTCAATACATCTCTACTGGGAGAACACTGAGTAAACTGTCAATAGATGTCAAGAGCCTTTGGGCGTTTCACGGTTCGTTCAAATGCCTGCCAGTGGACTCAAGAAAGTATACGATAACCATGTTGAGCAGGCAGCCCACTCTATAATTGGCACAGCATCCTACGAACCGGACTGAATTTCAACCAGTGAGTACCATTCTGAGTCGGACTACCCACCACGAAGGATATTCAAAGTAGCTATTACCAGAATCGTTCACGGCCGATCATATGGACACGGCATATGTAATGTCATCATTCTTGCATGCGAATGACTATAAGAAATAACATCTATCATTCTGGCAGATCACGCCTTTGAGTCTGTAACCTCCTTGGGGTATGCCTCCCGCAGCTCCGGCGGATGGCCAGGATCCAAAACAGGAATCAATCTATGTCTGAGTTTGAACGAGATTGTGAATTGTCCAGAAAACTTCAGTTGCACGACCCCATACTTGTGAGTTTACAACTGTTGATGAATCAATCAATCTGTAGCCATACCTTACTAATGTAATTACCATCCTCTTTTTAGGGTTGTTCCCAACAGTGAGGAAAATCGTCGATTTTGTTGCTTATCGGAGAGCTCATTAACCTTTTGCAATTACGCTGATACCGCACGCAGTTGATTGGGTACAAACCCGCTTTTTGTTCGTTCGTCGAAGTTATTCAGGTACTCCGTCGCAGCTTCACGCAATGTTAGCATACTGATCTTAATTGATGCGCGCATTGCTAGCTAGTGAAACGGCCTCTCAAACCGAAAGTCTAGATCAACAATTTACATGCGAAGCAGACGGAGTCACCTATGTTCCCATGAATGTGAATTACACGCCTTCAGATGGATACCAGCGTCCGATTCGCGTCCCTTTGTCCAGCGCGATAGCTCCAGTCCCTGAGAGTCCGGAACACAACTTTGTGGATCCAGGGTTATTGCAACTTGCGAAAGAAGAGGAAGCGCGAACTCGACGGAATGTGAAGCGTCAGCGGTCTGTCGAGCCCGTGGACGTGCTCCATGGAGAGGATGACATGGTGAATTTTAATGCACGCGCACCGAGCAAGCGGGAAAAGTAAGACGAAAGTCAGAAGGTTGACGATGGGGAAAGTGTATGATCGAGTTTTGGCAAATGTTAATGATGAGGCTATTTAAACGTAAGAGTTACGACGGAGGGATGCGAGTCATCAAAAGTTCTGGCACAGTGGTAGAACCACCTGTATGATTTTGGAAATAGCATCAGTTTTTGCATGAAATGATGGACGTATGTGTTTGTACTCTATTAGCTTGAATCTGGCGAAAAGCAGTTAACTATCACAATTTATACATAACAAGGGGGATTGCCTGTCGCAGCGTCAATGCGATCATGGCTGCTCGTTGCATTGAATATGATCTCCCAGTAAACATATCTTTGTGAAATGCGACATGCATAAAGTTGAGCCCAACATAAAAACATAATTGGGAAAAAAATCCCGGCGTCTTGTTGTAGATTGCTCCCTTCGTGGATTGAACACGAGACCTTTAGATCTTCAGTCTAACGCTCTCCCAACTGAGCTAAGGAAGCTGTTGTTCTGCCCCTGAAAATCAAAATTAATGAGCATAATCTTTTTCCATTGAGTTTGACGAAATGGGGAACGGCAGTGACTGTCTGGACGTGAGGCCATGAGTGGAAGTGTACATTTCCTATTGTAAATACGACCAAAATCTGTGCTATGATTGTCAATATTTCCTTCAAGGCCTACTCCCTAACGCAGCTAGCTAGCTAACTAGCCACCTACATTTCATACAATACGATAAAGTTCCCTTCCGTATCCTGACATTCAGCGATAGTGCCATAGTAGGTCTTGTGTTTAGGTTTGAGCACCTTTCCACCAGCGGCAACAACTTTCTTTTCAAACTCTTCGATGGGCTTGGCATCAAAATACAAGGTCGGACTAGCGACCTTTTCGTGATCGGCGATAGGCTTGGTGTTTTGTTGAGGGAAGCCTCCATCAACTTGTGAAATTTACTCGTCAATAACAAGTATTATGGCATATAAAAACGACAGACAAGCTCACCCCAGCCCCATTCACTGTTCCTCGGTCCAGAGGAGAATCCGACATACTCCTCGGCCCACTTGGACACATTCCAGCCAAAGACATCTGCATAGAATTTTCCAGCCCGATCAGCATCCTTGGCAGGGATTTCGACGTGACAGAGGTTACGACCGGTTCGGGGCGGACGCGCATTCTTCTCGTCTTTCAGGTAAGCCCTGATGGCTTTGTATACAAAGTCCACCCAGCCGGCTTGCAACCTTTCAGCGTCTTTGGAGGGAACATTGATGTGGTTAAGTACCACTCGTGCACCGCCATGTGGACGGGGGCTGATGGTGGTTACGACTGTCGAGGAAGGAACACTTGGCTCCCAGTCTTCCAAACGCCATTCTTGAACTATCGATGGGGTTAGACCCTTATAAGCCGGACATATACTTATACGGCCCATAGTTACCAATAAGCTTGTTGGGCACCAAATGGAGGATCTTGTACCTGCAGAAGCCGTCTCCTGCGATCCAGTCGTTACCCACTTCCAAGTTTCCTATTATATTTCGCAGATAAACTCAAGAGTCGTGGCAAACATTCTCTTACAATTCTCTACATACCTTTCCACACTGCGGTACCAAGTGCTTCCCCATACTTTTCTCCGTTGGTAAGAACCTCATAAACTGCGGCGGGGGAAACACCAAAAGCTTCGTCCACGAAGAGGTCAACCACCGTCTCCTCTCCATCTGCCGCAATCTTCTTGACAGGCGGTTCCCCGTCAGCCTTGGCCTTGGAGGGAGAGTCATTTGCGCGCTTGCCGGTTGCCGTCATGGTTATTGCAACTAATACAATTTCACTGCGATGTACTGCTACGAGTGGAAGCCGTCAACACAAACCCCCTGCCAGAACACTGTTTTGTGGGGAAGGAGGGGAAGGCACGCTGTGCCGCGTGGCGTATGGAGATCTTTTCGACATACTGTTGCAATATGGTGGTATCTGCTTTAAAGAACATTGGCAATTGTGCAATTGTGTAGTGATCTAGTTTGCCATACGAGCGGGATATTTCGCATATGTACTTTCACGCAATCCAAAAGTTTTGTAAGGCCAAATCACGCGGGAAGTCAATGTCCAAATGACACTTGTTAGAAATCACATTCCACAACCCTAAACTCCCCGCCTCGCAACACGGCATATGCTTTTCTCCGGCCCTCTTTCCAAAAGATGTATTCACGGGATTGCGGGTTGGGAAAGGATGACGGTATTCGATCTACCGCAGGACAAAGAATAAGCACAGCAACTAGTGAACCCCGCATTCTGCGATCGCGTACCTTGGGTAAATACTCTCCCTACTACATGTCGTGGGGAGTCGGTCCCTGTGTTTTCCTCTCGTGCAAAAATGTGGGAGTATAGTGGGGACTCCAAAAACGTGTTGATAAGATCATCGTCCTTGAACTGGTATAAAACATCAGAATAGAGGATACTAAAAAGATTCTATTTTGGCACTCACCTTTGACCAACTGGCAACAGCGACGCCCAGCATCAACTCTATTCTTTTTGCCTCTTTAAAGAATTCCTCCTCATCGTCAATCACATTCGCTAACTGTCGTACAGCGGTTTCAAGTGAAGGTATTCGAGCTACCAGTGGATGTGTTGAGAGCGTAGAGTAGACAATGAGGATCATAGTCCGGAGAAGACTGTTGAGAAACTGGTTTGTTAAACAGGATTTAGGAAACTTTGACAAGTGACTGTAGCTTACATCGTGAGAACATTGTACGGGGATAGTGAGTCCAGATACGAAAGGACTTGGTTGGCAACTTGAGTGTGGTCAAAGAGAGGTGCTTGCATGTCAGCAGAAATGGGCAAGGAAGTCTGCAGTTAAATAACCCAGACATGAGACACACGGAAAGCGTCCATCCGAATCAAGACTTTGCATACCTTCCATATCTCTACCCACAAATTCCCAGGTTCTTTCATCCGCCCACTCAATCCTCCCCCACCTTCCCCCTCATCAATCCAATCCCGTGGCGAATACCATCTCACAAAATCCTCCAGCCCACATCCAGGATTCGCAGCCTTGAACGCTTCCATATCACTCTTCAGCTGCCGAGACTGTATTCGCATTCGCTCGATTGCGGCTTCGTGAGTCGTGCCAAGGGCTGATAGATGTGATTGCAGATTTTGGATCATATCTTCTGTCATTGGACCTGGATGCTGGAGGTGGGGTTCATAAATGGGAGTTGTAGGATCTGAGAGGAGGTAAATCTTGAGGGGCGCTTTGTCTCCAATGCGTTCTTGCGATGCGGATGATGGGATTGTAATGAAGGAATCAGTGAGGAAGGGCTTGGGACGCTCCCAGCTGCTGCTGATCTCGCTCCGCGGTATAGGAGGTTTTGAAGCGGTGCGTCGCTCGTGGTGTGGTGAAGCGACATCAATATCCTCCATAGTGTCAAAAAAGATTTCATCTCCATCAGTGTCGTCAGGATGATGTTTTGGCTGGGACTCTATCTCAGCACTCAAATCAGCCATGTCGACGGCTTCTTCGAAAGAGCCGAAGCTTCGCGCACCCAATGACCCAACTATCACTCCACCGCTGCCCTGACTTCCTGTGGCCATCTCCCGTTTCTTGATGTCTTCCCAACTTCGATCACTACCCCAGCTTGTCGCTTCTAAGGCTGGATGCCCACGAGGCGTGATAACTCTTTGTGGTGGTGGTGGTGTAGGTCGATTTACCTGTGGCTGTTGCATGTTCGCTGCATCTCCATTGGACAGGGACGTATCATCTGATGTGAGTCGTTCAAATAATCTCACAAGGGTACTCTCATTCGCAGAGGTGGAAGACTTTGAATTTCCAGGATCCAGACTCGTAACAGCCGCCGTTAAAGAATTCATGACACGCTGCGACAGCGATAATACTGAGCTCTCGTGCACCTGCTCTTCTTGCTTTCCCCCATCCTCGTTCTCCTCTTTCTCCTGCTGTTTCTCGCTCACGTCAATCTGTGTGTCATAGCCACCCCTTTCTCGTCTGACCTTGATACACCAATTCAGCATCTGCAGTTTTTGGTACAATATATTCCATTTCAGCTCCACACCTTCCTCACCAGCCCAAACACCAGGGATAGGCATGCCGACGTCCCAGCACATTCGAAATTCTCGACAGAGTTCCGGCCAAAGACCTTTTAGCATCGGTCCCATGCCCGCATCAAACCGAAGACATGATTCTGGAGATACGGCATCGAGCAGGCGTAAGGAAAGATTCCAGAGAAGGCTGAACTGGGGGACATATACTGGCAATTGAGCTTGGAATATTAGACTTGCGGTGCTGGGAACATTCGCCCTCGGTGGTGTAGGTTGAGTCGCGGGCGGTTGAGTGTCTGATCTCCACAATGCTTGGATTGCGTCTTCAATATCATTCATATCAACTAAGGCCCTTTTCGCTTCAACGCCAACCTGAGCCACACTTTTGATACGTCCAGGGATCTGCTCATCACTTTCGGAAAAGGTGTCTGCAACTATTCTCGACTCCTTCGACGCGTCCATAGCCCTTTTCAAAATGCCACTTAGAAGCCCATCACCAGGAGGCTCCTGTACATCCAGACTGACTCTCCAATCCGTGGACCATGGATCCACCTCGCCAATATAATTTTGCGGTGGTTTAGCCGGAAAGAGTGCTTCGAGCGTTATACTTCGAACAGGATTAGAGGCAGGTCCGAAAGGGAGTGTAATAATTTCGGTTCCGTCCTCTTCTTCATCCGCATGATCAGTCAAGTCTGTGGCAACAGTGTCCGGGGTGCTAATGTATTCTCGCCATTCTATCTCGTCCTCTTCAATGACGATTTGGAAGGACAGCGCCATCGATACCGTCAACGGACCTTGCGCACCACCTGCCATTTCCCGAAAACGCTAGCATTAGGACGATCTCAATGCCAAACATCATGATTACCTACTCACCTTGTTCCATTTTTTCCTGCACGAGTTCTACGAGACTTTCAAGCTCAGAATATTGCGGTGGGACATATGGGGCATGGATCATCCTCCACCGTCTCTCCTCGCGCCCTGTTCCCGCAAACATGTTCTTCCATTCCGGGCCCGTTGGTACGAAAACAGGAACAGAACAGTTACTATTTTGCAATGCTATGGCACCAGCTGATAATAACATGTTTGTCATGCTCAGACCCAGTGCGGCTCGGGATGATGTCCTGGTAGGTACGAGTGTCAGCAGACTCGATAGGCCAGTCCAGCGGTGGAGAGGTGTCATGGTTGCGGTTGTGAGGGGAAAATCGTGAGTACATTCGTGGTGATGGTATGTGAGGAGACATTCCGTTTCCCCAAAGCTTAGATATTCTTGTTTGACTGGGGATATTCCTTCTCCCACGGCATCGTTATCTAGGTTCCAGAGTGAGATCAACCGCTCAATGGATGATACAAGATACTCGAAAGGGGAGGCTGACTTGAGAGAATGCGAGAGGAGATGTCACCCGTGAGTTACAACCCGATCACGGAGGGAAAGTCAAACCATTTGCAGTAGCTTACTCACCGTGTAGTCGACTATTTCAAAAAAGTCGTCGTCGTCTTGGTTCGCCATGAACGTGAGTCGGACGAATCTGGGGAGACGGGGGATGCGGTCTAACACAGTTAGCACTACATAACAAATTCGTACGTCATCTCCTCTCGCAGAAACCAAAAGCTTTTAGGTACCTTGGCAGGATCTGGCAATTATCTGGTGTTCTGGCACCTTGCAAACTCAAGAAGGCCATGGAGGTCCGCCACGCGCGTCACGCTCCATGTGATTTGTATCATGCATCGAGGCTGCCGGCTCGCAGCGTTTCCAATTGCAACGACAACCAAGCTTATGCATACCAAGTGAGTGAAATCAGATCTCATTATTATAAAGAGTTCAGATACCCAACATGTTACATGCAACTCATCCAAAAAAAACAAAACCAAAAAATAGAAAATTCTCGCAAATTAGGAACTCTAAAGTAATTGTATCAGGGCATCCAATGCATGGTATCACAATTTTGCTCGCATCATGACTGGTATCAGATTTTTGTCAAAACACCCACCCCACCAGCTCTCCCTCCAATAACCCTTACCCAGTCCGCTACTTTGCCTACAGGCACTTGTCTAGTCACTGCATCAACAAATGTAGCCCAGGAAGCGACGGCTGGTCCTTTGGTCCCAGAGTCCACAGGTTCTGGATTATTATTTTCGTCTAACATAAGGAGGTGCTTATAGGCCTGGCTGGTTCGTCGTGCGGGAGAAAAACAGATAAATGTAATTTCCGGGCGGGACGTGTTGGGGGGGAATGTTACGCGGAAGGTAGTTTCGATCCGGGCCGAGCGTGCGTAATAAATAGCGTGAGATACAGTTGGCGGTTCTGGGCCGGGTTGTGGGGCCGTAAAGTTTGTCCAGCGGGTTAGATTGTGTATTTCCAACTGTACACCAATGTCCATGGACTCTTTTGGGTTCGCAGGAAGGTAGGGTTCGACTCCCAGCAAGCAAATTTTGGAAGATTCCAAACCCGTGACACTTCCTTCCACAAGACCCTCCTTCACGTCTTCCCGATCAATCTTGATCATCATTCCCCCACCCACCTGGGGCGGTTCGAAATCATACAATCGACACACTCCTTCAACAACTCCAGAAAACCCTCCCTCACAGTCAAAATCCACTTCCTCGGAACGGTAGGCCGTCTGCCCCCACTTGATCGCACCCATAGTGGGTAGAACGAGCACCTCAACCGTCGACGTTCTGTTTGCGATATCCCATGTCTCAGTGAACGTTAGCTTATGGGGACGCTCGGGTGAGAATGGAAACATCCACAGAGATGGCACATACGAAAGGACAAACAGAATGGCAAAAACCGCCGTTAGGAACGGAAGATGAATGCGATGACGGGTTACAGCCGGAAGGAAAAGGAGCGCCGTAAGGGTAGTCCAAAATCCGAAAAAGAGATCCACAATAGTCTCCGGTAGGCCCTCCGCAATAAGTGCAGGTAGGCCAACAATTCCAATCGAGATCACTTCCATAACATGCATGAGTGGTATAACACCCGCAATACACATCCAAAGGACCCAGACATATCGCTCGTATAGCTCCACCGCAACTCGCTTCCATTTCGCAAAACCCGAAGAGGTTGTTGTAGGCACCACGGTTTGATTAGATACAACAACATCCGCTCGCCACCATTTCCGGATGATGGTGCCCAGAGAAATGGTTACTAATACTGCCAGGGAAGAATAGAATGCAAATCCATAAAAGATATAAAATCCCATCAAGTTTCGTGTTGCAGCCAAGAGCAGAGCCGTGAACAAGAGCACTTGGTGAAATAGTAGGATACCGTACGGCTGCCATATATGCAGAGACGGGCCAGACGGTAAGATTTCACGATGGCGGGAACTGTGGTGAGTCGGTCTCAAAGGAGAAATTGGTGCGTCCTCATCATCAGAATCCAAAGACGCCACATCGGAATCATCCAGTTCCATTTCTCCATCTGTCTCTTCTCTGTGGGATTCATCACCTTCCCCGATGCTCGTTGGTAGCATGCTGTACAGCACCACGGGCTTCCGTCGTAATCGCGTTTTGATCGCCACCCACGGCCACACGATCTGAATACCACAGAGCGTGGCAAAAATCGCCATGCAAATCCACATCAGGTTTGTCCTGGGATGGCCGTAGGTGGAACCTCGATTCACCAAGGATTTGATGGTCGACAGCAGAAATACAACGAAGATCGACAGGGCAAACGTTGCCAATACCAAAACGAAAGCCTCAAAAATGGGTCGACCGTACCGTACTATCACTCGCTTGACGCCCACACGTCTGGCTTCTGCTACAGCCTTGAAGATTGTGCCAATAAAGACCGCAACAAGCAGAAGAGCCATGCCAGTCTTTTGCAAAACCCCGCTTGCCAGTACCATCTGTGTCCCGAGGAAATCATAATAAACAAAACCACCGCTGGGCAAAACACCTGACGGATCTTCGACTACAGCGCCTGGTTGAATGGAATCCAACAAGTCCGAACTGCAAACCAATTTCACCACCGCGACAACGTTGTCTCCCAACTGCTGCACACTCAACGCATTGGCATGGGTCAAATCATCTCCGAGCGAATGGTAAAGATATCGATGTGTGTAAAAGGCTGGACAAATATGATGTGAGTGTTCAACATCACTCGTACACACTCATTTTTGCCGCATTTACCTATATCCAGTCCAGGACGTTTCCCATACGCGGCGTAAGGTCGGTAATCCGTGTCGCTGCATTTCACTGCATTAAAGCGCACGTACTCGACTTTTGTACAAGAGCATAAGTCCAACGTACCTTCTCACGAACGCCATCATATCATCTACTAACACTGAGGCGTGTGGGTAGGGCGCTGAATTGGCATATGCTTCAACCATCTCATATGAATTGGTTCGAAACAGTAACGCACGACTTCCAGATGCAGTTCCCGTCCCCTCTGTCATTAACATTAGCGGATCAAGCAAATGTACTCAAAATGCACAGGTGCAGTTACCCAAGTTGATGAATGCCTTGACATCGGTGAACCACGGATGTTGAAGAAATGAGTATCCACCGAATAAACCCTAATCAAATATAATTCTTGTTCACAAAAGTTCGTTCCATGACAGTCAATGTGTGCTGGGATCATGAACGTACCAGTTCCTCTCCATTATTAAAAAGTAAAATAACATCGTGTTTAAGCACTGGATTATGAATTAGAGCCCTAACGAGCTAACCCGGCAAATGTGAGAATGCAATCATATAATTCCAACAAAATCACCTATCAAACCTCGATCATGACCGCTACTGCAATCCCATCATCGGTCACCCCATGTGATAACGGCGTCGAATCGTAGTGAGCCGACACGAGGAGGGCAGACCGATCCGTGGATGATGAACCCTGTACGCGGACGACAATGTTTGTCGATTCGTAGTATGCGTTCTTGTAAAGGAGATTGGTTGCATCATCACGTAAAATCTTGTGGGGCAACAATGATAAGTACAATCGATCCGTGCTTTCACGCCCTCCAAACAAAATACTGCACTCACAGTAATATACTCATCGGATCGCCCAAGAGAACTCGCTTCACTTTTGAGACGGTCAAGTTCGGATATCAAATACTAGGGATCCGGAACGTCACGTTGCATGATCCTCACATCCATGGTTCTCTGATAACGACTAACCTTTCGCACGTGCTCATTGCTCTCATCATTAATACTCCTCGGCTCCTTTCCAATCTCCTTCAACACTGTCCAGGCTGCTTCAGCTGAAAACTGCCCCACTTCATCTGCACCGATAACCCGCTTCGGCATTGCCCCTCGCTTCCATTCGAGTCGGATGCCCCACACCACAATAAAAAAGACAATGCATATACATAGGGTTTGAAACGTGCGTGGAGAGTAAGGATGGGTGCGGATATGTTGTATAAAATTTTGAATGTGACAGTAGAAGGGAATAGGAATGCGATGTGCTGGTGCTGACCGGGACGGAGAGCTGAGTGACCGTGTTGGCGAGCGGCGACCTGGAGAGCGTCGGGTCGGACTTGAAGGTGGTGAAATTAAGGGACGTGCATCATTGTCGCTATCCGCGGCGGGCGGCGAGGACGCCATAGTTCTTTTGGGATGGAACAAGTGTGAAGGATGCGTTCATGCCTTGCACCCCACTTGTTAGCTCTGAGGGTGCGAAAGCAAGCTCTGAAAGCAAACCAGGTGTCAGTTCTCGAAAACGTGAGGTGTCCCGTGACTTGTAATTCATTCAAAATGTCCCCCATGGAAGACAGCCACAGCCAACATGGTTCGCATGGAAACATGGGTTAACATGGTTAGATGATGGCATTCAACAGCTGCAACAACGACTCCCGCTGCTTGGACTTTTGCCATAGCTGCTTTTCATAAATGATACGTAACATATCTGTGCAGTTACAACTCAGGTACCTGTTCATGTCTCTGCACAAGTAGGCCAGGAAATCCACATCCAGTTTGGCTAAAAGGACTCAATGCGCCCTATATGCATCTGCACTCTCGAGATTTCATACTCGCAACCAGCAGCAAATAGCATCATGATATGCACCATGTATAATATTGTTGTGTGTGCGGGAGGAGAGCAATAATGGAGTGTTCTCTATTGTATAAATACTGTACTGAGCGCTAACTTGAATGCCATTGGTTGTGGCACAGTCATATACACTATGCTGAAATCGGATCATTAAATCGAGTGTTTTCTCTTCGACGCTTCGGGGAACTTGGTGAGTGCTTATATAAAAAAGCAACCCAGCACAAGGCCCGGCATCAAGACAACCACCACAAAATCATGAAGACCTCATCTCTTCCTGTCCTCGTCCTCCTCGCGGCATCCGCCGCCTCCGTGGCAGGCGACTGCAGGGTTCACCTTCCGGTATCGGGCTTCCCCGCTTGGATTAACGGCACCTGCATCGACAACCCCACACCTGGACAGCCCGGCTCGTACTTCCTCGCCCAAAAGGGGAATGAGTACGTGCTGCACAAGTGTTCGCAGAATTGCACCACCTGCGAAACCAAGGATATGTATTTCGATTGCTCTATCAATGCTGATGTACTTCAGCAAGTGCATAATATTACGCAAGCGCCTGTATGGGACAGCAGCAGCGGGGCGCGACAAGTCGGCGTGGGTTCCTTTTGGGTGGGGACGGGTTTGATCGTTGCTGGGTTGTTCACACTCTGATTTTTAGATAAGTCTGTAGAATAGATACAATCTAGAAGAAGAACTGTAGGAGTAGACAATATAGCCGATCTAGAACCTTGTAATCTATTTTAACAAAGATATAGAAGCCGGACCTGCCGCCTCCCTTCCCGTCGAGCAGTGAAGTTTGCATTAGGAGCGACCCGACGTCAATTAGCAGAATGCAGGCTTTTTTCTATTTTGTAAGTTAAGTGTAACCCTAACGTCACGTGCATTCGGACAGAATGACTCACACAGACGCGCAGACAAATTGACGGCAGTCCCGCCAAGCATTCCGCGCCCTGGTTGAGCTGCAGGCGATTATAAGAGTCTGCTTGAGGATGGGGGCAACTGAAAGTAAGCTTGCTTTTCGAAAGAGTGTCTTCCAACTTTACGAACAGAAGGTAACGAAATGCCTGATGCGACGCTTGGCTTGCCCCATGATCTCACCCAATTGACTTACAGTCTTGCCAATTCTCGGCTGCGTTCATATACGTTTCTATGGCAACATGAAAGTTGACCGACAAGAGACTCGTCGCGAACAAACCATCAAACACACTCACAAAGTACAGGCGATCATTCCCACTATGGCATCCGAAAAGGCACAAGAGTTGATGGACCAAATCCGCCGCGAGGTGGCCATGCAAAACTTTCAAGAACTCTTGTCCGTAAGTATCAACCTCCCAACTCAAAAGCTTTGAACATGACTTAAATTGACAAACATAGAAAATCAATACAAAATGCTTTGCAAAATGCGTAACAAAACCCGGAACAAAGCTCGATAGTTCAGAACAGGTTTTGTTTTCGTTTGCTTACTTTTGGGAAAATCTCACCAGGATTGCTCATGTATTTCTAATGCCCATTCCGACTTTTTACATAGACTTGTCTGCAACGATGCTCGGACCGATACCAAGAAGCTTGGAATGTGGTATCAAACACGTATCTTCGAAGAGCTCAAAAAGAGAATGCTTTGTAGAGAGTTTTTTTGGCGTCCTTGCATAATAGAAAATAGTTCTGGAGCAGATTTTGTCCGGTTGTTGATATTTCTTCTTGATTGGTCATTGGATGCTACTAAACTGTGTAGATTATGCTGTCGTTACGGTTTGGGCGCCCCATATATATGTATGAGGAGGAAGGCTCCTCACATAAATATGATTGGCGTCGTATCAGTGTATTCCAAAGCGGAAGTCGGCAGAGATGTGGTCGGACCCCAAATGAATGTTGGGTTGAGGTTGACACATGGCGTCGTTCAGTCCAGGATCCTTTTTACTTTAGCTTTCATCTAGTTGTTCAGGAAAAGAGTTAACAATATTGACAGAAAACCCCTTCAACTCGACGTGGTCAAATCCAGCACCAGCATCATTCTCGAACGTAACTCTTGCAATCAAAATGTACGCAAATATATATATCATATTCATTATCATACAGCAAATCGGTTGCCAATATATCGACACTAAATGTATTTCCACGCCTGGCACTCCTCAGCCAAACAATTGTCAACAACCTTGCACTCCGGCACGGTTTTGGACTTTTCTAGAAAGGTTTTGATGACAAAGTCAATTGTGTGATAACGTACGCTTAGTTGCACTGTTGTGGGTTGATCCTGAAGTAGGAGGAGTGGTGGAGGGCTGTTAATGTCATATATACCTAGAAACAGATCAGCATCTCGGACACAGCAAGGCAAAAACGTTGCGAGAGAAGAGGACGTACATTCATAGCCAGTATGACACTTTGTTTCCAATGCATAGTCGAACCACCAACAACTACTAGTGGGTCCATTGCACTGCCCCAAGTAAATTGGATCACCAGTATTTCCAAAATGATAGATGGGCAGCGTTTTGAGAAAATCCGTGTAATCCGGTTTTTGGTCTGGAGGTAGCGAAGGTAGCAAGCCGAGTCGAAGGGCATAGGTTAAGTCACCAGGCGCTTCGTATGCAAATGCTGGCAGGTCATTCGTTAATGCTATGAGGGAGGCAAGGGCGCCTCCCAGACTGTGACCAGCTAACCAAATACTGACACGGGACGGAAACCATTCCCGAACGGCTAGATACATGGTCTTGGTTGTGTGTTAATAGGATTGGTAGGAACGATGGGAATACGGATAGGGGTGTACCTGTGCAAGATTATAATAGGATCTAAGTAATTAAAGAGTTAATAATAGAAAAGGAATCAGAGGAAAGGGAACAGCAACCCACCCATCGAAATTCGAATTTTGGATCAAGCATTTCATATCGCACTCATTCTTGCCAGTCGGACAGTCGCATATAGGCTTCCATCCCCACCCAGCCTTTGCACAGCAACAAGAAAACATGATATTGTCCTTTTTCCAACAAAACATTAGCCGATCCCCTTGATGTTGAACTTTAAATGAGCTCTTACATTGTACTTGTCCTCATTCGACGATGGACCCCCTCCTACAGGAGTAGCCAGCGTTGTACCTTTGAGCACAATGACGAGAACTTCTTCGTCTTCATCAAGAAAAACGTAAGAGGCTAAACTTTTGCCTTCGCCTTTCCACCGAACCGTCTATCGCGCAGTGTTGGTTGTTGAGACATTACGCAAAAATAAACAACTACCCCAAAGGACTTACCTGATTCCATCCAGGAATATCGACCCAACCTTTATCATCCTAGCAAAGTCATGAGTGTCCAATTGTCAACAGACCACAAAACACTGACAACCCTACCGGCTCCAAGTACGCATCATGTGTCATCAACCCCAACGACAACACCGTCTCGGGGTCCGTATGATCCGGTATTCTAATCGGCTTTTCTTTGACATGCACCTGCTGAATGCGTTGTCCCCTCCATTCACTCCAGACGTTTATGGTGCCCTCATGGTGCTTAACAGTAGGGTATACAGGTCGGTGCTGTAATTGTGAGAGGTCATAGGATTTCAGATAGAGTTTTTGGGTTGCTCCTTCTTGGGTATAACCGTGTTTGATAATGTGGGTCAGATGGAAGCGAGAGGTTTTAGGAGCCGAATGCACAGATTCAACGAGTAGGAGCAGCAGATAACACAATATGGATGGACAACTTGGTAAGAGAATAGAATGGGTGCGCATTTATATAGGTTAGAGGTAAGAGTATTATAGGTGGTATGCAGGAACTGATGGGAATGTTGACTGTCGTATGCAGGGGATGAGCTTTTTGCAGTCAATCCGTTATCTCAACGAGATGAGGACGCGTCAGCATTTGGACGCGTGACGATCACCATATCAGACGAAATGCAAGGGATCAGATCGAGAGGGATGACCAATTGAGCTTTTTACTTTGCTTTGCCTACCAATATGGAGGGCCATTTACTTTTTTCAAACGACATGAAGTCGTCATGAAATGCCGGAGGGCTGCCAGCACTGTTTCTCAGATATCTCGTTGTATATAATGGCAATCTCCTCCGGCCCCGACATTACTCACCGTACTTTTCGAATCCATCAAACACCGTCATAGAACCAGCAACAAATGATGACAAAAAGTGCGATACCTGATCCGTACAAAACTGGCATTGGACCAGTAACGAAAAGAAGGAAAACATTACCACATGTTTTTTCCCACTTTGGCATCGTAATCTATAGCATTATAAACTGTTCTTGATTACGAGTCTCTCGTAATGTCTGTCCCACCCTCCGAGTTACAAAGCACAGAGTTGACACTCTCCGACAAAACAGCGCAATGGAATCCTGATTCGCTGCTATGCTCCAACCGTGAGCGAAACGAGAAACTGGAGAGCTGAGACATTGTAATGCCGAGAGCTAAAAACAAAGTGCTGGAGAGTCGCCATATGATAAAGGTTCATCCCCGGAGGTTAGATAACAGCACTGGGGGATCGTTCGTAATCCAATCACAGAGCAATCGTAAGTATCCTCTAGTAAAAACACAGAAATCTCCGCTCGTTGTTCAAACAAAATGTCATAGTGACTATTGTAACGTTCAACGTGCGCAGAACATCTTTTGGCCCCAGCGTCGCTTGCCGCACAAGACTAGATACATACAGGTTATAGGTCACCGTGCCATCATATAAAATGACTGTGCCACATGTCGAACGTGCACACATACCGCTGTGATTTTTGTTGTCGAATTTGCCGACTGGGAAAAGCATTGCAAAAGGGCGGACTTTTGTGATCTCCAACGCCACACAAGTTTGCTCTCGAGTTCTTTGAACAAGATAAAGAGCAAGCTGAAAAACCCCATGCCCGTCGCCGATTTTTTTTTTTTGGTTTTTTTTAAAAGGACTCGGCTGTTGTCTGAAGAATCATAACAAGAGTATATCCACCTCCGATTGGAGCATACCCAGTTTCTGTCAATGATCGGACGAGTATACGATGTGTTGGGATCCCTTTGGGGCACGGTCACAACGGTATATTAATCTTTTGGATAGGAACTCGTATTCAATCCCGTATCCTAACAGTTCTGGACTAGCTCGTGCAACCAAGAGAAGCCCCAAACGGCGACGGTAAAAACGAGTTTACGTTTACCTTTACGAAACAATGCTTTGAGCAAGTCATGACGAATCCTGCGCTCTTTTCAGAGTTTAAAATGTTTAGTTTGGTAAGAGGCTGTCTGTTGTATGATTTATTTTCTGTTCTTTTGCTCACCATGGTATCTTTGTTGACATGGTGGTATGTTCCTTTCAGACGCTACACTGCCACGAGAATCTCGTCTTTTACGAATCTGTACAAGAGCTGGAATCCCTTCTTACCCTCAAAGTTCCCTCATATGTGAGCCCATCGGCTCTCTCTCGATTCGTGCATGCCGGGACAGACTCGCATCCCGCCTCGGCAACACCGTCACCCGTTCCCATCCCTTCATCTCTGCTCGGCCATTTCCTCTACTTTCACGCCTGCTACCTCACTCTGGATGCGCCGACCGAAATCAACCTCCCGTCCATCACCCGCCAAGCCATTGCGCTCCGAATGATGAACAGCACGCAGGGACTCTACAGTGACGTGTTTGACCGAGCAATAGATGAAGTCTTGAGCATGATTTATTTTGACTCATTTGGAAAGTTTGTGGAAAGCAAATCTGGATGCATTGGACAGCTGGAAGGATTGGCTGATGTACGACCAGAGTCTAAACGCAGCCTCCCGCCACGTCTGGTTCCAATCGTACGAAATCTAGCTGATACAGCGACGACCGTACGGACACCCATGACTTCGACCTCGTTTGATTTGGACTTTGTACGGTCGAATCGGAGTTCGGACGGAGCGAGCGACTCTGGTGTGTCCATCATGTCGACGAGATCCACTCGGACGGTTGCATCCATCAAAATCAAGCTTGCGGGTGCAAAGAAAAAAATGGGAAGAGTCGGGCGAGCCGTCGTGGTCGGGATGAGTCCTAGGAGTGCGAGATGACATGCAACATCATTTCAGCAATGATATGGGTACACAAGGGCGATAATGTGCATGTGCGTGTGTGCGTGTGTGGAGGGAGTCAAAGAGATAAAAGAACCTCATCCTTTTGGGCATTCAAAAAAACAAAACGATCATAATGGCCTCTCCCAAATGTACAGTTTATTAGATATTTCTATAGAGTATGACTAATAGATGGGATACGATTCCCTTAAAAGCCCCTCTTTAACAATTGGTTGCTCCCATGGGAGAAACAGACCCTTTCTTCCCATTTGTCATGTTACGTCAGCCACCATGGTAAAAAAAATTCGAGTGCAAAAAATCGTATTTCTTACGTGTTTCTCTTCTTCTTTTCTCTACCGGAGAGAAATCTACCCGTGAGAGAAAAAAGGAGGAGGGGAGTCTGAGTGTGTCATCCGTTTTGACAGTAAGAGAGAGAACAAATGTGCGTCAGAGAGATTTCAGGATAAAATAAAAAAGTGGGCTGAGGGGGGGGGGGGGGGGGGGAGGAGGAAGGGAAATACAAAAAGGGCTTTCGCTGTTGAGCCCTCTCCCATCCGTCTCCCACCCAATAGATTATCAGAAGCTATGCCTGCCAAGCAGCCCATTGAATCCTTCAATATAAAATCATCACCTCTCGTCAGTGAGCGACAGCAACCCACTGAACTCTATCATCGTCGTCGATCCGTTCGCATCATGGAAAAGGTGGCTCGTCGCTTTCGTGAGCACTTTGGAGAACATGTTCATCGGGATCCAGAATCTGGCAAAGTTCTGTTTGCTCTGCACCCAGAGAAACGTCGCACCGCTATCCAGGCGCCTCCGCCGCCTCCCCCAAGAATGTCCCGAAGAAAGAGCTCAATAGGAATCGTTTCAGTCAAAGCCATCACTCCAACAGACTCTGTCGACCTCATGGATATCATTGAATCTTACGCACGCCCAGACTCGTGCGCATCTCCCGCCGCCGACTTGGTCCGCTTTTGTTCCGCCCGCCGCGGGTCGGTTGCAGTCGGAACACCCATGAGTGAGATTTCTATTGATCCTTTTGAGCACGTCTCAGAGGAAGATCTTTCTCGCGAGACAAAGGATCCAAATACAATTCACTTGGTCAAGCAAAAAGTGGACTTTGAGGAACTCTTACGCGGACCCGATAGTACTATCAAGATATCCCTCACGCCCAGGATTATCCAGGCTGGGCAGACTGCATAAACATAGTTATTTTTACATATTGATTCCCCGATTTCGTAGAGTGTATATAGTTTTTTTCTTTGCATTCTTTGGCATTGCATTGACAAGTTTAATAGTTTGGTGCATAGTGTGTGTTATGTATATCATTTTCAATAATTTGAACAAGTTTGGAAAGTTACTGTTCGGTTCTTGGTACACTCAAGTGATTCCATTATTTTTGTTCCCGCCATTTAATGACATTTAATTTGCTTATAAACTACAGTGAGATTGCAACACTTCCGCTTGCTTACTAGTTAATTACAGTTTTCCTTGATATGCACTGCATCTTTGCATCCTTCGTGTGCACTACATTTTCGCTTGAGCAGTATCCAACACGAACCGATATCTCACATCTCCCTTTCGAACCCGATCTATCGCCTTTTGACAATCACGGAGAGGTAAAACCTCGACCTGAGCTTTGACATCATGCTTGGCCGCAAACTCTAGCATGTCTTCCAATTCTGCCTTGCTTCCAATGGCACTACCCACAACAGACACTTGCTTTCCAGTCAATGAGAACGGGGGGATGACCAGGGGTTCTTCGGGAAGTGACACAATAACGAGTTTTCCATGAACGTCGAGAAGGCTCAAGTAAAGAGGCCAGTCTTGGTTGCGGGGATTCGCACAGCAAAGGATCAAGTCGAGCGTGTTGCGGTATTTTTTGATCTCTGCCTTATCGCCACCCATGTTTATGAATTCGTGCGCACCCAAACGAAGGCACTCGTCCTTCTTTTTGGGCGAATGTGAGATGGCAATGACGTGGGCGCCCAATGCTCGAGCCCATTGAAGACCTAGGTGGCCCAAACCGCCAATACCCAAAACTCCAACACGCTTCCCAGGACCTGCACCATGACGCTTCAATCTAGACCAAAAAAAAAACACCTAGTGAGCTTTGGGATTCTTGGATGCGGCATGAACGATGCAGAGACTTACGGCGCGTAGGTAGTCAACCCGGCACAGAGTAACGGCGCGGCAACAGTCGACTCGAGCGCTTCCGGCAATCTGAACGCATATTGCGCCTGCAATCGAACCTTGTCCGCATATCCTCCTTGTGTCGTTTCTCCATCAGGATACTTTGACGCATATGTCCACAATTTGCGATCGCAGGCATTATCATAACCACGATCACAGTCTCTGCACTTGAAACAGGCATAGCATTGAGCTCCAACTCCAACCCGATCACCGACATTGAGATGGGTGACTTTGGCCCCTTTTGCCGTCACTTGGCCGACAATTTCGTGGCCAGGAATAACCGGGTAAGGCGTCGGTCCCCATCCAGAATCCTTTATATTGAAAAATACCAAAAAAAAAAAAAATCAATGCCTCATTCTCGATCCAACAAAAGTGATCAACATTACAGATCTTACAATGGTATGAATATCACTTCCACAGATCCCACAGTAGTGGATCTTGATCTCGACATCCTCTTCTCCAAGGGGACGAGGCGTGTACGCAAAAGGCTTTAGCTCACCCGATTTCTCATAGGCAGCATATCCGTGAAACTGTTCAGAGGTCATGATGGGAAAATGTGTATCAAAGAATGGGTGTGGGGAAACGAATGGTCAGTTTTTATAGCGTAGCGTGGGGTAGAATGGCACAGTCATTCGTTTGTCAGCAACAGGCCCCCCGGTGGAATTTCATCCCCGACCCGCCGTCTCTCAATGCATTTTAACATGGATGGCGTACAGGGAATGTGTGATGTCACTGTGGATTACTACTGTGGAACTTATTTTGGATTCCATTTTGGGCTGACAAATGGATCGTCTTCATTCTCGCCCATGGCCATTTTGCTTGTAAGTTTTGGTTTTCCCGAAAGTGACATTTGGAAGTTTTCAGGACGATCGACAAGGTAGCAAAAATATGTTGCAAGACATGGGCGTGGGGGGCATTTGGGAATGGTTTGACTGGTAGCAAGTCTATAATTATTTTTTGGGATCACCGCTCCCTGGTATTATTATTATTTCCTCACTCGTCCAATCACATGACCAACATTCAAGTACTGTACCACCCGTCTCCCAGGCATTAAACGATGACGATCGCTCGTCAGCGTCGTGGCACCTTAAATGGTCTCTCGAATCTCGTCCATCTCATCCACCCTCCATGCATGTATATTTATTAATCTGTTCATGAGCATAGTGCGCAAACATCAAACTTTTTGATCCCCACACTTCGTTCATCATCCATCAAAACAGGTTTTCTCAACGTTTGGTTTTTTTTCCAGACTGTTTTGTCAATCACAACAAGAGGATTCTTCCTCTACGATTGAGAATGTACGATTGAGGGACAAAAAGCGCAATCCAGCTTTTCCAGTAAAATAACGTCCAATAGAAATAATCAGCCTATTTCGTTCAGCCGCATGGGCGGTGTCGGTTCAGTTTGTAAGCCGTCCGTAAAAGGTGTTGGTTGAGACTAATGTGCACTTGCCGGAGGAGCGGGCTGAGCTAGAACTTAAAGTTGCGGTCAATGCTGCGGCTGCTACTACTGCTACTGAGCCCGTCGATCAATTATATCCTTCCGCTACTCTGATTCCTGAATAGGTGCGACCGGAGGCCGCGGCGGAAACGGAACCCTGTACACAACCAGGAAACAAGAATGAACATTCTGGAACTGAATACCCCACTAGCTGAAGTTGCTGAAAGTGACTGGAATTGGAAAAGCGAGCTGCACCCGACTGGTATGGTTTGGATACATATCCGGGGAGCTTGGGCTTTTGCACTCCTTATTGAGCGGAAAATCAGTTGAAGACTGCCCTCATAACTCTACTTGAGCAAGGATTTGCTGAACGGCACCCCGGAGCGGGATGCCTGGTCTTGCAAGAAGGAGTTTGACCAAATCTGCTTAATGTGGTAAGAGGTTGACTCTGCATTCTTGATTTTTCTTTCATTAGGAGGTTGACCGGGTTCTGCGCCTTGTATGTGAGGAGGTTGGTTTGCCATCATAATACGCTCGTCTGGTGTATTTTGTCAGGGTACAAATAACAATGGGCAGCTTCTGGTACTCGTCGCCACTGCTACTGGAACCATCTTCTATTAGACTCGCTCAATGCTCTTTTCAAATGATGATACTTTCCAATGTTTGTGCTGGACGACACTTGAAGGAGAGGTGGTCACTGTCTACTGCATCTCGATCTTTTATGGATGTAATTTGGTCTTGTGAGCACGATCAGGTTTCAGTGCCTCAGTGAGTACGTGCATTTTTGTGCTCTAGTAACCCCGTACAAAAAGAATGCAATGCTAGGTCATAGCATAATGTCACTTTGGTACTAGTGTGGTTTCGTTGTTCAGTGAAATTCCAGACTGCTTACTGCATCCCTGATTAACCTTTCCTAGGATGGCCAGCGGCTGACTCAGCATACCTTGATGTTGTCACCACATGGATGAGCACTAATGAATTGGCCCATGCTAACAAACGCTTACAAGAGATCAAAGTCGATTATGTTTCCTGGATATTTGAGCATCGTTGCGCGAGGAACGATGGCTTTTGAGGAAGCACTTGGATCTATAGTTAAAGGTTGGACGCCCATTCTTTGCCTGGTAAATGAGATGCAAAAAGACAGAGTACGATCATTACAGGCGGAAGAACACCTATGGCACACAACTGTCATGGCGGCTCTTCGAGGAAATTAGCGCTCCCAGAAAGGCGCATCTTTTTGGTTACAAGGTATATATATTGACTCTATTTCGCCCATTCAGCAACCATGCACTCCACATACTTGCACCAAAACCCCTCATCAAAACGGTATACATGCAGATGTCCCTCCCCAGACATTTGCAGGCGTCGCAAACAAAGCCGTCCCCGTTTCCCTAAAACAGCACCAGACCAATAACCCCAGAGGCCAACACACAATCGCAGCACAGCAAGCAAAAAGGAATCCAAGCGTAGGACCGACGACTTTGCATCGACATGGGTTGTCAGTTGTGCCAAATTGACAGCAAATCACGGGGAATGGAAGCGACATGTGTGGTTTTTGTGAGATGAGATACGCTATGAATGGAATGTATCAAGATGAGCCTTGTGCCTTGTCTCCAGTGTCACCATTTGCATATTACCTTGAGCCCTGGCAAGAGACGACAGTAATCGCGGTGCTGTTAAGCTCCGAAAGACAAGGGCAAGGTCAAGACGGTCAAATAGTCAAAGGAACGGTCGGGTAAAACGCTGATGTCAGTCGAATGAGGTCACCGGGGACCATCCAAATAGGGCAAGTCATATCGCCTGTTTTGGCCTCTCGGCTGGTTGGATGGCCCTCAGTTAGTGTGGTTGCCACCGGCTTGATTGGCTGTCACCGGGTAATTTGGTTATCATTCGGTTAGTTCGGCCTTTTCGGCTGGATTGCTCCTTTGTGCCGTGTTGACTGATGTGGTGGGGGGGATGTCATTTGAGCCAATCTTTTAACATTGCTTGTCCAAGTGAGAGACGTTAGCGACGTTGTAGCAGCAGCTGAAAAGATGGAACACTTCACAAGCCGTGTACCGGCCACTTTTAACCAAGGTGCATCATCCATGTTGACCACAAGTAAAAGTCACACACAATGTCGTGTTTTCCACAATGTATTTTGTGTGTCTCGACATGGTTATCAGATGCGCATGTGTTGCACATAGTGTGATCAGCAAACCTTAAAACTTGAAAATCGATGAGGTCTCGTGACAAACCCCAATCTGTCTTTGAAAATCGCTCCGATCATCTCCTCAGAGACGAGAGGCCAGAGATAAGGACAAGTTGAACCCTCCCGCAAGGACCCGGAAGAACAATTCGAAAATGGCGCGACCTTTCTTCTTTGATTGCCCACACGCGACTTTTTTGTTAATCGCCAAGTTGGATGACTAAGCCCCGCGCCGACCCAGCACCACCAACCAGCCAAGGCAAGCCAAGGGAGACCTGATTTTTGGGTCAAACGCCCTTGTTTTCTGGTAGCTCCCTTCTACATGCAGGAACTTCCACGTTAGAACATTATTTTGTCCAAATGAATTCATATATGTCGCAGTTTCCCAAAAGGATATCCGCAAAACGGCCTTGTTTTGGGATGGGTAATTCCGAGGGGCTTTTTATGAATGGACGGCAAACTCCTTAAAGAGTCTCTAGGAGAGAAATTGAGGCGCCGGACTCGACTGCTCCCGAGACGCCGGTTCAAGGGGAGGGCGGGCGTTTTGGGAGACAGGAGTCAGGCGCCTCGTGCAATTGTACCTGTTTCTGGTTGGTTCAATTCATCTGAAACATTGCAATATATCCATACACGGATACAAGGGGGTCAGGATGAAACATTTCTGGTTGTGTTTCGCGATAAGCAATCCAAAGTTTACCGCCCCCGATACTGGATGGGGACACAAATATTACTAGGAGGAGGGTTATCGGCCATCCAAGACGGCCGTGTGGGAAAAAAAAGTTGCCATTTTAAAAAGAAGAGAAAAGGGAAAAACTCAACAACCCACCGTGTGTGACACGCCCCCAATTTGGAAGGTGTCTCTTTTTTTTTTTCTTATTTCCCACACTGGCAAAAAAATCAAAAAGACAAGGGATTCTGAGAAGCAGATATAAGGAGCAGCCGGGGTTCTCATCGCTTCCTCTCGTCCTCTTCACCCTACTCGTACGTTCATCCCGTCCCCCCCTCCTCCTCCCTCCTCCCACCTCCCATCATTCTGTACATTTCGCGAGCTTTTGTTATTTTTGCTTTCGTTACGCTCTCGCTGTAGATTTCCTCATCGTTTATACTGATAAACATGACTGAGACAGACAAAGGTTTGCTTCTTTTGACCGCATGTTGATGAAATGGCTCTTTGGTTTGACGCGTCTTCATTCGCTTACAGCAAAGAGCACTCAGCCGGAGGAGGCTCATGTTGAGGTTACGGATGACATTGACCCAGAGTTGGAGGCACTCCTTCAGACTCCCCCACTTGAAGGTCTGACGGATGCTCAAGCCGCTGCCCGTTTGCAGCAGTTTGGTCCGAATGGTACATACATCAGTCGCTGGTCATGTTGGATTGACGGGGCAACTCATCTCTCTCATTCGCAGAAATTCCTGAGAAAAAGACCAACCCAATTCTCAAGTTCCTTTCTTTCTTTGGCGGTGCCATCTCTTACTTGCTTGAGATCGCGGCTATCGTTTGTGCCGTTCTCGGAAACTGGATTGACTTTGGTATCTTGGTGTTTGTGTTGATTGCCAATGCCTTCATTGGTTACTACGAAGAGGCGAAGGCCGAAAGTGCCTTGGATGCGTTGAAGAACACTCTTGCCCTTCACTGCCGTGCATGGCGTAACAGCAAACTCGTTGAAGTCGAATCTCGTCTCTTGGTTCCTGGTGACATCATCGCTATCCGTCTCGGTGACATTATCCCCGCTGATTGTCGTCTCCTCGGAGTCGGCGTCACTGGTGAAGAGACTGAAGGTACTCTCCAAATTGACCAAGCTGCCCTTACTGGTGAATCCCTCCCCGTCAACAAAGGCAAGGGTGCCATCGCCTACTCTTCGTCCATTTGCAAACAAGGTCAAATGCTTGCTGTTGTCACCAAAACGGGTATCAACACGTACATTGGTCGCGCTGCGAACTTGATTAGCATCACCAACGACGAAGGTCACTTCCAGAAGATCATCAACCACATTGGTAACTTCCTCATTGTTATCTCCCTGCTCATGGTGGTTATCATCTTCATCGTCCAGAAGGTGGCCCGTGACATGGCCTTCAAGGAAGCCCTGAAGACAGTCTTGATTCTTACGATTGCTGCTATCCCCGTTGGTCTTCCCACCGTCATGTCCGTGACCATGGCCGTCGGTGCCGGACAACTGGCCAAGAAGAAGGTTATTGTCAAGCGTCTCACTGCCATTGAAGAGCTCGCATCCGTCTCTACTCTTTGCTCTGACAAGACTGGTACCCTCACCCTCAACGAGCTCACCTTTGACAAGCCTTACCTTTCCAAGAAAGGAAACACCTCTACTGACTTCGAAGGCACTGGCGAAAGTTACACTGATCAGGATCTCCTTACCTACGCTTACATGGCTTCCGAGCCTGGAGCCCAGGACGCCATTGAGCTTGCCGTTCGTGGTGCTGCTGAAGATCGTGTGACCATCCTCCAGAACCGTACCGAGCAACACAACATCCCCGGCTACAAAGTCAATGGTTTCATTCCATTCAACCCTACGTCCAAATACACTGAGGCCACTGTCACCAACCTTGAGACCGGAGAAAAGTTCCGTACTATCAAGGGTGCTCCTCCGGTCATCATTCGCATGGTTGGTGGACACGAACAGGCTAGCGAGGCTGTTACTGACTTTGCTCGTCGTGGTCTCCGTGCCTTGGGTGTTGCTCGTACAGTTGATCCCGAAATGACCAAGTTTGAAATGGTTGGTATGATTTCCCTATTGGATCCCCCTCGCCCGGACTCTGCCCACACGATCGCCGAATGCAACAAACTTGGTATTACGGTCAAGATGATTACTGGAGACCAATTGATTATCGCAAAAGAAGTCGCCCACCGTCTTGGCATGGATCGTGCGATCTTGGATGCTCACGCGTTGACTGACAGCCGTCTCGATGAAGAAGCTCTGACTGACCGTGTTATCAAGGCTGATGGTTTCGCTCACGTCATTCCTGAACACAAATACCGTGTGGTCGAACTCATGCAGAACCGTGGTCAGCTAGTCGGTATGACGGGTGATGGTGTGAATGATGCACCAGCCCTCAAAAAGGCCAACGTTGGTATCGCTGTTGAAGGATGTACTGATGCTGCCCGATCCGCTGCCGATATTGTTCTTTTGGCGTCCGGTCTTTCGACAATTGTTGACGGTGTCAAGACTTCCCGTGCCATCTTCCAACGTATGCGATCCTATGCTCTTTACCGTATTGCATCCACGATCCACTTTTTGCTGTTCTTCTTCATCTCGATTCTTGTGTTCGACTTCACATTGCCTGACCGTCTCGTTCTTTTGATCGCTGTACTCAACGATGCCGCAACTCTTGTGATCTCTGTTGACAACGCCAGAATTTCAAAGCGCCCTGACAAGTGGAGGCTTGGTCAACTGTTGTCTCTCTCGTTCATTCTTGGATTCCTCCTTATGATTATCTCTTTCGCGCACTTTTTGATTGCCAAATACCACTTCGACGTAGACGATGACACGCTCAAAACGATCATGTACTTGCAGATTTCTTCTTGCCCTCACTTTGTCATCTTCTCTACTCGTCTCCCTACGTGGTTCTGGAAGTCTATCCCATCACCCGTCTTTGCCTTCGCCATTATTGGTACCCAGATCATTGCCATGTTCATGTCGATCTACGGTGTGGAATTCTTCGAAGCTCACCCAATGTAAGTCTATTGTTACCTGTGGCATTTTTCTGTTTGTGCTGCAGATTCTGATGATTCTTCTTTATCTTCCAGTGGTTGGGGATGGGGAGTGTCTGTTATGTGCATCTCGTTGGTCATGTTCATGATCCTCGATATCGTCAAGGTCTTTGTGATCAAGAAGTGGTCGTTCGAGCTTACCGCACGGTTGTGGCCTTCACCCAAGCGTCGGGCAGAACTAGAGAAGCGCATTGCCAGAAAAGTCGAACTCACCCGCGTTATGGCCAACTGGGCAAAGGCACGAAAGGTTGTCCTTATGTCCCACGCCATCCTGGCCTTCAAGTCGAAAAAGACTCTCGCCGCTACCAAAGCAAATGGCGACTCGTCAACGACTATCAACGTTACTTACGCCATCGAAAACGCATAGACTCATTCACTGTTTTGGGAACATTAGCACTTTGGGATTTTTGGTGTGGGGTCCTGTAATCATATAGTAGTAGTACGTGTTCTCTTGCGTGCGGGCCATGTAATAAGAGAGAGATGGGTAGGCTGAGTGTGGACAAACGGTTCAGAGGGTGGTAGAGGTGGACTAGGCGCTTCATGTTTTTGTTTCATAGTGACGTAGATAGACGATCTGAACTCTTTGTTTTACGCTCAGCTTGCATCCTTGTATTTTGTCATCTCGTCTTTAATTATCTTATGCGCGCGTGTACATTTTACAAATTCTGTTTTTTTTTCTGGACTTATCGACGGCTGACGGAACCACTGATCATTCGATCATTCGCCGTTGGGTGTCCCTTGAACATGGGGTCTGCATCGCAGGGAATTCTTCCGACCGACAACAAGTACAGCATCTGGCGGTGGAGAACTGCCCCCCGTGATTGCACGTGAGATTGTTGAAGACAGAAGCCAGTACCGCCTATATGGCTCACGTGAGCTCACGGGGTCCAGTTCTCGACGCCCAAATGCTGTAGAGTGTCCACAAAAGATCGGATCCAATGTATGAATAAACCAGTTTCAAGGCATTGGTCAAAGTGATTCGCCATCCGTGGTTATGCTGGTTCGTGCGTGTTGTACTAGTAGTGCTTCAAGAGTGCGTTCAGAATGAGGCGGGGAAACGGATCTCCGATATTTAAGCGTTATAGTATACGATGCGTTATCGTATATGATTCACCCTTAACTGCTTAATTAAAAACTTGTAGCTTGGATCGTACCCGCCCAAAAAGTTGTAAGGGTACTGAGGTAATTGGCTTAAGGTTAACCAAGATGAGCAATGAGCAACAAGGCAGCAGTCTCGCCTGACCTTGGCAAGAAATGTCGAACGAATTGTGGTGAATGTAAAAAGAACAAACAAAACAAAGACAAGTGTGTATTCGGTAGCTCCTCTTTTTGTTATTCATTTTGTATGCGTAGCTGCCCAAATCCGTGTTGTTGGACTACGTGACGCACTATGTGCTTTTCAGCAGAGTACAGCTGGCCAGATGAGAATTGGCAGACAGGCAGGGTTATGGAATGTGCCATGTTTTGCTTGCGTTATCTCCTTTGCGAAATTTATTAAAGTTTGTTCATTAAGGCATATATAGAACCAATTGCCAAGCCCGACGGAGTTGAAATTCCGACCGTTGCTATCTGTCTTACAGCCAGCGGTGATCGGCTCGGTGATCGGCCGGGATTGCATACTCTCAAAAGGTTTGTGTGTTGGCAGTTGGCAGCCTTGTTGATGGCCAAAATATCGGTGGTGTTTTTTGTTGGCAACGTTTTTTTCAGTTCCTGGTAAATCACCATGTTTGTTCATGGATTTCTGTTAGATTCCAATTGAGCCATTCTCTGTTGTTGCTTGGCCAACAAGTTTCCAGCCTATGCTCCTCCCCTCTTTTTGAACAAGGACTGGGTGTTGTCAAGTCATGGGCGTGCTTTACCAGCGTACGATCAGAGAATGATTTGTCCTTTTTTCTTTTGCTTGTGGAGCATCAAAACTAACTGCCTCATGGGCGAAGGAGGACAAGATTTGGTGTTGATTGTGTGTTTTATAAGGAAAACAATAAGCACTTTGGCCTAGGTTCTGGTTATCCATGGAGAGGCGGCTTGAAACAGGCTGAGAGTCTCACTTCATCTCGTAGCACAGTTGGTTTTCATATGAGCTTTCCTTGCATTTCCTCCTTCAAACGTTATTCTTGTCATTGTTTTATACAGTTTTACTTGCTCATATTGTTTTTGCCATAGTTTCGTCATTGCATATGTATCCCTCTAGCATCCCAAATTCATATATCTCCTCTGAGCCGCTTGACCATATCTTTAAAATAAAAAGAAAGAAACGCCATTGGGCAAAAAGCCTCCCCAACTTTTCTAAGCCTCCCTTGGTGTTTCACGTACGACTTCGCGCCCAAGTTTGCCTTTTTTACATTTACATTTCATTAACCAATTTAGGGTGCTGTGACTCACCCATCGGCTGACTTTCTCCCACGCACAAAGTCCTTCTTTTTCCAACGTCCAAAACTTGTTCATATCTCGGCTTTTGTTTGCTTTGGTCTTGCCTCAAAACGTTAGTTTTGCAAACCAAAAGCCAGATTTTTTGCTCGCTCTGACCACCACGAGGCCAGATTGCAGGACGAAAAGACTGGTAGTCCGGGTTTCTGCTTGCTCTTTGCAGCAAACCGCAATTGTGTTTTTTTTTGCACTTGACGTTGAGCTGCCTGCCTGTTCAGGAATTTTGGCGCTTCCTCGGGGACCATGACAAAGAGAGTCGTACGGGCTTTGTATGATTATACCGGGGCGGAAGAGTCCAGCTTGACTTTTCGAAAGGGCAATGTCATTCAGGTGCTGACGCAACTAGAAAGCGGGTGGTGGGATGGACTATGCAACGGTGAAAGAGGATGGTTCCCGTCAAACTATGTGAGCGACATGGAAACTTTGACTGACGCACCACCCGCCGAGCAAATGAAGGTTTGATACCTTTTGCCTCGCTGTTTCTTTCCGTATGCCTAATGTGTCCTTGAGCATGGAACCTAGAGAACGGTTCGTACTTCTACCGCTGATATAGTGTGCTTGATGATTTTGTACTTACTGTTTTTATTTTCACAGTGAGGACGAAAAGATTGCCCGCCTTCTTCAAGAATCCGGGTTTCTTTGAAGACCACAATGCCACTATAAAGGCGATGTGGGTACTTTTCCGTCATGCAGCATGTAGATTGTGAGCAGTAGTGACGTTCGTGTGCATCCGAATGCCATGGACGCTGGGATTTATTTTTTGTAGTTTAGTCTATTTTTTTGTGTTGGCATTTTGGGACCATTTTTTTTTTTTTCAGTTGTTTTAGATTTAGTCTTGCATATTTCGTATTGATTTTGGCACTAGCACACATTGGAGAATAGGCACGGACTCTTTTTCTTTTTGTTGTTTCTCTGAGTAGATGTACATAGTACTGAGAACTAGTCTCCGTATAGAATGTTTTTGTTGATTTGCACGATCAGACTTTTGCGTTACTTGTTGCTTTTTCTACAGTTTCATTGAGCAAAATGTCATAGTCGGTAGGAGACTCAAATTTCGCTCCTCGGCATGTAGCATTTCTATTCTATTGGATAGATAGAGAAAGTATACTATAAGTAATAAATAGCCAATCATCCTTCAAAAACGCTTTCATCAATGACGACTCCAAACTTTTCTTCCATAGCTCTCCGCATTCCACCCTCAATCACATCCTCAAACCCGGCACCCTTAGCACCAAAGAAAATCCATCCAAGTTTCTGCACTGCTCTTGACACATGGAACAAGAGCGCTGTGACAAAGAGGGTGGCACGAAATGTATAGTAATTTAATCGAGATGTAATAAAGGTGGTGAGCGGAGAGGTAGATGTATTGGACCATGCGGACCAATCCGATCCGAGGCTCCTTGCGGCGCGGTTAGCCATGATATTGATACGATTGATAGGTGAGCCGAGGGATTTGTTGTTGGCTCTCACCAGACTACAATAAACAAAATAAATACGAAACGAAAAACCCAGATGATAGCTTCTAAAAAGCTTACTTCATATTCCTTCCCAAAAATATCAATTCCTTTGGCACCAACTCGGTATCCCTCAAAAACGTCTTGACACTCTCCTTCATTTTCAGCTGCTTCTCAAATAGATCGTCTATTCCCGATTTATGTGGATCCACGTGAACAATCTTGCCGGGTGCCCATGGTTTTTGTATCGTGGCAGACGCAAATAGCTGCAAGTCCTGGATGCCCCATTTTGTTGCAATTCGAGAGAGTGCACCCGTATCGCCTAGGAACAGGGACTTCCAAAATGTTGCATACTCGCGGGTAAAGGTGGGTGCACATTGGACATATAGGCCATGGTCGAGGAGGACGATTTGGGGATGTGGTGGGGATTTGGGGTGTGTACGGATGATAATGTTGCCCGGGTGTGGATCGCAGTGGACAAATCCCGTTCGGAATATTTGCTAAAAGAAATGGTTGCGTCAGCACTCATTTTCTCGTCCATGTAATATGCCAACACACATACGTCCGCAAAAACGTCCACAATGGCACTCATAACCTCTTTCCTGCTCCACCCTCGTCGATCCATTTCCTCAATATCCGTGAAGCGGACTCCATCGATCCACTCGGCTGTCATGATTCGCTTAGATGTGAGATCCCAGTGCACTTTGGGAACGTAAACCCGGCTGGATAATGAGCGAGGAGCCTCGGCAATGTAGTCTGCTGCTCGTTCTGCATTGTGCGCTTCGTTTACAAAGTCTGTTTCCTGCAGGATGTGGGACGCTATATAGGGGGCCGACCATGTCCTGAGCAAAGAATCTGTCAGCACAGAACCGACATTGAGATAGTAGACAGTGTAATCACCTACATCGGTAACTCAAAGACCTTTTCAAAAGCCCAGCACAATACTCCATAAGTCCATAAATCCCAACCCACCTGCCGTTCTATCTGCGGCTTCTGCACCTTCACCGCCACCACTCTTCCGTCTTTCAATGTCGCGCGATGGACCTGCGCAATCGATGCACTCGCGACCGCCGTTCTCGAGAATGTCTCAAATACATCACTAGGCTTCCTCCCATTAAAGTCTTGCATGAAAATCTTTTCAACGGCAGCATAAGGCACTGCAGGGGCGTCGTCGAACAGAACACGAAAGGTCTTGGCGTATTCAGGAGGAAGTACGGGCACCGCCGCAATTTGTTGCCCAAACTTTATGTAAAGTCCTCCATTCTCTTTACACACGTTTAGGATCCGTTTTGCAACCCTTTCATGTAATGCCGCTATTCGTTCTGCGTTGCCTGGTACAAAGTTCAATTTGTAGTCAGCGGTTATCACGACACCATTGTACAGCGTTCGAAGGTTGCGGGTGAACGTCGAGTCATAGGCGTATCGATCAAAGGACCAAGCAGCAGTGCCAAGGGTAAAGAGGTAGATGGATCGCCGCAAGAAAGGGCGGTGAGGGAGAAAGCGTGATGGCATTATTGTGAGATCAATTCCCCCAAAACAGAGCGACCAAAGCGAGCGGGAAGGTGTCTGTAGGAGGTGACTCACCGACCTCGAAAGTGAGTGACTCAGAGCAGTTCGACCCTCGGTGCAGCCATTTTCCCCAAAACCTAATGACTCCTTTTTGTCAAATTCGAATATTCTATAATCGAAATCGCCTTTCATTTGAAACCGCATGGCGCACAGGACCTGTGCCACTCTCTTCCCGCCAATGGAGAAAAGACCGCGTGCCGATGCTTTAAAGCGCTGTCTATAAGAAGAGGCCCCGAGCGCAAAAATCCCTCAACACACCTCTTCCTCCAAACCAACTTTTTACACGCCATGGCTGCACGCAACGCTCTCTGCTTGTCCTTGTTGATTCTCTTGCTCGCCGTCGTCAATGTCCATGCACACTTTAAGCTGGACTCTCCGGCTGCCCGTGGCACCGTGGAGGACAAGGAGATAATGGCCCCGTGTGGTGGATTCGACACTCTCCAAAACCCGAGAAACCCTCTACCGCTCACTGGCGCCAAGGTTTCTATTACCGCACTGCATCCCGATGCCACTGCAAACTTTTACTTGATCCTATCGTCCAATCCCACTGCGAATGATTTCTCCTCAAACTCGACTACGCGGAAGCAAATAGCTCCTACAGCTACTGGTATCAAAATTGGCTCCTACTCCGCGGACATTGATCTTTCAAAGATTCCAGAAGCAAAGGAAGGCGTTCAGGCTACTCTGCAAGTGACTTTTGATGGAGGAGATGGACTTTTGTTCCAGTGTTCGGATGTAGTTTTGGGAGCGGCCACTGCTCAAACGCAAGGCAGTAAGAGTGCCGCTGATCGTATGAGCACGGCACGGGGATGGATTTTCGCGTTAGTTGCATTCGCTGTTCTCTTGGTGTAAATATCTGTATCAAAACCCTGTGACATTTGAAAGTTGAAATAGTTTTTGTACAATAAGAATGAAGTCTGATATGCCTCATTACTTCTGCATACCAATCCCGTATTGAACAGCAAATACAGGTTTGAAAATGGAATTCACGTGACGGGCATCCCAACTGACGTCAGCCATCCCGCGATACAAGGTAGCAACTCCCAGATGTTGTCGGTGCAAGATGCATTGGTACAAGGGGTTAGGTGAATATCGACAAAAACAGCAGGCAGATGTATCCTTCGTTAGCGGATATCCCCATTCCCCACGGTGTCCCAGCAAAAGATGCCACATCTCCAGGTTACCTAACTGCGACAGATCTGGCGCGTTTTCATGTTCACTTCTGCCGAAAGCTCTTGTGGCTATCAAATGACAAGAGAAGACGAGCAAAAAATCGTAAAGAATTCACCGAAGTATCGTTGTGGGATCAAGCAAGGTTCAGAAAAGGCACTAGGGTACATGATAATGTGCACACGTCATAATGTTGCATGCGCCTGATTGAACCTAACTGCAGTGGGAAGATCAACTGCGAGTCGGCCTCGAGTTACTTCACGGTCCACCGCACATCATCAGCGCTGGCGAACTCATTGGTCTCATTACATTGGACACACGAAAGCACTTTTACGTTGTCGATGTGGCATTTGCCTCGCCGTCGTTCAGCAGGCAATTTGCTTCCAAACGTTCTATCAGAACTGTCTCGTTTGGCACCTTTAAACCGGACTTTCTAGAAATATGGAAGCATACGGATGAGGGTAACTTTACGCAGATCAGATGGCGTGTCATTGATGCTAAGGCGTCGCGGAAAGTGAAGATATCCCATCAAGTGCAGATCGGGTATTACTGGCTCGCCCTCAACGAGATATTTCAAGAATGGGTTGCAGAACATCCCAACAGGGATGTTCAACTCATTGGGGATGACACCGGCGTTGTATGGATCCCGTCGACAAACTCGCGGCATCCTACTTCTGGGCAGTTCTCGGTTTCTCTTCTACGTCCGCTTCTGGAAGATTTTCTTTTCCGTGACGTTCCGGCTATCCTGGGGCGGGAACTTAAAAATGTACCCTGGCAGTACAATTCGCTTTGCTCAGGCTGCGAGTTTATGGACAGGTGCAGGAAGGAGGTGGTAGACGAAGAGAAACTGTCGATGATACCGCAGTTGTCAATGAAGGATCATCGATTTTTGCTGCATGTATTAGGTTATATGAGGAATATGAACTCGGGTCACTGCGCGATAGAGCCAGAGATAGAAGAATTGCACCGATTGCTTCATCCTTCTAAACCGAACGAGTTAGCACCAATAGAGCGGCTAATGGAGAGTGTGCCAGGGACGTATGGTCGTGTGCAACGTCTATTACATTTAAATCTTGATGCAGTCAAGCAACGGAAAATTGGCTCTTGCGAGATAGAAGAGAGCCCCGTTCTACGATCGGCCATTAGGCATACCGTTGAAATCCTCGGGAAGCGGTGCTTGGTGTTCCCAAGGAGGGAGGATGTGGCTGTGTATTTGTCGGTGGGCATCGACCCGGAAACGGACAAACTGTTTGGTTTTTCGATCCGTGCTGTATCGCAATCCCCTGGTACTTTTGAGTTCAATCGTCAAGTGGTCGCTGATGCCAGGGAACCAGACATTACGCGAATGTTTGTGGAAACGCTTGCGAATGTGATTCGACAATTGATTGCCATAAAAGAAAGCAAAGAGGACGAAAACCTTTACGTTCAATTTTTCGTTTTTGATTCAAACGATCAGGAAACCATCACCGAGTTTCTCGTAGCCCAAGCCTGTGAAAGCAATGCCGATCCAGAATCCATTCGACTGTGCATTGGTGCGCTTTTGGATCATTCGTCAGTTTTGCTTACGACAGTCCAACCGGAACTCCTGGCGTCTGCGCTGCTCTTCAAGCCTTCTAAAGCGCTGCGTATTGCAGAAGTGAAAAAGTATCTTCGGGTTTTTGGCGGACCGGACGTGGATTTGTCTGGCAAGAAGGAAGTATTATACGCAAGATTGGTGGAATGTCTTTCGCGTACGCACAGCAGTTTCCCGCACGGCAGCATCGGGCTGCAGAGGATGCTACCAAGACTCGTCTCTATTCATGCTGCTGTTACGGAGATGGTCGCAATCCCCGAACCGGGCTTCTACGGTCTAGATGAATGTGTTCGATGGTTGGTTGATGGGCAAAGCACTTCAAAGGAGAATGTCCATGGAGATCAATGGCTAGTTGCAATCTACAAAGCCTGGAAGGCAGGTGATGTCCAAAGAACATCGCTATTACTGCAGTCGCATGGAGAAATGCTGCATAGAGTCTCGCGTGGTCTCCGAGATCGGATCCAGGACTATTGTACGCGTAAAGAAACAAATATGGAATGCATATTGCCCAATGTTGCAAGGGATTTTCATGTAGTGTACATCGATATGTGCAAAGACAAGCATTTGAGAAGGTTACTGTTCATGGCACAGTATGAAATGATCAGCACGTAAGTCCTATCATATGATGCCGATACACAAAGTGACGGTCTTTTAATTCATCATATAGTTTGAAGTCGCACCTTCTTTCCCGTCTCCACAACACGGAGCCTATTCTCCTTTCCTATCGGTCAAAGCAACCGGACTCTTCCTATGAATATATTTTCAACGTTCATAGCGGCCTAGCTTATCTTGATACTGACCCAGATTGGGTAGCGTACAAATGGATTCTCGTGCGGGAAGGCTCGGATGCAGACTTGATGTTTGATGATCTGGCGTATTTCGATACCAACGGTGAGCGCCTATGGATAAACGGGGAGGAACGGCGGGATATTGCCTTTGCGAATATTATGGATGTCGAAGTTGGCGAGCAAGGCGTGCAGGTTCGAATCAAATTGCGAGCGGCTGGGTGTACATTGAAGGGAGGTACTTTTCGACTGAAGAGGCGGTAGGTTCAAGCCAATTTCTGCGTTCCTATAAATCAAGAGTTTCCTGATCCAGGAAACCTTCAGGTTAGTAGACTTCAACACTAAAAAAATTGTGAAAACGCTGATCGACATTGATCAGACTGCTCAAACAAGGTGATACCCTGTCGACGAGTATCTCATCAGCGTTTTACTCAACAAGCCCTTTCCTTAGCACTCAAAGACCCCTTTTCCTTCGCATGCTAGATGATGTTAACATAGTGGGAGCTGAGCGTCCATCTAACGCAGAGGACGATTTACGAGCGGAAGCGCGTTTGCAGACATTTTATCGAGAAGTGTACACGCTCTCTGGAGCTACCGAAAAGCCGTTGTTGTTCATGGGATCGCAAAACAAGGCTTTTAAAACGATCCTGGGTCGTTCGATTACACTAGTTTGGTAAGTCGACAGCTCTCTGGGTTGATCGTTTTCAGAGAGCTCATGGTTGGTCCGTGTTGACTTTCACTGTGTGTGCAGGGGACCACCAGGACATGGTAAGCTCTACCGATCAGCCAAACGCCGCGACATTCATGACCCTTCATAATGTTCAACATAACCGTTTTCCAGGGAAGACCCACACACTCGCTCTCGCCGCTCTCCGTCTCATAGAGCTCTCTGGCCGTCGATCTCCTGGTACCCCGTTTCGAATTCTCATGACTTCCTACACAAAAGCTGCACTGGCGAATTTTACCTCTAAACTTCAGCGCCTTATCGATGAAGTCAAGTCAATTCCCAACATGGAACACGGCGACTGGCGGCAACAACTCAATGTTGGCTTGTGCGATGACAGGATGCCTTCTCCTGCTACATTGCCCCTACACTCGATCGTCGCGGGCACAGTCTGGAAGCTGTGGAAATGGATGGAAAGCAATCCAACTATTGGTGCAGCTTTTGATGTTTTGATCATTGACGAGGGTAGTCAGATGCCTGTCGCCGACGCTGCTTTGGCCATTTCCGTACTGTGTTCTGGGACAAGCAACGTATCCAAACGAGTCATCATCGCGGGAGATCATTTGCAACTTGCTCCCGTTTTGAAAGGAACTTATCCCAAAGAGACCGGGCCGGGTGATCCGCAGCTCTATGGATCTATTCTCGAGTGTTTAATGCGAGGGGATGATGGAGAGGCGGTAGTCTTGCGGGGTAGACGAGTTTCTCCAGATGTGTTTGGGCCTCTCACCACGATGTTGCGCGAAAACTTCCGAATGGTAAAGGAATTATGTACATTTACGAACACCATATACCGCGGAGGGCAATTTGAGCCTCAACGATCGTCCTTGGTACCTGCAAGATCGCTACCCCACACATTGCGTGGTCTTTTCCAATCCACCAATGCCCTTTTAACAGTCATTTTGAGGCCTCGATCACATACACCACTTGACATGTTGCCTTTTGAATTACATTTACAGACGGAAGCTAAAGTGGTCGGCTGGTTGGTCGAGGCGCTACTAGAGAATTTCGAAGGGAGAGTTTTCGTTATTACACCGCATCGGGCACAAAGGTCCGCTGTGAATGAGGTTTTGAGAAAGAGACAGGTGAATGGTGGTGATCGAATCAGAGTGGACACTGTGGAGAGAATGCAAGGCGACGAGGTACGGACCTCTCCACAGCAAAATGCCAGGGTATTCGGATCATGTATTCACTGATATTCTTTTGAAATTTGACAGGCAGAGATCGTCATTGCCTGCTACGGATTTACGACGCATTTCGCACAGTATGTGTAGATCCTACTCTATTCAACATTTGCATCCTCCTCACATTTGATATTTAACCAGATTCGAATCCGAGCTAGACTTTGTCTTCCACCGCAACCGTCTCAACGTTGCTCTATCGCGAGCCCGCAACATGTGTATCCTGATTGCATCGCAAGCCATCTTACACCCACCTGTTTCGGTCCTGGCTACTCACGAACGTTGCGAAGCTTTTGCGCATGTTAAAACATTTGTTGAGAGAAGTGCCGTTGTGCAGTGGGGCGTCGACATGGTGGGTGATGATCATGGTGCGCCGCTGAGGGACGTGACTGAGGAATTGGCGGACAGGATGGAAAATATGGGATTGGGATAAATAATGGATGATTATGCATCATCACTAAATTATATCAGCATTTGCGATTTTGAGTAACGATCCTGACCGGCCGTGCCATGTACGCAACAGTCATTCAAACATGGAGTCTTGATTACAATCTGAAGAGATGCGCTTGCCCAAATGCTATCAGCTTCAGGGTGATAGTCATTTCATATCGCAAAGCAAATTGAGAAGAAAACGATTTTATAGCCACATGATTTCAAGAAGCTAAAGCATTACGACTGGTTCCAGAGGCGACCGTCGCAATATTGCAACCAATTCATTATTATCATTTTTAAGAAGTGGGTCATTCTTGCGCAACGCACATGGGTTTACAAACCGCGTCCATCATGTATCGCTACCGCCAGAGATCATGAGTTTGTATAATAGCCGGGCAGCGTATTTGCTGGTATTCAATCACCTCTTGCCAGTATACCCATACTGGTAGAGGTGTGGCGGGTAACGCAGGAATTGCTTCACTCTTGTAATAGGTTATCAAGGCAAAATTCTGATCCAATCGGCTAAGCAAATTCAGTTCTGTGAAAAAGGAAACAAGGAGACCTCTGCACAAATCTCACACGGCCCATTGCCGTGCTGCTCAAAGGCATGCGTAACTTTCTCATGCATACGCAATAATCTGCCCCACAATTCTTCTTCCGCTGGCCAGTCTCCCTGTCCACAAGTCAAAAAACGTGCGGGATCGCCAAGCGCCTTCCATTGTGCAATGGTGGTATTCTTTACCATTTGAGCACCCTCCTCACCGGCTGACCCAGAGCCCCAAGGGTTATCCATCGAAAATGAATCTAGTCGCTCCCAATTCCTTACAGCGTCGATGGCATCTGCCATGAGGTATCGTAGGAACGTATATACATTGACAACGGGACCAAGGAGGTTTTCATTGAGTACGAAGTCGAGGAAAGGGCGATACAAAAGAGATTGGTGCAGAAACACAGCATTAATAGCGTTGTAGCTCCGTAAATGATCGCTCAAGACAGTGGGTGACATTGATATAAAGCCTGGAATATCAGAGACTACCGAGTTAAAGATCGATGATCTCTCTGACGGTTTGGATGTAGGGTACTTGATATAGTTGTATAGAGAGAATGTGCACCAAAAAGTGTGGGGACAGAATACTTGATGTTCAATGCCTTCGTCGGTTGGTTTCAGGTAGAGAATGTACTCGGCAAATAATGGGTCGGTGGATGCTTCACTGGCCCGGTACCCATGGACGAAGAAGTCGGACCGAGAAAACTTGAACGATAGTCTAACGTCACTTTTATGGTATCCATCTCTACCACCCAGGGACCTGACTGTTATTTGGTCTAATCCCTCCAACGTCCTTGCTCTGCAAACGATCTGTGGTTCCAATGGCCGGAATTTGCATATGACCCGCCCGTCTGCGTTCTCAGCCGCATCCACACAAGTCATCCTGACTAACTGGTCGCCAAAAGAGAGTTCTATGCTCCCTCTGTATGGCGTAGCCTGCTGCCATGTCCGGCAAACCGCTGATAACCGACGGGTTTCGCGGGGTGGGAGGAAGGAGAAGATTGAAGAGAGGATAATGTGGTTATGGAAAGCGATCTGGGCAGATCGCGCCGAGGCACCTACTAGCGGCTGATTCGGAAACTGTGGGCGCTTTGGAGAAGTAAAGTACGTTAGCAAACCTAGGATGAGAGACGCCATAGTGAAAACCCTTGTCTCGAGCATCCAGGATTCTGGTAAATTTTTGGGTAGCATCTGATGACGTAGGTACCGCGGCCGTGCTCCGCGCTTCCTCCTCCAAACGCATTGCATTCCTTGTTGACTTCGATGACTTGGTTACTAATGAAGGTAAGTCAACACTTGTCAGGAGGACCGCTGCATTGGTTTAGATAGCCGGCTCTTACAGTAGCGGTGTATGTTTCTCGTATGAGGACGACACTCGAAAGATGCTGGATTGCTTCGCGTTAGAGATCGTTCCATGTTCCTCGGCCCGCTGATATGTTCCTTAAAAAGCAAAGAGTTCTAATAATTGCTTTTAAGATGTGCTTGTAGAAGCAGTCCTAAGAGACAACGCCAACAGACGTGGTCGTGATTTTGGCAATACAGAACTGAGCCGAGTTAAACGAATCGCAAAATCGTTATATTTGCCGGGCGTCCCGGTCCAATACCTCGCACCATATAGCCTCGTCATCCAAGTTTGGCTTGCAATAATGCCATCAATACTCTCGCGCCTTAAAACACTTTTACCAGGGCCAAATAAGCCGCCTCCACCTCTTATACCAAAATACAAACGACCTCGTCCGAAAACCATACATCCGTCCGACTTTGGAGGACTCAATAAGCCTTTGACAGAAACTGAGGATATTGTTGTTCCAAGATTGCCAACCGAGCAGGTCAAACCAGTTCAAGAGTATCCCCAACTTCGATACAAGCCGAGCCAGTGGGCGCATGTTCGAGAGCGAGGACGACGAAAAATGGCTTTTGTTTTGGACAAGTTTACTAGTGAGAAAGGAGCTATGGTGCTGTTGGGAATCACAGCCGGTGGGGTTTGGGGATTGGGCATATATGAGGCCCTGTTGAATGTGAAGAGTGGAGTACCGGTTGGAGAGGTGTGGAGGTTCGTTGTACGGTAGGTGGGTGTTTTAGTTGATGAACTTCAGTTCAAATATCTGCCGCGTGCCACACTAAGCTGCTTCGCTGCAGCTTTGCAGGAGCGAACACACTTGGAGCACTGACGAATACCAGTGTAGCCCCCGAGACAATAGCAGCCTCTCTCAACCTGGATCCATCACTATTCAATTTCATTCCACACTCTCCTGAAGCGTTATACAAAACCCTCGACCCAAATCAAGCGGAGGCTCGCCTTCACGCTGTTTACGCCAGAGTAACAAGGGGTCTTGCAGCAGGATACATGGGAGTCGCGTCCTTACTGCGAGTTATCAATTGGACTTTCATGGCCAGCAATATTTATCGAGAACGGGTCTTGTCCGGGAGGGAGCCGCCCTTCTTGGGAGTGGAGGGCCGAGTTTTTCGGTTGTGTGGACGGGTGTCGGATACTTTGACGATGTCATTAGCGAGAGACGGTGAGGTATGTGGAAGCGGATGCGTAAGAATGACAAGTCCCAGTTGTTTTCTTTTGGCTCATGGCGACTATCATAGCATGTTTTACCAATCATTGAGGAACCATCCAATGTCCGGCATCTGCTCCAAGAATATACCCAGAACGGTTCTGTTCCCATAGCTTGGCATATACGAGAAAATCAATACGGTTCGCCACAAGCGTGGACGGGACTGGTCATTGATGAGCCAGCCTTGTTGAAGACAAAGTCAGGAGAGCGGTTGTTATATATTGAGGTTATTTAAAATGCAAATACGTGCAGTGGCGATTCTGGTTGAGCTGACGCTGCTGACCATAGGCGGATGGAACGAACAGCGAAGATGCCTTGCGTTTGGGAACAGAGAGCGCGGACCTATCTCTGGAGGACGCCAGTGCCGTGAGTGATATTTGCCGAGATCTCGTCGAACCTTTATGAACAAAACCCCTCACGCCAGGCATATCGTATGATTGAAGACATTGCGTACCGCACATCCGGATTGCCATCTTTTACAACGGTCCGTGTATTTCTCGGTGACATGCTTCAAAAGGGTCAGACAGGAGGTGGGATGGAGTACACACTTCGTCAACGTGTGAAATTTCGGCACGAGGTTAGTTTATTTTCGGATTTGCTTATACGTACCACGGCTGAATGGTAGGAAAGGTGGACATTCTGATAGATTCAAAACTTCCCATTCTGACGGAAATTATCAAGTGGGCTGATAAAATTGCCGCACCTGGATGGCAGCTACGTAAAGTGGTATTTGAGACGGACAGTCAAGAGTAGGTTCATATGTGGAATGTTGTTTGTGTCTGTCCTCACCGCTGATTAATGGTTGGATACAGATATTTCCATAACCTCACTGCTCTTCTCAAAATCTATGGATTTACAGTTCTGGACATTTCCCAAGTATCCCCTGAGGATGCTGGAAAGTTGCCGCGGCTAGTCTACTATCGTAGGACAGGCGTAGGTTGATCGTTTACAATCTTGCATGAGACTGCATTGGGCTAATAGTTCTCCTATAGAGCACCGTCAACGCTTTCCGAGCAATTCTGGATGCGGATCCGATTGATCCGGGACGTATCTGTGTAGTGATCGACACAAAGGAAGGACTCGATACGGTCCAACAATTGAAAAGTCGCGGCTACCTGAGTGGCGAAGAAACAACCATCGTTTGCTCTAGTGACATTTACGACACGCTTTTGCGACAAGTGAGAACATGGTGCAGAATGGGATACACGCCCAAGCAGATCCAAGCCGAGCTGGATGCTCAAAACGTCTATGTGGCACAAGTCGCAAAAGCCATTGCTCAGCAGGCTGAAGATGCAAAAAAGAATGGAGAGTTGAAAGAAGGAGAATTCCAGGAAGATCTGGCCAAGAAAGAAATGGAGGATCAAAGGGCCAAGCAAGATGCAAAGAGTACAGAGAAAGAAGGGGGCAACGAGTAATTAGTTTATCAGATCAGTGGTGACACTCAAGTGCAGGAACGCTTTACACTAGTAACGGACAATGTCAAGCTGTACCTTTTAGTCTTATCTTATGACGGACTTGTATACATTTGATTTGAACAATTACCCAAGTCAGTACATCGAAGGCTTCAACTGCCACCCAAGCCCGTCCCTGTTTTTTTCTCTTTTGGCTTGCCTGCCGTCTCAATTTGGCTCACATCTCATCGCCAAAAGGGCGGCGATCTTCTTCCACATGCCAATCTAGCAAGCAGCTGCTGACAAAGCACACCTTTGCCACTTGCGCGCGCGTCCCGTCAAGGACTACAAACGCGGTCCGCCTCACGGCCCGTGTGGGAAAAAACGCGCTTCTTATCAGCGACATGTGAGAAAAAATTCTCAATAAGCATTCCAACCACAGTCTGAAACCTTGATGGGTTAATTCTAGCCAGCCAATCAGATTGCATCATGTCATCCCTCGAATTTTTGACATAAATAGAGGCCTCCATGGCGATTCCCCCTCCCCTTCTTTCAAACACTTCTGTTGATTATCCACGTCCGCTTGCAACTTGCGCTCATCATTACGTCGTTTCTTTGGGCTATTTTGCAACCCAAGCACACACATTTCAAAGATTGCGCTCAAGTTCTTCCATTTAAGGGGAACTGACAAGTGCAATACGTGTGCTCACATCTGTGATTTAAATTTCTCGAGCTTTTTGCCTTGAGTTTTTCAATGTACTCCCACTCTGCTGAGAAGGTTTCAAACGACTACATCTCCGACCAGGTATGCCTAGGATGCGCCAGCACACCCACAGTCCTCAGGTACAATACTTACTTTCACTTATGCTGCTAGGTTTACAAGAGCTCTGGAAGCCAGTGAACCCGTCCGCTACCAGCACATATATTTTCAATTACTATTTCTTCAATCGCCACGCAACGTCTCGCGTTCTCGCTCTCTTCTACCGCACAGCCTAAACACTACATCGACATGTTTGGATTTGCAAAAAATCTTGTCCGCCCTGCTGCGGTCGCCGCCCGGAATCCCATCAACTGGAACGCGGTGAATACTCGCGCACGATTCTTGGCCACCTTGTCCAATGACAAAGCTGGCATTCTCCAGCGCCCGGTCGGCACTCAACCTGAACCGCCCATGCTCCCCGGTCTACTGCGCCTGCAAACTGGGGAGTCGTTCAAGGCCACATCTTTTGGCGCTCCACTCACTGGCGCTCCAATGTCTGGGGAAATTGTCTTCACCACCGCCTTGGTCGGCTATCCCGAGTCCATGACCGATCCTTCTTACCGTGGCCAAATTCTTGTATTCACTCAGCCTTTGGTCGGAAACTACGGTGTACCGGCGCCAACTCGTGACGAATTTGGTCTTCTGAAACACTTTGAGGCGGACGGGATTCAAGTTCAGGGTATTATCGTGAACGATTACGCGACAAAATACTCTCACTGGAATGCCATTGAGTCTCTTGGTCAATGGTGTGCTCGCTACGGTGTCCCTGCTCTTACTGGAGTGGACACTAGGGCTGTTGTTACCATGTTGCGGGAACGTGGGTCGACTTTGGCTGAGATCCGGGTCGGAGAAGAAATGGTGAATGCCGAGCAGGTGCCTTTGGAGGATCCCAACGTGCGTAACCTTGTGGCTGAGGCCTCCACCAAAGTCAAAACGACTTACAACAAGGGCGGAGACGTCAAGATTGCTTTGATCGATTGTGGTGTGAAGCACAACATCATCCGGTGCTTGGCCAAGCGGGGTGCTCAGGTTGATGTTGTCCCGTGGGATCACGACCTTGTGCGGGACCCTGTAAAGTACGACGGTATCTTTATATCCAACGGCCCTGGTAACCCGGACAAGGCTCAAAAGACTGTTGCAAACTTGCGGGCGTTCATGTCTCAACCGTTCAAGGTGCCCACACCCATCTTCGGTATTTGCATGGGCAACCAGTTGTTGGGTCTAGCCGCCGGATACAAGTCATATAAACTCAAGTACGGTAACCGTGGTCACAACCAGCCTGCTCTTAACTTGGTTACCGGAAAATGCGTGATCACCTCGCAGAACCATGGGTACGCTCTCGATGATAGTGTCGAAGTTCCTGGCTGGATACCATTCTTCCGGAACGCGAACGATGGTAGTAACGAGGGTATTCGCCACGCCGTCTTGCCGTATAGCTCAGTGCAATTCCACCCCGAGGCTATGGGTGGACCTTTGGACACCGATTACCTTTTCAGCGATTTCGTTCAGGAAGTGCGAGAATACAAGGCTAAGCGGGACAACCAGAGCCGAATCGTAATGCCGACCAGCGTACCTTTCCAGAGTGTTGAACAGCAGCCTGCCGCAGTTGCCGCTTAATTTGCAGACGAATTTTTTGGATACCATGGCCATTCGCACACAAGTGTGAATTTCTTAACTGGAATGGGGGTGTTGTTAAATGTGATGGGCCGCTAGCATAGTTTCTTTTGTACAATTGTTCCATGTTTCACTTTGTCTGAAATATATCACAGACAATCAAATTGTGAAATGTTTCCACTTGCTCATGTTCAGTGAATATGTTACATAACCAAAATATGAGGGTATGATTACACTTTCTGTTGGATATCGTTTATACGGTCCACAGCATATTAGAATATATAACGGGATGATTGGTGCTTCAAACTAACAGCAAGCGCAATACGTCCCTAGTCGATACTCAGCTCACTGCCAACCTTTCCTTTTCCCTTCCCATTTCCTTGTTCCAGCGGCGCCCTGCTGGAACTCCTTTCAACCACCTCACCAAAGGACGCTTCCGAAGAAAAGGAACAAGAAGAAGACACTGTCGCTTCCGACGATGCTGGTTTCGCAAGGATTGGAGAACTTTCACTTCTCCCATACCCAGCGGCATCCACCTCTCGCCGACGATACATCTCCATATGATGCATTTGGGGGGGAGCTCTGTCCGAACATAACTCTACTCCAAGCCCTTCCCCCGGTTTCCACAGCTCCCAATCTCGTCCCTGCTTGTCTCTTGTTATCGTATCCGCCGCGTTTAGCGTTCGAGAGAATGTAAAGGGGGAGCTGGATAAAGCGAGGGCGGTAGGTGGTATTACAGATAGACGAGACCCAACTGTCGTATCTGTTTCCATTAGTGTTTTCAAGCCAGGTGGGATTGAGTTGCGGCGGAGGCGGGAGGTGTAGATTCTTTGAGTCATTGTGGCGGGTGTCTCTCCGTCAACGGCAGTCAACGCAGGGGATACAGTGTTTTGTCTGCCTGTCGCCACTAATGACGACGACGAAGATGGTGGGATGCTGGTTTCGTTTTCCGGACTGCACGGTCGATTTGTTGATACTGGGCCGTCTGTTCGTGCACTGGTTTCGACTAAATTTTCAAAGTCCCGGACCTCCTTTGTGACCGAATCGACAAAAGTCTGAGGAAATTTAATCAGCACTTTTAGTAACTACTAGAGGACAATGGTCAAGGCTTACCTCGAATTCGTGCATGTCGCTCCGCAGATTTGTCAAAGACGTCAGAGCGGTGTGTCGATTAGCCAAAGATGATCTCTCATCCATTTTCAGACGCTCAGGATCTTTATAAGGTTGGCGCTGACGAACGCTTGATGCTTCGGCGTCGACGGTCCGTCCGAAAGGTGCACTACGATGTCTACCATCCTCTGTTCTCCACGATGATGTGGTATCTTCACCATATCTCGGTGGTGGGGAACCAGCAGGTCTCACCCGCCATCGAAGTGCGTCCAACTGTTGTTCTATACTTTGTCGATAGCGACAACTCTGAGGCGTGTGTGGCTGGGAGGGCAGGTCTACATTCCACTTGCCATTGCTTATCGCTGGAGAGGTATCGCGTGACATGCTACTTGGACGCCAGCGAGATGTGCTGACATTCGTATCCAGTTCGCAACAGTCCGCCGTGTGTTGGTGACTACCGCTGTTATCATGGTGATCTGCTTCAGCCGCTCTAGCCGTGCGACTTGTATCATTTCTAAAGAAGCTGTGTTCGCTTTGGGCCATCACCTCTGCATATGCCCTACTCCATGCTTCATATCGTGTCGGCCAACGGCTTTGGCCGTTTTCATTAAGCAAGCTTCTCGAGAAAGTGGTGGGAGTATCCCCGGGAGAAGATAGAGGAGGGGATAAGTTTCGCGAGGAGCGAAGGTCGCTTGGAGATGGCGGGGTAATTGCCCTATTCGGTATAGGATGCGAATTGTAATCCATAGGAGAGATGGACCTGCCCGTTGTGAAGGATAGCATGTCCTCGGGACTATCACCGCGAGAGAAAAGTCTCGATCGAACTGGTGGCGACGGGGCATCCTCCATATCTGTATCAAACCTGGATGCATATGATTCTCGTGACTCCGTCCTGGAGCGGCTCCACGATGAGTTGATGCTGGTTCGGGGTAGTGACATTGATGGAGAAGTGGAGTTCTGCTGTCCTTGTAGTTCTAGGTTTGGACTAGCAGACTCTTTTTTCTCATCCACCGCACGAACGTTCGTCTCATTCGTTGTCAGGTCCGACAGAGTGGGCCGGACATCATCTCCAATATGTACGGCAATGTAGCTGATGAAAAATGTTAGCGTGGCGGAAGAACACGAAAAGGCCAAGAAGGTGCCACTCACTGAGACAAGTCCCGACATTTTTGCGCGTAAGTAGGCGCTCGTACATGATACCGGAATTCCAACACATCGTCATTAGGATCCCAGTATCCGTCCCTCTCGAGCAAGTCGAGTCGACAAAAGTGGTTATAACCCCAACATTCGCCAGGTGTGAAGTCGGATGAAAACTCCCTGTTTAAGCTCAGCGTATTGGATCCATGCTTGACCAATTCCACGCGGTATTGGTATTTTGATCGTGCAGGATATCCGCTCACCAATTCCACAAATACAGACAGGAAGAGGCCTTGCGATTTGCCATTGCCTTCATGGAGAAGTTTAGGATTCTATCAAGGCTGTTTGCTCTGCTTGCCAAGACGTACCTGAGGGATATACCTTCAATCGCCACATCAAACCAGAAACAAGAATGGGTTCTGAGTACACCGCATCTTCTGATTGCTGCCTTTCCCGAAACTTGTCGATGCGAAAGACCCCCATGTCATAATTTGGTACAAGATCGCTTTCAAATTCGCATGACACTTCGGGGAGAGTATATTCCTGTGGGTTTTCTGGATGTTGCTGTGGATGGATGTACGAAATCAGGCGAATTGCGTCGAAGGGGCGATTGAAATTAAGAGCATGTGCCGATCCGCCTTACCGTCTTCATCATGTAGATGATATCATCACTGCTTTTTATCAAATCAGAGTAAGAAGATTCGAGAAGGTGACTATGAACCGTTTCGAGTGTGGTTCCCAGCAAGTCCGTCTCTGTCGTAAGTCTCTCCTTATGTGCTGCATGATAGATTGGCTTCGTTCAGAATATACCCAAGATCTGATAAATCATGGCAAACTATAGCTACCAGTCAAAAGTGCCATCCTTGAATCAATCTGCTCATCCAAGCGGCGTTGCGCATTTCGAAGCAAATCTCGGTGTTGATTATCAAGCTAAGTTCAAACCGAATTCAGGATTCACAACAGATAAGTCCATGAAGCGTCCGTTGGAAGACTCACCTTTCGTTGTGCAGTTTTCAAGGCACTGATTCGTCCATCGACCTTCCTTATCAAGTTCCGATAATCATCGATTTTCTCGTACAAGGTAATAGTCTTTGCAGTGACGGATGCTCGATGAGTCTTGTAGACGACGTGCAAGTGCTCAAACTTGTGTTCCTTATGCTGGGGAGCAACGCCCAACGTGAGACTCACGAAGGAAACATGCTATATCACAAAGGTCGCTGTCGTACCTTTGCTTCAATGACAGCACAGTCGGGACAGATGGCTTCCCGACAATCATGACAATAGTAGTACAATTGGGCCGAATGTAGAAGACACAAGTCATCTTTGTGTTTGGCGCGATCGGATGCAGCCTTGCGAAGGTGCTGGAAAGGTTCCTCCGATTAATGAATTTCCTTTATCTGTCAGATTCCTTAATATGTCAGATCCTGCCTGCTCTTACATTCACAATGTCATCTATAAATCGGCACTGAACGAGCTGGGATCCTATCATTGGAGCCCGGCAATGTGGACACTGGCTCTTTTCTTCTGTGAGCCATTTCTATCCGATATTGGGCGACAAAGTGGGTAACAATGAGACTTTGAAGGTCTACGGTCATGCAAGATAGTATGAGATCTGACTCTACGCAGCATACAACACCGACCTTTACACAGGCTTCGCACCCAACTTTGGAGCAGCTTGGGCACATGACTGGTTTGCACAATGTGTCGAAGCAGATAAAGCACTTGAACCTTTAGTTACCAAAAAGAGAAAACAAAGTCGACGTGACCATCCCAATCAAATTTCAATAAGTTTGGACTGTTTAGGTTCCTTTGGCGGGGTACCAAGGGATTTTAGCTGCATGTTACTTTTGACCTGAACTTACATGTCATCCAACAATGGGGAGAGTGAAGCAGGCATAGGAGCTGCAGGAGGTGACACGGAATCGTCATCTTCTATTGAAAGTCTGAACCCACTGGCTGCCCGTCCTCGTCTTGCGGGAAAGTCTCGACTCTCCGGAGTTTCATGCACTTGTTGGGGTATCATTTTGAACAGATGTTGTTCCAATATCTGACAGAGACTCAAAGCAAGTGTGTGCACCTGTTCTGCACCACACGCTCATTCAACGTAGCTAGACGGATCGGACGGCTGCACGCATTAGGAAGCCATAAGAATTGGCATAGAAATGTCTGCTGTGTGGGAAAGCAACTTGCAGTTCGTCTGGGACGAAGCGCGTACTGTTGAACTAAATCACGTGATATCACACATCATGTGGGTTCGACCCTCGCTGCAGTCGTGTTTCAAGTTTTGTGATGGTGTTTTTGTTTGTCTGCCAAACACTTCACCTCTTGGGATCGGAGGAGAGTGTTGCGTATGGAATGTATTGAGCATTTCCTGATGATAGCCTTAATACTAATTTCGTACTCTTCAAACCTTGTTGCTTACAACCTGGTGGGGGGAAGATGAGACGGTTTGTGTTTGAGACTTTAAGACGCGTTTGATTAGTCCTGGGTCGGAGTTTTTGTGTGGCGGGGGGGAGATGAAAAAGAAGAGCCGAAAAAAAGGTCCCGAGTTGGCCTTTGACATTGGCCATATCATAGCGACTCTGGTTCTTTTACTACGACGCACACTGCTCCAGGTCCCCTGTACGCTTTAACGATTTTCTGTTAGGAACACATAAGAGAGGAACGTGGATACTGACCTGGACACCACTGTGATGGTTGTTGGGTCCTTAAAGGGTGTTCTACCTTCTCGTACCTTTTGAAGCTGTTGCGATAGTGTTGGCTGTTTCACTGTCGAGCGAAGGAAAAGTAATGTGCAATCGAGAAACTGTTGCCTGCGGTATAGTCTTTTTCTTGATGGCTTCGACGATCACCAAAGCAGCAGCCGCACCAGTAACAGAACTGAAAAGGAACGAGGGGAAGAATTTCCTACCCGGAGACAAGAGGGATAAGTCAGACAGGACAAGGGCGGAAAGGGAAAAAGCAGCAAAGGACAGAGCAGCCAGAGAGAGGGGCAAGGACAGAGACAAGAATAATGATAACGACGGAGGGCGTGGTGGTAATAACAAAAAAGATGACAACGACCGCCAAGGTGACGGCTCTCCTGGTGCACGCAGTCCTATCAGGATCGTCCTCGTCACCCCGACATTCCCGACGTCTCCTACACCGACCATTCCTGAACCTAATGCGGAGCCTGATACGGAGTCCGATATTGAAGGCTCGCCAACGCCAACTGCCCCCCCAACTACGTCCACGGACGTACCAGACTCACAAGCAACCACAGAAGCTTCTCCCGGCCTGACGCCTGTAAGCAAGCAGTTAGATCCGTTGCGACCAGTAACGCGACCCTCCACGGCCGCCTTAGCAGGAACTATGGCAGCTGCCATTGCGGTAACATTTATTCTACTGGCTCTGGCATGGTGGTATGCGAGATGGAAACGTAAACAAATGGTCAACCCCGACAAACTGGTTGCTAAGAACTCTGTGAAACGCCAAAAGACCATCGAGAGTAGATCTGACGCTGAGCAGGTTGAACACACAAAGTCGTCAACGACAGAGGCTACAATAACGGTGCCAGAGCCAGGGGTATCGAAAGAAGAATCATATTCGTATCCCGGTCAACATGATTCTGCGTACGATTTGCCAGTTGCAGAGTTTTTGTTGCCACCAATGAATCGCATTAGCGGGGCAACGACGGCAACGATGGCAACAACGACAACAACAACAACAACAACAACAACAACCAATGGCAGGGAAGCATCCATGCTGTCAGCCATAAGCTCCTCCCCACCGAAGGATAACCTGTGGCCCCCCGACTCCCCGCGAGATTCGTACGTCACCGCATCCGCATCTTTGTCCCGTCCACAACCCGCCGCAACACATAACTCTATGGCCGCCAGGAAGAGTGAGCCACTAGCCCTTGATACGTCATCCATGCGACCGTCTTCCATAGCCACACCGACCACGCCTAAAACACCCCTTCTTAAGCGTTTCCTACAGAGCTTAGCAACGAGGGCAACAGGGGACAAGGATCGGAATACTATTCTATCCCCTGATTCATCCCGTGCTAGTGTGAGCACAGATTGGGATTCCAGTAGAATGAGTGCAATGACTGACGGTAGTTTGAGTAGATATCTGGAGGACGACTAGTTGCTAGTCGAGTATATACTTTGTACATATATTTTGCAGACAATTGTATACAATGAAGAGTTCTTGTAGAAATCTTATGCAAGGCGAAATCCTTATCGATGCTAAATCATGAACAAGAGAATGGGGATGATATAGTATAAGGAGGATTTAGACCATTACATGACTGTGCCACCCCTACATGACTGTGCCACACTGGAAGGTTACACAAGAGTGAGAATGGGTCACGTGGGGCGGGCCAGTAGAAAATCACGTGTTGATTGATAGCGTAATGGGTTACACAAGAGCGGAGTTTGAAAATCACTCTTTGGGACTTTGAAATGTTAAAGCCAGAGTGAATAGTCTACTTCATTATACCAACGTCTCTTCATTTTACCCAAATAGCCGCCCACCCACTGATATGTACCCCTGTTCTCTGATACGTCAGACCTAAACTCTCTAACTGTAATCCATGAATCTAGCTGGGCAAGTGTCGGTTTATCCCCATCCGGGCGCCGTCTGTAGTAAACTTTCCACCCTCTGACATTATACCCAGAAACCCCACCACCAAGATAAAACGTATACACATCTAGCACAGTGTCGATTGCTGGTACACCCTCCATAACCAGGGGGTCATTTGGAAACTGAAGTTTTGATAAGACTTTATCTTTTGCATCCTCGAACCGTGCCCGCCTAACAATCATCGTCTGAAGCTCGGCCGGTAGTTTGTCCCAGTGTGACTTGGCCGTCATAGTAATTGTCCGAGATAGTAAGAAGCTTTCTTGAAATCGGCCGTCTTGGTGTTGTCAGGTTTCTTGCCCGCTCTCGTCAGGTACTTGTAGACGTTTCCAATACAGAATCCCTCGAATTGCTCAGTCGACAGTTTGGCTTTCAGGATGTCGATCGTCTCGAGTCCGCCCTCTTTATAGTAGTCGGTTTTACCGTTAATAAAGAGTGTTGTACCGTTAAAACTTGCCGGTTGTTGAGATTCCACTTTGTTGCTGCTTGGTATAGAACGCTCTCCGATAGTTTCGTTGATATAGACAGTCTGAAGTTTCGCCACTCCACTGCCGGGGGGATACACGTTGACCATCCTCTCTTTTGAAGAATCGTTGGTCTTCACAGCCACATAAGAGTTACCCGTTGTGTTCAAATACATCATACCAGTCCCGTTCATAGGAGCCACGTTGTCCATCTTCTTATAGTATGATTCCCCAACTGGCTCAAACGTGTAGAGCATGTAAGGGTAAAGTTTTCCACCGCCCCTTTTATAATGCCGTTCTCCCGAAAGGAGGGAAAGAAAAAGAAGCGACCTGTGACTGCCACACCTCATTGTCTTCCAAGGAAAAGAAAAGCTGTAAAGCTATAAAGGAAGCACTACGGCTCAACAACCCTGCACAGTTTTACACAAGATGCACCAAAGTATATTCGATGGGCCAGGACAACGAGAAGAGCAGTATTTGGATCTCATACGTGGCATTCTAGCATATGGGGAAAAACGCGCCGATAGGACAGGAACAGGCACACTAACCCTGTTTGCACCACCTCAACTACGCTTTTCGCTGGATGGCAATAGCTTCCCTTTACTCACGACGAAGCGCGTACCGTTGCGTATGATTTTTGAGGAACTCATGTTTTTTATTCGAGGGCAGACAGATGCGACCATCCTGAGCAAAAAAGGGTGCAAGATCTGGGACGGAAATTCGTCTAAAAAAGCGTTGAAACACCTTGGGTTTGGTGACAGACGGGCTGGGGATTTAGGTCCTGTGTACGGGTTTCAGTGGCGACATTTCGGGGCCGAATACACGAACGCGAAGGAGGATTATACTGGAAAAGGCGTGGATCAGTTGAAAGAAGTCATAAGACTTATCAAGGAAAATCCTACAGATCGAAGGATCGTCATGAGTGCGTGGAATCCAGCAGATCTATCAAAGATGGTGCTTCCACCGTGCCACATGTTTTGTCAGTTCTATGTGTCTACACCCCCACCAGGGGAACCAGCGACTCTTTCGTGCCAAGTGTACCAGCGGTCATGCGACATGGGGCTTGGTGTACCTTTCAACATTGCAAGTTACGCTCTTCTCACCATCCTGATTGCGCATGTTACCCAGTTGGAACCAGGCGTGTTGATTCACTGCATGGGGGACGCGCATGTGTACAATGATCATGTGGAGGCGCTCAAAGCGCAATTGGCGAGGAAGCCTAGACCGTTTCCGAAACTCTACATTTGGGGAAACGGGAGTACATCAACGACGGTAGATGAGATGGTTAAGGAACTGGAGGCGTTTGAGTGGGAACGGTTGAATTTGGTGGGGTACGAACCGCACCCTAAGATTACAATGAACATGTCTGTGTAGAAGTACAGAAAAGGTTTAAATAATCATAGGCCCTTGCCACCCTATAGGAAAGAGACGCCCCGTAGTCACATCCAATGTTCCTTTCATGTCTTTAGGTTTAAAGGCAAAATTCTTGAGAAAGTACTTTGTGAACACCCCTGAGCCCGGTTTGTACACAAACGTGAACTGTGGCACACCAACGACAGAAGCCTCGGACGCTGGATCTTGAAGATGTTCCAGCACAAGATCGACCATGATATCGAAATTGACAAGGGCAGATGTGGCGCGTTTGATGGAAAGCCCCTTACATTTGACGACCGTCTCGCCGTCGGCCGCACGCAATCCGTATGTTTTAGGCCCCATACAGACAGCAGTCCGGATCCCCCCATGTTGGGTGTCTAGATCTTCACGGGCCCATTCGCCCCACAGATCGCCTTCAGGGATATTGTAGTCTGCATCTGGGTCGTAGATGTAAACGATCGAGTCAGTATCATGCATCAACACACGATCACCGAGCTTGTGAAGGTGTTCATGTAACATCAATCTACCGTAAGCAGGGACAAAGCAAGCAGCAGGCAAGTAGCCTTTATGGAGATTGACGCGGACAGTGCCAGTGTTACGAGTCGTCTTGATCACGCTCCGTGAGCCAATACGGGTGTACCCTTTGAAATGGTAATTGTTGGTGGAAATATTGTTGAAAAGAGCCCGTTCGGCGTCGTCGACAGGTCCATCGGCCAACACATGCACCATAGGTAAGTTGGGGTTCTCAGCATGTTTGCCCCATGCAGAATTCAACATGATTTTGAATGTCTTTTTGTACGCCGGCTGGTTCTTCCACCTATCAAAACTCTCCTGCACCATCTCGCCCATCCCGAACGACCGTTCGTAGGATGCAACCAGACGGGCTTGCTCTGCGAGGGAAGGAGTGTTCTTTGAGCTCGCCATTTTTTCAACGAACAAATCTTTTAGTAGGGGACCCCACAGACTCGGTCGTTTGGTGTACTGGTCGTAGCGGTACAGCTCTACCAATTCACAACCTACTTCGATGGCGCGTTTGAATTCCACCGATGTGAAGATACCCTCGACCATGCCGCAGGGGAATGTACATTTGACCGTGTCTGGGTTGAAAATAGGTAGAACCGGGTGGTACATGTTAGGAACCTTGACTTTAGCAGCGACAAACCCGAAAAACGTTTCATCAGCCATCAACACATCGATGGAAGGTGATGCATTCGGAGCATAGTCCAAGGCAAGTTTACGATCTACACGGCGTCGTTTAACGTTGATTGAACAGTCTTCACACGGTATGGTTTCAGGATGTTCGTAGCACGGAAAATACCGATCGTCATATACGTGGATGGTAGGGTACCCCACAGGGTAGTCATTCGCCACCTGGACGTATGGATACATGGACACAATATCCACATATCGAATCCTCACACCACGATTCCAGTCTTCGTCGCTGATGTGGTGGTACACTTTCCTTGCGTCTGTTCGACCCCCTCGCAGAGCCTTACGAGCGAACCAGTACTCGGAATAGGTCAACACAGCCCAGAACTCAGTTTGTGCCAAACGTTGAATCTCGCGCATGAACAACCCTTGGTCTGTTTTCGGGTCAGGTAGTGTAATGTCAGCGCAGAGTTTGCGTACGGACACCTCGTGGATGTACCCTGGAGCCGTCGGGTTGAACCAAGGGCTCATCCCGAATTTCCCACTCAGGATAGTGTGATACTGTTCAACGACACGCGCCAAGATCTCAACATCATTGACACAGTACGCAACAAGTTCCTCCATAAAGTTCCAAGGTTTACCGAGTTGGGCGTCGTACCATGTGTTGAAAGCATCCAAATCGGCTTGTTTCAATACAGTGTAGGGTAAATCAAAATATTTTTTATCTGGAATCCCTTCGGTATGATTGTAGTTCTCGATGGAATTGAATAAATGGGGAAAATATCCTTTCCGCATACCACAATCGGCCCCGAGGAAATCGATAGCAAGACTTTTGAGAGATCCTTGTAAATGAAGCATCGAATCGATGAAGGTGCACCACCCTAACGTGAAATGAACGATCTTGTTTCCACGCATGATGGGTTTGATGGGCGAATCGTGGCCGAATTCTTTACACGCTTCTTCATAGAGAAATCGTGAATCGTACCCACTGGCATTGTGAGCAATGATGATATGGCGCGCTGAATTGTCACTAAACATGCGCCGCAAAAACCGTTTGAGGCAATCGTCGCCAAAGTATGTTTCGACCTCCCCCTCGAAAACGTTTTTGAAGACGACCAAGTTCGGAACATGTTGATGAATCTTTTCCCACCGTGTCACAACTGTTCCATCGTCATGACGAGCAAAATGATCGGGATGGTCTACGTCAGATTCCATCACCAACGTGTATTTGTCCTCAACGATCTGCATCCGGCTTTCAATGTCGTAGGCCCATAATTTGTAAGTTTTAGGGGAATCGTCTTCATCGACAGCTTCACTGGAAACGAAATCTTCCACTGTTTGGTCTTGGTCGATTTCTTCAGACGATCCTTCAAACACCATGGACGATGGGCGTTCAGGGTCTTTCAACAAGATACACCGATGAAGAGATGTCTTGGCGTATGGGACACGGCACACTTTACAACGTTTATTAGGACAATCGTGTTCGCCGTACTCTCCACATTCTCTACACTTTTTCATCGTCTTGGGGCGTTTAGTTGGGCGCATATCGGCAGTGACTGTATTGATAGGGCGCGGCGCCACACAGGCGGAGTGGGGGGTAGTTTGCAGGAACAACTCGACACAGGCGTGACAAAACGTGTAATTTCGTTGATTTCGACTTTTTAGTAATAACTCTTGTGGAGAACGGACGGCAGCGAAATGGGTTTGGTTCACGTCCATAGCGAGGTAGAGGCATTTGGAAATGTCGTCGTGGTCGAAAACGAAATCTTTACCGGCATACGTATGCTGACGAAACACCTTTTGGTGGTGGCTGTTCATCAGGATAGTGAGGCGGTACGTTGTAAAACGTTCGAGTTCGACGATGCGGCCGACTTGCTCAAGAGTGACTTCATCATCAAAACCGAGTTCGCGCTGTAAAGTGTACGCCCCACGATTGAAACTGAGCATGTTTGCTTTACTGCGGTAGTGTTTACGATCCCATTCCAACAACATGTGTAGAGCGTACGCAGCACAGTTTATAGGTGTGCCGTCTTCCAATGTATGTTGGAGCCACGTACGACCGACGCCCCTGTCAGTATCCATCTTAAAAGGAGGTTTGATACATTTCCCCCCACTCCCGTGGATCATTGCGTTGGGGTCCAAGATGTAAGTCCATTGAATGTCGGATATACCCACGTCCGCTTGGTAAACGTTTTCCAAGATGTTCAAAAAGTTGTTAAAGTAAGCCACGTCAAGAGCACCCACACGGATGGGGTCTTGATTGACGGTGAGCGAGCCATCCAATGTAGACCCTTGCATGTATCCCATAGCTGTAGCATTGATGTGGTCCACCGTCAAGTCGGAACGCCAGGTGGTGACAGCCCGAACGATCTCGTGGCGCATGATAGATGCCAAGGTACGTAACAAGGTGTTGTCATCGAACTGGGATTTCTCGAGCGGGGTGATAATGTACTCAAAGGAGACGCTTAAAGGACGGCCCGTGACTGTGTGGCGATCTACATCCAAGACGTATTCTGGGCGCCGTTCAGGTAGAGAAGGGGTAGAAGCTGAACGAGGGGTAGAACGGTTAGAGTCGCGAAAGAAAGACATTGTGGGAGGAGTCTTGGCAGGATAACTAGTAGGTACAGCCTATTTTATATATTCAATGAACGTTACACAACCTAACTCTAAACTTTTGTCCGAAAACTAGCCTGAGGTTGTCCGAATGTGTGGAGCGGCTATGTGGCGCTCACGTTAGACACTGGAACGTCAACCAGGTCCACGGTGTCGGTACAACGTGCCATAAACAAGTTACACAGCCCTGTCCCCGGGGGCAACGTGATGACAGTGTCAGTGTTGTTTACCACGGACACGGTAACATCAAAAAAACTTTCTGAATCCAGCAAGATGTCACGGACGATTAGTCCAGGTACCGCAAAAGGATAGGGTCGTCCACAGATGCGTCCAAGAAATCCCTTTGGAATCTGGATAGCGAATCCCAATGGGACGTCAACGGTCGCGCGGCCGGGGAGTACAAGCTTATAATCTGTTCGCAGGGAAAGGGTCCATCCAACGGAGTTACCGGTTCTGTACGGTAAGCGGGAAGAGTCGGTGTGGCGGAAACAGCGTAGCTCCACACGTTGAGACACCGCGAACAAATCTCGTTTCGGGTCTGCGGGCGCGGCGGGTCTCGGGCGTTGGTACGGAAACATCCGTTGTACAGACTGTCGCCCGTGGTCGACGGGCGTCTGAAGAGGTTGCGCAGACGTTCCGTACGCCGGCGGAGCGTGTCCACCAGTACCGTGGAAAGCCTGCGTCGTGGCAGAGGGCTGGTGGTAGGTGCTGGTTGGCGTTGTGGAGAAGTTGTGTGGGCTAGGGCCTGGTTGGGCCATTTGCGCGAAGTCGTTCGAGGTGGGATGACCACAGGCATACGAATCCATGTGAAACGTTTTTTCTTTTCTTTAGAAGAGGATGTGACGGTGAGCACAGTTGTGGGAACAGAGGGAACGCCCGAACTTGGCATGTTTTTATCACGAAAAGAGGCCCATCTGACAGGTGGAATAGGATGTTTTGGACCAATGCGGCGATCGTAATAGGCGCGAATGGGGGCGGGGTACGTGGCGTCACGGCATAGGCACCAACGACACTTCATGGCGGCCGAATGGTTATAAAAAGGGCGGGTCCGGCGTTCCCATCCGCTACGGCCGCTCAAACATACCGTACGCCTTTTATACTCATTGGAAACATTCAATTAACGGACCATGACCACACCCACCATTCTCGGATTGTTGTTGGCTGACAAACAAATTGGAGTCGCCAAGTTTGCCATCGACGATGCCAGCGACAAGACTGTGTACACACCGTTTGTTTACAATGGTAAACAACTGGTTCTCGAATGTCAAGGGCACTTGGCTGCCAGCGGCATAAAGATCTTCAAGAACGGCAAGTCCGAAAATCATGTCATCAGTATTGTCATGGACGATTCCGATGTGTTGGAATCCTTGGTCGACATGTTGGGGGCGTTGCCTCAACTTGCGCAAGGCGAAGAAGAATGGGAACCCAAACATCCGACGTGGAACGGACGTGTGGACTTTTCTCTTGGAGTCAACAAAAAGAGCGGCGCCTACTACGCCGACATCACGCCGAAATTCACCCCAAAGACCGCCTCCAAACAAGAGACCAATCTACAGAAGGGGTACAGTTGTGAGATTGTTTGTTCCGTCAAGGCGTACATCAACCCAGAGAAAAAGTCGTACGGATTGGCGTTGGGTGTGCGCAAAGTCACCGTCGATAAATCCAACGTGAAGGAAATTGAGTTCAATGAACGTGAATACGATGATCTCGAAGTGATCATGTTGTGTAAGTTTTTATTTGTGTTTGTGTAGTACAACATTAACTTGGTATTGACTGACATGTCTACGTAGAAAGATCCAAGATGTCGAGGCTGTGTCGAAAACCAACCCAATCAGTTAGCGCATATGGACATAGGAGGGTGCTTAACGCAGCAGTTAGATAATTGGTTGAATACGATAAAGTATTTACCTTAAATGTGTAACGTAAATAAACCAACTATAAGACAATCAAGTCGTGGTGGTGGTGGTGGCGTCCGTTGTTCCAATGTTCATTCGTTTCTTGAACAAGGTTGCTGAAACCATGGCTATGGCGTGCACCACTGAATTGGCTTCTGTACAGTTCGAGAAAGCGAGGACTTCTGAGGCGAGGAAAAGAGCCAGCGTGAGGGAGCCGCCAATAATGGTCACCCATTCACTGGGTGAAAAGAGGCAGGCTCCTGACATGAGAAAGGCAAAAAAGACTATATAAAGAGAGGGCCCACACAATTCTTCTATAGGCCCATTGGTGTCGAACACAACATGGAATCCATCCACTCTACAATCCAATGGTTCAAGGACATGTGCGAGCGTAAATTGAAGGACCCCCCTCCCATCGCACTTGACTTAAAGTACGGATACGGCGTGGAGGAAGACGATAACGACACGGTGATCGACGAGGATACGGACTCTGTGTTGGTAGAGCGTTTGACGGAAGGATTATGGATTGTACCTGTAAACGCCCCAGCCAGACTCGACGACTATTGGACCATGTTCAGGTACACATTTCCCGAACAGCAACGTAGTGGCCTCGCGTATCTACTCATCGAACGTCGCGACGCAGCGCTGGAAATGGCCACCGAAACGGCCATCAACGCTCAGTGTGTGATGTCGCCAGCGTTGAAACGCAGGTTCTTGCACCTGGCGCTGGAATCGCGTATGGAGTTGAGACGAAGGGAGGTGGTTCTCCTCAACTTCCAGGTGCACACAGGCTTGTTGGGGATCCGCTCAGGGTGTGTTGGGGAACTGTTTTTGGCCTGTTCTGCGCTGCACCGGATCCGCGTGTTTTTGTACGATCTGTTGGAGAAGGACTTGGTGACGCGGGGGCTTGGGAAGAACTTGAAGAAAGCCAAGCATGACCACCCGACGGCCATGAAGCGGGTCATGTTGCTGAATGCGAAACCATCTCGTTCAATGGGGTTTGACGATCTCGCGATGAACTTGCCCCACCAACTGGATTTGGTGGCCACCTACTTTCAAACATTAATGGATCACATGATTCGGGACGATCGTTACGTAATTAGATTTGAGGAATTAAGTGTATTAACGCGTTTATGTGACATGGCCGTCAAAAGTATGGGTGGTGTATTGAGTCTATGCCTACACGAATAAGAGCTACTTTCTACTACACTACTACTACACTCGCAGTTGCGTTGGACGTCTGACAAGGTGCATCACTTTTTGTTGTTTTTGATGAAGAGGGGACCGTGTCAACGATCAGGATCCCTACCGGTTCTGACGACGTTGGTGTGGTGGTGGTGGTGGTGGTAGTGGTTGCCGTCATGTTGTGTGTGCACGTGGACACCACTGTGGTGGGGGCCGAGCAAGTGGCGGATCTGGTGGAAGTGATCAACTGCGTGAAGATGAAGGTACTGAACTTGGTCGTCGTAGATGTGGCAGTAGCGGTCGCGGTTGTGGTTTCTGTAGAGGTTCGATTAGGAGCACAAAACGTGAACGCAACGCATTCACGATTGAGGGGTAACGTCACGGCAGGCAGAAGGGCCGTACTAGCGTTCGTGCTGGCATTTTGGCCCACCGCAGCCCTAGCAGAGAGTACGATGGAGGAAATGAGGAACAGGAGACACTGCATCATGGAGGAATTATCGATAGTATAGGGTTCACATAAAAATGCGACGTTTAAAGTTGTAAAAATCGCGATCGCTGATGAGTTTGACGTGGTTACCGTCGACGAGGACATGTTCTTTTAAACCTGCGAGGTCAAGGCGAACGCGCAATTCGTTTCCAACCTTGGTGGCTGTGACAGGGTCAGGGAGCGTCCAGCACCTCACGAGGGCGCGTACTGTACAGCCTGTATCTTCGGCCAACGCGACTGCGAAAGCCGAGTCGATGGTTTTGCGAGCAATGTGGGCAAGGTTGCGACGGAAGAACATGGTTGGGTTGTCTGGTGTGAGGAGTGAGGGGCGAGACGAGCGTTTTATAGACTTTCTTTTAGTGTATAGTCAGTCATGCGTCGGTGGTGTTCAGCTGTGTAAACAAGGCGCTCAACTGTTTGTTGTGTAGTTCTGTGTACGTCCATGGAATTGTATATGGAGGAGTAACACCATGAAGGTCGAGAATGGCCAAGCAAACAAATAACATTTTTGGGAACCGTTTCCGCTTGAGATCCAGATGTTTATGCTGGAAGGCGTGATGAACCCGCGTAAACATGCGCTGCACAGAGTTCATGGTGTGGTCGGGCGGATGGGGCCACGAAGCGCCGCCCATTGAGCGTATGATGGCGGGGATGGACAAATACAGTGGCTGTAGTTTGGCTGCTCGTAAGGCGTCCCGCACCTTGATGTAAACATCAGGACGGTTCACAGCCCCGTCACCCCCAATGTGGGCTTTCAGTTCAGCTAGAAAAGAGGCGTCGAAGGGCCCGCCCATGAACCCCAGCGTGTGATAGAGTGTCCACCGGAAAATGTACGGCCGACTGTAAATATGTTTGTGTGTTTTACGCACGCGCCCCCAGTCCGATGGATCGAGGGCGATGGGCCGAGCGGTTTCTCTGGATTCGTAGACAATGTACTCATTGTAACCATACTGTTCAGGTATATCGAGATCGAGCTGATCGGACGAGAAGATGGGTAAAGGTTCGGCGTAAGTGTCGCGCTCGTAAGCGATCGGTGTGTCCGGAAGTCTGTCCGGAGTCTCCTGCGCCACATCTTTATGTTGCCATGGATACAGATCTTTGAATTGGACAGGGTCCACATGGACCCCACATGATGCGAGTAACTGGAGGTAGGTGTCCGCCATAGGGCAATGACAAGACTGCCAGTGTGTGCAGTTGGTATTTATAGGCGATGGATATGTTGTATTGGATGATATGTAGAGTGTACCTAAGCATTTTACAATTCCCTATCATCATAATAACAGCGTGTCACTTCTATAATATGCTCGTAATTTGTGTCAGCGGATGATTTTGCACAGGTGTTGGTGCCGCTTACTACGAGTTTGACATTATATGTTGTGGTACTATCCAGTTTGGCTGATTCACTGAACTCGAGATGTTGAAAACTTCCGTTTACAAACGATCGATAATAATCTGGGCTCACAGCTGAATAAACACACGTAGGATCTGAAGCCCCAGCGCTCGACGATGTAATGGCGAGGTGCGCAGTGATATACCCCGTAGCCGTGCCAACCGCAAGCCATTTGAATGTCATCGTGTATAAACCCGTTGTAGGTACGGCGAAAAAGACGCTGCTTGATGAGTTAACAAACAATCCGCTGCCATTCGTTGTGTCTGTGGCCCCTATCACACGTTTGACGATTTTTCCGCTATTAACACTATTCACCCACGCCTGAGTCGCCACGATGTTGGTTCCACTCATGTACAAATTACCACCAGCATATAGAGCTCCACCTACGCCCACACCGCCCGGAACCACAAAAGCTCCTGTAGATGTGGATGTAGAGGCTGTGGTGCTATCCAACGATATATTTCCAGTAGTAGCTGCAATGGTGAGCCCCTTAGCACCTGTAGCTTGAATGCGTGTATTTCCAGTATCATTGCGCAGGGTCAAGGTATTCACTCCACCATCCGCCGAGCGAGCGGAACCGTTTTTGAACAAGGTGGCGAAATTGGTTCCATCTCCCAATGCAACTTCAGCGTACGAGTTGCTTGCGCTGATGACTTGTGTATTTCCATCGAATACTGTGGCACCGGTGGTTTCTGCAATGGTCAGTCCTTTTCCACCTTTAGATTGGATTTTAATTTTTCCGGCACCATTTTGAAGCATTAAACCGTTGGTCCCAGCCCCACCCGTGTTGGTAGACGAGTTAAATAACAAATATGCTCCAATAGCCGTATCATTTTCAAACCCGATAAACGTTGTCGCAGATGTACCGTTTGATTTGTTTTTAACCAAAAACGTGCGTTGGCCGTTCACCGAGGTGCTCCCCAATGTATAGAAATTCACATCCAAGGTAGGTGTTGTGCTGCTCAACGCCGTCAAGTTGGTGTTAAGTGGTTGTTTTCCAGCTAGGCTGCTATCCACATAACTTAACGCAACCAACGGGTCCACCCCGTCCTGAAGCATCTGCCCATAAAACTCTACATCGCCATAGAACCGTGATGTCGATCCACTACCCACATCCAGTTTAGGTAATGAAGGATTCGCCCCACTCAGACTGGTCAGGTTGGTGTTAAGTGGTTGTTTCGTGGCTAGCGCTGTAACCACATAGTCAGTTCCAACTAGAGGATCTGTACCGTCGAGCAGAACCTGCCCGTAAAACGCAACGTCGCCATAGAATGTTGATGTATCCCCAGCACCAACTTCCAGTTTAGGTAGTGTAGGTGTAGCCCCACTCAGGTTGGTGAGATTGGTGTTGAGCGGTTGTTTACCGGCTAGCCCACTTGTCAATGCAGAGTTGGTGGCATAGTCCCCCGTAGGTTGTTTCGTCGCTAACCCGTTGGCCAGCGCCGTGTTTGTGGCATAATCCCCAGCATCTTGTTTCGTAGCTAAACCGTTCGTCAATGCCGAGTTTGTGGCGTAGTCACCAGCATCTTGTTTGGTGGCTACAGCCACATCCACATACTGTCTCGTAGCTAACGGAAGAGGGTAATCTGGATTCAATGTGACGATAACCCCATCCCCAGCCAGATCCACGTATTCCTGGGTAGCCACTTGTTTGCTGCCTTCAGCTGTGACTGTGCCAGTCACCGTCAAGTCACCTGTCAGCGTAGGTGTTGCACCACTCAAGCCTGTTAAATTGGTGTTGAGAGGTTGGCGAGTCGCTAACCCGTTGGTTAGGGCGGTGTTGGTTGCATAATCACCAACAGCCTGTTTCGTCGCGAGACCAGTATCCACATATTCTCGTGTGGCGAGTTGTTTACCCCCTTCTGCAGAAGCGGTTCCCGTAGCAGCTATGGTTCCGTCAAATGTGGCGTTTCCAGTGGTAGGCGCAATCGTCATACCTTTACCACCTGTAGCTTGCACTCGTGTGGTACCCGTATCATTGCGCAGGGTCAGGGTGTTCACCCCACCATCCGCAGAACGAGCGGAACCGTTCTTGAACAAGGTGGCCATGTTGGTTCCATCCCCCAATGCAACTTCTGCGTATGAGTTGGTTGCACTGATTGCTAACAACTGGGTGGATTGTATATTCCCATCTAACGTCATGTTGCCGGTGGTTTCTGCAATGGTCAGGCCTTTTCCGCCTTTCGATTGGATTTGAATTTTTCCGGCATCGTTTCGCAGTCGTAAACCATTCGCCCCAACACCGCTCGTGTTGGTAGACGAGTTGAAAAGCAAATACGAACCAAGAGCCGTATCATTTTCAAAACCAATAAAGGATGACGCGCCAGTGCCTGTCGATTTATTTTTCACCAGAAACGTACGTTGACTGTTCAACGGGGTGCCCCCCAATGTGAATGTATTCACATCCAGAGAAGGGGCGGTGTTACTCAAGCTGGTCAAGTTGACATGGAGGGGTTGTTTTCCGGCTAGACCACTCGTCAACGCTGTGTTTGTGGCATAGTCGCCCGTAGGCTGTTTCGTGGCCAATCCTGTATCCACATAATTGGTTAATGCGGTCGTTGTGGCTTGCAAATACGGCGTGACCAGTCCAGGGAATTTGGTGGAGACGTAACGACGCAAGTAATCGAAATTCACAGCTTGCTCTGCTTCTATCAAATCCAGATTCGTGGATGCGCAGGGTGGTGTGTCAAACAATAACCGCGTACAACCCCCCGTGTCATCGCCATAATCTGAAGCTGCGATAACTACTTGAGAGTTGGGAACCAGCACATAGTTACCATCTCCATCAGTTTCCCATACAGGATTCCCCTCCCCATCTACAACAGGTGCACCGTTTTCATCTTCTTCTTGTTTACGCCGATGGGCATATCCAAAGACCGCGATCCAGCCGGCGGCCGCCACTGCCGGCCCGAACAATGCTGGAACCAGACCAGTGCCTGGCGCTGGTGAGACAGGCCCCAGTAACCCACCAGAAATCGGTGCCACTGCCGCAGCAGGGCCAGACACACTGACCGTGTTGCTAGACCCGTCGGCTTGCTCGGTCACATCCTCATCGTTGTTTTCTTCCGTGTCGTCATCGTCCGCTGTTTTGACGCCTGTGGCAGAAATCACATTCCCAGTGATGGTGATACCTGGCCCGGGGATGTAGCCCTGAATCACACCCCCCAAAACAGTAATTCCGTTTGTACCGGTGTACGACCCCTGAATATTGCTACCCACAACAGACACACCGCTGGATCCTGTGTAGGCTCCTTGGATACTGCTCCCACTGACAGTGACACCATTGGTCCCCGTATAGGAGCCTTCAATATTTCCCCCGTTGACAGTGACACCGTTAGACCCGGTATAGACTCCTTTGATCGTATCTCCGTCCACGGCCACGCCATCAGAACCTGAATATGCCCCTCGAAACTCATTCTCTACACGCGTGACACCGTTGCTTGCGGTAAGAATGTCTTTGACAGTGACCGTGTCGCTGTTGGTCTCTATGACAAGCCCGCCTTCAGCATATAGGTCTAACAGCACTTCGTGATCGCTATTTTCAAACAAGCCCCTCGTAAACGTCCGTGTGTCTCGAATTTTATTCACCTCTACCATTTCGAGAGCGCCCTCCACTTGGAGAGCCAATTGAATGTCATTATTCGTGCCTGACCGGACTTGTAACCCGTTGATGGGCTGAAAATTCAACCCTGACGCAATCTTGTCTTCAACGATGCGAATGGTGCTGCCGTCCACGAGAGGGGATGGGTTAACAGCAACATTATTGTTACTGTCTATCTGTAGCGATGCAGCACACCTCACACTCAGTTCACGGCGACCATTGACTTCAGCCGAAACGTCAATGCCGCCAGCTTGCTTGGCTTGGATGAACTGAGCCAGAAAGCCTTTGGTGACCGCATAATTGTCTTGGCTTGGGGAAAAGCTGAACCTCGAGGCCAATTGCACGTCGTCCAAATCCAGACGGTTAAACGTTTCGTTGTAGGTGAAATTAGGCCGTGACTGTAGACCGTTAAACACCCCAAAGTAAGGAATACGCCCATTCCCGTGTGTTTTCATTTCGAGTTGACCATTCGTTTGCGTGAAATCATTGGAAGCCATCAACCGGAGAACCGTAATGTCAGTGTCACCCAGAAACGTAAACAAATCGGTCAGGGTGGAGAATCCCAAATCCAACAAATCGCCTGGCAACAGGGCGGACAGTTCCGTTAAACCGGATGTGCTACGCAGGGCCCCAAGGGGTTTCAAAATATTGGTGATGTTGGTTTCCAATTTTCCGTCATCGTTCACCTTGAGCGATTTGTGGAGATCTAGAGCCAACTGTTCTTGGTCCACTTTGAATGGGGTCTTTGACCTCAACCGTACATGGGTGGTTGAACTCTCGCCTGGTGTAGTCTCATAATACTGTAAAGGTGGGTCCAATGCGTTGGCTGTGCGAACCACCGTTAACTGGTTGTTGATATCCACGAACAACGTGGCTGGGTCCGTGTCGAGCGAGATATCGATGGTGTCCCCTGCACGTACAGCATCGAGAGGGGGGTTGGCTGTGACACCTTTGACCAGACCGCCAAAATCCGCATACAGTTCGTTGGTCGCATCATCGACTTTCAATGTATCATCGTCAATGTTGAGTGATATTGCAATGTTGTCACCTGTCCTCTGGGTTTCGAGAGGTGTGCTGCTTGACACCTGTTTAACCAGACCGTCAAAATCAGCATACAACACTTTTGTAGTATCATCCACTTTCAATGTCAACTCGTCAATGTTGAGTGACAGGTCAATGTTGTCTCCTGTCCTTTGAGCTTCCAGAGGATCCTGTGCGGTGACGCCTTTCACTAACCCGTCGAAATCCGCGTACAATTCTCCAGTATCTTCATCCACTTTTAATGTCAATTCGTCGAACGCCAGCCCGACTGTAGTGGTTTCGTTGGGCTCATCAAACACTTGCGTGATGGGTGCAGTGGCCAAGATATCTTTTACGATTTTCCCCGCGGCCGACCACCATAACGTTCCCGTCCACACTTCCACCCGGTTTGTGTCGGTATTGAAAATGACCGTTCCTCTTTTCACATGGCTCAATGCATCTCTCCCTGCGGTGGTGAACCGTCGCAAAGTTAATCCTGGCGCGATACTGTTGGGGGTATTGACAACGACATCATCTTCTACGTTCACACTGTCAAAGACCGCATCGTCTGAACCTGTGAGGGTCTTGCTGGAGGGGAACGGTCTTGCTCGTGCCATGATAATTATTGTATGAAAACATATAATTAAACGATACTCTGACCATGGGTAAATCGTGTTGTACGAGTTGTTTACGCCCAGGCGGAGGAGGAGGAACCTGCCATAAACGCCCGGTCGTCAGGTTCGCCCCCGTCGATCGTACGCCCACGTACCCAAAATCCAGTGTTGTCACGGGGGCCATCCCGCCTATGGGCGGTGTTGTGGGTAACGAAGGCGTGAAAGCCACCTCTGGAGCCGACATTGCCGAATGGGTCCTTCCTGAACATCGCCCTATTGCCGCCATGGTGTTTGGACTCTTGTACCAGAAACGGCTCAAGGACGTGGATGGGTACCTCCTCCAACCGATGGAATCCCTGCGTGTTGGCGTATGGTACAACCGCGTCAAACACCATACGGTTGTCGGGTTGCGGGGCACCTTGCTAGGCGCTCAAGGCGGTTTACAAGACCTGAAAGACGACGGCGTGGTGAGCGGACTCTTGGGCGGCGCGAGTTGTGATTTAGGGATTGTGAAGGAAGCCACTACGGTCATGGACACTGTGATGGCGGCCTCCCACTTGAGGACCAGTTGGATTACCGTGGCGGGATTTTCCTTGGGCGGCAGTGCAGCCATGTGTTTAGGCAACATGTACCCCCATGTCGAAGTGGTCAGTTTTGCTGGAGGGGCTCCTGCTACGCAGCCTACGTTGGTAGGGCCAGGCCCCGATCGAGCGATCCACTACCATGTCGTTGGCGATTTGGTGAGCAGCCATATGAGTCCCGCTGCGGCTACGGTCGTGAGAGTGGATAAAGGGTTCACCGACTTTTCGGTGGTCAAACACCATTCCAGCGACCGGTTTCTGCGGGCGGATTGGGCAGGGCGGCGGGTAGACGCCGACTTTGAAGATCAGTTGTTTCTGGCATGGGCCCGCGGTGACAACCGTAGTACGGCTGGAAAAGTGTCTACATGGGTGAAACAGGGATTGATCTCGTTACTGCCCTCGCCTTTACGCACAGTCGCCGGGATGGTCGACTCCCAAGTAGACGCTACGTTCGCTCGCGTGGCCGAGTCTTCGCCTATCCCAGGCAGCACGCGGTTCCTCCAGACTCAAGGGGACCCGTTCACCCTAGCAACCGAATTTGATAAAGATGATGAAGACGACGAAAGTGGAGAAGTACTTTAGCCATAAAAGGAAATGTAAATTATGTGTAACAATATATTACTGTGAAAAACAATGGCCGACCATTTTCGTTTCTACCCTAACGCCGAGGACACCATCACCCCGTGGAACGCGAGGTACCAGTACCCGTCGCAATCCAATGCGGCGAGGAAAGTGACCCCGCGTATCCCGCCCGTCAACGGGATGGTGTTTGGCGCCAACTATGGGAAATACATCAAAGTCCAGTTCCCCGCGCAAGGTTACGTCAACCCGACCAACACGACACTGACGTTTGACGTTACTCTCACGGGGTACTCCCAATCCTCGGCCGTCGAACAAGTCAGGTTCCAAAACAACATTCAATCGATTTTCAAACGTGTCAAGTGGATGTATGGGTCTACCCCCGGTGAAGATATTGACGACTACAATGTGATGGTCCGCAATTTGACCGAATGGACAGCGAGCAACGCCTATGGCACGATGGATTCCACGTCTATTAATGAAGGGATCGGCGGGGTGGTGGTTGGACGGACCCTCACTGCCGGTGATCCAAGCCCTGTACAATCGGGTGCTGCTCTCGTCAATGCGCGTCAAGCGTACATCCAAGGCATTGACAACACGGACGCCGCATTAGGGTTTGGGGGTGTTCCCAATCGTCACAACCATAGTTTATTGACAGCTACTTATGGGACTAACGCATGTACCCGGCGGTACCAGGTCTCCCTCATGTTGGGACTCTTGACACAGGAAAAGTTGATCCCAACTAAATTCATGGCCTCTCAACTGTCCATCGAAATCGAACTCGCTTCCCCCGAAGAATGTATCATTGTCGCCTACAATGGAACCACTGACAACCTCGCTCCCCCGACCTATCTCGTCCACAACATCCAGCTCATCCCTGAAATCATCAATTTCGACCCCTCCTACGACGAAATGTTCATCCGTGGATTGTCCCAAGGAGGAGTGTGAGTACCTTTCCATTTCAGCTAGTTCACGTTCCACGTCCACGGCCCATGCCAGGTTTTCGGCACGATCGTCTATCATGTCACCGTTGAGATGCACCACTTTTGATAACCGATGGACCGGCAACAACGAATCCATGTGAAAGACCGTAGCAACCAACTCGTCGACATTGTAAGTGTCTCCTTCCACACATACTGTATTACGCCCGTCGTGGCCATATTGTTTCTTACACCATTTTCCTTTGTAGTATACGACTCCACGGTTGGTGACGACGAGTCCTTTCACTTGGGGGTGTGTGCGTGCATCAGTCTTTTTAGCAAAGTAACGCCCTTTACATAGATGCAACCGCCGAAAGACTGTGTCCCCCAACACCACACGGTTCCGCTCGCTACACCAATCCAACAAGGTTTCTACGGAGACATGATAGGCGGCTGCTGCTGCGGCGATGGACGTGTACCGCTTGACCTTGACTAACTTGTAAACATCTAATCCATGTTGTTCCTCGATCATATTTTTCAATGTTGATTAGGCCGATCAAGTTTGGAACGTGAGTTCACGGGTGGCTTTTAAAGCGTAGCTTACCCATTTTATATATCTTCTTTTTTCCAGATGGCACACGTTCAGAACATCTACTGCCGGTTCAAGTGTCATTAATTTCCCTATCCACGAAAGAGGCCGCTCTATCAAATCCTTGTTTGCGGTGCAAAGGCGACAAGTTCCTGTTTACGGTCGAGATATGGGAGCCACGCCGAACGCTTCCAACGGGATTATGCAATCGTACCAGTACCGCATCGGTGGTGAATATTATCCCGCGGCTCCGGTCGAATTGTCCATGTCACCGTCCAGCAAGGTTTCCAACGGGGGTACAGAGGCGTGGCTCGAATTACAAAAAGCACTCAACACCGTCGGGGATTACCGTCTTTCCTCGGCCATCAACACGCTCCGTTGGCATGCGCCGTACAGTGCGGTTTTGTGTGAAACTGATTTCGCCGGTACCATTATACGCGGCGACCAGACAGAACCGTATGCCCAGACAGTGGTCGCCCCCACTTCCAAGCAACAGGCGGGTAATATGGGTTCACACCATTTCGCCGCGGCGATTTCATTGGAAGCGACCAACGGGACCGAGATCTCGGGTCTCAATGCGCAAGAACAGTCTGATATTACCTTTATGGCGCGTTACTCTGAGTCTCAATTGGCGGATTACCAGATCTTTGTTTTTGCTTACATTGACAAGATGATTATTTTGCGTGAAAACAATGTGATGGAAATGGTAGAGTAGTGCGCTTTATTTTTGTGTGTAAACCATAAGTAGTAGTAGTAGTAGTACAATACATTATGCCCCAAGCTGTCGGTAAAGCTGCGTTCGGTATCGCTGATTTTTTACGTTACAATGAAGTGTATTTCGACTCTTCTGAACGGACGTATGGCACGACCAATTCTCCAAATTATTCGGTGAAACCACTGACCAATGTCGTGGGGTTCAAACTCCTTGACGCCCAAATTCCGTTCTCGTATTACGTGTTTCCCGAGGGTCGCAACACGTTCCAGCTGTACGAACCGGCTACCGACGCCACAACGACCGTCACCATTCCGCCTGGAAATTACACGCCTTCGTCGTTCGTAGCCGTACTGCAGACCGCCTTGGAAACGGCTGGTGACGCCGAGTACACCGTCGCCTTCTCCACTCCCACGGGCAAATTCACGATTACGTCCAGCGTGGCTGAACCGTTTGCGGTCACATTTGACTTTGACGGGCCAGGGCCGTGGATCGGGTTCACACATGCAGCCACGTTTACGGCCTCGGCGGGCGGTGTCTTAGTCGCTCCGTTCGTGGCACGACTGAGTGGGCCTGATTACATCTATGTCTGCTCCCAGTCCCTTGGGTTCCTCAATTACAATACGTTGCGGCTCGGTGACGCCTCGACGTCCGGCGCCGTGGTCGCTAAAATCCCTGTGACGGTGAATCCAGGTGGGGTCATCACATGGACGGACCCAGACCCAACAAAACTGTTTGAATGTGATGTGGGCGTGTTGGAACGTGTGGATTTGTATGTGGCCGCTGGGGGCGATGTGACCACTCCACTGGATTTCAACGGTGCACCGTTTTCCTTGAAATTTATGTTTGTCACGTCTGACGATATCTATGTTAAACGTGGCGCTGGGGATACATTGGGAAATCCGACCAAGCGGATGATGTTTTCGAATTGAATTTTTGTATGTAAACATAAAGTATATCAATACATCCCATTACTATGGAACGTCTTTCTCGTACGACACAACCGCCCAAAAACCCGGTCGTGACCGTTGGACCGCAAGGTCCGCTTGGCGCCACCCTTACTGGCCGTCAAGTCGTAGACACGCGCCGCGGGTACCGACAAGTCGATGTCAAACCTAAACTCCATGCCCAACGCGTGGATACCGTGGCTCCCGAAGTGAAAGGCAAATTTTGGGGCCGCCCCACATTCAAGACCCAGTACGGTTGGAAATTCCATGATTACAGAGCTCCGGATCTGTACCATGAACCTATCCTCAGTCCGCTCAAACAATTCGATTGGACCAACAAGGTCGCCACAACCATTCAGGCCGCTGACCGTACGGGGTCAAAGAACCCATGGGTTCCAAAAGCCAACCCTGGAGGGTTGTTGGTCAAACCGAAAAATTATTTGACACGTGGGTCGAACTTGAGGACGTTGGAAACTGTTGATGAATATGGAAAACCGTTCATCCCTGACGTCATGGATTGGGAACGTACTCACAAAGATAACCTCAATCTTGAACGATCGGTTGTGGACCGCTACGATGCTCACTATGACGACCCAATGGAAACTGACACCATCTTCTCTGGCCCTCCAAAAAATGATATGAAAGCGCGTGCCGCATCTGAACGTACTCAATTGAATGCATTGTTGAAAGCATTGGACAATGCTCGGTCACATAACATTGAACTCTCACCGCAGATGGCGGAAACTTTATCTCAATTGGAATCAGTGGCGAAGGACGCGGCCGATGCCATGGAAGGGATCGAACACGTGGGCTATATCCAGCGCGCCACTCAGCCTTCCAAAACCGCTGCCGCAGAATCCGGCTACACGGCCCAAGCCATCCACCAATTCATTGCGATCCTCGATGGGATCAAGGCGGCTTCATTGACATCCTTACCCGAGACCGCATCACAAATGTGGTACGAACGTGTCTTGGACCAAGTGGAATCCTTGTCCCAAGCGTTCGGATTCTTGTCTGAACGTTTGAATGATGATTCCGTGCCTAAAAACCAATTGGAACGGCAACACGGGATCCTTGTCGATGTCGAGAAGAGGGTTGGTTTACTCACTGTCTATGCCCTCCACGGTCAACGTACACAGATGCGCCCCCAAGAAATGAATGCCAACGTGACTTACATCCACAACAAACTCGGTGAATGTTTATTGTGGGTGAACCAGCTGCTCCACTCTAAGGGGTACTCTGCCACAGCCGCCAACGGTTACCAAGACGTCCCTGCAACCGCTTCCGAGTTTGAGGATATTAGTGCGGCATGGGAAGATCTGTTGACCATGGCAGACGCCCCAACCCAACGTGCCATGGCGCCGGTCCTTAACGCGTTACGCCCTGCGCGTGAATCATTGAGTAATATTGCCATGGACATGGACATCACGCCTACGGCCATTGCCCCGGCTATTGGTAATGATATAGATGTAGAACGCTCGGCCGCAACCGGTGTTAGCAGCAGCGGCGGTGAAGGCGTCGCTGGTGGCGAGGCCTCGGCCACGGCGGTCACTCACACGGTCGTCCCCCAAACGACTGTCACTGGCACCAACCTCCCTGACGTAACGGATGAGGAAATTGATACTTTCATTCAAACCGGTCAATTTAGGGCGGAATGGGGAATTCGCACTAAGGCTCAACGTGACCCCAAACGTCTTATACGTAATAATGCATTTCGGGAAAGGGTCCGTACAACCCTCGCCCGTGAGAAAGCATTGACCCAACAACCGAGACGCAATACCATTAATCTGGATAAGCTCACCCCACGAAAGACCGTCCTCCAACCTCCTGCAGCCCCGTCTACGTCCGTTGTACACGATGCTGACACTGAAGCCATGTAATTATTTTTTAAATGTAACCTACTCTTATAAATACCATTGGCCATTCTTTTCCCCTATTTCCTTCGTGATGGTTAAACCCAATGCCAAGGGTAAAAACCCAACCAAAACGCCACATTCCAAACGCCAAAAGGCCCAAACAGCCCTTAGGATTGACACCTCAGCAAAGACTGGCTCTGGACAAAAAGGCCGGCGTCTCGTTCGTAACGGGAAAGGTCAAACCGCCAAAGTTCGACCCGGCGGATCTATTCCATCATCCTCCACAAAGAAAAGATATCATCCCTCCCACGATACGATTAGCAAAGCCGCAGCCGCCGCCAAGCTTGTCAAAGGAGCCGTTGGGTTCATCCAAGGACTTAAAACCAATCACACCGCAGTCACCAGTATGGGCGGTACAGGCAAACCCTACTCCGACGTACGAAAGTGACACTAGTCGTAGTAGTTGTGATGAGGATGGGTGGTGGGACGTGACCGTCGACTCCACATCTTCCGATTCTGATAGTGATGATAATTCTGATGATGAGCAAGTATAAATAGATCGTCTTCCGTAGATTTTCTCCCCTTTTTACTCCCAATACAACATGTTGTCTCCACGTATCACGGTGTTCCACTACCCTGAAGGCCATAACTCCTTTGATATACTCACAGGAGAGATCATCAATACGATGCATAAACACAACTTTTGTCCGATGGTAGATGCCCTCCATGGCCATGACGAGACGTGGCTTTTCGAAACATTTCACAACGTTCAACATCATCGATTCGTTTTCATGACCATGCATGGATTCGTTTCTGCACCTGTCGACCGTATAAAGGACAACACGTTTGGCGACCCTAGTTTTGTCATTTATTTTCCTGACGATCCTGATCTCGTTGTTCCTTGGAAATCTATCGTTTTATATTTCGAAGGGATATTTGGGTTACGTGCACCTGTTTTCATAGACGATACGTTGAGGTACTTTCTCGGTGTCGAAAAAGCATAAATAGACAGCATAGCAACGGATTTCCCCTTTCCCACTTTTTATTACACCAATATATGGTTGTGCTCAGTCCTGTTCAGTTTTGGTGTGCCATCATATTTGTTGTCTTTGTACCTTTGATCTCACTTGTTGGGCTGTTGGTCTATCAACATACTCAGAGCGCTAAACTTGCCGTCGCCGAAACCGTTCGCCAGCAACACCACAGCGCGTGCACATCTCCATTATGACGAAAATCTATAAAGCCTCGCTCGCCGATATCACCAATGTGTTGACGGGTGGTTCGCCACCTGCCAAGAAACAAGGAGGTCGTAAGCGTAAAGAGAATCCTGTCGAGGAACCGCCTGAAGCTACTACTCAGCCTGAGGCGACTAATGAGCCAGAAACCCCTCAACAACGTCGTAACCGGCTAGCCCGCGAACGCCGTCAAGCCAAGAAATCGGTTTCTGTCGAGCCCGTTCCCGAACCTGTTACTGAACCCGTTCCTGAGCCGCCTGTGCCTGAACCTCCTGTCGTTGAACAGCCTGTTGAACAGCCCGTGGAACAACCAGCTACCCAGCCCACTGTTGAACAGCCTAAAAAGAAGAAACAGCGTACGGAACGGCCTAGCGGAGCCCCGCCGAAATGGTTTGTCGATTCTTACAACAATATCATCAAACATGTGTTGGACTACAAAGTGGCTACTGAGACCAACGCTCAATTGGCGCCTACTGTCGCTGCGGCTGCTCAACAGAAATGGGACGAACAAAAGAATGAAGTTGCCCCTTTGGAGGATAAATTGTTTTCTGAAATGTTTGGTAGAGCGTTTGGCCGTAGTCACCGTAAACCAGCTAGGAAACTGCTTTGATTTTTAAATGCAAATAAACATTGTATTGTACACAATGAACGTGACGCCTAAAATTGTACGTAAACATCAAACTGTGCGTGTAGCACAAGGGTTGCCAGGCCACCAACGCGACCGTGATGGCACCTTGCTGTCGCTGGACGTGGCTTCTGTACCGGAAGATGAGACAGATCACCATCCCGCCCCACCACACCCCGCGCTGCTTCCACACGAAACGTCGCTGCTGCTCGTCGCGTCAAAGGGGTCCGGCAAGACGACGTTGATCTGTAATTTGCTCGATTTCTACAGAGCATTTTTTCATACAATACTTGTGTTCAGCCCCACAATCAACAACGATTCAAAATGGGTGAGTACCTCTTCTTGTCTTTTCCGTTTACGGTTGGCCAGCATGACGATGGCTCGCCGTTGGTTTTCATACCGCGTCACCCATTCGAGGTTATCTGCGCGGTTGTTTTTGGTGTTGCCGTCGATATGGTCAATCTCGGGTGAACAGTGTTTAAGGAGCGAATGTTTTTCGTCTGGATAAAATGTGTCTCCAACAATACGATGGATGAGGTAGTTTTTGTACTTGATCATGACTTGCATGTAGCCGTTACTGCCGATGTACCCAAACGTACGTCCACCGTTCGCATGTTCTATACGCCCATGTGACGAGACTTTGACTGGTAGGGTTGGGTGGTCAAACCATACTTCGTACTCGCCAGGCTGTAACATGAGGTCTTGATTGGCGTATTTCCATTCGTAACCCCGATAACGGAATTGAGTATTGCCGTGTTTTTTGAAGTGATACCATAACGTTGGTTGGGATACCCCGATTGATTTTGCCGCAGCGTTTATAGATCTGAATTCTGTTTCTGAATCGTCCAACTCGATTCTAACCACTCTTCTATTTGCTGGTGTCCATTTCCTCATTTTTCTCATAGGATTGGGTCAAGGGCCAGAAACTGTTGGCGCGCAACACAAAACTCGAAAAGTTTGTCAAATCCCTCGAAACGAAAAGGGCCCGCGACCTTTCAGGCGTTGTCGTAGGGCGTGAACCGATGGAGTTGGCTAGAGAACGGGAGAAGGAAGACGATATTGTCGACGAGGATGATTTCACAGGATATATCCCCGATGAATGTTTTCTCGACGATTACAATGAACAGATGCTGGTCGATGTGATGAATGAACAAGACAAGTTAATCAAATGGCTTAAAGCCCACGGAGGGCACAAGACGGTTGCGAATCGCCTTTTACTGATTTTCGATGATATGGTCGGGTCGTCCCTCTTTTCGAACGCAAGAAACAATGCCTTCAAACGTCTCAACTCCAATCTGCGCCACTACTCTGCTTCTGCCATTATTGTGTCCCAGTCGTACAAGGAACTTCCACGCATCTGCCGAGTCAATGCCTCGGGTGTCATCTTGTTTGAAACGCCTAATGAAAAAGAGTTGGAAGTGTTATACGAAGAAAATCCTTGCTCGCTCAAGAAAAACGATTGGCTTTCCTGTTATTACGAATGTACAGCTGACCCATTCTCGTTCATGATGATCAACTATAAGCGGCCGAAACAACTCAGGATCTCAAAACGATTCGATGAGTTTTTGCTGTGCGATACGATGAAAGGTATCCCGGATCGACGGCCACCAATGAGATCTGCCGCAGATGACCATCCACCAACCATATAAAAGTCGTGGCTTGGCTAGGTTTTTCCCTGCCACCAACAAAAATGACTTCTTCCGACTATTATGCGTTCCGATACGAAATCATTACCTTACATGCTGGCGTTGATGTCCGAGCGGTCGTCGAAGTCCGAAAACCTGGCTGCCGGCTCCCGTTTACTGACGTAATCACGAATTACCATACCCGTGGCTTGAAACCTGTGTTTACGGATCTGTTTATTTCCGCTGATTGGGGGACATGTTTGGCTGATTACAAGTTTTTGCGCCAATTGTGGGACGACCTAGAAATGGACGGAACGTTTGATGTTGACATGTTACTCAGCGACGCCACGCGGCGGTGCCTACCCCAAACCGAGGCGCTGATTCCAGACGCCGAGCCTCGTGTATATAGACGTTCTTTGGAAGAAGTGCGTGATCGGATTATGGCGCTTGTCCCTGTCACTCTCACCGAATAAATAAAACGCCTCACTTGTAAACAATGTCTTGTCTATTTAAACTCCTCCAAAACTTTTCTTATTTCTGTCCTGACTGTACACGTATGGGCTTATTCGACCCTACACCCCCACTCATGGCTTCCACCCCCGCATTAGGCCCATTCCCTTCCAACGCCCCTCGCCCAGCAGGCTTTTTTGCGACAGTTGCTGAACCGGCCCAAACTCCTCCCCCGGCGGCCGATTATTACAAGGAGGGCGGGCTTGAGACCATCGACATTTTGAAAGCCAAACTGTCGACTGAACAATTCGAGGGATTCTGTCTTGGAAACGTGTACAAGTACCTGACGAGAGCGGGCAAGAAACCGGACAACTCCAAATCCGATGATTTCAAGAAAGCGTACTATTATTTAGGCTTGCTGGCTGGTCCTAAAGAGTAATGTAGACTTTCAAACTCCGCTCTTGTGTAACCCATTACGTCATCAATCAACACGTGATTTTCTACTGGCCCGCCCCACGTGACCCATTCTCACTCTTGTGTAACCTTCCAGTGTGGCACAGTCATGTAGGGGTGGCACAGTCATGTAATGGTCTAAATCCTCCTTATACTATATCATCCCCATTCAGGAATTTATGAAATAGGTAGACTACTAAAAGGAGGTGGTATAACGGCATGTGTATGATGCTGGGGCGGGTTATCGGAGTGCATTTCCAAACTTCAGGGATGCATTCAAAGCCCAACGAAATCACCATCTTTTATCTGAATGAACACCCCGGTGCCGATCCGCCTTCGCTACTATCGTTTCTGTATTCACCTAAGCAAATACCTTTCTCAAATTAGTCCAGTCAGATTTTTGGACCAAGGGAGCAGTCTTTGCTAATTAGCTTTCACATTGCATCTTTGGCATAGGCAATGTGCTGATCTAGTGGCAAAACTTGCAGGCCAACCAAATGAGAACGTTTCTGGGCATTCGTAAACAACAACAGTTGCTCAACAGCGTCAGGGTCCGCTGAAACCCTGCAATACGGTCACAATCTGATTCGGCTGACATTGCTCGCCATCCCGATCATGTTTACGTAAGCCACCATATTGCAATTAAGGTTTTCGTCTGTGTAATCTAATGATCACCAGCACATGTGTCTCTCCAAGAGTTACTGTACAATCCCAAGTTCACCAAATAGCAACCCATCCTTTGATCGAGGCCTTAATCCTCAATGGCTGGATATCGGGACACATCTATCGTAAATTCTGGAAGGACATATCCTTGAATTGCACAAGTTCAAATATCTGTTGTAGAGCTACAAATTCATCTGTTTGGTGCTTCTAAACTATTACGTCGTGTACTCTAATCTACCAAATGTGTAGATGTTATCTGGAGAGAACACAAAGGATTGTCGGTTTTCTGGCTCCACAAATCGCTTCTGTTTCGAGAACCTCTTAAATTGCGTTCGGACAGCCTGGATGCAACAGTCCATGCTTCATCTTTCAAACCTCGGCCAACATTGGGCCACCGCGTACTGATCATCGTATACCATTTCTCATTTTTCAATTTTCAGCTGGTTGGGGGCATCCTTTTCGATGGGTGAATACTGATGCTGACACCATATGTAATTAACTACCATTGGGATGCACTTCTTCATACTATTGAAAGTGGCCATCAAGGTAAAACATCGCATTGCTTGGCACACAAAACATTATAATTGGATGGAATGTGGATTACTTAAGCCTAAAAAGGCAAGAATTTGTGACATCAGCAGCATTAATTATCGTCAAGCCCCATCACTGCATGCCAGCGAGTAGATGGCGGATTAGAACGTCCAAAGCTTCACTGCAGCTGGCACCTGAATCTCGGCTGGTTATTCTCAGTACACTCCGTTTCTTCCATCATCGTTTGCTTGAACATGGTTCTTTTGCCGCAGCATACGCGGCAAAGTCAGTACAAACGTCTCTGGCGTTTGAAATGGTCCAACTGCATGCTAGCAGTACGATCCTATCGCCTAATGCAATGCCTACTATTGCTGGTTTGGATAGTGCTGGTATTTGGTTGGTGGAAGCCAAGCAAGGAGAGGGACAATGTGAACGATTTATTTGATTTATGGAGACTTGACAGGCATCGTCTCAGGTACGAGCCAATCTCGAGAATTTGCATCCTCGGTGACATAAAGACATGCACGCCTATTAGACTGCCTGGAATTCAAGGGCAAGGCTCGCACCACGTTGGAGCCTTGCCACACTACATTCCTTCCGTCCAGCAAGATCCAGTACCACTATGTCTCGTGTCAGTCTGGGAACGCGGACCACTCCCGAAATATATCCGCGCTGCTCTTGACACATTTGGCACCGGATCCTCCCGCCCTTACGCCAACCTGTATCTCTTCCTACCTCCAACATATGGTTTGCAACATCTCAATGATTTGTACGAAGGAGAAGGACGGTGGCCTTCCAATGTCTATGTAATTGATATTGGACAAGTGCACGCACGATGGAATGTGACAGGATGGAATGGGTTTGTGTCAGACCATCTATGTAGACTCTACGGGATTGGTGTACATAGGAATCAATGTAAACAATTGAGAAAGGCGGTCAACCACAGCACACTAACGAGAGGATCAAACTTGGGTGAGCATTTTCATGCGTTTGTGATATCTCTTTCCAAAAACCTTTGAGATTAACCGTACGACCAACTCCTAATACCAGTTCAGTTGCGGCCCGTCTACGGTCAGCTCTTTTATCCGTGGACGAACCCCTCGCGCTGCTCGGCCTGGGCATGGTCTGACCTCGATACAATGTGGGGCGACCTCCCCACTCTCCTTGACGCACCCGTCTTTAATGTCGAGACCGACGTTTTTACACTATCATTTGGAGACTCGTGGCGGTTGTACACACGTGGTCAATTTACGGCCTTCAATCAGCACCGCCCAAAAATCAATGATGCCTGGCGTTCTTGCAAGCAACTCAAAACTCTTGACGATACCATAGCTTTCTTCAATAGTACAGATTGGGCAGCCTTGGATGAAGGATGCGGCGCTGATGCCGTTCTGAAATCTGATTTCACCCTTACAGAAGCTCCAATCCAGGAGGCAGACTGGACGCATGTCGTTCTATCACGCTCTGATAGGGGTATCCTTACAAACTGTCGATCTGCAAATAACAGTGTACAGATCCGTCATAAATGCCGGGAAGCTATGCGAAAGATCACCTCCGAACTCGTAAATTCCAACCGCACATCACCCTTCTCTTTGCCTCCAGTCGAATCTCGCCCGCTCAAACTCTACCAACCAGAAGACAAAAGAGAGATGTGCTCCTACTGGCTCCCGCAAGACCAACAATGGTGCGTGGCGAATTCCATATCGGAGGACGTCGCATGGTGGGTTCACGTGGCCAACAGCAATGGGTCAATAGGTAAAAAGTACCTCTACTCTACTGCCAATTCCCAGCGTGACACGGCAGCAGAGATTCAAGTCATTGAGTCCGCTCTTTTCCATCTTCAAAACTGGAAGCACCAAAACTTGACGGTCTTGTTTGATCCGGACGTAGATGACCGGGCTTTAAAAGTAGGCCGGGGGGTTATTGAGGTATACGAAAATAGGAATGACGGAGACGAAGAATCGAAGGGAATCATCATGCGATATGTCAACCTGGCATAAAACGCAACATTTATCTCTATACCCTGGTGAAAGTATATAGCATTTTTGGAATATTGGTGTGCAGTATTAGTTTTTTTTAAGGTTTGCTTTAAGCTTATGTTCCTCTTGTATATCCTATTGAGTCGTGAATGTAAATTCTCTTTGTAACATGCTTCATATTGTATAAAGGCTTAACTTTCTGTAAAGATCCGTGAGCTGACAGACAGGAGAACATCATTAAGCACAATTCCGTTGCGACAATGCCCTGGTTCTTAAGGTCTCCTCACGCATTAACACACTGAAAAGGGTTTCATAAATGTGCAACTGCAGTGGTTGTAAGACATCATAGGCTGGGAGACACAACACCTATTCAATCACAGACTCGTTCTCCCACAATATCGGCATATTTAACGTTTTTTTTTTGGAAAGAAACATAACGGGCGGTTGTCCAAATTATTGATCACTGTCAACCCAGGGGTTCATATTACCTAGACATATCTCGAGTCCCGAGCGAAGCGACCCAAACCAAGCAAGCCACCGACGGGATGGACTTGTATAGGATAATACATTGCAGATATGCACAGGCCTCAAGGAAACCTTCTGATGGGACGGCAAAACAAGTCGAGGGCACAAGTCTTATCCTGAAGCCTCTACTTCCAAACTCTTGCAGTTCAATGATCATCCTTGCTACGTACTTGCCACAGTTTTATAAGTATATTTCAAGTCATAGAAAAAAAAGGTGTGCCATTTACAGAATGAACCGAATCAGTTCCGACAAGGCGTGCAAATCTCTCGCAGCGAATATCACTGACGTTTTCCATTCCATGGCTGAGCAGGATGTGGCCAGTTGATAAGTATCCAGGCGACATATTAACTTTATTCCTACACTCAGCGAGAAAAAGAGCTTTGTTGCGCGACCAAAGATACAGCAGTTCTTGCCTCGAAAAATTTCAAAGCTCCAGAATAGCAACAACGATAGGCAGAGGAGGTTATTTCAAACTGAAGACGCTCGGGATGGAGCAAGCCGACCAGTAGCGGGATTACGATATCTTGCTTATTGCTGATTCAGCCTCACGTGATTTTGAACGCAACCATAACTCCTCCATCGCTGTTGCCAGTCTTTGTCTTTAAATCAATGCTGAACGATGCCACCTCAGCGAGGGAAATCTGGCGCAGGCCGACCGGACCAGGCGGATGAAATTGGATCCGAGGCGGCAAAGAAATATAATGGACTGTTTTCTGAGAAGGTGAGATTTCTCAACTGATCTGCATCGGGGGGCGCAGCTGCTTTGCTTTTTCTACCCAAACGCATTGGAAGCTATCATGCCACCCAAAGCGTCCTAAAGACCATCGCTGACCTCATTGGCACCTCAGGACTGGAAATGTAAACTTTGTTCCAATATCAACTGGGCTCGACGAAACGTGTGCAATCAGGTAATGTGATCAGTTCACACGCTGTAAAGATTAGATTACTGAGCCGCATGCTATTAGTGTCAATCTCCAAAGCCTGGCAGTGGCACGGACGCCCAGAGGGAAGGGCACGGTGGAGGGTTCTTTGATAGAGGTGGGTTTGTTCCCACATTGCGAGGAGCTCCAAGAAATCATAGCTCTAAACTACAGTGTAGAGGCGGAAATCGAGTACAGAGAGACACGCTATCAAGATGATGATGAGTATGACGATTTTGGAAGGCTAAAAAAGAAGAAGCGAAATGGGAGTGGGCAGGAAGGGTCAGCTGAGCCGGTGTCCCGTCCTCGAATGGCAGCGGAAGCGGACCAAAAGGTTGAAAAACAAGATCGCGACGATGATGATGACGATGATGGCGATGGGGATGATGGAAAATGGGATGCATGGGCAGATATTCTAGGCGACGATACGAAAACCGAATCAGTTGGAACTAAAGCAACCAGCGTCGCCTCCGAGGAGAAGACATACGCCGCCAAACTTGAACGAGACAGATCCCCTCAAAGGGATCGTGATTACCGCTACAGAGACCGCAGGCGATCTCGTAGTCGGTCTCGATCTAGAACGCGATCTGACCATGGTGAGCGAAGAGGATACGAACGTCGGAGTCGGTCTCCAAGATATCGAAATGGGCCGAGGGGGGAACGCTCCTATTCCAGGGAAGAGGATAGGGGATACCGAAGAGTCAGTAGAAGTCGATCTCGCGATCGGTATAGGAGAAGATGACCGCGTTTTAATGTGCACCAGCGGTTGGGGTCTTTCATTCAGACAAGAATTATCAGCGCTGTGCTACATCCATCATCGGTGCAAGACGATTGTAAATCCTTGCTCAGTATCATGATCTTGTCTATAATTTACTGTTGCAATGACCCTCATGGATGACTACTTTTTCCCTGACGGTGGAGACGGTGGCGGGCCGATGACAATGCCATCTTGATCCTCCTTCAGTTTCCCAGCAGTCAACCCTTGTTCTAACTCCTTAAAGGATACTTCGCCAGATCCTCGGGCCAATGGCTACAATGTCATCGTGGCGGTCAGAACGCGGACTTGTCAAAAAAAACCTGCATCTTGTCCTACCTTTGGTTGCGATGGATCAGGCTTCCATCCAATCTAATCGGAAACATGTTCAGATTAAGGGTTGCCAGTTAGATGCCTGGGTTTCTCTTTCTTCATCGACTTACCATATATATGACCTAAATGGTATAGATATGACGAAAGTAAGTACGGTGCCCGTTACCTCCACTGGGACCAGAAGTGCAGTACCTGAAAGGTTGCGGGGACGCTTCCATCATCATTTCCGTAAATCTCTGTATCATGAAACATTGACATCGTAAACACAACACACATCCGCAGGAATACTAGTATGACTGACCTTTGTAGGTAGCCGCTGCAGCCATGAGTGTGTCACGTGATATATAAGGTTTCCTTCAAAAGGGCACAGTGTAAACCGTAGATCAATAAGCCAAGATGGAAGTTTACCATTTATGAAATTACCTAGCGGCAATCGCATTGCTCTCCCCCATGGCTCTCAAATCATCCATTAATTCGAACATTGAAGGATAATTCACAGCAATTTCATCCACATCAACAGTGATGAGATTAAACCCGGCACGTTGAAGAAGGTTCGCCACGTCCCGGACATCTATGTCATCGTCATTAACTTCTGATGTTAAAGACCACTTCACTGTCTCATCACCGAATCTTACCAGTCATTGGCGAAATGTGGGGAGAAACACCTCCTTCGCGGTCAATTTCGGCCAGTTGGAGAGAGGTTCTAAGCGGTCCGATAAGTCTAATTCAAGCAAAGTCTCAAAGACAGAAGGTACATACCGCAGTTCATAAAGAGTGTCACCACCAAACATGGCCCCAATGAAGACACCGTCTGGCTTCAATGCTCGCTGTGCTTGGATCAGCGTCCCGGGGATATCGTTTACCCAATGCATACTTAGACTGCTCATGATGGCATCCACAGAGTTTTCTTCGAATGGCAGGGATTCTTCGTCACCAGCTATGCGCTCCGTTGGCACTATATACAGTATCAAAGAGAGCCCTCATGCATTACACCGAGTAGAATAAACTTACCTTCGTATTCAATATCTTTGTCTCGATATAGGAGTTTTTCTAATCGCGCAAGATTGCCATTAGTTATCTGAAATCACTGTGATTACAAAAATACAATCAACTCACCCGACATATCATACATGATCAGTTTGTCCATCATATCAGAATCCACAAACTTGATAATATGCCCAGCGCCTGAACCCAGATCTATCACTTTTGAAAATCGCCGCTTAATGTCCTTTGTAAACCCAAGAATTCGTTAAGACTTTTCCGAATGTTGGAATGCTGACCCTTGTTCGGTCCGCATCCGCGTCGCAGCCGACAGATCCCGCCATACACCGAAATATCAACCCACCAGCAACCGATCCACCAACCGATCGGCAACCTCATCCTTCAAGTAATCCACATCCCGACTCTCTTTTCGTAACGCTGCTCGGTCGCGTTGTCGCTTTTTGACAGAGCGGTTGAAGATGTGTTGAACAGGAGGTAGATTGGATGAAGTTGCAAGGTGGGCACATGAACTCCGTTGCGCAGCTAATGTGAGCGATGTACGGAGAAGGGGATAGAGGTAAGGTAACCGCGGAGGTATGCGATGCATTACGGAATTTGGAGGTGCTCAAGTACAAGTGCAAAGTAGACGAACAGTTGTCATGATCGGACACGTGGCGTGTGGCGCTGACATGAGGTAAGCGAATCTCTGGTTTGGTGTGGAGTGCAGTAGATCTCAGTGCCATATTCCTGCAGCAACGTCTTCAGTCATGAAGATTACAGAGTTGAAACACTCAGGACGGATTGAACAATAAGGATCAATTAGCCAATCGCCATTGGCGTCAAAGCGATGAATTGATCATCATCTTATGAAGTCCTGAATCAAGCGTCCAAAGTACAACTGTCGGCCAGCTCTACCTAAGACCTTAGATGGGCAAGCTTACTCTGCCTTGGGATCTTGCCGTGGTCTTCGAAATCCTGGAACACCACCGGCCATGTAAAATGCCACAAACAAGCCCCCGAACACTAGCAATAACATCATATTGCTTTTCAAGAATACCTGAGAAAAACAAGGGTTCTCAGTAAATGCCAGCACAGATGATGAACGAGATAGGATACGCACCATTGAACGGTCAATACCTTTTGAGATATTGTACCCTAAACGACCCAAAAACCCGGACGTGTATTTTGGCTAGGACGGAGACGACAACCGATGAATAACACCAGCCAGATGGCAACCAATTGGATGACTGACATACCGATGCGGTTCCCTCCAGGATATCGTTGATGTTTTGCAATAGCGATTCCTTCTCAAAGCCAATACCGCGTCCACCTTTATCCGTGTCGTAATATTTATCCTCCTATTCAAGAATTTGAGAAATTGGTTCACGCAGACGATATCACATGAAATTACCTTTGGATCCGCGATAATCAAAGTTGGCAACTGGTCTTGACTTATCCCGTAGACTCTCTCAATGTAGTTGTGCCACTTGACACCATCCAACCATGTGACAACCACCAAATTATGCATGTTCTCTTCCTTCTCTTTTTTGCTCCACGCAATGGAGCTGTCTTTCAAAGTTTTTAGGACGCTCCCACTTCGAGGCGAAGAGGGATCGATGATCGCCATTACTACCAACTTGTCCCCACCAAGGACCTGCTCTTGATTGTCAGAATCCAAATGAAGGACACGTGGATATCGATTATCCAAGACAAATTGTCGAATGTACTGTCTAGCCGCCAATGTGTCGTCCAGATCTCCAGTGTGCCTGATGAGTGTATCACCATGGTCCTTTACCGCGAACAGATATGGGCCGGACGGCGGTGCCTTAAAAAGTTCACGCGCAGCAGAATCCGGGGTTACAAAGAACGACGCTTCGTTGCGCAACGCTTTTGCTACGGTAATTACAGCGTTCTAAACAACATCCATTGTTCAGCTTACGTTAGGCACTTATTAGTGAAACAATGACGGTTGTTCACACTCACAAGAGCAGACTTTGGCATTGTCCGAGGATCGTACAAGAGAAAGTATGACACTTCCTTTTGTTTCCATATTGCGGGAATCTCTGAAGCTTTCACAGGTGTAAAGGCCGGTTGGCTGCTAAATCCTAGTGCATAATCCCGCAGGGCATCGAATGACCGTGACCCCCGATACTCAATAGGCGGTGACGGCTGTTGAAGAAATTTGAGCGTCGGATAACCGCGAACACCAAATTGTTTGCATATGCTGCCCTCACGGGTGCAATCAACCTCCCCAACGTTGACAAGGCCCTTCAGCGCCGGTGCAAGATCTTCGAACACCGGCTTGAGTTTTTGGCAATGAGGGCACCAGGGGGCATGAAACATGACAAACCATGGAGTATTGTTCGTCATGATTGCAAACGTCTTTTCGGTCAACTGAACAAATCGACCGTCGGGATTGATCCCTCTATTTGGTTTGGTGCTAGCGTCCACAATGGCTTGGAGTTCCTTGATCGCTTCATTCAGACTGTCAGTGGCGGCACGTTCCTGCTTCACCAGCGCTTCTTGCTCTCGGTTTACCGCGGCCTTATCCTCTTTGGACTGTCCAGAGTCCGCTGACTTTTGCTGGGGCTCGGATCCAGGCAGAAGCACCGTGATCTTGCTTTCGATGTAATTCATCAACTTGCTAATCTCCTTGATGTCATCAGGTGTGTCCATCAACTTTCCATTGAGATATCTAGAAGGCAAGCTTTAGCTAGTGTGCTGGTAACAATATTCCGTAATGGGAACCAACGGTCCGTACAGTTTCACGGTGGGATAGAATTCAATCTTTTGATCCGTACACAGATCTAAGTAGAGAGTTAGCAAACGGATGACTTTGGTGGAAAGTAGAACATTACACACCTTCATTGACTGCCCTCCCAGTGCATTCCACTTTCCCTAGGTGAAAGTCTTTCTTCATGGCCTTTACCTTTCGCTGTGCCTCCAGCCATGTCGGTGTAAACCTAGGCGCGGTAAAAGTGTCATGCACGATTTCCTTGGACCATAGAGACGCTCAAGTGCCTTACTTTCGACAGTGAGGACAGGACTTTGAGCCAAAAAACACTAGCCACGCTCCCTTGCTAATGGTCGTTGTAAACTCGTTTGGATCGATAAAGGTGACCTGCGGCTCAGCCTCCTTGTATGCCTGCTCCATCTCGGCATTGCCATTCACCGATACCAGACCCGCCCATGCAAAGAATATGCAAAATAAAAGAACCACCACCCTCATGCTGTGCGATGTTGCTGCTGGGTGGGATGCTCTGTTGATTGCCCCAGCTGCTTCGCAAAGCAAACGGTATGGTAGGATATAACCCACTCGAACCGCATTTCAAAGAGTCATGATATGCGATAAAGACTAAAAATAGGACATTTATAACGATGCCGTAGTGGGATGGCCGTAGCGGAACAGTTGTGCCGTGTGGATCATAAACAAACCGTTTGCGCAGCACGCCAGAAAGGCGTATAAACAAAAAGAAACTTTTGAAACTTGCCAGTTGAAACAACCCAAAAAAAAAGAGAAAAAAAAAAACACGCCAGTAGCAAGTTTGGGGGCGTCAAGGGATCGAAAGTTCAATTTTTAAAGAATTTCAAAACTCTTAAGTCCCAGCCCTGTTTGCCCATCTCGCTGCGCCCCCATTTCCCCCCATTGCTTTCTTCCATTTGCTGGGCTATATTATCTTTTACTTGCCAGCATTCCCCCCATCTTTCTCCCTTTGCTTTTACGTTTACGGTTATGCTTTTATTATAGAGGATATTCTTTTATTTTTACATAGAACAGGTAACGCGTGAGCTACAACCAGCGGTTGTGTTTCGCCTCCAGTGCTCCCTAACTCAATGCCATCACTTTCTGCTAGCGTTTTTAAACAGGCTCTTGCAGTCTCCTCTAATTCACAATGGGTCGCAGCAAGAAGGTCTTGGCGCCCGGCGACTCTAAAGAAGACTTGATTCTTCTTCCCAATCTAACAGACGACGTTGTTTTCGCCAACCTCAAAGACCGCTACTCCCGAAACCAAATCTTCACACGCATAGGTGCCAGTGCACTTGTAGTCGTCAACCCCGTAAAGACTCTCGAATCCTTTTCCGACGGAACATCCTCACAATATGCCGCATGGGCAAAGGACACATCCGAGGAGAAGGTGCCGCTCCCCGCGCACATCTTTGACTTGGCCTCTTCCGTGTTCTACCACATGCTACGCAACCAGCAAGATCAATCCGTAGTCTTTTGGTATGTAAAGCTATTCGCTCGTAAAGGCGTCATCCGGTTGCTATCTCTAATCCCAATTTTAACAGCGGAGAGAGCGGTAGTGGCAAAACCGAAGCTCGGAAACTTTTGGTCAGGCAGTTGATTGCACTCAGCAGAAATGCAAAAAAGAAGTCAAAGGTGCACTCGGGAGTAATGAAAACGGAAACGGTTTTGGATGCGTTTGGAACGGCACGCACACTGACGAACCCAAACTCCTCTCGATTCGGTCGATACACCGAGTATCAGTATGACGAGCGCGGAAAAATGGTTGGTGCAAAGATGCTGGACTACCTGTTGGAAAAGAGCCGAGTATCCCACACTCCAGCCGAGGAACGGAATTTTCATATCTTTTACTACCTCCTGGCGGGTGCCACACCAGAAGAGAAGATACAATGGCGCTTGCAGGATGCTGGACATTTCTCTTACTTGCAGACACCGAGGCACGCTCGTCTGACTACGGAAGACCAAATCAAATTTGGAGAACTTCGAGATCACCTTAAATCCTTGGGCGTAGGAAGAAGATTACAAGCACAGATCTATCAATTGATGGCTGCTACACTTCATCTGGGAAACGTTACATTCCAGGATGATCCGGAAAAACCTCAGGAGGCATGTACGGTGAAGAACCAAGAGGCGTTGGAAATCGCCGCTGAGCTTCTTGGTGTGGCTGCACGGAATCTGGAGGCCGCGCTTACCTTGCGGACAAAGCTTGTATACAGGGACGTTGTCACAGTCTTCTTGAATGCCGAGGACGCCGCATCTCAGCGTGATTCCTTGGCCAAGACCTTGTATTCTCTGGTGTTCAGCTGGTTAGTAGAACACATCAACAGTAGGCTATGCAAAGAAGATTGCGCCACATTTGTAGGCGTGGTGGATTTGACTGGATTTGAGGACTCTAAATCAAACGGGTTCGAACAATTACTGGGCAATTTTGCCAACGAGCGTCTCCAACAGTTTGTCAACCATCGCATCGTAGAGGCTCATGAAGAATATGTCCGTGAAGGCATCCGCTCAGCCTCGGTTCCCCAAAACGACAATACCCCTATTGTAGACGTTATCGCGGGTAGCGGCGGCGTTTTTTCAGTGATCGATGCAGCATCTGTGGAAGGAAACCAGAAACAGCCAGATGTGCCTTGTCTTCAACGACTAACCGAGAAACTTGGCCAGAACCAGTTCTTTGTGCAAGGGAACTCCAGCACGTCGTTTGGGATTAAGCATCATTCTCGCACTGTCGAATATGATACCACCAACTTTCTCGATAAGAACAAGGATGTGCTATGCCCGGACTTTGTGTCGATCTTCCGAGGTAATGGCAAGGACATCCCTTCGTCTGCGAATGGCTTCATTCGAGATCTTTTCTCGGAAAAGGTTGTTTCGACCGAGAACGGTGGACGCGATTCTGGAATGGTCACTGGAGCGCAGGGGCCAAAGAAGCCCCTTCGCCAACCTTCTTTGAAGAGGAAGGGTGGCCGTTTCGGGTACGAAAAGACCGCTCCTCCCACAGTTGCATACAACTTCAAAGCAGCGATTGATGAGATGATCGACACCCTATCGGAGACAATTCCTTGGTTCGTCATGTGCATCAAACCAAACGAAGACCTATCTAGTGATAAATTGGAGTCGAAGCGGGTCAAGCAGCAGCTTCGTGCCTTGGGAATCACACGGATCGCTCAAGCTCGTGCTGCCGCTGACTACACGGCAAGCTATGGTATTGACGAATTTCTGTCTCGCTACCGAGTGATCATCGATCCCATGCGGTTGGATGAGTCTGCAGGTCCCAGCGGCAAGTGCGAGGATTTTGTATTGCAGAGCAATTGGACAAGTAGGGAAATGGCCATTGGTCGTAACAAAGTGTTCCTTTCCGAATCGTCGTGGATCTCCTTGGAAGATGAATTGAGAACCATTGAGGATCAGTTGCGCGCGGAGAGAAAGGCTCGAGGGAGGAGTAGAGCACGCGATGGCTCGCAAGAGAGGTCTCGCGGGACTAGTGTTGGTTCATCTAGCTTCCTTGACGATACCGCATCCCAGTATAGCACTGATATGGAGTACGGGGATGAGGGCTCTTACTACGACGATACAGAGTCTCAGTATAATTCAGAGTTTGAGTATGAACCATCCGCTCATCGATTGTCCCAAGTCAGTATCAGAGCAGGATCCATGGACAAGAAGCTAGCCGACAGGGACTTGAATGAACTGAATGTCATCTCCACGAAGAAAGATGCTTCAGAGGAAACCTTAATCGAGGAAAATGAAACATCGCCCGCTCGAAAAAAATGGGTCTGCTTCACCTGGTTCCTCACTTGGTGGATCTTTCCCCCCTGTTTGTCCTTCTGCGGTGGAATGAAGCGGAAGGATATTCAAATGGCATGGCGTGAGAAGGTTGCTCTCTGTATCATTATATTCTTCCTCTGCTGCGGACTTTTGTTCTTCATTATCGGTCTCGGTCGACTGATTTGCCCCAGAATCAACGTGCTCAGTACCGAAGAGTTGGCAGGACGAACGAATCCCGATGACCCTTGGGTGTATGCCTACGGTCGTGCATACGCCATCAAGCCCCTTATACAAACCCACCAGAATCTCAACATCCAAGATTATCGTCTTGCGGAGTTTTACGGACAAGACGTGGCCTTCATGTTCAACAAGACGAACAATTTTGCAGCTTACTGTCCTGGAGTACCTGCGCCGACCATGGGATGGGACAACTTGGCGAATCGTCGTCCACTTGCTTTTGACATGCACATGCACGACTTAATTCAAACTATCGATGGACAAAAATTTCCCAGACCTTACTTTGAATACATGAACCAGTTTGCTAAGAGCCGGGTTGCATGGACCATGGATTTCATTGAGGCGAATGCGAAGCCCACAAAACGGTTGATTGTCATCAATGACAATGTTTACGACGTGACAGCATATTTCAATTCGCCCTTCTTCAACGACCTGAACATTGACAGGATTTTTGGTGGTTTCATTGGCAAGGACGCTACAGAAGAGTGGAACAAAGTCATTCGAAACAGGGACCCCGGTCTCTCGAGGACGTATCTAACATGCATGAACAATATGTTTTATCAGGGTGTCGTCGATCACCGAAACGATGTCAAATGTCAATTCTCAAACTACGTCTTGCTCGCTAGTACCATCGTCTTGGTTGCGGTGATCGGATTCAAGTTCTTGGCTGCTCTTCAGTTTACGTCCGCAAAGGAACCCGAAGAGCATGACAAGTTTGTCATCTGCCAAGTGCCTTGCTATACGGAAGGTGCCGAGTCTCTGCAAAAGACTCTAGAATCCCTTGCTGTTCTGCGATATGATGACAAACGAAAGCTCTTGTTCGTCATCTGTGATGGTATGATTATTGGTAGTGGAAACGACCGACCAACGCCTCGAATCGTCCTCGATATCCTGGGTGTTGATCCCAATCACGATCCTGAACCTTTCAGCTTCCAGTCTTTGGGCGTTGGCGATAAGCAGCACAACATGGGCAAGGTCTATTCTGGTCTGTACGAAGTGCAAGGGCATTCCGTTCCCTATATTGTGGTCGTCAAAGTCGGAAAGGCCAGTGAACGCTCTCGCCCTGGTAACCGTGGTAAACGTGACTCGCAGATGATTTTGATGCGCTTCTTGTCCCGTGTTCACTTCAACTCTGAGATGAATCCTCTCGAACTTGAGTTGTACCACCACATGAAGAACATCATCGGTGTCAATCCTTCCTTCTACGAATACATTCTTATGGTCGATGCTGATACGGAAGTGTCCCGAGACTCGCTGAACCGTATGATTTCCTCGATGATCCACGACTCGAAAATCATGGGACTCTGTGGAGAAACGCTCCTCGCCAACGAAAAAGTATCTTGGACGTCGATGATTCAGGTGTACGAGTACTTTATTTCCCATCACTTGGCAAAGGCCTTTGAGTCTCTCTTTGGCTCCGTCACTTGTCTCCCGGGATGTTTCTGTATGTACCGAGTCCGGACCCCGACCAAGAATGTCCCTCTCCTTATTGCGCCTAGCGTGATCAATGACTATTCCGAGAACCGCGTTGACACCCTTCACATGAAGAACTTGCTCCATCTTGGTGAAGATCGGTACTTGACCACGTTGATGATGAAGCACTTCCCACACTTGAAGACCAGTTTTACCAACGACGCGCAGTGTCGCACCAACGCCCCTGACCAATGGTCTGTCCTGCTCTCGCAACGTCGTAGATGGATCAACTCCACGGTGCACAACCTGTTGGAATTGATGTTCTTGCCTCAGCTCTGCGGTTTCTGCTGTTTCTCAATGCGTTTCGTTGTCATCCTGGATCTGTTCTCAACGCTCGTGCAACCGGTTATGATGCTGTACATTATATACTTGATTTACTCTGCGGTGTCGGCAACTGAGATTTTCCCCAAAATGTCGATTATTCTATTGGGTGCTATATACGGTTTGCAAGTCATTATCTTCATTCTGAAGCGGCAGTGGGCGCAGATTGGATGGATGATTGTGGTATGTACACAATAGCGTTTTTTTGTCGTCTGACGGTGCTCGGGCTAATCCACCGTTGTTTTTAGTATATTCTTGCGATGCCTGTCTTCAGTTTCTATATTCCCCTGTATTCATTCTGGCACTTTGATGATTTCTCCTGGGGTAACACCCGTGTAGTTATTGGCGAAAAGGGCAAAAAGATGGTGTATTCTGCCGATGTTGCACCGTTCGATCCGAAATCCATCCCGCAGAAAAAGTGGTCGGAGTATGAAGCTGAGGTTTGGGAAAAGGGGTCCGAAGGTTCACGAGACTCTCGTGCATCGGACTTTAGCGGCCGACCACCAGTAGCGGGATCTGTCTACGGTGGAGCGTCAGCTTATGGTCCAGCACCGTCGGCATATGGTGGATCAGCATACGGTGGCCCGACACCTTCCGTATACTCTGGTTATGGCGTACCTGGAGCAGCGGGCTCGGTGTATGGCGGGTCTGCATACGGCGCCGCCGCGCCCGCTCTGCCACCGTATCAATCGCAAAAGCGGTTGTCCCATATTTCTGTGGGAAGCATGGGCATGTTTGCTGGTGGACTCCCTTCGGACGATGACATTCTCCGCGAAGTCCGACGCATCCTATCCACCGCCAACCTGATGACTGTTACCAAGAAGCAAGTGCGTGACGAGCTGTCTTCGGTATTTGGTGTAGATTTGACTGCAAAGAAGACGATTATCAACGGATTTATTGAGGATATACTTCAAGGAAGGTTGTGATTATGGAATCCTTATGAGAGTTAATATGTAGTCTTTATTGTTTAATTCGAGAAAACTGTATTTTGGAATGGTGAAGGGAGGTAGTAATGTACAAATGAATACAGTACAGTATGTGTATTATTGAACTATAACGGGATCAACTCACTGTATTTACGCCTTCAATCCTGGAACATCAAGTCTCAAAGCACTATCTTTGAATTCGCCCTACCTTCGACCCAAATCCTCAAGTTATTTATGCAGCCGCCGTTTACAAAACTGCGTACATGCAAGTGATACTGTTGATTGATTGAATGACTGACAGGGAGACAGAAGAAATACACGGTTCCAAAATCCAACATGAATCATCTCGTCTATGCCCCTAATACTCCCCCACACATCTTCTTTGCTAAATCCCGCGCAAATGGAATGTAACTGCACGGACAAGAGATTAGAAATGAGAAAACCTCAGGTCCAATAAATGCGTTTGTCATCCGATGATACATACCTCAAGGAATACCAGAACAAAGCCAAGAATTGGATGAAGCAGCACAGAAGGGTCAATAGCACGTTTTCGAGCTATTCGACGAGAGTATGCATCAATGAATAGGAAGCTCCAGACGGGGAAAGAGGACAAATCGGCACTTACGGTGAACGCAACGACCAATGTTGTCACCATCGTCACAAGAAAAATGATACTCGCCGTTAACCGCGTTGCATCAAACATTTTCTACACTCAAGAATGAATATCCGGAGCGTAAGGATGAAGACCAGTATAGCTTCAACTTGCCTTAAATTGTGTTTTGAATCCCACCAAAAATCCTGTTGATACCAAGGATATGATGTTGCCAGTGGTATAGAGAACCGCAAACCCGGCTATTGCTCCAAAGGTCAACAATATTGAGGACTACAGCCGAAGAATTAGAATACTTTGCCGCGCTGCAAATCAGCAAGTCGTTGACGTACAAGGAGAGATATGACGAAACCAAGGGTAAAACATATTCCAAAGCCGTAGAACCGTTGGGTGCGAGTCAGCTCCATTCCGCCGCACATCTGGAGTGACATGCATTGTCAGATAATTGCGCGCATAAAAACAAACTATGATGTATCAACAATTGCATACAGGGTCCATGGTTGAGCCTTGCTGGGCCGTGCTTGACATGTAATCCGTTATAGCCATGATGAAAGTGACTTAAGGCGAGAGAGGAAAAAACGAGAGCGGATGGAAGAAATGCGACAACAAGGTGAACAGCCCCCCCTCCAAGTAATGGGCTTGGCTTTAACTCGGTTGCCAAATATAGAAGCGCGTTTCACCAGCTGGAATTGTTCGCCTTGCCTTAAGCTGCTTTGCTATATTACCATTTTCACACTTGCCCAAACGATCTTGAATGGTCTCCACAACAGACTCTGCCGTAGATCCACCTCAACAGACGGGCGCTGCACCTAATGAGCGTAATAGTGCTCTGGAGCCTCGACGAAATGGTGATACGGGCCCTCGTGAGGTGTCAGCCAATGCTTCGTCCACGCGCATGACCAGGAATCGCAAGCTCCTCGCGGAAGGGAAAGAGATTCGCAAACCACAATACAACGTCCGTCAACTGGCTAATGGGCACCTGTCAGGGGGGAAGATAAAGGAAAAGCCGCGCTGGTATAACCAGACATATATTATGTTTCTGGCCTTAAGGCAGGCTGGAGAACCATTACCCCGTGGTGTCCTCATTCCAAAGGCTTTGGCATTGGACAAGGAGATATCTAGACAACGGGGACTTCCCCCGCTGTTTGGAGGAAAAGTATGCTTTGATTGATACTGATCTCGTCATTCATGTCTCTAACGTTTCTGGCACGGACAGACACCGCAAAACACCGCAAGTGGTATCTTGACTGAGAACCGCGACAAGCTTTTCATATCCTTTATACCAGAAGGAAAGAAACATGTGCATTTCAAACTTGCGTACGAGCCTGGAAACTTTGAGACTGCGCTGGAAGCCTACAATAAGTGGATGGATGCGCTGATTCACAAAGACTGGCCCTATCTCTTTAGCAAACGTCGAAAGGAATGGGAGACTACGCCGATCAATACAGACAAAAGCCTGGGGATATGCAGAAAAAATGTGACAATTGAAAGCCCAGCGCCTTCAGATGTTCAGGATGCGGCTTTGCAAATCAACCCTCCTTGCGATGCGGAGAGAAAGCGGAAACGAGAAGCCGAGAAGGAAAATGAACAGCAGTCGCCTAAGAAGCATCGAACAGAGAGTTCAGAGACGAAGAGTGTCGAAAGCGGACCGTCATGTACCGTAGACTATTTTGCTGATGTTATGAATAGCGTGGAGAATGCCAAAGCTCGAGCGGTCATGGAACAGTCTCATGCCCTTGGGCATAAGGATGATGACGTTGCATTGGATGCGATATTCGAAGCGGCAGAAGACGATGACATTCCAACGTCCTTGGATCAAGTGGTGGAAGTGAAGGAGTCTACTGTACGTTGGCGCATGTGTTCCGAATGCTTGGACTTCTTTTTGCGTTATATTCACCCCATGGCATGTAGATACCGAACGCGGGTCGTGGTCTGTTTGCTAAGCGATTCCTTCCTGCATGGACGTTCCTGGGATTTTATTTTGGGGTACCAATGACTGAGGACGAGTTCGATTCGTTGAAAGACGGGGTTGGGCTGGCTTCGCATTATGCTGTACGTCATGCAATGTGGTAGCGTATGCTTACAATCGGAATCAACCAGTCTAACGTCCTTCTTTTCATTTATAGCACCAATATCGCCTAACTGTCCTGGATGCCACCGATGAAAAAGGGCAGCCCTACTGGAACCATCCACGGATCTTTTGTCCATTTCACTTTATGAATGAAGATCCTAAACGGGCCAATATTGTCTTTAAAGAAGGTCATCAAGTCAATCAAGTCCTCTGCATGACTACCAGGGAGATACAACCTGGTGACGAGCTGTTTGCAAATTATGGAAAGTCGGTTGAACGTCATTGGCAGACCGGGGAGGATTTACCATCACAAGCAACCGTAGATCGTGATGAGGGCGAGGGAAAATCACTCGGCACCAACGAAACCGACGCTGTCCAGACGCCCGCAACAGATAGCTGTCAACCTTCCCAACCTGTCTTTCAACCTGATACAACACTGCCCACAGACATTTCCAACATCATCGCAACGCCGGTCCTAAGTGACTCTGACGACGAACATAACCCGGTAAAACCTGGTCGAGAAATATCCTCTCAAGTTCCAACGGGAAATGCCCACTGGCCAAGTCCGGAGCCGACCGATTTATCAAGTGAGATCGATGTATGAAAAGACCGAATTTTAGTAAATATGTATAAATTGTCAAACGGGGCTGGTCCATGTCTTGGGTAATTGCGTAATCAATAAATTTATGGGGCCGCATAACCTGGTTGTTAAAATCCAGCAGACAACGGCTGCCATCTCTTGGATTGCTGTCACAGTCTTCCTTTCGTGGATATACGCTTACGCTGATATTTTACGGACTACCACGGCGATGCACAGTGCTCTATAACACGGCCCATTTTAGTTGCCGCGGGACCACATCCTTTCCATTGAAACGACCGTATTGCAAATTATCCAGTCTGCTCCTAGAGTCTGCTGCATGAGCCGAAATGGATTACTTTGCCGGCAGAGCCACTGGACCTCCCGTAGACTACGTGTACGTTTACATATCTATGTCCGTATTTGAAGGTGTCTTTTCTCAATGCCATGCAGCGCACCTACCTGGCCGGATTTACAGGAGTGGGTCATAGGAGCCGAGTCTGACCAAATGACAAGTGACGTATTGTGGTATAAAGGAGGTAAATGCACCCTATGGTTTTGGCGGTGCGGACTCTGCCTAACACCATTATCGCTCTTTTACAGATATTGTTGTATTCACTCTCGTCTGGACAGTGATCCTCTTCTCAATCGTCTACGGCGTCGCCGGATTGTGGGCATATTTTGTCTTCTTCCGTAGTAAACTTGGCCTTATTCTTCTGCTCACTTTCGGTGGTATTGGACTGTTTGCTGGCGCGTCTTCCGGTGCTGTTGTCGGTAGGTTTTTGATCAACTGCAATTGGTGGCGGATAACCTCGGATTATGGTACTCAGCCCTGGTAAACTCAGGCATTCTTCTCGCAAGTGTTTACAATGCCGGTTACTTTGCAATGGCTACCTGGATCCCATTGGCGTGGGCTCTGGTACAAGTTCTAATCGTCATCATTTCTGCTGATGCCGATCTTAGCTTGACGACGTTGTGAAAGCAGCCGATGTCGTCTTTTGTACATAGCATTTTTACGTTAGTGTGTATATATTGGAGCTGTGAAGTCCCCTGATACGTCAGATCCTGAAGAAACTAATTCTCGTTAAAAGATAAAATATAATAAACTATCGTATTCCTAAGATGACCCTATGTACAAGATTGCATATCGAAAAAGAGACGTACATATCTCTCTAATCTTCGTCACTGCTCAACTCCAACTCTATCATACCATCATTACTCGGTTTAGATATCGTAACCTGTGCATCCGCCATCACCGGAACGAGCTTATTATGTGACGGCGCTGCTGCTATAAAATCTCGTCCCGTGACAGGATCAAATCCCATTCGACTCATTGCCTCAGGTGTGAATACGGTTTTTGGTTCTGACTTTTTTCGATCTGGAGGTGGATCTAGCAAACAAAATTAGCTTGCGTAGGAAATGTAGCCGAAGACTCTAACATACCTTTTGAGCCCTTCAAAAGGTGCCTGGCTATTCGGAGGTACCGAGCACCTGGAGTGTGTGTGTCTAACATACCCGCTCTGACATAAGGACCAACATATCACGACATTTAGGTTGAACATGTCATTGAACCAGTCGCATTCACTCTGATATTGTGACTCACAGCTCTTTCTCCTCTTCAGGCTTCAGCTTCCGTCCTGGTTTACATGCTTGCAGCACTTGCAGGCCCGACTCGCCAGTGGACAAAGCCTGTCCGCCAGGAAACAAATATGTATCGGTCGCCGCTAATTTCCGGCGCTTTTTGGAGGTATCTTTTGGGTCCCCTAATGCAAATACGGCATTGCTATAAGATTGTTTAACATTGTACTGCGATCATGAAGTAATGAAGCAAAATTGCATGCCTTACCCTGCAAGGAACTCCTGCCGTTTCAAGCGAGCTTTCTTGAACAATTCGACTGCATGTTCTTCACAATGTTTACTATGCCGACTAAGAAAGAAAAGAGGGCGTTGAGCGTTGGCGTATTCAGCGAACAAGCACCAACGTACTGACATATTAAGCACCCGTGCGCATCTATCGTGTTCATTTTTCATCGCCTCGCAGAATCCAATGTCCTGAGACATGCCAATTTTCATCCACTTGTCTTCATTGTCCACGTTCAAACCAACCAGTCTCCCCTTCTGTTATGAGCAGTCAGCACGTTCAGTAGACCAGACACTGAGATTGAGATTCGCCATACCTCATTGGGTAACAGGATCTTCGGGTTCAAGAGTGCCACAACACTTCCAACCAGCTCCTTCCAATGACGCTCGAATGACTTTTTGAACAAAAACACGTTGACGACGCTTTTGTCGAGGTCGGTCAATTTGATCACACAGTATTTACCGCCTTTTAGGCTGGTACGAGGCGAAGATTTCTCGGCAATCACACCAATTGTCACCCAGTCCCCCACTATGTCGTCCCCGCTCATATCCTGCATTATACGATGGAGAGGGACCATGCGGCGTCCCAGCATTCGCGTTTGCATATCAGTCACAGACACTTGGCGGTCCCTTATGTGAAATTAGATTGAGAAAGACCGCAGTCAAACCATTCCTGAGAGTCATGCGGCTACTGACCTCAATCGTAAACCCGAGTATCCCTCTACTGCATTCTCACTCACAGTAGCTTGCTTGCCCTTGCTTCGAATATTGGGCGACGGCAGGCGAGGTGACATTGGATCTGAACGATTGTAAAACATTCCCTGTTATAATCACGATCTAATATACATGATCTATTGATTGACAAACCAGATCGCACCTGAGGACGCCTGTCCGAATGACTTTGCCTTTGGACGATTATGAATCGCGGCTTCCTTGAGGTAACAACTCCTTTTGTCTGACATCTTTTCTGTGAACGATGCTTCTAGACCCTTAGAGCCATAAAAATCTGGAGGGGGCAGTTTCCTCTTCAGCGACGTTTGGGCGATAATCTGCGAGGTTTTGGTAGTGACTTCCCTGACTGCAAGCAAGTCTTATAAGTAATGTGGTGCAGAAGAATTATGAGGCATTTCATACCTAACGCATCAGTCGCTTCCGTTTTGGCGAATATACTATGATTATAGTCCCTTGATATCTCAGGTTGCATATCCGGCTTGCTGCCCTCCTCTTCCATTTGGCGAATTTCAGCCTCTAGCCTGGCCTTTTCATTCTCCAATTTTAGCCTTCTGAGCCGTTGATGGCGTTGACGCAGTGCTTCGAGTTCCAGAAGCTGAGCATCTTCTGCACCGTGAGAAACTAAGTTTAGTGGAAGGACCTACAGGCAATTTTGGGTGTCATGGGAGAGCTGTAGTTACTTGGTTGTTCACAGGTGGTGGGAGACCTCTGGCGCTCCGACGTGTCCTTTTCATTTTCGACTTCCTCTGCTAGGCAAAGTAGCGGGTCCTCATCTGAAGAGTCGTCGTATGACGTCCCTGTCAAGGTCATTATGTATTCAGCTGCACATTACTTCTTACGATCTCACCAATGCAGCGGAGATAGGTGTCCGAAAGTCCGAAAGTGCTTAGGTGTCACGTGGCGGCAGCCTGGCCGAGTGATCGTGGACAAGATCGCTCCGGTTTACGTTCCTGGTAAGGACTTCAGTGTCCGTGTTCCACATCATGGAGGGGTCCGTGACTGTAGCCAAAACCTCAGATAAGGAATATCTCTACCACATTGTCAATATACCACCATACCGCCTGACTATTGCTTCGAGGCTTGAAGATACTGATTCCGACGACGATTTTGTCGATCCGTATTTATTCGACCCATCATACACACTTGCAGCAGCTACTGGCTTTTCAGTCTGGGAAGGCTCGGTTGCGCTCCTCTCCTTCATTCATTCCGCGCAGAGTTCAGAGGCACAAGAATTTCGCCGACGAGTGCTGGAGAAGCGAGAGAAAGTTGTGGAGCTGGGGAGCGGAACTGGCATCGGGGGGTTGGGGGTCGCTGCTTTGGGTGGGGACGTCCTATGCACAGACGTGGAAAGCGTTTGCGATTTGACGAGATCAAATATCAGACGAAATAGATTGGAAATCTCGTCTGAACGTTGCCCAACGGGTGGGTGGTTTGATTCAGTATCAGTCGGACGAGGAACGGCAGGTGTCCAACCTCTGGACTGGTCGCAGCCAGTATCCGCACAACGCAAACCGAATGATCCAATATCTGCGTCAATAATAATTGCAGCAGAAACTGCTTGGCTTGCCGACCTGGCTCCTCTATTTGTGGAAACCGTGGCCAACTTGCTACGGTCTGGAGTCGAGGTATCGAATTGTAAGGTATGCTATTGGGCGTACAAGGAACGAGGAACGGAAGCCAGCAAAATTTTTACTACAATGTCCAACGTCAAAAGAGCCTTTCACCAAGCTGGGTGTGAGGTAGTCGAGATATGGAGAGAACGTAGTAAGGAGGATCCAGATAAGCACGTAATCATTAACACCATTCGTCAGACGCGGCTGCCGTAAACCTATGAGCCTATTATTATGAATTTTGCACCTAGCTAGCAGTCTTTGGAGGACGTATAGCACTGAAATATCACATTTGGTCCCAATGTCATTGTCTATATAATCGTGCGTTAGGACTAGAGTCTACAACCTCTGATCTCTGGCTCTGCGAAGAGATCTGTGCCATTACTGACTATGCGCATCGATCTGATCTTTCGTCTTTGCCACAAAAGTCCTCATTGCTTCCACTGCTCCCATGGAAACCCTTCCGGAATCAGATCCGGCCGGTCCCATATGAATCCGACCAACCATTCTAAGGCATCGACAAGCCGGGGGCCAGGGCGGTTAAACATCTGCGCGAAGTAAAGGAGCGGGGCGGGTTTATTTCGTGTTCCGATACTTTCCATATTATGGGTACCTACCTGATTTCCATCGACAACCGCCACTTTCTTGCAGGTCTTCATGACCTCTTTCCACCAATTCTTTTCTTGGGCTAACCGGGTTTCCCTTTTACTGTCCTCCAGGTTAAGTCCACATGGGCAGATGATGAGAATTTCTGGTTTGCTATCTATCACCATTTGTTCTGGCGTGCGTCGGGAAGGTCCCGCACCTGCGTCCTCCGTGGCAGGAGCAACGGGATGAGTTCCACCAGCCATCTCGATGAGCTGCGGTGTCCTATCAACGTAGAACATGAACATGCGGACATGCAAAATGTGCATCAACAGAATCCCCTACCAGTGCCCGCCTGGATAAATTGGATCTGTCCATTCAATAAACGCAACTCGCTTGCGTATGCCGTGAGCCGCATCAAGGAACGAGCGAGCCAAGGAAGTAGCATTCGCTACTCTGCTTTCCAAGGACTTTTTGGCGTCCAGCGCCTCTCCCTCCATTCCAACAGCCCGCCCAACCTCGATAATATTCGCCAGCACATCTTGCAGGTTGACGGGATTCAAGGTTACAACGAGTGGTGATGGGTTCATCTTTTGAGCAACGCGCTCCACTATCGTTTATTATCCGTCAATTGAAGCCGGTTCGTGAGATTGAGGCATAGTGCAACACTGACCTGTTTGCAAATCGATCGCACATACATTGCACAGATCCTAAGTCGAATGAGAAAAGATTGATCAAATGTCCACGGAAAATGACCATACATCTAGTTTCTTAAACAGGTCAGATATCACATTATTACCTGTGTCAAAACGACCTGCGGCTTTAATTCCTCCAGAAGGTTTGTATCTAGCGTGTAGAGACTCTGTCCTGCAGCCAATGCCTGTGAAACTTGTTTGTCGACGTCAGCTGATGTAGTGAAAGTAGTTTTTTGACCAGTCAAAATAGGTCTGTTCGTAATGGTACTAGGGAAGTCATCCTAGAGCGATTTATTATCAACTTTGGAAGAGGCTTTAAGTTCTTGTATAGCACCAACCTCGTGGTTTCTTCCTACTAGCAAGTGCTCCCCACCAATAATGCATAGCATCTCAGTAGCAGAGGGTAGTAAGCTCACCACTCGAGAAACTTTGGATGTGATTGGGGACATAATAGCTTTGGTTAAAAACTTCGAACATCACACAGCGAACGGATTGATGGCACTCTGATCGATGAGTCATAACAAGCACGTGATCCATTTCCGTTCAGAGGCCGGTGCGATCCGCCGAGGCATCTTGGTCCACAGGTTTCATGCTCAGATCGGTTCGCATTCCTCGCCCATCTACTTTTCATCCTTGGGTACCTACCACTATTTTGCGTAGCACAGCATCAACATCTGCGATTTCTAGCCTTTCAGTTCTGCAACAAACCCGAGCCATGTCACACAAGCTTTGCATGATTCCTGGTGAGCACCCGGCATCAACTGTCTTCTACAGATAGGGCAGCTCCTAAATCTTTTGGGTTGTTAAGGGCCCGTCGAATTCGACGCCGCAGTTACAAATGCGATGGCTACCCCGGCCACATCTCACGTGGCCCCTGACTTCATTGAAAAGTTTGGCAGTGCGTTGGAGCTGTTGAGGAAAGTTTTCCTAGCACCTGTATGTATGGCACACAGGAACTTCGTTGGGATGATGTTATTAATTGTTTATATATTTATAGAATGGTCAACCATTCATTGTTGCCGGATCCGGTTTGTGTTTGTTTTGTTGACACCCACGAACTTCCAAGCTCATCTAAAAATCGTTAGGTACTCTCACCTGGGACATGACCGCTGCCAACCTTGTTGAACCGGGCGAAGACGTGCTTGTAGTTAATACGGGCGTCTTTGGTGACTGGTTCGGTGAATGGTAGGCAATAGCGACCTTCGAGCAGGTTGGGACTGATGATTTTCTCACATGTCCTATAAAGTCTTGGCGTCTACGGAGCAAATGTCACCCATGTACGAGCGCCATTCGGCGACCGTCCAACTCTTGAGCAAATAGCGGAAGCTTTAAGCCAGAAAAAGTACAAGCTTGTTACGGTTACTCACGTGGATACCTCAACTGGTGTATTTGCCGATATCAAATCCATTGCGAAGCTTGTCAAAGAGAAGTCTCCAGAGACCCTCATTGCTTTGGATGGTGTTTGCTCTGTTGGTGCTGAGGAGATTAGGCAAGAGGAGTGGGGTATGTGGCACACCACCTTTTTTTGTATCTTGCAGAGTGACTGACATTTGATCAGGTATCGACGTGGTATTGACTGCCAGTCAAAAGGCGCTCGGTACTCCACCCGGTCTAGCAATCATGGTTGTCAGCCAACGTGCGCTTGAGGTTGCTGCCAACCGTAAGGCTGGGCCCACCACGTACTTCGGTTCGTTCAAGAAGTGGCTGCCCATTATGAAGAGCTACGAGGCACGCAAACCGTCATACTTTGCTACTCCATCAGTTCAGTTGATTTTGGCTCTTGAAGTCAGTTTGCAGCAACTCGTGGCGCAGGGGATGGACACTCGCTTCGCGAAGCATCGCGAAGCTTCCAAGAAAGTTAAAGATGCTCTTGAACAATGGGGACTTAAGCTGGTATGGGCCTCAGCTTTCTGTGCATCTAGCTGTTTGCAGCGCGGTCATATCTTGACAGATTGTCATAGGTTCCAGTGAACCGGGAGGTTGCAGCCAACACACTCAGTGCTGTATACTACCCAGAAACTGTTAAGGGACCCGAGTTGTTGCAGAAGATCGGTTCCCATGGTGTCGTTGTGGCCGGTGGACTTCATCCTCAGCACTCTACCAAGTACTTCCGAGTGGGACATGTAGGTTATGCCAGTCACTTTGATAGTATACATGTGAATTCTGATGAGCAGCGCATCAGATGAATGTCAGTGCCGTCAATCTAGAGAACCACCATCTCGACAAGACTCTTGCTGCGATTGAGCAATCATTGAAGGTATAGTAACTGCATCGCTGATCTTTATAAAAGAAAAAGGACAGGCAAACTCAACAGAATCTTTCTAGGAGTTGGGCCACCTGTAAATGTACATTACACACGCACGCGCTACAATACAGACCTGCCGCTGCATCGTTATATATGTGACTGCTGTAATAAATATACATTCGCTTATACATTTTTCATCAACTGCGCTTCATCCCGGCCACGAATTTCCGGAATCCTGATTCAATCTTGCCGCCTGTGGATGTCGTCGAACCGCTTATAGCGTTCATAGCATTTGTAAATGACGATCCTGCAGGGTTTCCGCTTAGTGTGCCCGTCGATCCACCGGGCAAAGAATCTGTCGGTACACGTCTTTGGAATGCTTCTATCACGGTTTGCTGTTCGACACGCTTGAGTCCCTATGTTGGAAGCGTTAAGTTTTATGAAGGTCATGTTATCATCAATCCATGCAAACCAGATCGACATGTGTAAGTCGCACCTTCAGCTCCAAAACCTTTTGGAAATTTGTCAAGCTGTGGTCATTGAACAGCAACAGGTACGTTTCAACAATGCCTTCTACTGGTTGATAAGGTCTGAGGACCACTTTCAACAGTTGCTCGACCTTGGTCACAGCCTTGGTCACAATTTTGATGTATCTGCATCAGATGTGAAGGTAAATACGTCGTTTGGCAGATGAGTCCGTCTAAAATACGCACGTCGCAGGAGGTTGACTTGGGGTATCGGAATTGATGTTGGCCATTTGAATGAAGATAGTTTTGAGGGCATGTGTGTCAAGGAGCATCTATGTCAACCCGAATGTCAGCTGTGAGTGAAGCTAAAGTACGACAGCGCCTCATACCTGTTCAGCACCAATTTCTGATACCGGCTTACATCGAAAAATGGTATTGTAATAGCGACCGAGGAAGGACCTTTGACCGAAAGTGGGAGTATGGTACATTGTTGAACAGACATCTCTTTGAACCGGGAAACGCGTAACACCTACTCGGCAAACTTATCACAGAATGTCCTAAAATATTTTGTATTGCTCGCAAAAGTTCGTCGCGCCACCGTGACCGTCGACATCAATGTCTGTGCAATTATTGTCACATACTCGGACTGATCACCAACAGCCTCAAGTGTCCCCCATGGGCGTTTCAACATGCTATTGAGTGCAGGTTCGACGCAGTTTTCTATACCGTGAACAAGGATCTTTATCCCGGTGCTTGAGACGCTACATATTGTAGTAATGAGCCAATAATTGGGCACCAATGCGGAACTCAGTTGTACATACTCGAGGAACGCATCACGCTCTCGGTTGAAATTTACCAGTGGTCTAAATTCTTCATCAATCTTCTCGGATAATTTTTCTTCGAGCTTTTTGTACGTAGTTAGATCCGAACGAGGAGCCAACGAAGTTACGTGCCATTCTACCTGTGTTGTAGTAGTAGTGCAATAATCTCCCGTGTTAATGATTAAACAGGTGATACGAATTTCATCTTCCGTGATTGCTTTCTTATCATCTCTGTAAATAATATCTGATTTAGTGGCTTCGCTTTCCAACCCAACTTGTTTATTCCTACTTCGGCAGCTTGGAAGATAATAAGTCGGCATATTGCTTCAGCCATTTGGCAAACAATCGAACCAAATCCAGGAAGGGTTTGTTTGTTGAGAGCTTTGCGCACTGAACCAAAGTCTGACGGTACAAGTAGAACAAATCGGTACTCGAAGATAAAACCGCATCTTCCTCCTGCAAAACTGGTCGCGCCCGGTATTGTTCCATGATATCACTCAAAGACCTAGAATTGGAGTATCAGAGACAGGATTGAGCTTCATCGATCATGGCGGTCGTAAGTTGACTCGAGCATACCTGTCTTCAATTTCGATGTAATGCCGAAGATATGGCTCGAAGACAGATGATATGATTTTGAAAAATCTCGAAGTTTTCGGTGGTTGGACATCATCACTCGTAGGGCCACTTTCTTCCTCAAGATTCTAGGCACGGATTTTTGAGCCCCAAGTTACATCTGTTGAACCGTGTAAACTGCTCACATGTATTCCAAACCGCTTATCAAGTTTCCCCTCAAAGTCCATGGTAGTCTGCAATGCTTGTAGCATTAATTTGACATCCATAGAGTTGTCCGCTCTGGCTAGGACTTCTGAGAGATCTTGTCTATAAGCAGACATAAAAAGTAAGTGCCACGTCCATCACCTGAACCCTCAACACCGACCTTGTATCGTGGCAGAACTTATCACAGAGGACCTCTGCAACTTTCCATTCTGGAGGGAATATAACTGCATGGTCTTCATCATATGTTTTCAGGAGCCGCTTCAACCAAGCATAACGTCGTGACACATCACCCAATCCTGCAACCTATTAAGTGATAATGTGTCTCAGCAGTGTCTCTCATTTGATGTATGGCTCATAACTGTACTTTCACACCTCTGGATTGTTGCGGAAAATTCCGCGATAATCTTTCAAATGAATATCACAATACCAGTTGATAAGGCTTTGTCTGCATTGCAACAGTTAGTGAATTTCATATATAACTTTTTCTAATTTCGTGACCGGTAGTACCTTGCATCCCCTTCCAAAATATTGATGACTAAGCATGCATCGCTCAGAAGTCCTAGCTGGCTTCGCAAAGCGCCGCCTACAAATCTGTTGCACGTTAATGGATGGCTCGCACTTAACCGAACAACCAGTAGCAACCAACCCTGATTCAAAGTCGCGGAAGATCTGTCGCTTGATGTCCGCCTGAAGCTGCGTGACACTGTCCAGCAGTGCAGCAATCTGGTTCACGCTGCGATATGTCTTGAAATGTGCCAGCAGCTGATTTATAACCTAATAGTGGGCAAGCGCGCGTCACACGGGCTGAATGACTTGCTGGTGACTTTGACAACAGTGTTGGGTTTGGAGTCATACCTGTACAAGTTGTGCCGCCTCAATATATTGCTTCTTGCCAGCCATAGTTCGCAATTGTTCAACCGCTGATACTTTATTATTACACAAGGTCAGCCGTCATGCGAACTAAGTGGAACAAAGATTGGTAATGCCACAGACTGACCAAGCATTTGAAGCCTTCGAAGCACCGTCACGGAAGATGTAAGATTTTTCTTGGCATGATCCAAAGACTTTATGTCTCGAGTTATCTCCTGAACCATGCGTTCCGATTCCGCTGCTTGTTCTTTAATCTGTTTGATGCTGTTGAACAATTCCTGGATGGGCCAAAAATATGTTAGAGGAGAAGTCCTTGTGCACGCCAATGAATATCATTACTATTGTACCTGTATGGCTTGCCTAGTTTCCTCCAATTGCTTCTGTCCCCGGACTCCGGCATCAGTTTGAGACCGTACCAGCTCTCGCATTTCCTTATCCATTGCCCATATTTTGTTTCGCAATTTTGCAAGAACTGTGTCCACAGTCGCTAAAGAGTCCTCTATTTGGCAAACAAGAAAACAAGCTTAGCCTTGAGCACCTAATAAAGTAGGGCCTCTCCGCGTACGCAGATCGCAACGTCTGCATGTTTCGCCAGAACACGATGATAAAGGAGCAAGTATCGCAAATGAATCACTAACAACAATGTACATTTGCATATACCCACCGCCTGGGAATATCAAGTTGATGTACTCTATAGGGTCAAAGTCACTAGAGTCCAAGGGATCCTTTGTTTCGAGAATGTTGGAAATAGCATGGTCTAGCTCGGGACTGAGTTTGATCGTCTCATGGTTTGCAGCCTCTTCAAATTCCGTGGCGACATCTTGTGAAGGATCTTGAGACATGCTAGTGGTCTATCTAAAAGTGATCACCCCATTGACCGTGGTGATCTTCGCTGACCACTCGGCAGCTAGTTGGGAGCGGGGACGATGCATCACGTGACATGATTAGCCAATGCAATCACGTAAGGTTCAGCAACCACCCCCAAGAGTATCACATCCGGTACGAGAGTTACAAGATGTCTGGCTTGTCGCTCTCACCATGGACTATCCCCTGTTCCTTACGCCGATTCCTCCAATATTAACTTATGTTGAAAGGAGTCTCTCCTTTCGGGTAGGGGCCGACGGTAACAACTTATGCGCAGCGTTCTGTCCGACAGTCACGTGTCACGAGTTGGATAAGCGTGTTCCTCCAGCGCTCACCCGAAAGCTCCTGCATTCGACCCAGGAGATCTGAGGAGCAGGACACGAGTTTTGAGGTAGGCCACTCGCTGTAAAACATCTGCTAGAGGTCCGGAAACTGATGCTTCCTTAGAACGATATCTTGTGGATACTCAACCTCATTCAACGCGCTGGGCATCCGCTTTATACAGCAAGGTATTATCTCCGACGGAGATCGTCTCTCAAAGAGTGAAAGCATGCTGGCGCAGGAGAAGCAAATGGCGGTGCCGGATTCAGATAAACTAAGTCCCAATGACAAGATGTTAGAGGTATACTGTCCCATTCGTCTTTCAGCGGGAGAAGAATTTGCGCAGCCGCACATTCTCATTTTCCAGAATAACCTAACGACTTCCCGTCCAACAGGCCTTTGAGCGTTGGGCAACGAATGGTTTTATGGGACTGGCGCATGTTAGGTTGGTATTAAGAGGCAAGATCCTTCCTGCTGCTAGCACGTAGCATCTCATCATGCGTCGCCTTATAGAGATCCAGCCGAACTAGTATATCGATTGCGAGAATGGCTTTCAGGCGCTTGTAACTGTCCACCTCCAACTGAAGGCACAGTGAACGAATGGCTGTGGCAAATGGGGCGACGATTTCCTACGTTTGGCAGCTGGTTGATGGAGAGTACGTATTAAAGAATTCTAATTGTCAATAGTTTTGACACTAATGAACATCACGCAGAGCTCAAATCAAACATACTACGGGGACCCTTCAATTCATCTGTTGTACCATCAAGCGCAAGCCCTTCAAGTGCAGCACCCACAGCGGACCCACCAACCCCTCAGCCGGCCCCGATATCTCAACTTGCATCATCATCTTACAACAATTCCGCATCAGCCCACTGTACATCTCAAACGTTTTCGGCTCCATCCCAATCTTGCGGCAGCCTAGAGAACAGCTACGGTTCTCCTGCACCCACGGAGAACTGGTCAACTATCACCGGCTCATCTCCATCTCCCCTTCCCACCAGCACTGGCCCATCAACTATCGCAGAACGCTATCCACCGTATCCAAGCCGGTTGCAATCTATGATTGGAACTGTCCCGCTGTCTTCACCTACGTCTTTGGGGGAGTGTCATGCTACCGGATGTCTTGGATATTATTCTCCAACGCATTTCTGTCTGCACAAGCGCCAGAATTCAACCCACTGCCTAGTTCCACCTGAGTGGACAACGTATGGTTACGATATTGAGGCCGCTTTCGAAAAAACAATCAATCTGCATCGGGAGCTGGAAGAAATCATTGCAACACCTTCAATGACGATTGGTAGTATCTTAAAAGAGGAAAGCAAGGTAATACAGGCCCTGTGCTTGTGGGAAGAGGCGAAAGCAGTCGGGGGAAAGAGTAAAATATTACGTCTAAAACGGAGAAAACTATAGAGTACTTTGAAAGTCTAAGTTATGTACGTTGTCGCATTGTAATTTATATATATATGTTCGGGCATTTCTACGTCTTGTGGCGCCCTATGTCTCGATAGCAGGCCATAAATGTACCGGCCTGAGGAGATCCCACCAAATTCTACGAGGGTTATGGTATATTCCAACGAAGCTTTCTGGTAATTGGAGGACCTTGGGCCTCTTTTCTTGGTACGGTATGCTGATGTGTCACATGATACTGCCGTATCTGTCGCTCTGCCTTTGAAGGCGATGACGGGAAGGACTCAAGTTCCGGGTTTGGTGGGTATCTGGTCGTACCCATCCCTGCGCTTCTATGTCTTGTCGTATCCGGTACGGAAGGTTGGGAAGCCATTGCTGCGGATGGGCCCCAAGCTGCTAGAAGGGCAGGTGGGCTCGGAGATTGCGGGCGAGGGCGCGAAATGTTTGCACCAGCTGTTGCCTGCAAAATGCCTGCCGTTGATTTTGTAGCGGCTGCGGCTGCAGCCGCAACCCTGATCGCGGCTTGTTCTTCTAAATGCCGTATTACAATTGCATCAGTAGCACGTTGTAAGGCATGGTTATCATAAAGAGCAGTTTTCGGCTCTGGCTTCCCCTGGACGGAGGCAGTGATGCGGGACGCTATTGATCAATCATCAGCATAGTATAAAACATTGTGAAATTTGATGCTGTTACGCACACTGCTGCAGTCTTAGCACACGAAATTCGTTGTTCTTTTGTTCTAGTAGCGATATCCGAAGATTGTTGCTATTAATCATATCTTTCAAGATTTTGTCCGCTTCATCAGCCAGTGGAAGATCTAGGACATGATAATCATCGTCAGTTTGCTACTTAGCCAGACCACCACTCTGATATCGAACCTGAAAGTGCTACGTCATGTCCCAGACTGGCATCCGGAAATTTCATCAGGACGTTCAAAAGATTTGTTAGCTCCTTATTCTTTACATTTGCAATTTGTAGCATCCGTTCAAGTTCGAGGCTGGAATCGGAAAGCTTTTGGTTACTATCTTGCACTCGTGCTATTTCCTCTTGTATCTCTTGAAATTGTGTGACAGCCGCTCGCTCGGCATGAATTGCGTCACTGGCTGTTTTTTCCCACTGGACTCGCTCCCTTTCCAAGTCTGCCAGCTGTTTTCGTGCTTCGGACAGGCCTTTCTGTAGCGAGTCGACCTTCTCTTTCAAGTCCTTTGCATCTGCTGTCGACGTGAGATATTGAGCCTCGATGCATGCGTACGTTCCTTTAAGGGTAGCTAGCTCAGCTGCAAGGGCGGCCTTCGACGTCTCCACCTCACGCTTCTCACGATTGAGCTCGTTGTCTGGGTAATTATCAATTCATACATGGGCATGTAAATCGCTAAGTTCAACTTTCCGTACTTTGTGAGCTCAATGAATCCAACACTCTTGTTAAGTTGGCAATGTCTGCTTCGAGCTTCTCAGTTGTGTTCGCAGCACTCTGCTTGGCGCGCTCTGCATCTTGCAGCCAAGTTGTTAGTTCATACTTTTCTTGCATGAGCCTGTGCTTTTCAATCTGTAGAACGCTATTCTCAGTAGGAACATTTCTTGTGTATTCGCAGCATCCCAACCAACCTCGTATTCTGTCTTAAGTGTTTGCCGCTCAATTTCAGCCTTTTTTGTGATGGTGGTCAGGTCTTCGGAATGTTTTCGTAACGCATGTTCAAGCTATCAGAAAAGCAGCCGCTATTCAGTGTAACGTTCCTTGCCATTGCAGGACCCAATGAACCACGGACCTTCTCTTCCAGAGTGTTTATGCGCATTGCAGCATCGTACAGTTTCTGTTCGGCTGGATGTTGCATATCAGCTTGGATGCACACGGATTCAAAACGTGGTATGGGCTTGTCCACGCCGGATTGAGCATCATGCTTTTGAATAACATCTGGTGCTGTCTGAACGCTCAAGTCCATCTTCGTGGGAGCGGTGGACCTTTGAGATAGCGCTTGGTCCGTCCGAATTTTAGCCATAGGTTTGGTTATCTCTGCCAGCAACTCTTCTACTGTTTTGGCTGCAGAAGCAGCTGTGCCAACTTTTGGTTCTGCATCCTCCTCGCTCAGACTTTTGAGCGCGGAAGCCAATGCTGACACGTCAATCCCTCGTTCAGAAGCAAATGGCACAGCCTTTTCGAGGAGCTCCAATGCGCTGACTGTGCGAGCAGAGACTGGCTTTGAAGGGAGACAAAACCCAGGATGTCCTTCTTCGGGTGCGTTGGTACTCTTGTTTCGTAGCTATGGGGTATTGGCTTGTCAGCTAATCTCTCAAATATCGCTGTCGCAAAGCAGAGAACACACCGTTGCTTTTGGGCGAGCCTTGTCCTCAAATGTTCGCTTAATGACAACTTCACAACGACCACCAGAAGAATGAGTTAAAACATCCTTTAAAATCAGATTTTCTTCCTCTGACTCTTCGAATTGCTGGGTGAACTGTTCCAGGAGCTCGTCCCGCTGGCGCAAGAAGTCCTAACGTGTACGAAAAAGGCTACAGGGTTGGATTCTGATGTTTAACAAGGTAAAGATCTTGCAACACTTACCAGGTGACGCATGTACACCTTATTCCACAGCACGACAGCGTCAATCAACTTTATCCAATCTCCAGAAGTTCCTCGATCTCTTAAGAGACCTTCTTCCTCGGACACGTCTAGGGAGCACTACCCACTGTCAGGTACTGTGCTCATAACAAACAAGATCTTTCGCATCATTACGTTTTGCAGATAGGCCACTAAGATCTGAATGCAATCATTGAAATATCGGGTCACCAAGTAATCGGCATCTCCTTTATCCAATTGATTGCCGAGTTGCTCTTATCCGACGTATGTAAGCGATCAACTATGTAGTCAAAAGGCAATTACAATGTAACATACCCACTGTTCTGGTCAGCTTATCAAATACGCCCTGTAAGGCGGATTGTAGAAATGCAACACCTTCAAGCTGCATTCCTTTGATGAGCTTGCTTAAAAGCTGGCCCATTAACAACAAATCCATCTGGGGTAGGTCTAGAACCATCTTCTACCTTGATTTAGGCAACTGATTCTCATATCTCTGCTCAATCATATTCTGCTCTGACTGGAAGTGCCGAGTCCAGACCACTTTCGCTTCCGACCGCCGATCATGTGGAACATCCTTGAAAGTGAAGGTGACTTGTGCGTCTCTAGCTGTCGTTGGATGAGTCGATGGCTGAGAGTTGTTCCAGAGGGATTGTGCCTTTCGGAGGTCACTAGTAGCATTGATTCTTTCCCGTTTGGTGGGCGATGTTGAGACAGGCTGCCCTACTAAATGGGACAATGACCCCGAGCGGCTTGCAATATGAGAAGACGATCGTGCTAGAGCTTCCTGGCGACTGCTTCTGTGCATTATCAAAATGAGAATGCCAGCTCGGGCATCTGTGAGGGGAGGAGCAAAGTAATGATCTGAACTTTTAGGTAAGCAGTGCAGTCATGTGATGCTTGACCGGAGTTTGCAGATCGGCCTGCTGCCAAGCACAGTAGTACGCTTATAGGGTATGAATTTGACAACATAGCATAGTCAATTTTCTAAGAGATATCTACTAGTGCAGATAAGCCTGTGCAAGATGTAATACACACCGTGCCTGTATAGTGCACATTGTCGTACATGATCACCGATCCGCTTTGTTTACATTGCGATTTGCGAGAAGACTTCGTTAATTCATATCGGATTAAGAATATGTGGCATATTACAGAAATAGGGATGATTATAATGACTTGTTCAGTAACAATCAAGTCATTAAGCCGTGGCATTTGTCTAGACAGGCAGCGGTACAGCAGCCGATGCATCCAGCTTCTGCCCATTGAAAAGCTCAAGCTCAACGATATTCAAAATTCTTCTTGAATCAGAAGTCAGCTTTTCAGACACGCTCGCAGCGGAATTAGAATGAGTGCTTCTTTTCCCTGCCCAGTGCGTTAGAAGCTGTATGATCGCGTTTTGACAACGGCCACGTCCGGTGAGATAGACATGAATCAAGGTTGCCATCACCGCTGGAAGGTACTGATGGACCGAAACTGTATTAGAAGACAGGAGGATAAACAAACCAGGAAAATGACGTCACCTTCACCAGGCCACCTGGACATAGGATTCTGAAATTGTTCAAAAGAAAACAGGCGGCTTCGGTTGTGGTATTTTCAGCAAGAGAGGCCACCAGGGGGTTACCGACATATTCCATCAGCGTGCTCCAATGGTCCACTGATTCTTCATGTGGATTGGTGGGTTTTGTGATTGCTTGCAAGATATGGATATATGCCAGCGGAAGGGGCGCATGACTATTTTTGACCTTGCACTGACATTGAGATAATGCTCACATTTTCAAACTTTACCTATTCTCCTTACCAGTTTGGCCACTCCCATACTAACACCCAGCGGCCACCACGTCTGACAAACGCCCTCTGTCCGTTGAGGGAGAAGGAATGGTAAATCCCAGCTAATATGTGTCGTTGCAGAGTCTTCGCCGCTCCGTGAGGTATCAAGGTCCAATAGCCACACACGTTGGCTATCTGGTAAACTTAACAGCCCACGGACAAACGAGGTACAAAGTGTCGGATAACTGCGGAGCAACGGAGCCGAAAGGATAATGGCTTTGATGTTGGCAGCAACGATAACAGAAATATTAGTACGCCTTGTCTCACATACGCTGGAAAAAGAAACACACCAACTCGCAACGAATCACCCATGAACCATTTCAAGACACCCGCAGCCGCTTTTACCATCGTCTCCTTTTCCAAGCCTGTCTCTTCATCGTTGCCTCGGTGGGCCGCGGCCTTTGCGCCAGCCGCTACAAAGGCCACAAAGGCTTTTTGCACAGCTGATGAGCACCGCCTACCCATAACAGCTTTCCCAATGCATTCCATTACGTCCCCAAGAAGCGGCTCATCCAAAGCAACACCAACTTCTCTGACTAAAAACGCCAGGATAAGTACAGCTGCAGGAAGTTCAGCCGGCATGGTAGGGTTAAGCATTGGAGCTTGCAAACTTCGTCTGTGGGTGTTTATAACAGTGAGGCACTCGCTGAGGTGAAGAGTGGTGAGTTGACGGTTTGGACCGTGCAATTCCCGCAAGTTTGGCAAGAAGCTTAAAGCGGCCAAAATGAATATGAACGGATTGCACGTAGAGGGAACGGATTGGTTGGTGCTGGGGATTCCTCCAATTGTTATCGTAGAAGTTGGCAGAGTGTCTCGGCTCATCGCCGCCTACGACAGGTGGTTCAGTGCTTGTTGATGCCGGTGGTGTACCGTATTATCACCTTTATTTCCAGCCAGAATCGAACTCTCTCTTCATCCCGTAAATTTGTTCCCATATATTGGTGGAATATTGCGACAATATGAGGTATTTTACTGATCGTATGTGGATTGGAGAGCTGGTGGACTAAGGACGGAAATTCTTTCGCGGAGCACAGGCGTTGGTACGCAGCCCCTCGAGATGAGAACGCATGTTGAAGGGCGAGCCCAAAAAACTGGAGGATGCAACTTGCAGCTATGCTTGCTCGCCTGTTGATTATCATGATCTACTTTTAAAAAGCATAACGCTCTGCTTACCAACAAATATCTTGTCTACTGCCTCGTAAGCTGCAATGCATGTTATCAAAATATCGAGAAGCATACTTATATCATTAGGAGGGCTATGCTGCAGAATCTCGACGATCTCCCGTTCCTGTATATCGTTTTGTTACACAGTTTAGTCCAACCGCGCAAGATTATCATAGGTACCTTGCCCACTAGAATGCTTTCAATACGGTGCACTTCGTGTGAAGACATACTCTCAATGTGTTCACAAAGACGGTCACGTATCTGAGTCGCAGAAAATCCGCTCCGGTTGAAGGTAAGTGATGGATCGTGAATGCTTAATGCTTTCAACAGAACCCGCACAATGGAGACCTGTTCAAAGGAGATGAGAGACCGTTTACCAATTGTTAGCCATTGTTTTCAAACAAACCTTTCCCAAGCTTTCGTGGTCTTCAAGTCCTTCTTTGATGTGTGTACCACTAGGTAGGATCTGTCCTGGCGGTGCATCGATCACCGCGAATCCACTCCCATCACCTAGAGATGGCTGAGACACCTCATCGGCCTCCACCCCATAAGGATTAGAGGCCTTCAGACTTGGTAAGACTGAGTTTGCCCTATTCAAATGCAGGTTTATCAATTCACTCGTTTGACTTCAATCACACGGAATAATCCATACTCTTTCTTTTTTGTTACATGGGAATACAAAACCATCAAGAGCAAACCAACCGATTCAGGTTTAGCTTGGGACACGTCTTCGCTCATCCGTCGGGGCACAGGTATGCCTAATTTCTTTTGTTCAACTATCCTTAGAAACCAGCGTAATCTAGAAATCGCTGTGCAATCTTGGTACTCACTGCAAATGCTCTCCCCAGCATTTCCCAGTTATTCTTTTTCGCAGCAGGCCCGGTCCCAGTATCATATGCATGCATTTGAAGCGAAGGTTCGTGAGGATAGTACTTATTCAGAATCTCAGCTATCAGAAATCCATTGGCAAAATCACTGCATGTCGGGTCTGGTCAGTTGACTATAAGCGACAGTAGTGTGAATGCTATATCGTACCGTTTGTAGTTTTTAATTGAAGCTGAAAGACTGAGAGACTGAATCCACTTGATAAGCTCTCGTGGAAGGCCAGCCATGATGAGAAGTTCATGCTGTTACTGTAGGTGGACATCCAAACGATATCCCTGTGCAGGTCGGAAATTGTTACCTTACCCATTACGTCAGCAGGAGCTCCCAAATTGTGTCCATCACCTCTGTCTCAATTCAACGACTTTTAGCAGGCTAAGGGGGCCCATCAAAGCTTCATGGTGAGAAATGGCTTTTCGATTTTATATATGAAAGCAAGCACCTCGCTTATGAGGTCCTAATAGTCGACTCAACTCCGACCACCAAGTGGTAAACTTCCGCCGTTGCCCTCAGTTCCAGGTCGTCCCTCAGTAGGACAGTTGCAGTCTTCCCCATCTGGGGTAATCGATAGTGGAAGAAGCTCTCGCCTATCTGTTCTTGCTGCGCCAGCAATAAAGCCTCCAGCGGGGTCTAACGTCCCGGCTCGATCCAAAACACGCAAGTTTCGCTTGAACGAGGAGCAAATAAGGGAAATCAAAGAAGCGTTTGACCTATTTGATGAAGATGGGTCAGGAGAGATCTCAGGGAAGGAATGGCGAGTTGCAATGCGAGCGCTCGGATTCGAGCCAAGTAATGATGAGGTGAAGCGGATGCTAAAAGAAATGGACGACAATGGCAGTGGCACAATAGATTTTGAGGAGTTTCTTGGGCTTATGGAAAGGAGAATGGTGAGTTCAGTCCCAGACTAATCTGAATTAATGCTAAAGATTAAAAAGGCAGATAAATACGCGAGAGAAGAGATGCGAAAGGTCTTTGAGCTCTTTACCAAACCCGATCTGAGTATTCAAAGATCACGTAGCACGGCCAGAACATCTCCTCTGCGGACAGGTACTGGCGTCGCAAAGCATCCTAATCAACGAATCTCAGCGTCAGATATTAGAAGAGTAGCAAATCTTGTTGGGGAACGACTGACGGAAGATGAGATCAAAGAAATGTTAGAAGAGGCAGATCGGGATGGTGATGGGGAAGTGACCGAAGACGATTTCATCCGAGTCATGCGGAAGACGGTAAGGTTCTAATTCAGCGCATGAGGACTTTTGAGACTAGTCAGCATCTGGCTAACCTTTCTTTTCAGACGCTTTGGTAACGGTCGCTACAATATTCACCGGTGTGTTTAGTCGAATATGTTATATATGCATGCAATTACCCATTTTTGCTGCAATGCTATGCCATTTTATGGCGGTTTTGAAAGTGGCGTAAACTGCCTTTCCATTTTATTTCCCTTCCGCTGCATGCACACCAATCCAGTCTTCACTTGGAGGGTGTTCTATGTACATTTTGCATCTTGCAAGCAGCGTTTTGGATGGGCCATCGTCTGCAATTTCGATTGCCTTTGCAAATAGGTCCGCTGCTTCCGCAAAATTCCGCTGTCGATAAAGTGATAATGCTGTTGCATACAGTTCTTGCGCACGTACGACCTCATCCGCCAGGATGTCGTCTTTTCGTCCGAGCAGCTCGAAGATGTCCACTTTCGTACTTTTACCCGTCACAATGACAGTATCTATGTGGCGGGTGAGGAATGCGTCTCCCGTCTCCTTCAAGGTATTCTCCGTAACAAGGATCGTTACATTGTAAGCTTTTGTCAGTCCTTCAGTGCGTGACGCCAAACTATCAGAAGTGTTAATAAGATGCTTATGTCATTTTGAATGAGAGCGCCTGGTCCTTACTTCACAGCATCTCCTATACAACTGAATTCCATTCGCTTGATAGATCCTATGTTTCCCGATAGGACCTGCTCATTATGAGACGATTAGACTATTTTCTTAGTGAACCCACAGTCATGTAGAAATGGGCTACCGACCATGCCAGTATTAATGCCTATTCCAATTTTTATTGGTCGCTTCCCGGTCGCAATCCGCCCTTCATTCAGAATCAGAAGACAATCCCGCATCCGCAAGGCGGCATTGCAGGCGTGTATTCCGTCCTCGGCAGAGACAAATGGGACTCCAAATACTGCCATAACGGCATCCCCGATGTACTTGTCCAGGATCCCTGGAATTGTTGAGATTATCATAGGCCATTCAGCGTTCCATCTGGCCGCATTTCACACTGCAGCTCACCTTGCTCTGACATAATCGCATTGACGGCATCGCTGAAGTGGTGATTTAACAACTCCACTCTGCATGGGGGTTTCAAAGGTTCGTAAGTTCACATTTGCTTCGAGTCGGCTGTGCCCTGTCGTACATACACTTCGTGTGGCTCCATCGATTCTGCTATTGAGGTAAACGATCTGATGTCGCTGTATAGTTTGGATAATGAAACCCTGAACACGTGTTGGCAACTATGGGGCAGATACGACAATGACTTACCTGAAGAGGATGGTAACTTTCTTTCGTTTCCCCCCTAACTGTGAGCCATCCTCCTCCATGACCTGCTTGGCAAGGGCGGGCGACATATATCTGAGGAGATACGCCATCGATTCATCAAAATGCAATCACTCGAAGTACGATACAATTTATCACACCTTCCAAGCGTCATAACCGCTCGCTTTTCGGCCGAGATATCATCTAAGGTGTCATATTTAAGCGAACTAGCTTTCAGCCATCCGCATTCTTACCATCCTGTGACTCACCTAGCACCATGACCACTCCTTTCTGCTCACCGAGCAAAGGCATTATTTGGTAATTAATGAAGGTGGAACCTTTTGGTCCTCTTAGTTCGTATTCGGCGGAGTACACTGGTGTCCCTTGCTGGTAAACGGAGAGGATATCGTTCAAAAGATGGTAGTTTTCCTTCTCTCCGATCCATTTAGCCACGGGGGCGCCTGTTACAAACTCTTCCGTAACGCCAAGGGCGTTTAGAAACCATGGGCGGTTCATGGTATTCTAAAAAAAAGTATGAACAACTTCCACACCTCAGCCAAGCATTAACAGCGTACCATTCTCATATTTTCCGAGAGAGTTATAACGCAACTCGTGATACTGCTCAAGATGCTCTAAATCAAGAAAGCAAATATCTGCTTGGTATCTGTGTAGGATCCCTTGATGAAGAAGGGAACATACCTGCAGGTACGCACGCATATCTAAATGCCAGAGCGCTATGAATATATGTAGATCACTTTACAATACGTGCCAATCTCACCTTCTGTCTTTTTGAACAGCTGGGATTTTTCAATTGCAACGGCGGCTGAAGTGATCCGCACTCTGGCGTTAGTGGGATCATTGGAAAATCATGCTGCCGATGTGAGCATCTTACCTTGAGCTGAAAAGGAGCTCAGAATCCTTGCATCCCAGAAGAAAACTGTTGGTAAGGTAATGCGCATCTCTTTTACGGGTTGTCCCTCCTCACCTCTCATCATCGGCGGAAAATGGACCACCGTGCTTGTTGATCATTTGCGTCACCCCAATATTTTCACCACTAAATGTCCTCCATATTGGTATCCTACTTCCGACCAAATGGTGTCACACGTAATACCTGATATTTTTTATGGGCATGCACAAGATGTTCTTTGTAACATATCCAGTCTGCTTGTCCACTTCCGGGTTGAACCTGTGCCAATCATCGTTTAGCGATCGGATGTGGGCCATATTGATGAGGCCCAAGCGTACCGCGGATCTTTATATGCATCAGGGATGTTTACGGAATCTGGAAAGCACATGTAAGGCTGAATGCAAAGAGACCACTAATCTTGCTCACATCCAACACACCTCCAGAAGTGTATGCATAGCCAGCAATTCCCGCGTTCAGAGCAATTCGGATTTCCTGGACAGAATCACGACCCTGAATGTGAGCGCGCAGGTATTTGCCTTCTGAATCCCGGAGAAACAATGTACATCGGTCGGCAGATAGTAGTTCTTTTGCGGAATCCATGATCATTTTGATCAAATGGTCGAGTTCTAATGTGGATCCCAAAGATCGGGTTGTTTCCAACAAAACTTCGACCTTCTTTTGTGTTTTCATCATTGTTTCGTAGATCTGCCCGTTTTTGATTATGACACCCGCGGTTTGCGCAAGTGCCTTGATGAGAAATTCATCCTCATGATTGAAGTACATCGGATTGCCATTAGTGCTGACTTTATTTACAGCTTGTAGGACACCTTTGAGTATGTTGTCACGCGTGCGAATGGGAACCGAGAGAATTGAATGTGCTAAAATGTGCGTCCCGCGTATATCTACTTCTGCGTCAAAGCGTTCGTTATGCATTGCATCCCGGATGTTTGCAATTTGCTCGCTTTGGGCGACCCATCCCGCAATTCCGGAGCCGGGTGGGTGCCTGACATCAGGGAAGTCATATACGTCTAAATTTGTGTCAAAATCCTTCGGAACAATCTCCCCGTTTCGGTCCACCAAGAAAAGCAGTATCATTTCCGCTTGGAGCATGGGTGCCCCGTCCTTGATAATCTGCCTCATTGCGCTCTGCAAATCCACGTCTAGTGATATAGAGCTACTAACTGAAAGCAGTTTGTCCACTTTCTATCTCACAGCTCCAAAGTTAGGAAATCAAGTTTGAAGTGCTTCACAGTAGTAAGTTTTTCCTGCGTACCTCAAAAAGAACAAGTAAATGTTTGATTATCTGCGAACGGGTGGTTTTGTCCGTCTTTTCCACATGGTCGAGGAACTGAGGCTGGAAATATTTATTTAAAAGCCCTGCAATTAGAGATCTTTCGTCACCGTCGGCAGTTTGTGGAGGTGTCGATCTGTCTTCGAATCCGGTAACGGGAGCAGACGGAATAGCAATGACAGTTGGCTTCCCTGTATCATCATTTAAAGGCAAGGATACGAGAGAGTTTGTCGAAGAGTCATCTGGTGACCTCCCACTCGCGCCTGTCACTGGCGTAGAGGAGCGACCCGGTGTTGGAAGCCTTCTGGGTTTGTATCTACTCATGGATCGATCCGCAAGTATGGAGCGCCTACTATCAGCGAGGACTAGACTTGGCAAATAAGATCGAAAACTTAGTGTGCCGAATCTGATTTGTAACTTCGGAGCAAAATAATATATGCTTACTCTTCCCCATTCCGGCCACTGCCTCCAAAATTGTAGCTATTCCATCCTGTTCATAGATACTTGTCTTTGCAAGGGCTTTGCTGGACCTGTTAGCGTGCAAAGACCTGAAGTGCAGATTCGGTCGACATACCATTTCTCTCAGTTACCATCTGCAGCAGAGCAGAGGCCTTTACTTGCACCTCAACTATATCAGGAGAAAATTTTCTCATCAATGCTAGCAATATTTGAATTGCTCCCTTGTCATAGAGGACGTCCGTTGCAATCGCCTCTGCAGAAAAAGGCAGATTAGTCAATTGGAGTAGGACGGGTCAGCAACGATCTTACATTGTGTAACAAACAGAACCTACGGTTCTCCTCTGCTAATGCAATCAAGCAGTTCAAAGCTTCAACAATTTGCTCCTGAGCACAATCGGTGTCCGTAAGAGTCGATAGGTACGATTCTAAGGCCGACATGTCCGAGCTGGTAAACGTCTTCCTTACACGACCTGCATATTCTTCGTCTGCTACTAATTGCTGAGGCTCAATGTTTTGCGCTCTTGGGTGTCCGCTTCGCCTTCTGTCTCCAAAGGTTATATCACTTTCGCGAAGGAGGATGGATCCATCAGCGGTGTGTGCCCGCGTATGTCGAGATCCAGTGGCAGGGGACCGCTCATGCAGCAATGCCGCAGAGGGACGGTTTGAGTTTTTGCTTTGTGCGTAATGCTGTCTCGCGTAAAAACCGGCGGTATAAGCACCTATCGGATGGGATAGGGAATGTGCTGGTGTATGTGAAAGCAGTTCTGGCGGTCTTGGCAGCATACCGCCTTGCACCTCTGATCCGTCCAGCCTAACAAAAGTTGCATTGCCTACACTACTGGATGCTGGATATGCAATCGGCACTGGATTGCCAGCTGTTGCGTGATTTTTCTGGACGCCACGGCCTTCCGCCTTCTCATTCCCAAGGGACCAACGTCGCGAGCCCGCAGTGATAGGTCTGCCTTTTCTCAGATCCTTTGCTGTTTGGGCTCGTCTTCCACCAACTTTTGCGGTAGCCGAAAGTGGGGCTGAGGGACTCGTTGTGAAGCGCCGCAGATACAGCAAAGCATCTTTGTCCCTTGCTACTGCCTTTGTCTTAATGGTCGCAATTGCAGCACTGTTTGAGATAAATGTGCTGTCAACCAGAGATGATGTTTTGCTACGAGCAGTGGCTGCCCGGTCGACGCTGCGAGAAAGGTGGGGCGATGATGTCTGTTCCTTGTCCTTAACGTGATCATTCTCTCCCAGCGACAGGATGTTCAGCACCTTTGGAGAATGTTGCTCCGCCTTGGAAAGTGTCATGGCGGACGATTTATTACATCCACCCAAGAGCTTTAGACCTCAAGAGCGAAACGTTGCGGTTTATGTAGGTAGTTATCATGATGAAACTGGTCTTCGCTTACCAAACTTATTGGTAAGCAATTCGAATGTTTGATTGTTTCCACCTTGGAATGCATTTTCCCACTGAAATGCGCGTTCTCCGCTCCACAGAAACCGTTTCTTCCCACTGCCACTCCATCTTGAACGATCCATCCTCAAGTTGATTCTGATCCGACGTTAACGTAGGCTGTCATGGTCTTGATTTCATTGATTTGTGAATAGATCCTAACGTAGGGCTTATAGTCTTCTGCTTTGAGATTCGACGACTCAAACCAGGACTGAGTCAGCGAACTATCGCTCCACACCTTGGTAAGACTTGTTAGCTAGCTCGCCATGCTATTTGAAGCATGTCTCTGAACCTGGAGTTAATGCTGGAATAAGGCAGATTGTAGTCTACTGAATTGGCTTTCCGTCCCGTTCCTTTTCCAAGTCAATATGGAAAGTTCCCACACGTACACGATCGAGAAGTATTCACGCTTGTATCCTGGAACGTCAGGTACCGGCGATTCCACCGGATGGGTATTTCTGGCTGACAAGCCTATGGGTGTTACTATTACGGAGAACAATACAGGTGGGGGCATGTTGAGGGTTTTTGTTATGGTGCCCAAAACGGTGGAGCTGGTAGGTGGAATGATGCATTTGCGAGTACCCGAACGACTACCCAACTGTTGCGCAGGAGATGCATGATTTATCAAAAGAACGAATCGAAGCGGCACGGCTGATTGTGTTACAAAAGGATTTAGTCATCTATGTCAAGTACAGTGCGGACAACGTGAGTTCTGAGCATCTGATCCGTTGCATCATGTCGTTTAATCAGTGGGTGTCATGTAGGGCGCTATTCGCAGGTTTCAGCTGAAATTTCGGCAAGATACCGATCGAGCGTCATGTGCGACTGTTCTGTCCCGTTTCGTAGCTGTGAAGTCGATACAACCTACCGCATCCCGGCCGCTGGCCATTCAAACACAAGCTGGGTTATCTGCTGGCATATCTGAAATGTCTCCTATTCACCTATCTCCTACCACTTCATGCGAAGTAAGCTATGAACACCCCCGAACTTCTAAACTACATGGATTGCGCTTACCAACGCCCGTATCCCCGCTGTCGACGGCAACAAATGTCGACACGTCAACTTCAACTGGACGGGCCTTGGATTACTTTAACCAGCCTTCAGCCGTTTGCTCGAATAGACCATCTTTGGGATCGACACTGGAGTGTAGCTTGCCTTTGATGTCCACTGTCACCCCGCAGTCATGTTCGAATGATATCCTACATGCGTCCACATCGGGATCTCCTGACGCACAGAAAAATCATACATGTATTCCGTCGATTGCGTGCCTCAAGAATGCAAATTCTACCGCTCATAATGAGGCAACTGGGAGCCATGCATTGCAGGCTGCGTGTTCGCATTCGAAGGCTTCACCACAGCTGTCTGACATTCCAGTTCAGCAAGGAAAAATAGTTCAGGCGGCTGCAACGGAATATGCTCAGATAACAAAGACACTGGACAATGTCTTTGGTGAAACTGGAACGATCAATCTAGATTACCTGTCCGATGCCGGTCTATGCTCTCTACTTCGCAAAATTATGCAGAACAAAGAGTTTCAAACCCTATTAACCCGGATAGATTTTGACGGTCTTAAAGAGGTATTGGACACATATGATAGCCTGTGATTACTTGTACCTATTGTTTTTATTTTGCACGCTGAATTAGATAGACGAGTAGTACTTTTAAGTTTAACAGGTTGTTTTTAGATATTCAATGACCAGCAATATAGAATATGGCTTGGTTTTATTCGGTGGCTTGATCCAGACATTACAATGCTTAGTCACGAGGAAGTATCTTGCTTCCGCGGGGTTTTGGTCGTCGGAGCGAGTGACATTACAGCAAGACACATCCCACCATCACTGTCCTTATTGCCGGCAGAGGATCCTGAATTACGATGACCTCGAATGACCCAGGACACATTGGTGAGTTTGGTTTCTGTAGGACAGCAGAACTGTACATGCTGGCTAAGCGATCCTTTTGATTTGCTAGACAACCTCAGCGAAGAGGAAGATGCCGTAAAGTGTTCCTTTCATAATATCCCATAACGGGCTCCTATCTACTGAAACAACGCTAACATCCTCATCCGTCAGTACCTCCGCGGATACTGGATGGCTCTTTTTGATGCGATAGCCGAAGCTACCTCTGACCAAACAGCGGAAACTGGCTCGACAGAGAATGTGCTAAAGAGCCCGCTAATGGAAGAATTTTGGCTGGCATGTGCACACGATCGACCTGATCAACTTATGCTCCGCTATCTTCGAGCTCGCAAATGGGATGTTGATAAGGCTGTCGCGATGGTCATGGCTACACTGAATTGGAGGAAGGAATTTGGTGTACGAAATGTTCTGGAGGTTGGGGAGAGAGGATTGGATTTGAGTGAGTTGCAGTCTGGTAAAAGCTACTTTCATGGGGTTGATTGCAATGGAAGGCCCTGCTGGTACGTTGTCTGAGAACAGTGAGAATGCACCGAAAATGAAACGCTTAACTATCTCGTCCTACAACACATCACCGACCCTGTTTTTTTGGTTCATCGCAGTTATGTTCATGTACAACTGCACGACAAAAACACAGTTGATCGGGAAAAGACAAAGGCTCTCACCGTTCTGACACTAGAAACCGGACGCTTAGTTCTTGAGCCTCCGCAGGAAATGGCGACCATCATTTTTGATATGACAAATTTCGGAATGAAAAACATGGTATTTTGCTTATTCATGGATGGAACATTTTTGTACCTTTTTTTGATCTATGTCTCCTTTCTCCAGGACTACGATTTTCTAAAGTTCCTATTGACGTGCATGGTGAGTAAACAGCATAACCACTGTCGCTGGAAAATGTATTGATGGCCTGGAAACACCACAGCAAGACTATTATCCAGAAAGTCTCGGTGGTGCTCTTGTCGTCAATGCACCGTGGATATTCAATGGTACGTTCCCTGTCACCTTGGTTGCTGTTGCTCGCTAGCTGATGATTATTTAGGTTGTTGGACAATCATTCGCCCATGGCTGGATCCTGTTGTTGTTTCCAAGGTGCACTTTATCAAATCCTCGGAACTCTTTAATTACGTTGATGAAAAGCAGATTCCTGAACGCTTGGGCGGCTCCAGCACAAATTTTGTGTACCTACCTCCGAGCGCTGAAGAGGAGAAAGAATACCAACGATGGCGTGCGGACAAAGAGGGCAGCGCAGAGGCCTGGACTAAATATCGGGCTGCGGCTGAGCGCTTCGGGGGTTTGACAGCGGCATGGGCCCGTGGTGATATGGATAAAGTGACGGATAGAAGAGAGGCAGAGCGGAACTTGAAGGATGCATACTACGCATTGTCACCATATTTGAGGTAGGAGCGGTTCGCATGACGTTGCAAATTCGACTTTTTCTAAAGCTTTCAACGCGTTCAAAGAACGAAAACTGTATATCATCGACGTGGGGTCATTAATGATCCTGGTTTTAGTAGACACTAACTGCACATTGGACATTAAACACTTGTAATATTTAAGCGACAAAATTAACCATTACAAAAACACGACACATTATAACTAATTAACTAAAAGATAAGCGACCAGCGCTTATTGTTCCATATCAGAAGCATCATTAGTGGGTACTACGTCCTGAGGTGGGACTCTGCTATTGCTGGATCCACTGGAATTACGGGTCCCTGACGATTTGGCGGTCGAACTTGATGACGGGCGCACCGAAGGGGGACGATCCGCAGTGTCAAACGTTACGCTCCCTGGAGATGCCTTTACAGGTGATTGAGGTACGTCTTGACCCAAGACATAAGTTCTGGAGGAGCTGGGCGGAGCTACATTCTCTGGAAGAACATGTGTTTTTTGTCTTGGTTTGGAAAGCGGGCTAGGTGGTGATGGCGGGGACGTGGCTCGGAGCGATGTATTAATACGTCCCACATGACCCAAGGGAGTGTTGTCGTCATCATCCTCGTCTACGGGAGGCTGCTGACTTGCTTTATTTAATCGCTCAAATTCAAAGACAGCATCAAGAGTAGGGCTAGCAGCACCATCTCTCAGGTCACCCATTGTTCGCTCTGCCATGATGCTCATGGCTTTGCCAAACGCTTCATTCCACTCTTGATATTCAGTAGAGGAAGTTGCAGCGAATCGGTAGTCATACGGTTTCACGTCAATATGAACAGCAAAATTACAAGCTGAGCGTAGTTGCGACTCATCCGACATGCCTCGAATGTCGGAAAAGTGAATGAAAGTAGGTGAGCTCGTAGAGTGTTCTGATGACATTATAATCAACAAAGGTGTGCCTAAACCCGAAAACGCAGTGAGTATCTGACTCTTTCGTGCGGACCTAAACGTTGAACGACTGGACAAGTTTCCACGTACCTCGTACTGCAGCGCACGCAACGTTGCCAAGCCAGGGGACCGTCTTAACTTCCAAGCCTGTTGCGGGGTCCGTCTTGAACACTGCCGCAAAGACCTCTTGAACATCCTGAACAGAAAGTGGTGCACACAGGACAACATATCTCTTGAGCGGTGGAAGCGCCGACCGCTTCTGCGACAGGACTCCCGCCTTGAGGATGCACCGGTGATATGCCGTAACCATCGCAATCTTCAACTATATGGGAGTAAGCCCACCACTGAAATCGCAGAAATGCAATGTTCAAGGGTAAAATGAAGAGTGATCTCTAAAAAATAAAAAGGGAGAACACACACAGCAAAATGCAGCGCAAAGCCTCGAACTCCTGGTCAGTGGCACAGTCACAGTAACAAGTAAATTTTTGAGGAAAAACTTTCGCGCAACTTTTAAAAGTCAGCAATTTACATGATGAAGAGTTTCGATCATCACATGAACCAAAAAAAACACAATAAAAACAAAAACTATTCTGAATTCGGATCATCACATTGCGTTGATGACGAGAGGATGAGCGCTAGCGCTGGAAGGATGGGTTGAATTTACATCGTAAGGAAGATAAAAACCAGTAGCGATGCTCACCTGAGGAGGAATTTAGTGACGTCGTCAGCGTCGGGTGTTGGCATAACACTTGTTGAATGGCCAGTCCCAATTTCGTGTTGTTGTTGCGGGTAAGGGAGATGAAATCCACATTGATAATTCATAGCTTGATAATTCATAGCCGGCATTTGCGACACGTGCGATAGCTCTACAAAGTTGAGAGCCTTTGGGTTTCCTGGAGTGCGAGGTAGTGAATCTGCCGGTGTTAACATTGGGAGCTGTTTTTCCACGGCCGTGGGATGCTGCGGAGGCATGACGTTGGTAAACTCTGCATCTTGATGAGCAAAGAGCGGTTGGATCTGTTCATAGATGCCATTTTTGATAGCAAAATATTTTGCGTGATCGGCGGGAACCCTGCTTGGCCCGAGTTTATGCTTTCAGAATGGGCATATGTAAGGTATTCCGCTGACCCGAACCTTACCATGTTCCTTGGAAGCTCGCCGCCCCACCCTGGACTTTTTCGTGCTCATGCCCATGCCGAAGTTCTTTGGAAAGAATCCTGCTCCGTTGTCCCTTTGGCATGCCAGCCGCTTTGCAAATATCTTTGGAATTATGGGTTATAGTTAGCAGGTGGAGTTCTGGACTGAGACAATTAATTGCACGACATCTGGCTTACGGGTGAGATTGATCCAACTTTGAATGGAAATTTGGCCCTAATCAGATTACGGCTGGCCTAATGTCTCGAACAATAGGACTGTACGCAAACCTACCCGTCGCTCTTCCGCCTCATCACAGGTGTGCCATTAACGCATATCTGGAAAGCCTGATAATCATTATACCGACTGGTACCCAAGCTTGCTGAGCCGGTCGACATGCGTCTTTTGCGATTCTGGCTGCCGCCGTCAACCGATGACTTAACTGGCAGCCTTTCATATGGTTTGTTCCGAGATTGGGCGACTTTCAGCCTCTTCATAATCATTTTGTCCGTTGAAAGTTGGAATGACGCGGGCAGCTGAAAGTGCATCCGGGTATCCTCGGGGCGCACAAAATTTAAGCGTCCTTCAATTGTCTGGCCTCCAAAGGCCTCATTGCACAAGTCAGCAAACTTCTGCACTTGTTGGGCAATGTCCCCGTCCATTTGTAAAGTATGTTGTTATCCAGCTTGTTGATACGTGCTTTGGTTCCGTGGAAAAGATGAAGACGGGACGCTGTTGGAAGTTTTTCAACCTATGAGGATATTCAATAGGAGGGGTATCTGTTGAACGCCTCGTTATTTTTTTGGGGGTGTATTGGGGGTTGAAATGCCCTGGGGATGGAAACCCAACAAGAAAATAGGGGCCTAGTCGAGTAAGGACTAAGGATCTGATGACTAGTACTCATTAGACTATTTTTAGGTGACTAAGCCATCGCAACACCTTGTGCTCACAGCGGGGGGGCACTTTTGAACACACACACTTTAACTTTTTTTTTTAAGTCCATCCGATCTATTTCTCGCCTGATCTCCAGTTGTCAAATTGCCGTGCGAGGTTGGATATGTCCTACCCGCTTCACCTTGTCCGTGGAATACGCTCTGTTGCTGTTAGTGAACCACTAGTTGAACCCTACAAGCACGGACAAGCCGTGTATTCCTCTTGCCCATATCCGTCAGAGGAACAAGTCTTTTGGTAGCGAGCGTTCGGTGGGGTTAAGCTGCCCCCGCCACAGAGGGAGAGGCATCTTCTGTATCCGCTTGACACAGCTTCTGGTCCTTCAATATCGTCGCTGCTTGGAAATACAAGCCGTTACTACGGGTACGAACGAGAGCAGTCAACACTATGCGAGGAGGCGGAGCGGAAGGGCCAAGCAGCTCAGAGGTGCCTGAGCGCATACATGTCCCGCCATTGTTCCACCTCTGCGATACCGAAGTTATTTTCAATCTGGTTACCGGAATGATGAATAGATTGATAGCGCATAATGATCGAATTCCTCTGACTTCAGCAAGCATAACGCGCTTTCACTCTCGTGCTCCACCAGGGTCAGTCTTTTCTTGCAAAAAAAAGGAGGTCCGGGCAAGACGATGGTCGTCCTAATATCTGCTTTTGTTCAATGCAAATTTCAGGATTAAATTGGAAGATTACCTGCGTCGGATTCTCAAGTTTGCAGGACTCGAACCATCAGTTCTCCTCCTCCTTTTAGTTTATATTGACCGTGTGTGCGAGGTACATCGCACTTTTACAATATCCAGTTTAACTGTACATAGGTGGGTTAACATTGGTGTACGCCCTTCTCTCTGTTTGCGGAAACCTATTCATCTTTGATGTTTCTTGGCTAGATTCGTAATTGCCGCTGTTGCGGTGGGAAGTAAAGCGACTTCTGACATATATTGCACTAATACATATTATGCGAAGGTGAGAATCAACGTTTACTTTGACATCTCGGCCCATGCTCACTTTTGTATTGCTCCTTGTTAGGTGGGCGGCATATCACTTCAAGAGCTGAACATGATGGAATTGGAATTCTGCGGTCTCATTGGGTGGAGACTCTCTTGTTCAGTTGACATTCTTCAGCGATACTACGTAAATCTTATCCGAACGAGTCAGCTCTATGCGCTAGGCGCAGAAGAAGTGAAGACTCTGACGAATGATATCAACGTCAGTGAACCAAAGGGGCAAGGGCCGGACCCGAATACTACCGATTGATTGCAATGTAACTATTTAACATTAAAATATACAAAGAGGATATCATGGGCACAAGAAATCCGGATGTACTAGCATCTTTCAAAGACTCTATACAAGTCTGGCAAGTTGGCCAGCTGGACTATAGTGCCATCCCCGGCCATGGCTTGGGGAGCTACGAAATGTTCCTTTAGAGCGGGGAACACTACGTGTTGCACAACCCAGCGGTAAGCTGCCATAGCCTCGTTCGCTTGCTTACTGCTGTCTCCTTGGGAACTCTTACTCCTATCAGCCAAGCCAATAACCATGGGGACCGTATGATGATGCCCTTGTTCATCTCCATCATTCCAACCGCTTGATGGCTCGAGCGGTATTGAAGGTTCTAGAGCGTAAAGGAGACCTAACTCTCGTGAAAAGCCCTCAAAACAAGGCTTTTCAGCATCCCAATCAACTTCACTCCCGATTCGTAGTAGGAATAATGGTAATTTGTCCACATTGGGGACATAGCCACGAAGGAGGACGGGCAAGCTGAGGATCTCTCCCGCCTCACTGACATGGAACGAAAAATACTCCAGCAACATGTCGCGCCGCTCAACCAGTATCTTTCTGCATTCCTTCATGATGGAGACGCGTCAGGAGAGCAAAGTATAGCCGACCACACAAATACACGCCTCACCTCCGCTATTTCCTCTTTGGACATCATATCATTAGGCCATGCACTGGTGTCCTCAGCTTCAAGAGCGATCATCACAAGATCAAATATGGAAGCTGGTTGCGAAAGTTGGATAAAGCCGAAATTGGAGAACCCCTGGAGAGCCAATTGATAGAAGAGCTCCTGACTAGAAAGAACGATATATAATGTTGCTCAAGGAGGAAGGTACAACTTAACGGAACCGCTGTATACCTTAGATTTTGATAGTCGACTAGATATAGCTTGGTTTGATGCTGGATGATGGCGAGCACATCATCGACCAATCCGACGAATGTATGTTCAGCAAAAACATCTGTCAACCCTACCAAAATGGTGAGAAATGAATGCTAGGTTTAGATATTCCTCCGAATTGATGATGTACCTTTATGACACGACTGCCGGACTTCATCTCGCAGTTCCAGTACACTTGTCAATCGTACCTCGACGGTACGCCCCTTATGCGTTATTTTATGGGGCGCAAGGTTGGATTCGGACATTCTGTCAGGCCGTACATCATTCACATCCCCTTCTTCTTCGTCAACTGATGTGGTAGTTCGCTCCTCGACTGTTGTTATTGTGGATACCTGCGTATCTTGGTTTAGATGATCAACAATCTTGAGTCGCTTCCGGGACGACTCCTCCACCCGCGTTGCCTCTTCTGCATCTTCCGGCTGATAGATTTCATTTGGGGGTATTGCTGTAGGAGCGGGTAGATGCGTAATAAAGGCATCCAGCGTTCTTGTGCGGCTGTCCGTTCGTACGAGTTTATGCTCCGGGGCTTTTGCTATACATCGCGAAACTTTATCATTGAGAAAGAGAGTAGGCAAATGGGAGATGCGATCAGCCTTAACATACTTGATTTATTGCTCCCAGGACCAGGGGTCGATACGGGCGGTGCGCCGGGAAGGAAAGTCTATTATTGGTACAATAAAAAGGCATTATGTATTCCGTTTTGTGTCACACATGAGGAAAAGGATAAAAACCTGTGTATAAAACGTGCGAGATTGATTTGCGTCTGCCAATCGGGACTGTAACACTTCGCACACGGTCTGAATGATCTTGTCTTCATTCAAAAAATGGACCTATTATTTTGACGATTAAACCACTTTCTTGTAGTTAGAACGCTTCGTATGCGAAGAACGTGCCTCACGCTTGGTTGGATGCACATTAACATCCACGTTTTCCGGCTTGATCTCCAGGCTGAGATAGACAAAGGGGTGTGTGCCTCTCGGCAGATATTCGGTATATACGGCTTCCACAGCACGCTTTAGATTTGAGCTGTCGACGGATCTGTCTGATTAATGTAGGCAAGAGGATCAGGTTCCCATTCTCTAAATACTGAGCACATTGAGGCGTTTGAACTTACGATTTATGAACAACAAAAAAATCATTTTTTTGGTGCTAAAGTTGGCATTGGACACAAGCCCCTCAAGCTTGAAGTCCCACCGGGAATCAGTGTGCTCCATTTCTAGCAGCTCCTTGGCGATGGTGGCACCAAACACGTAGCGTATATTATCCAAAGTCTTCGCCGAAGATGGGGTGTGTATGTCCGCCGTATTAGCCCCTTGCTAGTTATATGTAGACTTAGTTGCCTGCTAAACGATACTCAATGCATGCCCCTACAAATATTACCTTTTTACAAGTAAAACTGACGCGACTGTTATGTATCGCGTATTTGTGAACGATATCCAGTATTCGGTTATACTCGTCACTGGAGCTCTTCAGTGCCTTTCGCCGCGTAGGTACGTTATAAAAGAGGTCTTCTACCTTACCAAGAAAGGACGTTGTGAGAAATTCACCATCCCATGATGAGCCCTCTACTTCAAGCAGCATGACTGTACCACTATCTGGGTGCCTTGATTGCCAGCGCACGGTTTTGGATCAGCACTGGTACCTGGTTTGCCCGGTACAAGTTTCCCATCTGAATAGAAAGCTCTGGAGATGAAATCAATTAGTGCTTGCTAAACGATACGCACGCCTCCCGCGTAGGGTAATCACACACATCCACATACCGCCATGCGCAAGGTGAGTCATTCGTTTTGGTAGTTACAGTGACATGGGCAACATGGCTGATACTTGCAAGTGCCTCGCCACGGAACCCGTACGTCGCAATGTTGCTGAGATCTTCATAGCATTCCAATTTAGATGTAGCAAAACGTTCGCACACCATAGGCAGATCTTCTTTGTGTATTCCAACACCATTATCCTGAATCTTTAATAGGAGTTCATTCAGGAGTTGCTTTAAGGATTTTCTATGGTCAGTGTAACATACTTGCAAAAGTTTCAGCCCTCCGTCCTTCACCGTGATTTGAATAGACGTCGCTTGAGCATCCAGAGAGTTTTCAATCATTTCCTTTAAAGCATTCGAAGGTCTATGAATGATCTATGAGTGGTCACACGCTGCACCGTTAGCGTTCAATCCACAGGCAAGATACGCCGCTCTATCGACAATGTCAACACACTACGCCCCAAGCGTACCTCTCCAGCAGCTATCCGATTTACTACGTTTTCGTCCAAGCGCTTGATGTGCGCTACGGGGTATACGGCTCGGTCGTCATTTCTCGCCATTATCGGAAATGCATTAGGCTTCACAGTGATCTGCAAATGACATTGGTTGACTCATGTATCAATCGAAATGGGTATTACATAATCATAACCCAAGGGCCGAACCTCTCTACGGCCAACCCGTCGGGTGTCAACAAACCATGTAATCTTGAGTGTATTTATCCGTGGATTTTGGTTGCAGAACGTCCTTAAAAGTGCTTTTTGCGTCCCCCATTCCAGTTAGATTCCTGCATATCTCGTCCTTTTGCGCAGAGCCTCTCTTTACCGTCTGTCATCTTTCTTGTGCGGGGATCGAATTTCTAGAAACTCTCCAGCCATGGGTCATTCAGAATCCAAGGTTCAGGTTGCAGAAGATACTGAAGAAATTCGGGATCTAAGTAATAGCTCTCACTGTAAGTGGCCTTCTCGTTTTACTGCAGAACCAGTAGTTGACGCACCACCCTACGCAGTTACGCACAACGAGATACGGAAGCTTCAAACAGAGTTTGAGAAACTCGCGGATGAAAACCATACCATTAATAAGAACGACTTCAAAAGAGTATGCAAGGTTTTGGCCAACACAATGGATGTCAAAAATTTGACCACGCTTCAACTATCTGTAGACTCTAGAACAACATGTCAGCTGCTGGTCGGCCGGCGCACAATACCTTTTCCTTGAACGATTATTTAATGCTTTCGATTTGGATGGTAATGAACGTATCGACTTCCGCGAGTTCATTCAGGGCCTGAGTGTGTTTATGAAGGGGACGCCGGAAGAGAAGATGGAATGTATGGACCTGTTGTACGACTGTCCACAGGAAATTGTCTTCAAATATTAATAGACTTTCTTGCAGTGTCATTTCGACTATATGATATGGATAAAAGCGGATCAATAGAACCTCGAGAGCTGATAAAAATAATGAGTCAGATGGTGGGTCGACAACCTTAAGGCAAACGTCGCTATTACTGTCATCTCATATTCTTTTCACAGTATTCTGCTTTCTACAACGAAGATCAGTCACAGAAGATAAAAGAGCTTGTACATCAGATCTTCGAGGATTTGGATATCAATGGTGATGGTTCTCTGGTAAGGGAATCTTTGAATCATATATCCTATTTCATGACCTTATAATGACCTGCTTCATATCAGTCTCTCAAAGAGTACAAATTAATGGCACTGAAAGAGCCAATGATGATCGATTTTATTGAACAATTTCTTATCGTGCCACCGCCAAAATAGCTGTCATTCTTTGGATGGGCCGTTGTGCGCTTTTGCAGGGCCGGAGGAGAGACTAGGGAGTATCTCAGTGACATTGACCTACATGTCTTTCGGTTGGAGGTTTCTGTTACCTATTCCCTAGAGTTTCTGTAATGTATCAATCTTTATACCCGATGGCCCGGTTTTACTGACTGAGGGTGTCAAATGTGTGCATACCGGTCTTTCCGCAGAACGGTCGATTCTTTGTGAATATTTGTTTCACAAGGAGGAACATCCTCAATGAAGATATGGCCGCGCTTGCAGATAAGCTGAAGAGCCGCTTGTCCAGCGCTAATTCCCGTTGGTAGCACGATGCCAAGTTCGTTCGCTACCCAGCACCTTCCCAACAGCGGCCGCCACCATTTCCGCTGCAGTCAAATCAATATCTTCAATTTGCTTTCTGCCCTGCTCCAATTCGTCGTAAATCTCATGTGTCACCTTCCTCCCAATTTCCTTATAAATCGTTTTATCTAGACCAGCTCTTCCAGGGGCGTCCCAATACGCGTCAAGCTTGGTCTTTACCAATGTAAAAATCATCTTCTTATCCAGCGCCTTGGTTGCACGATTGGAAGACCCAAAAAGCGATCTTCCATCAATTGGACGGTCATTCACGGCGTTTCCACGCTCGATGGACGATTTGTCTTTGTCTTCGCCAGGTGGATGCTGAGAAGGACCTTCCTGATGGTTAGCCTTTCCTGCCTCCGTCCGCTTTTTAGACTTGAATGAAGGAAGTGCTCCACGCGGTCTCTCCAGAAATGAGAGATCGGACGGAGCCGGTTCAACGCTGGTGCGACTGGAACGGTGCTGTATGGGCGGCAACGGATCCTCTTCTTTTGACAGCAACAGGGAAGGAACCGTTCCGTGTTGCTTTCTCGGGCGGACATCATTAGACATAGCTAGTTCAATACCATTTGACCCATTGTTCCATCGCTTATTCTCTGAGATTAGTCCTCCCTCTGACGGTATGTTACGGGGCGACTTACAGTGGGAATCTGACCGTTGAGCTGTACTATGGGAACGTGTGTGTCCATGCGATGCTGAACTCCCAGGTAGTGACGCGGAGTGGCCATCTTGCTGGCTAACTTTCTGTCGTTTAGGCAAAGGTGCAGTGGCAGAACCGGCAATTTTTCTCGCCTTTTCGAACTGCTTCCATACGGTACGCATCAGATCAGGTTCGCTTCCTATGGATGTGTGCGGCGTGTCTACAGATCGTTTTGATTGGAGGGTAACAGGCGGTGGAGTGAAGGAAGCCCAGTTTGGTTCAGAAAGAGGATTCAATTCAGTAGCAAGCCATGGTGGAACATCACGCAGACTACCCGAGGGTGTGAAATAATTTGTATGTCCTGATCGACCTTCTGTCGTCCCGGAAAAGCCATGTCTTCTTCGGTACGATTCTTGCATCTCACGGCGAAGGACGTTGATAAGGCGTGTTCGGGTTCGACCTTGAGGAGTGAATGTGGATGCCGGATCTACCACGGACCTTGGTGGTCGGTGTGCGGGTAAGTGTTCTGGTGCCGATTGTGGTATGGTAGAGACTGCTCGTCGCCGCACTAGTCTTCTAGTGGGGGTAGTGCTTGTTGATGTAGATGATTGTGTCGTGCTGGTCCCTTCCCGGTGACAATGGGGACAATACCAATCGCCTTCGGGGAACTCGGTAATACCCAAGCAGTCCATATGCCATCCCTACCGTACACCAGCGAGGACATTAATTTCTGGCCGTAGATTTTGCCCAGACAATGCTGATTATCATACCGAATCACACAGATCGCAGAGCTTGAGATATAAATATTAGCGTCAAGGCTCTTGCAGCTCGCCAGCACACCGCATAAATTACCAGCATAACATCTTCTCGATCAGTATGTCCACATATCATGCACTCACACACATCATTGTCATCAGGAACGGATTCCTGAAGGTGTGTCGCAACTCCTTGCACCTTATCCTCCACGTCGACCACTCGTATAGTATTTTTCGCACCCCCTTGAATCCGTTCGACTACTCGTATACGTCGGAAAAGAGACCTGTCTTTTGGACATGTGTTTGTAACGTCGCTCCAACGCATAAGACACTCCAAATGGTACGTGTGCACAGAAGTTGGGCAGTCCAGTTGTCCAAGTTCGTCTAGGAGACCATCGTCGTCTGGTACCAAGGGAAGCAGACATATTGCTGCGATAAGGTTCCAAGTGGAGTGAGATAAAAAGGGACATATCTTTACCCAATGAACATAATGAATTTCCTCACCGCAATCGTCAATCTCGTCCTGTGCTGACATTTGGCACCCAGAGGCGAAAGCCTGATACGAGATGGATTCTTGCTGACATTGTGTGTCACGTGACGGAGCGGGAATGGCGAGTTTGCGTTCAACGCTGGACCGCGGTCGACGCTTGCAAACTGTTCTCGGTGTGAAATCTTTGGCAAGAAATGCTTCCTACATCGACCCCTCGAACAGCTACGAGCAGCGCATATGCTTTCACATCACCCTCATCACGACCTCGGCGGGCAAGACGGGGGTCAACGGGTTTAACCCTCGTCCCCACTTACCTGCGCCGACTGTTTTCAATAAAACAGATGGATTTTGAGGTCGCGCTTTGGCAGATGCTTTATCTTTGTATCGCGCCGCGTAGAGTGTGAGTATGGGCTAAAATGGGAATGCTTGTTGGAATAACTTGCAGGCAACTACGAGGGAGAAATGTGCCTTTGTCAAGTTATTATGGAAAGGGGGACGCGAAGGCATCTCTCTCTAGTGTATGCTGGGGCTGGAGTAGTGCAAAGAAACCTATGGACATGAAGGAAGTCTTTTAACGTCATTTTCCTGTCTTCCATTTTATTCTGAGCAGATACCGAAATATTTACTACCACAAACGTATATCTGCGATGGAATCCATACTGTTCTAACCTTAATCTGAAATTTGTTGATGTGTCTTTTAGAAACCAAAAACCAATGGGCGCGCGACGACCCAGCTTTTGTTGCCATTCTATTCTTCTGCTTAACGAGTACGTTATCGCTTGACGAAGTCAGCAATCTGAAGTTCTGATTGTCTGCCTTTGTTACAGTTTCGGCGCTGGCATACGGCATGGTGTATACGGTTGGGTTTTGGGGGGTTATCAGACTCATCCTTTGGATGGTGTTTGTGGATTTCCTTCTAGTCGGAATCTTCATTGCTACAGTGCTATGGTACGTACGAGAATCTGTACGGCAAAGATCACACGATAGAAGGAATGATTCACCAATATAATAGGGCTTTCATCAATCGGTTTCTGCTGCAACATAGCGTTCATTCAGTACAGCAATCTGTTGAGTGGGCATACGCTTTTGACGTGCACTGCAACTCCTTTTGGCCCATGTTCCTTGTCACATACGTACTGCAGCTATTCTTTCTTCCTGTCGTCACGCGAGATAACTGGATATCGTTGTTTGTCGGGAATACCATGTACCTGCTGGCGATCTCATATTACGTGTATATAACTTTCCTCGGTTACAGCGGTAAGTCGCAGGCTCTACTCGTTGGCTTATAGCCTCTTTTCTGAATAGTTGATTTCATTTCTAGCTTTACCCTTCTTGAAGAATCCGGCAATCTTCCTGTATCCAATAGGCATATTGGTCGTCCTTTATACAATATCACTCTTTGGATTCAACATCAGCAAACAAATCCTCGATATGTATTTTCAATAACACCAATGTATACACCATCTGCTCACATTATCAGTCGCTAAATGATAAATTACTACCGAAAATTCTATGTTCCTGTCCAAAGCTACCAAGCCTAGCACCACTATTGATTTCAACCCTTAATCCTCGCCCTGTATGGGCTCCCTCCACTTCTACAGCGTATTTCCATCCTTGTGCGTCAATATTCGCTACATCCACCGCTTGATATACTTTCATTCTTCTCAGCTTACTCTTCCGTGAAGGGTCAGATGTCGTCCCACCTTCGCGAAGACGCTTCACTGCGCTGAGGAGATTGTCCAGATCTCCGTGAAACCCCATCCACACTTCCAGTTCCTCAACTTCAGGGCATAGAAAAAGTATGCCCAGGGCCATATCTGTCAGGAAACGAGGAGAATACTGTGAAAGCGAGGATGAAAATGGTTCCTTGCGTGTCCCCAATGACAAATGCTTCAGGTGACTGGCCTCAAGATTTCTAAACTGACGCCAGAACGCACGATCCACGTATCCCAAACGGCCAAGTGACCGAAGATTGGGAAGCGACCGAATGAGATTAGCAAGGGCGACCTCCGTGTGAAGTTTCGGTTCGAAGTCAGCCATCAAAGTGCGTAGATTGGTTAAAGTGGAAAGCGTGTGAATCGCTGAGAAAGGATCATCACACATGTCATGCAGCCAAGGTCCGTCCAGCTCCAGGGTCTCTAGCGTGGACAATTCTTGTAGCGGCAGTAGCGACGACGATCGAATAATGCCTCTCGTGTCGTGAAAGCGACCATCTGATCGCAGATAAAGATGCTTCATATGACGGTACGGAAGAGAGGAGGCGGAGAGTGGTGACAAGTCAATTTGAGTATGTATATCTGCAAGGTCCAATAATGAAATCGTATTTCGCGATGGAAGGGTGTGCAGAACGCTCGACGGAGGATTATGTACAGTTAGCTCAGATGGAGCAATGTTGCTGACAAGGCTTGCAGCAAGTTCGCTTATCAGTTCCCGATCTTCAGGATGACAACGTAGTTCGCTTGCAACCAGCTCCACTCTTTCCAGGATCAGAGTCACTTTATTGTTACATGACTGTTCCAGTTTAGACTGAATGTCGTCTAACAGATCTTTGGCGCTGGCGCTGATCAGATCCTTGTTAATATCCACAGGCCAAGCTGACCATATTCCCTGTTCGTCTTCGTTCAATTTAACAGGTCGACTTCCAAATCGCCAGCGCCCCCGAACGCCACTCTCTTCTTTGGGGACAAGGCCCACAGATAGTGTAGGAGGTGATATATTCACAAGGAAAGGGCTTGTGGGTTTGTACAGTATAAGAAGCAAGTGAACGGTTAGAGGGATAGCTTTGACCGCAGCGGCGAATCCTCGACACACGCGCGTATATCGCAGTCGTTCAACCTTTGGGCGACGTATGAGCTGGTTGGGCTAACTGTGCAAAAGACAAAAGGTAACTCACCTCTGGAAACCGTTCCAATACATTGATCAAAAGCTCAAGAGGAAGTACATGTATGGTGGTAACGGTATTATGTACACATTCCATCACTAATTTACAAATTACAAGGACGGGAAAGGAAGGGACCTCAGTTGGTAATAAATCCTGCGACGCCAAGGATTTCATGAACTTACGTAAACCCTTAAATTACACCGCGATCTTGAGCTACACGGCTGGGCAAAGGCAAGACCGCACAGATTAATGGCGCATGACGACGACATCAACCGCCTTTTAGATGAGTTTGAAACAGAAAACAACGATGTTTACAGTTCTAGATTGCAAAGGTTCCCGAGTGGAGATACAACCAGTGCTGGAATGTGAGTCTTCAAAGGCCGTCAAAGAAGTTCCCTCCGTGTTGACGTGTTCAGCAGCGCAGAATATACCTATCATCGGGATATATGCCAACAGCATGGAATAAAGAGAAAGGTGAATTTGCTGCTTTGGAGAACTCTGAGTATGTCAGTTCCTCTGGAATGCCTTCTCAGGCTCAATAGTCGCAAAGAGTAGGATGATGCTCTCGACGATATTCTGAAGGAGCTGGACACTATTCATCAACGGCCTTTGAATTCGCGAAAGGAGAATAACTCTTCCGGAATGACATCTGCACCATCGAGTTCAGTAGGTAGTCAATTAGCAAAAGCAAAATCAAAGTACGCAGAATGCACTTTTGTATCTGTCCACCTGGACTCACGCATCCACTGATTTAGATGCTCACCTGTCTGCATCGGTGGAACGAATGATGAACGAGGCCTTAGCATAGGACATCTTCTACGGTCATGTAACAGACTGCGATGCTTGCGATGCGATTGGAAATGCATTGCATTTCCAGGTAGGGCTCATAATATTCATGCCGGGACATGTGCAGCATTCTCCATAACATCAATCTCATTATTAGATGCAGCTTGGAAAGATGACAGTGATTACTTGTTTTTTAGAAACCACATGCCCAATGTTAACAAATTGCAAGACAATCTCATAAGAGTCAATGGTGCGCTGAATATGTCCCGTAAGAATTGAGACATGTACTGATTGGGAAACTTGTGGTAGGTTCCGTTGCGTATTGTTGCCAATGCTCGTGGCAAGCTGTGGACAGCATAAGCATGATCAGCGAGATGACAAACCTAAAGTGGGTTTGCAGTGGACATTAGGCTAGTTGGTACAATTTTACTAGTTCGCGGGTGCGGTATTTTGCGCACTCTAGATATTAGGAACATTGAACTTCACGGAATTTGCAGCAGTATATCTTTGCTGTGAATGTCAGTGTCCCAGATATATCATTGGAAGGAAGGGATAATGATATCCTTCACGCATAGCACAAACTGGAATACCATTCCTATAAACATAAACTTTACAAGTGTTGTTGGGTTGGGTATCTCACGCGCGACGTGATTCAGTAAGCGGGCTGATCGACATGGCCGGAAAGAAATTGCTCAATGATGCAGAACAGGTTGGTCGTATGTTTTCCTTTTGCAATATGGTACGACGAGTAACGTTTCCGGGTTAGGTGGTTGACGAAGCACTTGAGGGACTCGTAGCATCTCACCCCGGTCTTCACCTTAACAAGAAGCATCGCCGTAAGCGTAATTTATCTCACGTACCCCTTTATCCTGCCCTAACCCATTCATCAGTACTCTACCGCCCTCCTATATCCACCAATGTCTCTCTTCTCTCCGGTGGTGGTTCAGGGCATGAACCCAGTCACAGTGGATTCATTTCCCCTGGGATGCTGACCGGGACCGTATCCGGCAGCATATTTGCCTCTCCTCCCGCAAGCGCTATCCACGCTGGGATCCGAACACTCTGCACTGAAAAGGGTGTCCTGTGCATCGTCAAGAACTACACAGGCGACCGGATACAGTTTGGAAAGGCGGTGGAGCGTGCCAGGCGGGAGGGTATGAGAACTGAGATGGTGGTTGTCGGTGAAGACTGTGCGATTGGGCGGGACAGGGTGGGGAGAGCCGGAAGGAGGGGTTTGGCTGGGACTCTTTTTGGTAGGCCTCATATATATCGTTGCTTTCTCTTAGCGGGCGATATATTGATCGTATGTTTGATGATTGGGACTTTAGTTCACAAGATTGCCGGTGCAACTGCAAGACGCGGGTAGATTATGCCTTTGCTTCCTGTCAAGTCATTCCTTTTTTAAGACTCTTGGCTGCTAGTGCATCCCTTGAACAAGTCTACCAGCGCGCTCAGCACGTTGCTGACAACATCGGGACTGTCGGTGTAGCTCTCACACCATGTAACCCATACGCTTCGTTCGAAATGGAAAGCATCTTCATTCTAACTTTTTTCTCTATCAAGGCACCATCCCTGGTGCTACGGAACCCGCTTTTCAGATGGGATCGAATGAGATGGAGTTTGGGTTAGGTAGCGTTGTTATACCAGATTTTTGTACCTTTTCTAGTCATAATGGGCAAAACTTGCATTGCAGGCATTCATGGTGAGGCCGGTATTCAACGTGTGGCGATCCTTTCTGCTCGCGACACAGCACGTAAATGCCTCGACATGATTTTGTCGAGAGAGGCGGACCGAGGTTATCTACCTGTGGATGCCGGGGAACGCGTTGCCCTCTTGGTGAATAATTTAGGGGGAATGACGGCTTTGGAGGTGGGTTTTGGTTGTGTGGTTTGGTGCGATAAATGGAATTCTGATGGTTTTGTTAGATTCATATTCTTGTCCGCGACGCCCTCGCCTACCTCCGTAAGCAAGGAAACAGCACCCTGCCCATTCAAATCCACCTAACACTTATACACAGATTCCAAGTCCATCTCGGTTCCGCGTGTCTATTCTGGAACGCTCATGACCTCCCTCGACATGTCGGGTGTGTCTTTCACGTTATTGCGCTTGGTCCCTGGAAGTGGAGTTCTGGAGGATTTGGATGAAGAGGTGGAGTGTGCCGCATGGCCGAGGGTTTTTGGACGGTGGGATAGTGGGGAGCCTCATATTGACGAGGAAGAGGAAGAGGAGGGTGAGACGGCATGGAGGGTGCAAACTGATAAAGGTGATATGTTTGTATTATCCACGACAAGTTTATCCCTATCTAATGGGTTTCCGCGCAAGGCCTCACCCTTCTCCGCATCGTGCACACAATAAGTGCCGACCTTATATCGTCCGCTTCCACACTCAACACCTACGACCGTGTCACTGGTGATGGAGACTGCGGCACGACCGTCTCCAATGGCGCACGAGCAATTCTGGAATGCATTGGTGAGCCTGATCAGTGGAAGATCTCTGATGTGGGCTTGCCCGCCGATGATCTTTCCAAAGCTGTGGCTCGGTTGAGTGCCATCTTGGAACGGGCCATGGGAGGTAGTTTTGGGGGAGTTGTTTGGTGAGTGTAGAGCTCTCCATAGAGAGCAAGCATCAGGTTTTCTCACAATGGCTTGTCAAATGTCACTAGTCTATTTTTGGAAGCCCTCTCTACCTCCCTCTCTGCCGGCACACCTGTCCACACTTCCCTCCAAACCGCAAACCGCACCCTCATCAGTCATCTCTCCACGGCACTTGGTGACAGAACACTTGTTGACGCACTCCAACCTTCCATTGAAGTCTATGCAGCGTCTGTTGAAGCCGGACAGAGCATACCTGAGTCTGTGCGACGTGCTGCAGAGGCGGCGAAAAAAGGGATGGAGGCGACTAGTGAGATGAATATTGCAAGAGCGGGCAGGAGTGCAAATGTGGGGATCGGGTTGAAGGGGACGCCGGATCCGGGAGCATGGGCTATTTGGAGGGTGTGGGAATCTGTGAAGCATGTTATTAGTCAATAGCGAGAGGGTTTGGTAAGCGTATTATATTAGGAACCCGAGCGTGTGCAGTATAGCGTAGCATGGATCAGATAGTTTTGACGATACGTTAGACTATTTCGGTTGCGGACGGACTCGCAACTTTCACGTAGGTTTAAATGTCTGTACAGTATGTATGCATCCAATGTCACATTTCGATCTATTATCCCCCCCAAAACTCACGCGAACCCCGCCACAACACCGACACCAACCAACAAGCAAATCACTGTCGCCCACGCAGCAAACCTCATCCAAACCCGCACGTCCCCCACCCACCTCTCCCCAACTTTTCCCCTACATACTTCGCTAACAATTAACCCGGCCACACTCCCGAAAGGCGTCAAATTCCCACAGGCAGTCACGTTCCAACTCAACAAAAACCATCCCACTGTGCCCCATCGCGGGTCTTTGGCGGCCAACTGGCGAATATGAGGGGCAAGCAGAAGAACAGACGGAATGGACGTGAAAATAAGACATATGAACACCGTCACGATAGAAAATATGAATACCGATTCGGCGTAACTTCTGTTCAACAGCGCGGGTTCAAAAAGATTCCACACATCGTTTGGGAAAGGCGTTTTTCGTACGGCTTCGAGGATTATGAACATGCCGAATAAATAGCAAAGGAGCGGCCAGTTGACCGATTCTGATAACGTCGCTGTTGGGTCATCGTACGTCTGCAGTGGACGGAAACTAGGAGAAGGGACGGCAATGTCCCGTGTTTCGGGTGGAGCTTTTTTGAACCTGACTAGTATTGAGTCCAGCGCCAAAAGCGTCTTAGCACTTGCTACAGCCGTAAAGCCCAGATTAAACCTGTGGGAAAAGAAGGCGGCGTACATGGCCAATATAACCAAGGCGTACATGACTTTGATCAGGTATGGCGAATGGAGAACGGTGCGGAGTGTTAGATGGAGGTGGTAGCGGAGGAGACCTGCTGGGGTAGTTGGATAGGGGACGGTGGTGGGGAGCTCCTGGGCCAAACGGGCGAGGTTGAGGGGCGTTCGGTGTCGGAATATATACGAAGGTGGAGGAAGCAGAGTCGGAAGAGGTAGTTGAACCGCTGGGCCACTGGTTGACGGATGATCAGAAGGTTTTTCCAGCCAGGGTTTCCGGTGATGCAGGCCGTTGGAAGTTAGAGCTGAGACTGCATCTATGGGATCATCCTTTGAGATATGGACGGGCGATGGTACGCCTTCGTCTACAAGGCTGAACGAATCCACTGCAGCCTCTACATTCTTTGCTGGGATCCATCCATTATGCACGTCAACGTTAACAGAAACGTGCCGAGGGCGCTTTCCCTTGTCACCACCTTTCAAGAGTGGTTCTCGGATAGCACCCTCGAGATCAGAGTCGCTCTCACTCACAGACTCATCATTAAACTCCTCACCACTCCAACTAGCACGACTCGTCGCATCGTCGCTGAATATGGTGGAAGTAGGACTTCCTTCAGCGTCATCCCAATCTTCTTCATCGCCCTCTCCATCCAACGTGAGCCCATTCATTTCGTCATTCGTCAAGACTTTTAACCGCTTGATGCGTTTATCTTTTAGCTGGCGCCAATAAAACCCAACAATGCACAGAGTGTTAATGCCGGTCGCAGTCAAAGAGACAGGACCCATTTTGACCAGGAAGGCCAAGAAATCAATGCTGGGCATCGCGTCGTGGACAATCATGTTTTTCGGGTTGCCAATGATTGTGGCTGCCGAACCAAAGTTGGCAGACGTGGCCAGTGCGAGCGCGTAGGGCTCGACCGGCAGATCCCCCTGTTCGCAGATTGTTGTTATAACGTTGCTGAGGAATATGGCAGCGCCTGTAAAAGGATGAGTGAATGCCGATCACGGTAGATCTATCATCTTGGCGCGATATTTACCATCGTTCATCACTATTGCGCCCAATCCGGCGGAAAGAAAAGATACGCGAACGAGTAGTGATATCGGTGAAGGTCCACCCCACAGCAACAGTCTTTTGAAGACCGTCATGAGTCCCTGTACATGCGACGAGTTAGCCATCTTGTAAAATACGCATCAGATGGCTAGAGATCGTTATGCTTACCTTTTCCTCCAACTTGGCCAACACAACCATTAGCCCCACCAACAACAATATGGTATTACCACTGACACTCTGAAAAGCTTCCTGAGGCGTCAGGACTCCACCCAAGACGACCAAGCTCGCTCCCAGCAATGAAGCTGCTGTTCGACCAATTGGAAAATACGACCATTTCTTGGCGACGAGGAGCCAGACGCAGGTGAATACAACAAGGGCCAGCCATGTCTGTGGAGACCTGTAGGTGAATCTTGGTGGGGTGGAATGTGGGAGAGATTCTTGAAAGATCATGTCTGTAAAAAGAATACCAAATCCCAAATTCCTAAAGGTGGTCTCACTGCAGATCTTTGATCTTCATCGGAGCCCCCGGAGGCATAAGTCACGTCATCACGCACATGCAAAAGATCGTTTTGATAACGAATTAGGGAAGTTTCTTCTTTTCATTTTCGACCTTCACGACTGATCCTTTGCCATAATGAAGTTTGCTCAACACTTGCAAGAGAAGCGACACACGCCGTGGTTGCAATACTATACGGACTACAAGGAACTCAAAAAGGTTCTAAAGCGACTCGAAAAAGAGTAAGGTCCCGAGTCTGCATCGCACCTTTTCACCAAGCTTTCAACTCAATCTTCTATTCAGACATAAGACACACTCTCAAACCTTTCCCATCTTGGATTCACTACCCCCAGCGACCCGATTCACACACAAGGCTATTCAAGACGAGTTCTTTAACCAATTAGAACAGGAGGTGGATAAGGTGGAATGGTTCTACTTGGTCATATTAGAGAAGGTTCAGAAGCAGTGCCAAGAAGTGATGGCAAACTGGTTTTGGGCGGTATGTCCCTATTTTTGTGGTGTAGTTCGAAGCGTCAGTTCATTTGGAGCGTGTTGACTTATGTATCATGGCATACAGACGCATCATCGACCGCATCACGCTCACCATCAAGATACGGCTCCTTCCCCACCACCGTCCCTAATCTCTCACCACCTTCACAACCTTCTGACCACGATCACGAGAATGCAAGCAAACTTCCTACCCCTCAATCGCCTTGCAATAGCCAAAATTCTTAAGAAGCACGACAAACTTGAATCGACGCATGGTGGGGCAGCAACGAAACAGGCTATGGTGGAGAGAATACGTCAACACAGGAGGTTCTGGGATGCGGACGAATTGAATAAGGTGGCGGCGGATGTAAAAAGCTTTAGGTGGGAATTGAATAAGGCAAGGATTAGATTGGAAAGCGACAGTGTCCTGTGATCCACCTGCCACCCGTTGTACAGGATATTGTATATTTTTGTTGTAAATATGAAAGAGATGAAAGACCTTGCTCATCACGGTCCAGCTTCGCTTCAAGCTGTCTGACACCTCTAAACGCGGTACCTAATAATTGTAGCGCGACTGATACGCACCACAGAGACAAACATTGGAAATCAGTACCGCGACTACAACCCACATAAATAAGAAATCAAAACCCCCACAAGGATGCGACATAAACCAGGTGAAAAGAAAAGTTTAACGTACCGACATATCCTGCAACATATCTCCAAGTTTGCTGCCACCCATCGCCACCATCCTTTTCAATGCCGTGATATCGTCTGCCGCCTGTCCGACAAATTTTTGAGCGAAATCTCTAGCTGAATCACCCAACATCGCCATTGGATCGTTGGCATCACGGACTGACGAGGGCCCGGATTCGTCTCGACCATAGTACTCCGCAGAGCCAAACCCGCTCCGCCCTTGGAATTGTTGAAGTCGTGCGCGGGCTTCTTTACTGTGTGAATAAGATAACAGTCAATGCGTCAGCTTTGTAGAGAGTCGCAGAGTAGCACGTTCAAATGCTCCTACCTTGCGGCTTCATCAAAGTTCCCACGTCCGAAGTATTGGTCACTAGAAATGGCCTTCGCGTTTGCAAAGCGCTTCTGTGCATCTCCATCATCACCACCGTAGGATGAAGATGAAGCGGACGACGTCGAACTTCCCATTTTCATACCCCCTGTGGAACCACTAGCATTGCCACCGGTAGAACCAAACCCGCCAGTAGCTCCAAACCCGAGTTTGCCCATTCCCATTCCCAGTCGTTCCATCATGGCAGCATCTTCCGCTGATATCTTGGGCTTTGCTGCGCTTTGATATGAACTGGTGGCAACTGGAACAATGGGTTGAGATAACCGCTGTCGTTCCTCTTCCGCCAGGCGTTTGCGCTCCGCTTCCTGTTCGGTCTTTCGTCTTTCTTCTTCCTCCCTCGCTTGGCGCTCGGCTTCCTCAAAATTAATGATCTTCGTAGCCTTTTTGGCACCGAGACCCTTCTTGGTGGGCTTCAGGATGTTTGCACCAGAGGTTGCACGCCCCGGAAGGGTTGTGGCGGTGGGTGACTTGATATCATCCGGTTTCGAGAGCGAGGCAAGTGCTGCTGTTTCGACGCTTATTGTAGCAGGAGCGGGCCGCGGAGCTGCGGTTGTCGTAATCGATGCGGGTGTAGGCGCCGGCTGTGGCGTTGGAGCTGCAACCGTTTGCGGTGCAGCTGCGACTGGCTGTGGTGGCCGCTGTTGAGCAGAAACGTCCCACCCCGAGAAAAAATCATCGCTTGCCCTCCGCGACCCAGTATCCACTTCTCCCTCAACAGCACCATCCACTACAATACGATTTGGGTACTTTCTTGCGTCTTCTTCAATTAACTTCTTCAACCTGTCTTTGTACACGGATGCTGCTTTGGATGTGTACTTGGCTTTCACATCTGAAAAGTTGAGACCACCGTGTTGCCTGAAAAACTCTGTGGCATTAGCGTTTCCGCCTACTTTCATGGTCCGCAGTTGGTCCAACGTCCAAGAGTCGAGAAGCGTGGAGCGGACAAAGGTAACGTGCACGCCCATGTTGCGGTGGACAGCTGAGCAGTCCAGACAAAGGTACACGCCGAACGTGACAGTTGACCACGTCGGGTTTTTGGCATTGCAGTCAAAGCACACCTGCAAGTTAGCACGGTCGTGAGAATCAAAAGTGAAAGTGTCTCAGCTGTGCGATCCCTCCTACCTTGTTTTCTCGCTTCGACTTTAGCTTTTTGAAAACTTCAATGATATCCGCCTTTGCCACCTGGTCCATTCTGCTGCGCTCTTTGATAGCAAGACTGGGAGAAATGCAACTGAAACAGCTGAACGAACCAACTGCGTTGACAACGACACTCGCCGGGGACCAGCGTGGGCTCTGAACGACGCGCCCGATTTGAAGGCCAACCGTAAGGTCACGTGAATAAACAAACGGTTTTGTTTTTCAACGAACTAGATGTGTCGTATGCGATTCTTTAAAGGAGATTTAGTAGTAGTCAGATTGTGCGCATGCTCTGAGTTTATCAGATCCATGGACAAACTGCAGCCAGCATGTTTCCCCTAGATCTACGGGGATCGCCAACTGGCCTTGCCGGAGTATGCTCCAATTTCGGTCAACACGGCAATGGAGGAACTGCGCAACCACAATGATCGGTTTATATGAATCTAGGTTCATTGATGTTCACACTCTTTTTGTTCCGACGTATCAGAGATTGCAACGGTTGATGAAAGAACGATCCAATGGACATTTCTTCACTTTAATATTCCGTGCATTGGACAGAATGCTCATTAGGTCAACAAACGTTTTCTGGCCATTGCAATGCCATACTTTTACATTGAGATTCTCCCGTCGTCTCTAGATGCTTGTGGTTGTTGGTAACTTTCGGTGTTGTTGAATGTTTACGTCAGCTCCAACTTGGGCATCGAACCGGAAGGAATGTACCCTGTCATCACTGTGAGTTTACTCTCAAGCTCGCAGAAGTCCATCCTTCGAAATTTCCCACGAAGGACACAAGCATGGAGAGAGACGAAAAGACGGAAGATGCTATGGTCATATCAGAAGAAGCTGATACAGACACGGATTCTAGCTCAGAAGAAGACGTGGACGATGTAGATCTTACCGATGGAATGGGTACCGGCCCGTCCACCGACGAATTGCAGACCGCGAAGAAGCAGGTGTGCCTAGCGTTGAATATCTTTTATTAGCCTATCACAAGGGAGATGTTCAAGACTGCATTTTGGCCACAAGGTGGAAGACCATCCCTACGATTACGGTGCGCATATTGGGTACATAACGGCCCTTCGCCAAGCCTCCGATTTTGACGCCCTAAGGGCTGCGAGGAATGCTATGGCGGACGTCTTTCCCTTGTCGGAAGGTCAAGAGATCTGGTTGATTGCGCTCATATTTGAATATCCGTTCACGTTGTCGGCATTTTACAGATCTATGGTTAGAGTGGGTTCAGGATGAAGCTCGACTCGCCGCGACTTTGGAAGAGAAACAGGCCATTGTGGATCTGTATGATAGGGCCACCAAAGACTATCTCTGTAAGAACCATATTTGGCGTACGCGTTGCGATGCACACCTAACACGTTCTACGTGCAGCTATTAAAATCTGGCATGCATTCATCACATTCCTTTTTCACGAGTATGAAATATCTTTGGATGAGGATGAAGATGAGAGCTGGATGGATTTGGAAACGGTGCGGGGGTTTTGCGAGCAGGCGATCAAAGCGACAGAGCTGCACTTCAGTCAGGTTGGTTTGACCAAGGCTTATTGCCTGGTTGGTGCGATTGTTTTAAATGTGCATTTCTAGGGAGCAACAGTATGGAATGCATACCGGGACTTTGAAACAGCGTTGCTCGATGTAAGTAACGTCACTACTATGTGGTCTTGATGTGGAAATAGACTGAAGATATTCTATTTCTGTTTGTGTGATGATTAAATTTTAGCGGTCACCCGAGTAAGTTATACCAAGGCTGTGTCTACTACATATGCTATCAGTCTGGTGATGATCTGACAACCCGCTGTCATTAGTGAACTCCAAGTTAAACGTGTACGCGATATGTACCTCAAACGGTTGAGGATCCCGCACGCTCGTAAGTACTCCTGGCAGTTGGGATTTGGACCAGAAAATTGGACTGAGCATGAATTGAAGTGCCTTTATGACCGCTACCATAGAATTGGAAGAAACTTTCAGCGACTACTCAGGTTTTGAAAGTAAATACGATAGTGAGCAGTACGAAAAGCATCTGACGAGCGCGAACGCTTCGGTTGCGAAAACGCGAGTTGAGGTGGAGCTGCGCGAGCCGTATGAAAAGGCTCTGGTAGGTTTACGTCTGCTGACGCTACGTACTGCACCATTACAAAGTGACCTGACCAAACCTAAACAGGTGGATTCCGGTCAAGGTCTTGCTGAATTCCTCGCTTATGTGACTTTCGAAACCTCGCGACCTAAAGGTGGCGATAAGTTTCGCATCCGTACGCTTTATGAGCGTGCGATCAGCGTCCATTGCCTCAACCCGACACTCTGGGACGCCTATATAATAGATATGGTATGCTACCCGAAAACGTTCAAGCATGTATTCATTTACCCTCCCTAAACGGAATGCAGTCAAATATGTTCCAAATCGGGGTCGTGTTGATACCTCTTGCCGAGCGCTCTGTGCGGAACTGTAATTGGGCGGCAGATTTATGGTGTCACTATTTCAGAATCATGGTGAGGCAGATGTGGCCCATGGAGATCAATTCCTATCAGACATTAATACACTAAACAGGAACGGTTTGGCCGAACGAAGGGCGACATTGAAGGTACGGTATATTGTCAACAGTCTTCTATACAAGAATAGTGACTAATTTCGCTGACCTCTTAGCTGCTTACACGCGCGGGCTATCGTTTATTTCTCCTACGTCCAACCTGGAGGAGGTGGTAAAGCTAATGAAAGCATTCGGAGAATACCTTGTGCGTCAGATCGACTGGAGTGCAGGTAAAGATAATATTATGTTTACTTGAAAATATCATCTCTTAAACTGTTCATAGGTACACCCACCCCTGGCGAAGCTGGCGAAATAATCACCCGGTATAAGGACAATATTGCCTACATTCGTGAAAGTGCGTCATTGTTCTCATCCTGACTGTGCTGCAATCACTTATCCTTTCCTGACTAGCCTTTCCAACTGGCGACCCCTATCTGCGCTTAGAACGTGGCCTGCTGCGATTTTTGGTACGTTATGGACGATTTAGGGCGATATTTATATCATATTATTTATATTTACCCGGTTTTGGTAGACCCATAAGCTGAAGGATATCCAGTCCGCGCGTTCTACTTATGCTGACGTGTGTAAGAACGGCGGTCAAAGCGACATTTGGTTGGAATATGCAGAATTTGAGCGGTAAAGACAGCAAAGACCAATGGCACTCGGTGCAGTGAGCCTTACGATCCTTGCATAGGTACCACGGGACTGCAACATATTGTCGCGCTGTCTATAAAAATGCAACTCTCCGCAGAACGGACTGGCCAGAGCGCATTTTCGAGGCGTGGCTTACCTTTGAGCAAGAAGAAGGAACGATGGAAATGTACTACGAGGCAGCCGGAATTATTAGCAAACAAATTAAAATTGTGGAAAAGAGGCGTGCGGAGGTGCGTGGAGGCTCGCAGCAATATGCAAAAATGATTACACGTTCACTTACCTAGGGGAATGCTCAATAGGAAGCTGCAAAGTTGACCGATATTCAATACGATCCTGGACAGGTAACACGGACAGGTTCTGGATGATCTCGTTTAATCAAAGACTCATCCATTCGATGCTATCTTCAGTTGCCGGATAGGAAGCGCCCGCGGGAGGAGGGAGCCGATGGCAAAGACGAGCCCGACGCGAAACGCCCAAAAGGTACTTGGCAAGTCCGAAAGCACCGCAGCTTGGCGATCGCATTCTAATACCACGATGGGATTTAGCAGAGCAGGCGGAGAAGGCAAACTACTACGACTTTCATGTTATCGACAAGTAAGAATTTGCACTGTTAAGAACAGCGGATGTATGGACTTATCTATCTTGCAACAGTAAACTTGCTGGCAGTATTCTGTACGTGACCAATCTCTCGCCACGGACTACTGAGCTAGACCTGCAGAACTTGTTTGCACAGGTAAGGACCACTCTACAACGGCTGTTTGTAGATGTAGACACTTGTTGACTGTGGATCGTAGTGTGGAAAAGTGGTGGACTTGATCTTAAAACCCAATGAAGAAACCGGGGAGCTTGAAGCATATGTCGAATTTTCAAAAGCGGTAGGAATAACAGACTTCTCTGATAACTTCCGAAATCCTAACATCAAGGACTCAAGGTTGAAGTACGGAAAGGTGCTGCGCTGAACGGCACAGATCTTAATGACTCCCAAATCAAAGTTGTCCGATGCCGGCCGGCGGAAAGCATTTGGCACTTTGCCGACGCAAAGGAGATCAATAAGATCTATGTGTCGAATTTGCCGGTAAATGTTGAAAAGAAAGTTTTGCGAGTCGCTTTTGAAAAGGTAAAACGATCTATCAGAGAGTAAGTTTAACAGCGAGGAAGCATTGACCATTGATATTAGTACGGACCGTTGAGAGAAGTTCGTCTGGTCCAACGAAAAACAATTGCATTTGCCTACATCGAGTTCCGCGATGCGGTAATTCTTTTAGTTGCTTAGGATTGATATATCTTTTGGATTAACAATGTTTGTAGGAATCAGCTCAACGTAGTCTCGAACTGGATCAGAAACAACTTGTCCCAGGTAGCGACAAAAAAATTGGTGTTGCCATATCGGATCCCACCAAAACCAAGTACGCTATTGATAATGCACTTTTGTACCGAAGACGAACGCTAACTGGTATTAAGGCTTAAGGTAGCCGATGAAAAGGAACTTTATGTGACAAATCTTCCTCGAGACATTCAAAAGGAGGATGTAGAGATGATGTTCAATAAGGTGAGAGCTATAGTGTGCTCAGAGATTGTGCTGAAAACGTTCAATCGCTCATGTTGGAATACAATGGCGATCAGTTTGGCGCCGTCAAAGACGTCCGACTTCCTACCTTCAATGATGGAACCCAACGAGGTATTGCCTTTATTGAGTTCGACGATGAGGTTAGTTGAATGATGCTTTACATGCTTGGCACAACCGACGTCTGGGATCTGACACCTGATTTGCCTCAGCGCGCAGCAAAAAGTGCATTATCCTTGAATGGGACAACCGTAGAAGGTCGTGTAATTGTAGTTACCATCCCCGATCCAAATATGCGGAAGGAACGGCAAGATGCGCGGTAAGTCACTTTCCTCAATCAGTTACAGATGTGGGAACTAATACGATGATTTCAAGGCGAGGTTTCCATGGCGAGCGTGCAGGACGTGGGGGGAGGGGCGGGCGTGGTGCTGGACGAGGTGGTAGAGGTGGTGGAGGCGGTTGGGGGCGCGGTGGAGGCTGGCACAACCAAGAAGGACATGCCAAAGGGAATGCTCATGACGACATCCAGGCCCCTTTCAAGTGAGATACCAGTGCACTTACTGCCAAATGGATGCAGGAATCTAATTACACATTGTTTCCGCAGACCTGTTACTAGCTTCCTGCCCCGTGCCGCGGGCAGAGGCAGTCGGGCCCCTCACCGGAAGCTTGGGAGAGCCCACGCTCCTGCCCAAGCGGAAACATCTTCTGGAGATACTGCGAATGATGGGACCGCGTCCCGTGGTACAAGCAAATCTCAAGACGATTTTAGGAAAATGTTGATGGGTGGCAAGTGAGAGGTGGCATACTTTATACTTTGCCCATCCGAAGAGATATGCATGTGTGAAATAGCATAGCACTCCTTCACATCTATAAAGAACTCAAGCATCCAACCAGCAATTCACCCAAAGGGTAGACAGGCCGGCAAGCCTTGAAATAAAATATGCAATTATCTAAAAAATAAATACAGGAGAATTGCTAACTGTGTGTACGCTTGTTGCCGCGCATATCCGAAATCGGATGAAATTCTATCGTCCCCGTCCGCCTCGCCCACCTCGCCCTCCCCTTCCCCGCCCTCGTCCTCCCCCTCTGCCTCGTGCTCCTCCACTCCCTCCTCGCCCGCCTCTCCCACCTCGCCCACCTCGCCCACTCGTTCGATCGCCAGGTAATCCCAATTCTTTGACACTACGCTTTTCCCGGCGTGGAGCGGCGTCATCCGAGTGATCATCGGTCTGCTAACGAAGGGTAGTGAGTAAACTTGGTGAAGCTTCCCTGACGGCCACAGAAGCAGCGACATACCTCGCCCTTTCCTCCCGGCTTGAACGTGATAGACAAGTTCCCTGATCGGGTCCGCTCAACCTTATCCCTACTGACGTCCCCTGTTGTCCTTAGCCTCTCCTCAAATGACTGCTTTTTAGCTTGTATAACAGAGGATGCTTTTCGTGTTGCGTCTGCATTGTTGAGGGATGCCGCGTGGCCTTCTTTGAGTTCATAAAAGCTCAATGACTTGGACTTGGTGTCCCCAGCTTTAGGTTTTCTGTGTCTAGTAAATCGGATTTGGTCGTCCTCTGGTGGTCCAGCATATATGGTGAGTTTGATAGAATTGTTCGATGTGCATGATGGATCTTACCTGAATCATCCGAGTCGCTATCGTCGTCAAACTCATCCAAGTCACTGCTTGCATTACCTTCCGGATCCGATTCACTGTATTCGTCACCCACATCCTGATCATCCACCTTCTCGAATGCCTGCTTTGCTGCAGCCATACGTGACTCAGACGGATGATGCAATTTATATTCATGACTTGTTTCATCAATCTGGAAATCCTCATCCTTGAACATATCAGCGAAACGGGAGTCGCCCAATGGGTTCTCTGCTGATGCCCCTGTGCGAACAATCTCCTTCTTCCGCTTCTTCTTCTTTTTCCTTTCCTCATCTGAATCCATGTCATCGCCTGGTTCCCCGTCCATGAGTTTGACGGCCATAGACCTGTTGATTTTGGGCAACTTCTTAACCGCCGAAATTCGGCTCGCGCGCTGCTTCTCGATGCGCTCCTGTACCATACGGCGCTTGTATTCCTCGTACTCAAAGGGATTCGCGATAGCCTTTGCCTTTTCGTACAGTCGGAGATCGAGGAAGAATCCGTGCATGTAGGCTTTGAGAACATTTGTCCCAATAAGGTGATCCAGTCCGAGGTTGGAGAGCTCTTTGCGAGTGACGAATTTATAGTCGTCGTAGATAGTTGTCGCCGGGTTCTCTTCCATCTCCTCTGTGAGATTGTCCAGATATGTACACCATTTGGGGGCAGGGCCCAATTGGGGTATGTAAAACGTCTGAATTTGCACCCCCTCGTTTGCTACCATAATCAACCCAGAGTTGTCCCATACACAGACGTCGTTGATATCGTTCGGGGGTTCTACGGACGTGAATGCCTTACCCGTGTCCTTGTTCCAGATCTTGATAATTTTGGTGTCCGCCGATACTACATTGCCGGTCGAGTGCATAGCTAGTGATTTGATGGGAAAGCCGTATTGGTGGTCTTTAAAAACCATGGGGGATGCGGAACGCAAATCGTATACGAGAACCTGGCCGGTTGCGGTACCAACAGCTAACGTCAGACCGTCATCTCCAAACTTCAGCGCTGATATCTCCGGGAAAGCTTCCAGCACTCCAGCTCCTACAGACTTTACAACCGCCGTACCGATGTCCAAGGCCCCAATTCTTCGACGCTCACGCGGATCCCAAAATTCTAACCGGCCATCCTCCCCACCAAATCCAAACAATTGATGTGCCGGATTGATGTGCATCACATTGACAGCAGGACATTCCGTCGCAAGGGCATTCAGAAACCGGCCTTGCTCGAGGTTCAGTCGCCAGATCTCATTGCTCGCTCCTCCCACCATCAAATCACAGGTTGGGAAATGATAGGCGAGGTCTCGTCCAAACTTTGGTACCCGTGTTTTGTAATGCATTCCGAATTGTGAATGAAGCTCTATGGTTCGGTCAGCTTGCAACATGACCGTCTTTGTCCAGTCATCTGAAAGAATCTCGAATTGGACATTCTCGCAGTCCTGATGTCGGTCGAGTTTCATAGACTTCTGGGCAAGTTCGTAGACTCTCAACTGGGGCTGGTAAACACCTGTTGCGAGAATGTAGTTTCCATCGCGAGTGGGTTTTATTCGAAGAGACGCCTCAGGGAATTCGAAGTCCTGAATAAGTTCGATACGTCGTCGCCATTCTGCAATGAAACCAATGGAATCAGCACTAAAGCTTCATAGATACCAACACAACCATCCCAGTGCCTCAATCGGGTATTAACCTTGGTCTTTCTTCAAGCTCTTTGCGTTTTTCCTTGCTAGCCAGTCAGGGATAGCACTACGACCCGCACTGGTGACCGAGTAGATCTTAACGTTATTGGCGTTTGAGACCTCCATGACAGTCTACGCCGTCTACTAGTACAAGAGACAAGCTTCTCTCAGGTAGCAATACGTTTTAACAGTGAATGGCAACAATGAAGAAAGCAATTCATGCACGGCCGTGCGAGCCCAAACTGCTGGCGACCCCAACTGGCAAAAAGAATTCAGACATGAAGTTAACCACATTAACCGCATTGTGCATTCCAATGATAACGTTTGATCGCTAATCACGTGGCTTCGAAGGTAAATAAACATCCAAAGTTAAGCTTGCTTTCCGTCCAAAACAGTGCACTACGTTAGAAGCTTGAAACTTTAAACCGACTTATCATCCAACGTAAATCCGGAATTACTACAAGATCAACATCCATTTTTGTAGTAAACTGCCAAGCTATTTCGATAAAATCGGGTCCATAATCAAAAACATATGCCCCGCCGCGCTGGCATGAATACTCATCTACATCCAACTTCCTAATTTCAAGATCTTAAAAGCTGCGCTCAATTTTAAAACGTTGCATATATACATGTCAATCTGCTTAAACAGTAGCATCCGCCCCGGGTTATAAAACACTCATTGATGAGCAATGTAAGCGTCAATGCGCGCAACGCAACCCACCAAATTCAGTCCCGCTCTGTTGATATTCACTTAGACAGGCATCAAGTCGCCATGGAAAGATTGGATCGCTCGATCCATGGTTTCCGAGCGATATAAATCAATGAGGTATTCTCTAACCTTGGCTTCCAGATGCTGGAGCTCTATTTGATCGAGGTGGCATGAGAAATACATCAGGATACTAAAAGGGCTTCAGATTACCTGGGCTTGACAGCATTTCCAGGCACCTCTTTGCTTCAATTTGAAACTGCGGTGTCCGGAGCTCATACCAGTACGGCTGGGGAGGGCGAACTTCATCCTGCAGTAATGCAATCTGCGTCGGCCAACGCACCAAAGACTGCCGCAAAGTGCAATAATCGTACCCAAAGTTGTTTCCATCTTTTAACAATCAATGTTTTCTCCTAAAACGGTATTTCAATCGGACGACAAGAATGAAGTGGCAGTGGATTCCGGATATCGTACCTGAATCTTCAACAGCTTTAGTTGATCTTCGACAAACATGAATGGAACGAGACCATCCAAAGGCACATCAAGTAGTCGTGGATCTAATCGATGTGATTCTCGAGCAACCCATTGACTCCCTAACATCCGTTCACTACGGGCCATAATGCTGGGGGCAGGCGCTGGATGGCGGGAGAGATGTGATCTGTAACAGTAACAGTGCATGTGAAAATGTGTGCCATTTGAATGCTCTTACTTAAATGTTACCTGCATTTCAAGTCCAGTGATTGAGCAAATATGGCTTTTGGTATACGACAGTCTGGATGTAGTTCTTCTTCCAAGGCTCTTTGTAAGGCTTCCGTCTTAGCCATCTAGATTATGAATGTGGCATATTAAACGAGGAAACATTACTGCACACTTAACATGCTGCGCCAAACTACCTGCCAAAGAGACGACGACAAGTCCTTGACGCTGTTATACACATCTGTGCCTTCACTTGTATTCTTGCTGCCAGCAAAGCTGACTGATGAAAGTGAAGATGTGGAAGAGGTCGTTGTGGACTCACGTAAGTCTGGCGCTGGTGAGGTCACAGTCCTTCGGGCTGCAAAAATACTTGAGTGACTGCCCTCTCCATGGTCTCTTGAATGGAGGTGACTTTTATTCGCTGAAGTTTTTGATTCATCGATAGTAAGAGGATATGTGTGTGCATAATCCTTAACCTCATCATCAGCTACGGGACCATGGAAGTTGCTTGTATCTCCATTTGAAGCATATTCTTCCAATCTCCTCAGATATAGGCAGGACGTAGAGTCGTCCATATCTGCGTCGAAGTGATGTTCGAGTGAAGAATCAAGTTTCATTCTGGACAAGGACGGTTCGTAGGTCACCTCTGGAACTGTCGGTTCGGTACCACTGATGACGGCCCGTTCCTTTATGTCTTCGTTGTCCACTGTTACCCAGCCTTGTGTTGACACTAATTGGCGTGACCCTTCTTTGCTTTCGGTGACTTTCCTCAGCTTCTTGCTTTTCCCAGATGGGGGTGGGACTCCGGATGGCCTATGTGGCTTACTCCGTGGCCCCCTGCTGGACGAATTTGAATCCCGCACCTTAGGCTTGGTCTGTGTCGGAATGCGGACATGTGATAGCAATGAAGATGGGGAACTAGCTTGCAATCCAGCCTTCGAAGCCTTTGAATAGAGCCGAATGAGAACGTTGTCTAGATAGCATCCATCACGTTCCGACGTACCACTAAGTCTTTGCGGGCTTTGGCAGATGGATGTGGGTAATAATTCCGGCGGTCGACACGCCTATAATTCTCGCAATGTGAGAGGGACTAGCCTTATAGTATGCTGAATTTCTCACTTACTGTACGGAGATTCCCTCAATGGATATTTTCTCCTGGTTTCTGTTCGACGCACGATGGCCTATATCTGATCGAGGTTGCCGGGATGAAAAATCTGCGTAATGCAATGGGTCTTGCTCCTTCTCATTGGTTAAACTTGTGCATTCGGGACCGCTGTAACGATGATGCGAACCGGTGACTTCAGCGCCTTCGCCAACAGTCCAGCACCGCCAAGTGGACGCTAGGCCATGAGGACGCATCGCAGGGTAGTGTCCCTGTTGGTCTCGACGGTTAAGAAGGTACCGATTATGATAGTTGTTATACAATGCCCACATAGAAGTAATTCTTCTGTGTTTGTAAGGAGATATGGTACTGGCTGCAATGACCCTAATATATTACTTGATGATCATGGTCCAAGGGAATTTTGGACCTAAGGGTCCGTGTAAATTGTCCGGTTAGATTGATATCTTCGCAAGGTATTTACATTTCAGTTAGTATCACAAGCACATATCCCCCATCATGCCTCGCTGGCAATGAGGACTTTTAATGTCTACGATCATGGCAACATTCTTGCTCATCAATCTGCCAGTGATTCGGTCTCACATCCGCCAAGTAATGCCGTCCCGAACCTGTTCGTGCCTCCAGGTAAAAGCATAACGCTTTTACCTCCAATTGGAACTCCACCTAGCCCTTCCCACCAAACCAGAGATGCGTCCATAGTGCAGCAACCCGAGGCACGCCCCGAATCCCTCAACCTTTCCCTTAGCAAACGGCAACCTCTTGACGTTACACTTCATCTCCCACAATCCGCGGTGGGAACGCAGGAGGTACAGTTACAAACGCTCTACGAACGCCTAGCCGAAAATGAGCGGTCTCAACGTGCCCTTGCTGTCGAGACGGCAAGACTGCATGGGCAGCTGAACGAAAGCTTTCGCTTTCATGACGGCATTCTGAGGGATGAAGTTCAGATGCGCAGGTGAATGACCCAAACCGGAGCGCTTTGAGGAGAAACCAAAGATCTGATTGATTAAATTACGCAGAGTTCTAGAGGATCACTTTCAGTTCCTTCGCTCCATCGTTCGGCATCTCCAGGACCAATTTTCCGTTATGTCTCAGCAACTGACCCTGGAACGCGAAGCTGCATTTCACAGTATCGAACTGACAAAAATCCGTGCAGAAGAGCATGAGCGTTTTGCTGAACTGATGCGCAAGCGAGGCGAAGAAGATGCCGAAAAGATCGCAATTTTAACCAATGAATTGATACTATCGAGGCGGGAGGTAGCGACGCTTCGCTCGGATATGGACGCACGAATAACTATGGCTAATGAGGAAATGAAGCGCTGCTCTGCTGGGCTTGAGAGAGTCGATGGAGATGGCACTCAGTGTAAGCACGAAATCGAAGCCATAAAGATCAGTGTTGGCCAGATGGATGCCCGAATCACCAATTCCCTCCAAAGAGCCGATGCAAACCTCGCGCAGGCATCCAAATCCCTTCACGATTACATTGCATCTACCCAATCCGCTGAAGAAGAACAACTAAAGAAAATGCGGGATGAGCTCTTGTCTCAATCTGCTCAGCAGGATCAATCCCACACGGCGGCTGAAGAATTGCGGCATCAAGAGCTCCGGGTGCAAATAGACCAACTCATGAAAACAGTTGGTGACCAACAGTCCACCATCGTAGGTCTGGAGCGTAAACTTCAGGAACAATTGGAAGCCAAAGTGAACTATGTCGAGAGCTCCTTCCGAGATATCGTTATGCATCAGAAGACAGTTCACGAGCAGGAGAGCCGGGAAATGTTGAAAGCAATACAAGCATTGCATTCTTTTGCCAGAGGGTCTAGAGAAGAAGAACGCAAAAATAGAGAAATGGTTAGGAAGGAGTTACTACAGGCGAAAATGGAGCTGCAAAGAGATGCTGAGGAAGCTCGACGAGACTTGGAAACGCAAATGAGAAGAATGACCAAACCGTTCATAGTGATTTGACATTTACAACGGATGTATTTAAGCAGAACAGAGTTGTCTGCCACATAAATGCTACTACATAATATTCACCACATCCGACATTGTCGGGAAGTATATTCCTTACCATTCAGCTGCTATGGCACCCAAGAGCCAGATAAATCCCCTACGCCTACACAGCCTTGATATATATACATAGACCGGTATCCCTAAAACTTTTCCCCTCAGCTCAGCTTACTGCCACTAAGTTCCTTGTAGAGCTGGCCATGCCGTCGGTACTTATAGATGTGATCGGCTCAGTACTCGTTTCGATCGCCGAAGCGGGTCTTGAATGGCCGCTCACGTTGGTATTGTGGGTGGCTACCGAAAACTTACGTTCCATTACAGCACAAAACTCTCTGCCCCAACAAAGCTGGAGAATGATATTCAAGCTTCAATAAAGCTTCACTTAAAATATCAGCTGTCAGATGGAAACCTACCAATTCGTCGATATCGATCTTTGGCGGAGTCAGCTCGACAATGCTGGCGGTAACTGTTAATGGTGCGACTTCAGGTCCTCGGGGTCCCTCGGATGAATATTGTCTTTTTCTGAGAAAAGCTAATTCGTCAAGACTTCCCCTCTTACGAGTTGGCTTGGACGAGCTTTGTGCACCATTATCGCGCGGCTGCGAACCCAACATGGCTGCACTGGAGTGAGAATTGACGTTGTGAAGCTGTCTCTTTCTCCTGGCGTCACGTTGAATCTGCGCTAAATGGCCCGTAGATGAAGCTCGCCGCTCCAGCCGATGGAGGGCCGAGCTCGTGACACTACTCGACACTGCGGAATATGAGGTCCCCGTTTCATCCGTTACCAGCATATCTTCTGTATTAGATTGCGGGTTTGAGCTCACGTCGTCGGCTGATGACTCCAGGCTATGTTGTTGCCCGTCTACTGGACGCCCAAGGCCAATATACTCTTTGATATCGGGTGCGACACTATCCCCACCAACATCACCAATCCTCATTGCACTTGCCCCCATCGGCAGTCCTGAGCTATCCGCTTCGATCGTATCTGCGATTCCCATGAAATGATTGATATCCAACGAAGTTAATCGGCGTTGTACGGGAGGCGACAGTGTTTTCATAAGTTTACTGGCATTTACTTCGGAGCCGCTTCCTCGCTGTGGTTCTGAAAACGCGCGCGGCCGATTTTTGTGCTCAATGTCTTCATGCTTATCGTTTTCTCCTAACCCTAATCGTGAGCTAGCTACAAGACTTCGCTCGAGCGAGGTCCGTGATTTCGCCGAAGCCTCCCGTCCCCGCTTCGGCCAAAATGTAGGCCGTTCCCCTGCCACGAACTGGTCAATGTCAAGACTTGCTGGGTCAATAGCCATGGCACTTGCTTGGGGGTTGGTAGAGTGACGGGCCTCGATAGCATTATCGATTTCTATGAAACTAACACGATACGATCTGTCCAAGGCGTTCATGCTCCTTACCAACGCATGTGATGGTGCGGACTTCGCTTGTAGCGGGTGTGTACCTGCAATGGTTGTTCGACCTTGTGGCGGAGAAGATGCCCCTATAGTCTCAAGCCCAGTAGACGCCGACGTGGCGTCGCCCGCCCCTAGCAGCATCTCGATATCTCTCTCTGTGTTTTCGTTTTCCGGAAGTATCTCCGTTGACTGCACAAGAGGGGTGCCGATATCGATGAACGCTCCAATGTCTTCCGCGGCACGGGTGTCATCTCTCAGGCAAAAAATCGGCGGTGTCTGCTCTCGCTTATGGCGCACGGAATCTGTAGTTAGCACTCTCTCCATACCGCCATCCAACACATTGGTGCGACTGCTGTCTCCGGCGACACCCAGTGGATATTTCAGGCTACCAGTCGAGTGCCATACTGATTTCTTCTGCGTATCTGGAGACGTCATGTCCTGCCCCGCTAGCAATGGCAAGGAATTGTTCAGTTTGTCTGCTGATTTTCGCTTGGGCATGAGTGGCTCCCCAATGAGGATCTTCGGAATAGGTGGGACTTGGTTCACCAGCAAATAATCATCTGCGTCAGTGAAAACACGGGGCAAACTTGCCAGAACGGACGCCGCTGGATTGGGATCCATCGACAAAACATCATCAATGTCCCTCGTTTCTTCTTCTGCAGGTGTAATAGTGGTGCTCGTAACAGGGGACTTCCGGTTAGGGGATACAGGAGAGGTTGCCGGCGAGTCTGGGCCATCCATTGGTGCAGTGCCGGTAATTCTTGCAGAGTGAAATCCAAGTCGATTCTTAACCCGAGGCTTCTCCATTCGTGTCGACGGTGAATGCTGGGACTGTGGAGGGTTTTCCGATGGCGATGCGCTTCCCAAGGCCAGCATATTATCGACATCAAAATCGTCAGTAGCTGCAGGAATATCTACTGTAAGCTTCGACCCAGTCCTTTCCCAGTTTTCACCGCTCCCAATCCCTGTTAATCTGTCAATATCCTCGCTAGCGGTGGTAAGAGTTTGAGGAAAATGGCTTTCGGGCAAAGAATTAGCAGGAGCAAGTGGTACTGGAGCTGCCAACCCGAGCGTGCTTCTTCCGATGGTTGGAAAGTTGTCTGCAAATGACATAGACGACCCTCCCAGGCCTGCTGATAGTTGGGCAGAATTCGGTCTTACAGTACTCAAGCGGAAGCCACTGGCCAAGCGGGTTGCCAAAGAATGGCGAGGAGTGGTAGATTGTTCCACCTTGCGGGCGTTTGCTGTCGTTAAGTCGTCAATGTCTCGTACGTTAAGTCGGTCGCCAGGGCCAGGGGAACGGAAACTGGAACTTCTAGTTACGACTCCAGATTTTTTTCCTTTAATTTTTTCCATAGCTGCGTCTGCCGCCTCCAAAATCGAATCAATGTCCTCGGCCTTGCTGACTATGTAAGGATAGGTGCTGGCGGGAGCGACCTGCTGCACTACCATTCTACCGTCATCTAGTCCCCAAGTGCTTCCAGAACGAGTTGGTTGAACTATTTCCACTACTGGAGTGACTTGAGTTCCACTTATTGTCGCTCCCCGCGCCCTACCTCGTCTTTGCCCGTCCGGCTTTGGTCTCTCATTTGTAGAAGCCCTCCCTTGAGATTTGTCTGTATCCGAAGCAGGAGGTTCTTCGGTCAATTTGCCGTCAGCTTCACCAGAACGAGCCCGAAGCGCGGCATTCCACAAGCTGTTATGCGATCGGCCCAACGGCTTATCGGACACTGAGCGAGGCCTCAGTGCCGGAGAATTCGACATGACACTGTATGATGGCTTCCCGGCAAAATGTATATGTTATATGGTTTTTGGATGTAACCAACTCATCTGCCGTTGTTGCAAGAGCGGAGCAAACCAAAGCAATGTTTTAAAAATGCTAAAAATAGATGCAATTCAAGCGCCAAAGCAATATGTGGAATTTTTGATCAGCTATAACGCGATTTCAATTTTATCAATAAATCAAGATCACTATCGGAAGGGTCGGTCGCAGTGTTCAGTAGCACATCTAAAATAGTAGAATTGAGAAGGTGTTTTCGTCTTTGCACACAACCACAACAACCAGCATACCGATGAATGCACTTATCAAATTAAAACCTTCACTGAACCTGGGAAGTTCCTGCGAAAGCGAGGCCACAATCTGCGCAAGTGGGGAACTGAATTCTTTTGGATATGGCGCTTCTATCGCCGATAGTATCTGTAAAATATACCTTTAGAGCCTCTGTCGCAACTGGCGACACGACCATCTAAAACGCAACTCACTGAAACAACAAAGTGTGTTCTGAGGGACTCATCTATGCTGCCGGTATGTTCTGAGATGTACTTCACAACCGGAACTGCGTACCCCACTTTCACCAAAAGGACCAAGTGATCAAGGATCTTTTGCTTAATTTCTATCTGCAATTACGGGGATGAGTTCTATCTTCAAAGGGAAGACGTTATCTCTCCAACGTACCATCATCAAGGGATCTTGTGATTCGTATCCGCCCTCAAGTAAGGTAATCCAGAAAGTTGTGGCATGCTCCCAAAGAAACGGATGCCTTATGACCATCTAAAAATCGCGGTAGAAGTACAGCGTCAGCATGTTGAGTAACGGGCGAAGGATGTATAGGCGCTCTTACTTCATCCACAAGATTGAATGCCGGAGGAACTTCCTCTCGTAGCATGGTCCACTCGTAAAAGCTACCATTGCTCAAGCAAGACGAGACCCAATGTAATAGTGCCATGGAGGTAATTTGTCGTCTAAACACAGTCGTGCGCCTTCAGCGACAGCTTGTCATCGGATGTGTCAAACTCGTATATTTACCTACTCTGTCGCCTGAAGAAATGCAGATATATGATCCTGCATTTGCGCCATGGATGTTATACGGTTCGTCAATGCGTCAAGACTCTTTAGTGCTTCCAAAGTGCTCTTGAAATCGTCGTCGTCACCCTGTCAACGGGAATAGAAGTATGTTGAGTCGATTATAACGCTTTCTCACGCTTAATAATAGAGTCTACTCACCACAGAGCCTCTTTTGCTGTCTTGATCTACGATGCTGACGGCGTAGGCCAGTAGCCACAGTGTTTCTTCCACATGTGCATTCGAACGACGAGGAACAAAGGTATCCGCGATCAGAGCATCTACATTACGGTGAGTGGATTGTATCTATAATCGTCTCCACTTCAAGTTGTCAAAAGGTACTCACTGAGAATTGCAGCGTCCCGAAGAAAGACAGGTGATGGTGGGTCATTTGAGTTATAATGCTTATATAACTACACTCCCACATAGCATTAGCAGTGCTACTTAATTTGAATCCGTCCCAAATGTCAAACGCAATTGCTTTCCCTACCTTAACAATATCTCCCCCACTCGGTTTGCTGTCCCGCTGAATGCCGATCAAAGCCTCGATCACATCAAGGGCCGTTATGCCGCTGAACTTGACACCTTCCGTCAGCATCAATACCCTTCAAATGCATGTCATCAGGTTGAGGTACCAAACTACATAATTACGTACAACAGCGTTGCTTACTCTTCTCGTTCTCCCAGACCCGCCGCCAACTCCTGCGATATTCGGTTAAGCATTTGCCCCCAATGAATTCCATTTTCCGTCTCTCGTGACAATCCAGTTAGGATCGCTTGCGTTATAAAGTAGTTGTGCACATTGTTGTAACATAGGGGCTGCCGATCTTGTGATTAGTTAGAGTGCTTTGAGGTGGAAAGAGCTTGTCCTCGAAGCTTCACTCACACCCAGGTTTGTGGCGACCCATTCCTTAATATTCGTGTCATTGGGATCATGTAGCTTTGACAATACATTCACCAGCTGATTACAATATTCTGTCGTTTCTGTGGCTACTAATGCCATCGCTGCAAACGGTGAAGAAAGCAGCGTAGAGATCAGTGTAGAGATCAGGACAAAGTTGGGCTCTGGTGGGGTTGCCCAGTTTGTTGGCATGGTAATCGCTTACCTGAGAGTCGCGCCAACAAGATGCCGATGAATATTTGTTCGGTCGTGAACCAGATGTCGCAGGAAAACGGCGCAATATCGAAGCCAAAGTCTCCGGTGTGTCAGTCTTGTTCATGTATCGACACAATCTTTGCGCATTTGCGCGGGAATGTGGCATGGAGAACCTCTCCAATGCTTTCAGTTTGATGCACTACTGATGAAGAAGGAGGGCCTTTCACCATGCCAGTTTCACAGAAGGGGAGTTTCGACAATCCAAAACTAACTTGTGCAGATTTTGGGACATATTCAAATCTCACACAGCTCAAGTAATGAAGGATTAGACAGAATCAGTGAGGAGACTTCCGATGCGCCTATCCATCGCATGAAGGACACTGCTCAAAGAGCAGATTGTGCTTCACAAACTGGTGTGTAGCACTTTCCGTCTTTCTAGACAATCATTTCAGTTCCATTGTTATCACGTTGTTTACTACGAGAGCTCATTTAAGTATTGCTGGGCGCTTACATCTCATTTGTTATAGATCACTTATCAGTTAGAAATTTAAGTCCATTTGGTTGACAATCATCATTATTGAGTGATCGCTTTCTTGTCCGTTTATAGTGTAGAGGTGACAGAAAATGGCACTAGCTACTACACCAGGGAATAAACTGGCGACAACCAACCCGGAAAAGCCAAGTAATTCCCTCCTTACAACCAACCAACTACTACTAGGCCCAATTACACATGCAATACATTACGGTTGTTCTAACCGGGTAACTAAGCCCACCACACGAGAGAAATCCTACTAAGCCCTTGATTCCGAAATTCTTAGTCGGAGGATGTTCAGATACTAATTAAACCAGAATTAGACTCGGAATACGCGTGGGAAAATACAAAGATAATGCATACCTGTGATCGTTGCAGCATAGTAGCAGCAGTGTTTGCAAGGGGTTATGTTGTTATTGTCGGGAGGGCGAGGTCCTCGGCACCAGAGCAGTATTCTCATGATGATGGACTTGAGAGTCGCGATGAGAAGAGTTGCACAGATGCTTTGAGAGTCGAGGGATAAAGAAACAAGAGGGAAGAGACAAAAGGCCCCCATTTTATAGACCTTTGGCATGCGCCTCACCGCAGTTTAAAAAAAAACAACATTACATGCATGCCACAACCGCTTTGGGCGATAGATGGGGGTGCTGATTATGCGATATGATTAACCGGATTAATCCGGATAATAATGAGTCTTAGTGCCATTTTCCATCACCTCCACTATATGATTTGGAAGGGCGATGCTGCGATACTTATGACCCCTGTCGGCAAGGACACTTAAAGTCATTACCCATTTAGCATTGTACGGGAAAAACACTTTCCTGCGTTCGTAAATAAAAGAAATAAAAGAAGCGATGCGAAATGGTGTCAAGGCATACCACAGAGGACAAAATGCGATGGGTATGATATAATTAGAACCGACAGAAGTGTTTGCAACCCAATTTTACTAATCCTCTCGTCTCACTAATCTAAACTGCACACCAGTCAGATTAATTCGTCTCCTATTTCCTCCTGACAGTTCTGGGTGCCTTAATCTTTCGCCCAGCCGATCCGCCCTGTGTATTCGCCTGTGTTCCCCCAGCACCCATCGAAAACAATGCCCCAGGTTGGGAAGCTCCAAAGCTGAATCCGTTCTGGGGAGGGGCCGCAGCTCCAAAGGTAAAAGAGGAGCCCGTTGGTGTTGTCGCTTGTTGTTGTTGTTGTTGTTGTTGCGGTTGTGGTTGTTGTGCCGGTTGTCCGCCGGCTCCAAAGCTGAACTGGAAACCACCTGCTTGAGGTGTACCCCCGCCAGCATTTGAGCCAGGAGTACCTCCAAACGAAAAGCCAAATCCACCTGCTCTACCCGCCTGAGGCGTACCAAAGGAAGGCGTTGACGGTGGTCCGGCAGACGGATTCTGAGGTGCAGGAGATGCAGCGGGAGCGCCACCACCAAACTTAAAAGTACTTTGTCCGCCAAAGTTTGATTGATTGGCTCCCCCAATGGCTGAGCTGAATGGTGCAGAGGGCGTACTCGGAGCCGGTGCAGTGGGATTTGGGGCAGTTTGTCCGGTCGCTCCAAACGCAAAGGATGGTTGTGCACCGCTGCCGACGCCAAAGGCGGGGGCAGGCGTAGTCGGTGTAGACGCTGCGGTTGAGGAATTGGTGCCGAAGCCGCCAAATGCCGGTGCTGACGACTGCGGTGTGACGGTAGTATTTGCGCCAAAGCCACCAAAGGCGGGTGTCGTAGGTGCAGGAGTTGGTGCGGCGACTTGCGTTCCGAATCCGCCAAAAGCAGGCGCCGCTGATGTAGGGGCAGAGGCGGACGTCTGTGGCTTAGCACCAAACCCGCCAAAAGTAGGTGCCGCGGAGGTAGGGGCAGTGGTCGCCGAACCCTCCGGTTTTCCTCCAAACCCTGCAAAACCCGGTGTGGAAGGGACCGGTGAAGCCGCCGCGGGAATCTGAGACGTCGCTCCAAAGCCGCCGAAGGTAGTGCCCGAAGGGGTAGACGCCGCGGGGTTAGCCGCAGCAGTAGCGTCGGTTTTACCGCCCAAGTGGCCAAATGACGGTGCACCAGGTGTAGGAGTAGACACCGTTGTTTGTGTGCTCCCTCCAAAGCCTGCAAATGCCGGCGCACTCGATTTCGCAACTGATGTGCTACTACCCGTAAACGAGAATGAAGGAGTTGAAGTCGTTGTCGTGGTGGGTGCTGTAACGCCAGCAGAGGGGGCAAAGGAGAGAGTGGGGGCAGTGGTCGTGGGAGGATTTCCTGTACCTCCAAATGAGAAAGGCGTTCCGGCTGGAGTAGACGTTGAGGGAGCAGAGGTTGCCACAGGAGGTGCACCTCCAAATGAAAACGAGGTTGGGGCGGCAGAGGCCGGAGGAGCTGCTGACGTGACGGCAGGAGCGCCTCCGAAAGCGGGAATGCTAATAGTCGTCGCCGATGTGGAAGCGGTTGGTGCTTCGGTCGAAGCAGGCGCTGCGGTAAATGAAAACGCCGGAGCGGTCGTTGTCGGGGCGGAAGTCGCTGTACCAGAAGTGCTTCCAAACAATGAGCTGGCCGCACTCGTGGCTGGTGTGGGACCTGGCAGGCTGCTTCCGCCGAAAGTAAAGGAAGCCGGTGCAGCAGCGGTTGTCCCAGCCACGGCAGTCGTACCTTGAGCTTGGCCTCCAGTGAAAGGTGCCGCGGCAGGTGCGGACCCGTTTGACTGGATGTCTCTGGCTGTCTGCTGCACCTCACCACTAGCATTTTTGGCCTCTAACTTCTGATAGCATAGCAAATGTTAAATGGATGACACAAAGGGAAGAAAATCCATATTTTGTAACTACCTGTCTCTCGGCTTCCTGTTGACGTTTAAGTTCCTCCGCTTTCCGTTGTTCCTCCATCTTTCGTTGTTCCTCAGCGGCCTTACGTTGCTGCTCAGCCTTTCTCTCTTCTTCCAACTTTCGTTGTTCCTCAGCGGCCTTACGTTGCTGCTCAGCCTTTCTCTCTTCTTCCAACTTTCGTTGTTCCTCCAATTTTTTCTGTTCCTCCAGCCGTCTCTGCTGTTCCTGTCTTTTCCGCTCTTCCTCTTCTCGCTTCTTCCGTTCCTCATCAGCCTTTCGCTGTTCTTCCAACCGCCTGGCTTCTTCTGCCAATCTCTCTGCTTCTCGTTTCGCTTCCTCCTGCTCTTTGTATGCTCTCTCCGAATTCTCCATGATCTGCTGCGCCACTTCATGTGTTTTGTTGTGATCTACAGGTGGCATGCGGGAAATGAGCCATCTTAGGTTATTGTTTGCATTCGGCCGGCTGGATTTCAGCTTGATACGGGAGCGTGGTGTCTTTGCACGGGGAGAGCCGTTGCGCGTAACTGGTGATAACTGGACAGATGGGCTGTACTGAACGGTTTCCACCTGACGACGCTTAGCAGGTGTAGGTGACGATTTTGGATCTTGATGGCGCTCTTCTCGGTCTACATCGTCAATGGCACGTTTAGAACCTGCTACCGTACTCTCATCCCGAGTAAGACTGTCGATGGGGATACGTTTTGGAGTTCCTGGTTTCATTGTTGGTCGGATACCTAGCCGACGACTGGCACTGGTGATCCAACCGTCTTCTGGCCTCAATTCTTCCATGACTTTAAGCTCCCAGGGGGACGGACGGTTAGGTGTTTCTGGGGCGTTATTCGGTGTATGGTGTCGCGAAGCGACCTTTGGTGTTGCTCGAACTGGAGTGTTATACACCTGGGTATTGGATCTGGGTTGAGGTGCTGGAGAACCGCTATGCCGATTCCCAAGCTCAAATAGACTTGCATTGCTATTATGTACCACACTAGAGCCGTAATCGCGGGTTGGACTGCCACTATGATCTGTGCTTTGGTTATGCGGGGGAGATCTTGCCCATCGGGGCGAGGGCGCTCGAACTTGCCGCTCTTGTAGAGGTGGACTCTCCAGTATAGATGTCTGCAAAAAACGGTGAGCATAGGTACTACCACCCAGAGAGTCTGGCACACCAACCTCCATCGCCACCGTCTCCGTCGTAGATTCGGACTTTTCCGTTTCTGTACTTGACCCCGCGACCCAATATCTCACGAGTCTCCTCAACATGATGTTCCTCAACAACTGCAATCAAGAACGACCGGGTGATCCACAAAAATGCCTTGGCCACAATAAGCCGATGCCTGAATATCCGCAACCCAATTCCGTGCAGCAAAATCAAGAGAGCGACGACCAAACGAACTGCTGCCCGCGCGCGAATTTCATTTCTTTTACGAGGGGTTCGATTCCCGCTGGCTGCAAAACAAAAATTCTTTTTTGCAAATTCGGCCATTTCCGGCAGAGTCACGAACTGTTTGGATTTGCTTTCCTCCACCAACAAACCATCCGTCGCACATCACCCGATCCATCAAAATGGCCTCCGCTCTCAGGTTCAACGCTGCAAAGATTGCGCGCGCCGCAAAGCCTGCTCGCATCGCCGGTGTGAGGTGAGCCCTGCGACCATTTTCTAGTGTTTTGTAGTAAAGGATTGACCATGTGGGTTTTAGGAACTTTTCCCGATCGGCAGTTGCTCTCGAGCGCAGCGTGTCCTCTCTTTACACCTTTACCGAGGAGGAGGAGATGATGCGTGAAGCAGGTTCGTCACCTGTTTTCCCGTCTTTACCATTCCCATAACTGAAATTTGGCGATTTTATGTTGTGTATAATAGTGGCAAAGTTTGCCCGGGAGCAGGTTAAGCCCAAAGTTCACGAGATGGACGAGAAGGAGATGATGGACAAGTCTGTCTTCACCGGGCTTTTCGAGCAGGGGGTGAGACATGTTTGCATTGGGTAGGAGAGATCATGGCAGAGAGTGACCCTTGTCAATTTTTAGCTGATGGGTGTTGAGACTCCAGCCGAGTTGGGTGGCACTGGCGGTTCCTTCATGTCCGCTATCTTGGTTGTCGAGGGTAAGGCTCGTCGCTACCACTTGTGTTATTTGACACTGGTCTGATTTGTGATGCAAATCATGTACAGAACTCGCCAAGGTTGATGCCTCAGTTAGTGTTGCCTGCGACGTGCAAAACACCCTGGTTAACACCTTGGTCAGAACTTATGGTACTGACGCCCAGAAGGAGAACTACCTGACTCGTCTCGCCACCGACACGGTAAGTAGTCCGTTCTATTCCCTTTCCACTCGCATCGGTGTCTAATCTCTATCTCACTAGGTCGGATGCTTCTGTCTCTCCGAGGCCGAATCCGGAAGTGACGCCTTTGCGCTCAAGACCGTCGCGAAAAAGGACGGCAACAAGTACATCCTTAACGGCTCCAAGATGTGGATCACCAACTCGTACGAGGCAGATATCTTCTTGGTCTTTGCCAACGTGGCTCCTGAGAAGGGATACAAAGGTATCACCTGCTTCATTGTGGAAAAGAACATGGGTGTGAAGATTGCCAAGAAGGAGATTAAGGTATTTGATGACTCTCCTTTGAAGGACTCCTGTGCCTATGATTCACCGATATTGATTCTGTATAGCTTGGTATTCGGGCATCTTCTACCTGCGTCTTGTCTTTTGACGATGTTGAGGTAACCTTGACGCCTTCTTTCTTTAACGTGTTACTAGGTTGCTCATACCGCCTTTAGGTTCCCGCTGAGAATGTGCTTGGCGAGGTAGGCAAGGGCTACAAATATGCCATCGAGATTCTCAACGAAGGACGTGTGGGTATTGCCGCCCAAATGATCGGTATTGCCCAAGGCGCTGTGGATGAAGCGCTGCCCTACATGTATCAACGGAAACAGTTCGGCACCCCAATTGCGGAATTCCAAGGTGTTCAGCATCAAGTCGCTCAGATTGCAACCGAGATCGAGGCCGCCAGGTTGTTGACGTACAATGCGGCTAGGTTGAAGGAGGAGGGACGGTCGTTTGTCAAGGAGGCTGCTATGGCCAAGCTGTATGCCTCCCAGATCGCGGAAAAGGCTGCGAGCAAGGCCATTGAATGGGCCGGTGGTGTTGGGTTCACCAGGGGTGAGTTTTGCGAATTCATTGTATATCCACTGGCAGTGCCCCTCTTATATGTTGGTTACTTTTATAGAATTCCCTCTTGAGAAATTCTACCGTGACGCCAAGATTGGAGCCATCTACGAGGGAACTTCCAACATCCAGCTCCAGACTATTGCAAAGCTGTTGAAGCAAAACTACGTGTAGATCAGATTGTCACGAATACAGACAATCAGTTTATTTTGAGATGTCGTTAGCAACGTATGGGTTCTCATGTTTCTTTTGTTTCTTGTTTGTCTCCTCATTTCACTAGCATGAGACCTATGTAGAATAGACAGTTTGTTTAGCGGGTACAATAGCACATTGGAAGGGAGTCGAAGTCCACACATGTCGAGTTGACAATTATAATGTTGGTCTGTTTCAGGTATCAAATTGTCACTAGGATCCAAGAAGAACAAAGACGGGGACCAGCTAACCAGCACAGTAACATTCTCGACTATTCATGACCATGCAATGCCGCAATCAATGCAGCTCCTTCCCCACTTCCATCTCTCGCTTGTTCTAACACAATATTCTCCGCCATGATCCCCAACAACTCTCTCAGGGCATCTCTCATCCTATTTGCAAAATGCGGGTAATGCTGAAAGACGCTTCCATCAACAGCAACAGTACATGCATCCAACCGATTCATTTTCGTCACAATGGCAGCTACACCAGCTGCACTCAACCTCGCCGCACGAATGCCAACCAGCTCACAAACGTGCTTGACGATACGACGGTCTTGCACGGTTGTCGCCTGTAGACCTAAAATGTCTTCCAAAACTGCTTTGGTATCCGATAATTCCAGAGAATGGTCGCGCTCAATTCGGGACATGTAAGCCGTTTCGAATTGATAGGGTGTCGTCAATGTTTGCGATGAACGGCCTTTAAACAGTTCACCGGTAGAAATGAGGTCCAAAAGGACATGCCGCACAATCTCCCCCAAATACATTCCCGAAATCATTTTCTCAAAGATTTGTTTTCGCGGATTCGTGGACGCTCGATCGAGGTCGCGATCAAAAGAGGTGATGGGTAAAACGGAGGCCTCATCGTATGCCCCCCACTCGGTATTGATTACCATTTCCTTCGTGGGCGGGATGGGACCCGTCCATTTGGGTATTTCTTCAATACGCTCAACATAGGCGGCATTTGTCCCTGTGCCAAAAATGACGCCAACGTACGTTTGGGGATCGCGGTAGGCGTGGGAAATGAGGGTCCCGACGGTGTCATTAACGAGCGCGGTAACTTTGATGTTTATATGGGCCTTTTTGAGCGCTTTGTTGAGAAGTTCTACGACGTCGGCTTTGAGAACGCCAGTGGCAGAAAAGCCCTTGTTCCATTGCATGAGGGTGCCAGAGTTGATGGCATGTTGTTCGATGGGGAAGGAAAAGGTAAATCCGAGACTGCGCGGTTCGCTTGGATTGAGGCCAAGTTCCTGAAGAAATTTGCCGATGCATTCTGCAAAAAAGTCAAAGAGAGCTTCGCCTGTACCGGTTTTCAGCTCATCAGAGACAATGTGTTTGGTCTGACGGACGCGGGTCTGGCCCTGTCCTTCAAGAGTTACGAGACAAACTCGGAAATTGGAACCGCCCAGATCGAGGGCAAAGAATGACCCAGTCTCGAACCCTGTAGGGCGGGAGATGACATAGGAAGGAATCATTTTGAGGGTATGCCCATCTTGTGCAAGACCTTTCTTCATTTCATTGACAAGATGGCGAACCATGGTTTGCAGACGATGCGAGGAGACTGTGAACTCTCGTTCGAGGCGGGGGAGAGTTCCTTCTGCTGCCACAAACGACGGGACGTTCCATGACTGTCGTCTGATGGCTGGGAGCGCATCTGGTGAAGTAATTGGGGATGCATCCGGGTGATGTACCGAGTCGCGTGGTGGTGTGGTGTCCTTTGAATGTTGAGTCTTTGCACCCGTCCACGCGGAGATAAAGTACTGGACGGCAGCCGTGAGCGCGACGCCGGTTGTCAGGCCGAAAATGAAAAGAGGCGTGTCAAGGTCCATTCTTTTGACGAGAGGATGAGAGTCAACCAACAAGCACGCAAAAGCTACAAGCTCAAAGATGAAGCAGAGCCCAAAGAAAACAAAAGCCGGCGATGACAAGGATGTCCAAAAGAGCACAAGCGCATCGATAGCCTCAAAGCCCTTGTGACATCACGAGTCACGTGCCTAATTGAACGCTGCGCAACTCTTTTTTGGAACACTTTAAGCACACGACTGGCACAAAACGGCCGCGCTTCCACGATCATAAACAAAAGTTTATTTTTTTTTTTATTATCGATTTTGGGGATATGGCTTTTGTGGATTTTGCAAGGATGAACAGTATATAAAGGGATAGGACGGGTTGTGGTAGATCCCCATTCATCGCGACCTTGTCGTTGTCGTCGTCGTCAAAAGATGGCCATTGAACACCCCCCTCTCAAAGTTCTTGTTCACAACAAGGTCCTCGCTCAGCACATTAAACAATCTTACACTCGCAAAGATATCGAGTCCATTTGGTCTCTGCTCAATGCCAAAAAGTCGCTTGATTTCCCAACTGTAACAGGGAGAGGTCTCTTCAAGGCCGCCCTCGCCCACTCGGAAGATGAATCTGATTATACCGGCTACGACAATGTGTGGGTCCGTGATAATATCCACGTTGCCCATGCTCACTGGGTCATAGGGAAAGCCGATGCTGCCGTACGAACCATTGATGATTTGGCGGCCTTTTGGTTAAATCCAACGAGTGAAAAGAGATGGAAGGATTGCATTACCCAAAAAGTAGATTACAATGCGGATGTCATGCAGCGACCCCACATTCGCTTTAACGGAACATTGCTGCAAGAGAATGAGCAAACTTGGGCTCATGCTCAGAATGATGCCATTGGATACTTTGTATGGCTGCTGTGTTCGTTGATCAACGAGGGTCATACTACACTCGCCGAATCGCATATCCAGTTGCTGACCTTGATTCCCTTGTACTTTAATACGATCCAATTCCATCAAGATCAAGATAGCGGACATTGGGAAGAGGCTCGCAAAGTCGAGGCATCCTCCATCGGTCCGGTCACAGCCGGTTTGTCGGCTGTCCTCTCTCTCCTCTCCAAGGACCCGGCAGCCGCCAGCGTACTCCAAACGTCCTATACCAAAACCGCTCGCGAACTGTCCCTCACTACTCTCCCTGAAACCTACGTAGAGCTCATCAAGACCCTCCACACAGCCGGCACTCAGATCTTGGCAAGTCTCCTTCCTTCAGAATCACCCTCCCGGAAAACAGACGCAGCCCTTCTTTTCCTCCTCTACCCTCTTCGTCTCCCCATCCCAAATCAGACCAAGCACGAAATTATTACCAACGTTGTCAAGGACCTCGCCGGTGACTATGGTATCAGACGTTACAAGGGCGACTCGTACTGGATGGCGAACTACAAAAAGGTTTTTTCAGAGGAAAATCGTACGGCAGATTTCTCCAATGATATGTCTGCGCGTGACCAGTTCTTGAAAGAAGGGCAAGAAGCTCAATGGTGTATTTTCGATTCGATCCTGTCTTGCATTTACGGTCATCTGTACATGGAGGCCAAGAACGATTCAAACAAGACACCAGACCATCTTCAACAGCTAAAGGAGTCTCAGGTTTTGTACTTTAATCGCGCACTCGGACAAATCACCGGCAGCGAGAACTGTCCTTTTGGAGAATTTTGGTGCCCAGAGAGTTATTACATTGAGGATGGAAAGTATGTGACGAACGATGTGTGTCCCTTGCTTTGGACACAGGCGAATTTGGTATGTGCTATGAGCATGATGCTGAAGACTCTCGAGGCCTAGCATAGAGTGAGTGTAATACAGTTAGAAGCATGGGTGGTAAATGATGGTTGTATATTTTGTACAAAAACAATAAGATTCCCGAAGAAATAAATATGATATACATAACCGTCTCCTCCACAGACGAATCAACATCACCTAGAAACACCTTACCCGAGACTCAGTACTACTCCTTTCTTCGTCCAGGTGAATCCTTGGGTCTCGGCGGTAGCGGATGCCTCCGTTTCACGGACCGTTCATCTTCCTCCGCAGATCTCTTCATACGTCGCGGCGTCTCAGACTCGGATTTACGCGGTTTCCTAGACGGAGACAATGACTCTTGGTCATGAGAGTCTTTACGTTTGTCCCTTTCCGAACCAGGTTGGTTCATAGACCTCGAATCTTTGCCTTTGGCCGACAAGTTGTCCGTTTTGGTCTCACGGGTACTCGAGGTTTCCCACTTACGCTCCTCCCGTCTAGCGTCGGTGGTCTTGTGGGTATCGCTTTCCAGACTCGTTCGTCGTGACGATCGAGAGGACTCCTTTCTCCATACGTCCTTTCCTCTCCTACCTTCATCCTCCAGATGGGTCCGTCTCGACGGCGATGGGTGATGATCCTTCGATTCTTTATCCCTTCTGCCATCATCCTCCAAGGTATCTCGTCTCGACCGCGACGACCGGTGATCGTTAAATCCTTTCTCCTTCGTGGGATCATCCTCCAAACTAGTTCGTCTCGATCGTGCCGAGTCGTCATCCTTCGATTCTTTCCTCTGGTTATCATCTTCCTCCAGACCAGTTCTTCTCGTCCGCGAGGGAAAATGGTCCTTCGATTCTCTTTGCTTGCGGTCATCTCCGAAGCTAGTTCGTCTCGATCGCGACGAGCCGTCGTCCTTTGATTCTCTGATCTTCTTAGCATCATCCTCTAATTTGGTCTCTCTCAATCGCGGCGAGGTATCATGCTTCACATCTTTAGCTGACTTTCTGGTTACGGATGGACTTTTCGGATCATCCAAGCGCTTCTCATCCGACCTAGTCCCTGATTTTGTCTCCTCTTTTCGCTCTTCACGCTTCCCTATAAGATCCTCGTTATCTAAGCTTCGCCGCTTCGTCGGATGATCAGGTTCATCGTCACGTTTCCGCTTGTCACTGCCAGACTCTCTTGTTCCCAGTTTGTTCTCAGTGCTTGGGTCACGGGACGATGATTTGGGTTCATCTTTCTTCTCGCTGATGCGAACTTTTGCAGTTGAGCGGTGAATGTCTGGTTCAGACGCCTCCTCTTTACGGGTGGTTGAACGTTGAGATTCTTCCTCCTTATTTGAGTCCAAAAAATCCGATTTGGTCTCCATCTTGATACTTTCACGACCACCTCGAGGCTGTTCCCGTGCTGACTGGCGCTTGGCATCGCCGGAGGAAGCGCGATGCAACTTTGGTCGCTCTGATATGGGGAGGTCGGCGTCACCATGTCGATTGTCCCTTCGGTCTCCACGCCCTTGATCCCCCGTCCTCGATTCAGTCCTCTTTACCTCGCGCTCGGAAGTTTTTTCCGGAGTGCCGTGATTACGCACGTCCCGTCGTTGCCCTCCGCTGTCATCTTCCTTCTGACCTTGTGATGCAGCGACTGATCGACGGTCGGATTTGGAATGCCCCTCATCTCCTTTGTACTCAGTCTGGTCTTTATCGCGAGGTTTATGTACACCGGGACTACGACGATCATAAACGACAGAGTCTCGTTGCTTCTCCTCTGACTTTGCATCCACTTTTCCTGCAGCCTTTTTCTCATCAGATTTTTTGTCCAATACCATGTGATTGTCTCTCTTATCCCTTTTGTGATCGTCGCTCTTCCTTCTGCTATCATGAATCCTTCTTCCTTCGCGATCATCCCGCTTGTTGTTATGGTGTTCCTTGTCCGTCCGTGTGTGATCGGACTTTTTGTCCACCAGTGCGCGATCATCTCGCTTATCATGTTTGTGGTCCTCACTCTTTCTGCCGCCATCTGCTTTCGTCCCCTCGCGATCATCCCGCTTGCTGCTTTTGTGATCCTCGTCCCGTCGTTTGTCATCCGATCTCTTGTCCGTCTCCCTACAATAGTCACGGGTATCATGTTTGTGTTCCTCGCTCTTTCTGCCGATATCTGTTTTGGTCCCCTCGCGATCGTCCGGCTTGCTGCTTTTGTGATCTTCGTCCCCTCTCTTGTCATCCGGCCTTTTATCTATCGCTCCACGATCTTCTCGCTTATCGTGTTTGCTACCTTCGCTCTTTCTGTTAGGATCAGATACTTTGTCCCCGTTGCGAGAATTCCCCTTGTCGTGTTTTTGTTCCTCATCCTTTTGTTTCTCGTCGGACATTTTATCTACCTCGCGGTCCTTTTGATTGTGGCGCTCGTGATACATACCCTTTCTCTTGTCATCAGCCTTCCTATCCAGGTATCGATTATCCAACATTCCATGCGATCCATTTACGTCCCTTTCCTTCTCGTCAGCATTCTTCTCCACCGCTCGCTGTTCCGGCGTGTCGCGTGACTCCTCCTCCCTCTTCCGTCCCTCCCGCGCCCGTTCTCTATGACTCTGTCGATCGGAAGGGGTCCTATGACCTTGAGCAGGTTTCAAAATTGGCTCTTCGTTCTTTGCGTTTCTGTGGCTCCTTTCCTCCCTGGCCTCATGATTGGGAATGTAGACATCGCGACCTCGTCCTCTGTCATCCTTCGTGCTGCGTTCTCGGTCTCCGCGCCCGCTGGTCTCACTAGTAACGCTATAATGATCATGACCGGACCTTCGCCCTCTGTCATCCTTTACTGACGATGCGGCATGACTTTCACGCTCGGTCCGGTCGTCTCGCCCACCGCTCTCGCCACCAGGGACGTACCGGTCGTGCCCACCTTTTTGCCACCTCTCATCCTTCCCCACCGAATCTGCCCGATTCCCATATCTACTCGAGCGGTCCCCATTCCAATCGTCCCGCTCATCCCTAATTCCAGAATTATACCGATCCAAGCGATCTCCCCCTCTTCCTGACATCCCGACGTCGGCAAGTCGTCGCCTTCGAACCACCTTGCCAGATCTCAATCTAAAGGCATCTGAATGAACGGGTAGCGGCGGTGGAAGATGCTCCAGTGGTGCCAGGCCTGGTATCATTCTGGACAAGTTGGCTCGCTCATTAAAAGCTCGGGCGGCTTGTTCGTGCCGGAGTCGCATGCCATATTCATGAGATTCTTCCCATGTCGGAAAACTGGAGATGGACCAAACGCTCAATATTCCATTCTCGATTGAAAATATAATTTAACATACTCTGAAGTATTGGGTTCCGCGGCCCTAGGCTCTACCAAGAAGTAATCGTGCCGAAGAGCCTCATCGGCAGTTGGCCGTCGGTCAGGGTCCAGATTTAGAAGATAGTCGATGAACGCAATCGTTTGAAAATCCAACCTGGCGTAGTGATATAACCAAGTGAGCAAGAATGAGCAAATTTTGATGTCTACACCGCGGGTGAATGCTGCTTACCGTTCACTAGAGTAAGCATCCCAAATCCTTCTCGGCTGTGGCTGAGGAGTGACAGTTCCATCTTCCAACTTTGGAAACTTCCCCTGACGTTTTCCATTAGAACTTCGATAATCCGCCGGATCAGGTGTCCCGCATATCGAAAAGATTTTTTCAATCAATTCCACTTCCGTAGCACCTTTGAATATAGGCCGTCTGTCCCACATTTCAGCAAAGATACAACTGTCGAATGTATGATTAACTCTTCACGATTGAAGTATAGTAGCAATTCTGGCAATAACTCACCCTATTCCCCACATATCAACTGCAGCAGTATAATCTTGCTTCCCCAGTAGAAGCTCGGGAGCTCGATACCACAGCGTCACCACTGTGGGGGTCAGCCTCCGACCCGCGCTTGGATCAAATGAGCGCGCCAATCCAAAGTCTGCGATTCTGAGATTTCCACCGTTGTCAATGAGGATATTTGCTGATTTCATGTCACGGTGGAGTATATTCCGCTTTATACGAGCGCAGCATGAGTTCACGCCTTATCTGACCAATATGATATCATCACTAACTTGGTGGAGATACAGTATGCCATCCAGCATCTGCTTTGTGAATGATTTAATGTGAGATGGGTCGAATGTCACTTGAGGATTGTCTAGTAGTCCGCTAAGATCGTGCTTCATGTACGGAAAGACCATAAATAATGTCGCCACTTCCTCAGCCCGACGGTCACCTTGAAGATGAAAGCTAACTCAATCGGCCGGTCGTCTTAAAATTAGAAGAAGACAGAATAGCGCATACCTCTTCGCACAGCAATCTCTTCGAGATTAATGAGGTTGGGGTGACGAAGAGACTTCAAGATTGCGATTTCTCGTACAGCAGTAATAGGTAGCTAGAATATAAACAGCTTGTTAGGCAACAAGCACCAGACGTGAAAATCAAAATACAAGTACCCACTCCATCTCTGTCCTTGTGCAGAATGATCTTCTTCAGTGCTACTTTTCTTCCGGTAGATTTATGCTTTGCTATAGTTACCTCCCTTTGAGATGATAATAAGCCGCAAGTCCACCTTCCGGTAAATTGAACGTACTCAACTCACCCAAATGTCCCTTCCCCGACCTTCTTAGAGCTCTCAAACTCACTTATGTCCGAGGTTCCTGTGTAGGCACTAAGCGCTTGTGACAGAGGGACGTCAACGTCGTGGAAATTAGGAGATAGATATGGCGTTGGGGGGCTTTTGAAAAGTTCGAGAAACTCGGGCGGTGGGGAAGGGCGACGAACGTCTGGTGCAGCACGTGATTTGTGATGCGCTGATGGTCGAGGAGACGTGCGATTCGACTCTGGGGGAAGAGATGTATCCCTCGTTGACGATTCGGACATCTCACCTTCTTCTAGTTCATTTGAAGGACTGCGTTGTTTTGTATCTGGCTTGATTTTTTTTACATCTGGTTTTCCTTCGTCGCCCACCTCCGAGATTGGCCTCTTGACTCCAGCAGCGGGTTCTGAGGACCTTTCCTTCGGTTGAAGCTTTTCCCCATTACCATCCTCCTGGCTGACCTCTGCGGGCCGCTTGAATGTGTCTGGTTGCGGTGATGTCGATTCCAGTGACGTTTCCTTATGGTCCGGTGAGTTCGTCTTTGCGGATTTGTCATTGACGGCACTACTGGTTTCTTCCGCCATTCTGCATGGGCGCGCAGGTAGCTGAAAGAATAATGTCGACGGTGAAGGCCAAAGGGCAAGATGGCTAAATGGAATGGAGTCTTTGGAAGCACGGATGAAGATCGGAGCCATGAGGGACGACTGTGGCGTTGGTGTGGCTCGTGCTGGCGCGTGGATGACTCACTCAGCGAGTGCTCCAACTTCCGCTGGTGATCTGTTTGGTGACGATCTGACACGGGCTGTAGATTGGACTAGTGAAGGACGGTCGTAACAAGTAGCAAACGAGTGCCCGTGAGACTTATGCCTCATGGCTCAAAGTTGGACGGAAGTGCGACGAGTAGGGCTGGGTAAGCGCTCATAAGCAGGAAGGAAGGAAGGAAGGGAGGCATGGCGACGGATTCCAGAGAAAGAGGGTCGTGCTCACTCTATCGCAGGCGAAGGCAGACTACGACTGAGCGAGCATGGCCCATGGTCCTCAGCCTTGTGCCTCCTCATGGCGATATCAGTCTTCTTCGTAGCATTGATGCCTGGATGGTAATATTCCCCTAGGCACCGTACTTGCACCTGTTCAGCCGATATCTTGTCTCACTTTCGACCCACTTGAAGAGCTATTGTGGACAGGCGGGGAAAATGTAAACATTGTGTAAATTCAATTTGATATAGTCATTGCGTCGGATTAGTTTTTTCTTACCCCCTGCCGCTTGTCCAAATCTTTTTGTTTGCGTCTGCCGATAATATAGGGCCAAATTTCCTCCCTGTTTATTTCCTCCGGCGATCTTGCCAGATACACCAGCTTTCCTGCACATGCTACTCGGGCGCATAAGATGTTGTTAAATGACCAAGGCTTGTTTTCCATTGGGGGTAAAAATATTCGTCACACACATCGACGTGGGTTAATGAAATGGAACATAAGGTATCTTTGAAGCGAAGTTATTCAACCTTGGGGCTTTCGACATGCATTTCGGATGGAGTAATGGCATGATCTCTCTTAACACTACTTGCAATAATGGTCGGTTCATCTAGCATCGATCCGGGACACACACCCTTGAGCATGTCTTTCACCAATACAACATCCGAACTGTTGGTCGCGACCTCCAGTCGATCTCTCATGCTGATAAATTTGTTCCGAGGGAGTATTATTAGGCAGGTGCGTAAAGTCCTGCAAGCCGGATCATCTCATTTGTCGGCGCCGTCTAATCCTTCAGTTGTGTAATCATCTTAAGTTGGACGTTGATGATAATGTGACAGTCATGAAACAGGCGAGGGTAATTTGCTGCGGGACAGCAACAGGTCGAGTTGGACTCCGAGATCCGCGCACGTTGAAGGAGGAGCACAGTTTGATGGCGCATACGGGTACCATTGGAGATTTGGACGTTGCAGGAAACATCATGATCACTTGCGGATTTTCTGCAAGGTTTGTGGTAGAAGTGATATGCAGAAATTGCTGAGTTGATGGCTTAAGTGTGCTTTTATCAGAGGGAACAAGATGATGACGGATCCAATGATAAAACTGTTCGATATACGCACAATGAGGGCATTACCACCCATTCCTTTTCCTTCCGGCCCAAACTATCTGCACTTCCACCCCAAAATCTCCTCAATAATCCTTGCCGCGTCCCAAAATGGTCAATTTCAGCTCTGTGATGTTTCTAATGCGTCTAATGTCCGATTTTTCCAGGTAAGCCTCAATATCGAAGAGCATTGGTTGAAAAGGGTTAAGTTGAAAACTCTGTCACAGGCAAATATCAGTGGGTTCCTGAACTCTATCGAATTCTCCAGCTCCGGAGAGATGCTTGCTTGTGGTGACTCTTCCGGAGTCGTGTCACTATGGACCGAGAAGCCAGACTGTCGAGTAAATCTGTTTTCTCGGCCAACCGAGTTTGCTGACACTCCCGCACCGCCGCCAGCAGTGGAAATAGGAGACAAAAGTCCACTTTCCTTGATCGGAATGCCATACTACACCTCCGAATTGCTCTCCTCCTGGCCAGCAAAGCTAACGTTCGAAGCCGGACAACCGGCACCGAAGATTCCGCCAGAAGTCCTCGCGAACGTGAAGATGATAGACTTTGTCGGATACGCCCCCAACCCTGGAACCTTTAAACGCAATCAAAATTTGGCAATGGCCCGTAAGGCCCGAAAAGAAATGCTCGATGTTCCCAAATTCAGATCTGAGCAAGATCGCGAAAAGTACTTTGGCAAGAATACCCAGGGTCGCGATGTAAGCTAACAAATGGTGGTTTCATATCTCGAGATAACTTCTTAAACAAGTCCCTAGACACCGCAAGGCGTCGATGAAGAGGTTGTAAACGCCGTACCGCTCGCGAACGCTATGCCCAAATACTATCGTCGGGTCGAAATCAAGTACAGCAAATTTGGCGTGGAGGACTTTGACTTCGGCTTTTACAATAAAACATCGTATGGAGGTCTCGAAACCCATATTGTGAACTCTTACTGTAATGCCATGCTGCAAGTCCTCTTCTTCACAACACCTTTGCGCGAGATCACAAAAGCACACATCAATGCGAATTGTCCAAAGGAGTATTGCCTATCGTGTGAGCTCGGATTCTTGTTTAGAATGCTGGAAGATGCCAAAGGCGCAAACTGTCAAGCTACGAACTTCTTGAGGGCTTTCAAAACAATACCGCAGGGTTAGTTGCCACGACACCTCTATTCTGGCTTTCATATACTAAGGGAAGCCTTCGCTATCACACAGCCAATGCCTTGGGGTTGTTTGAGCCGGATCAACCAAATCCGTCGACGTCGTACGCCACCCTCATTCAAAACTTCAATCGCTTTGTTTTGGAACAACTGCAGTCCGAGCTCGGCATGCACATGGGAACGGTCATCATCCATCGGGACTATGACAAGGACCAGATGCCTTCGGTTATGCAGCAGATCTATGGGTTAAAGTTGCAAGCTATTAGCCATTGTCAGTGCAATAGCCAGCAGGCACGAGATACGTATCCTTTTGTAGTGGACTTGACATATAGTTGGAAGGGTTCACATGCGAAAAGCACAAAAGATCGGTTCGGAGACGTACTTCAGCATAGTATAAATCGCGCTTCTTCGACCAAGGCCTGGTGCAACAGCTGCAAACGCTACCAGCCGACAACTCAGTTTCGGCGGTTACAACGTCCTCCAAATGTCATGAGTATCAATGCGGGCGCTACTACCGAAGAGGATCTTGACCTCTACCGTTCAGAAGGTAAAAGAGTTTGGTCTTCAGGATTGTACTGTTATAGCTCGTGGTATACTAATCCACTGCACAGATAAGCCGTGGCTCCCTCCACGGTAAGGTGCAAACTGCGCTTATTTTGCTGTAGACGGACAGACCTAAGGCGTATCTTTGTGGCACAGGATTGCGCTGATCCTGGATGGTTCAAAACTCACAGTTAAAGAACTGGGTGTGGATGAGACCAGCATCGACATCGCCAGTGAGACGGCGGAGGTGGCGATGTACGATTTGATGGTGCGGGTAGATATGAGACATTGTTAGTCAGTGGTATTGCGCTGATTGATGGGCATGTAGGCGACGGTGGTGGAAATTCGAGAAGGAAAAGAAGTGCCACATTTGGTGGCCCATGTGCGAGGTAATGCACCATTGACAGTTTCGGGAAACATTGGCTAATCTCGTTGCTTCCATAGTTGATGATGGAGAAAGCGTCCCAAGTTGGTATGTCTTCAACGATTTTCTGGTCCAACCTGTGCCCGAAATTGAGGCACGACAGTTCAGAAAACGGAAGGTATCACTGAAGTTGGTTATATGAAATGTATTTTATACTTCTTATAATGCGTATTGGTCTTTTAGATTCCATCTGTCATACAGTACAGACGAACAGATCTTAAGCAAGTGCAGGACCTCAACTCGTTACGGACCAGTCCTGATCCGACGTACCTACGCACCATGGTGCTTCTCAAGTATGTCAAAGACTATCTATTGATTGGTTAGGATACGCTTGTGCTGAACACATTTTTATGGAAAGCCGTCGACGAGAAAAAGATCTAAAGATCAGCTATAAACTGTTAAAGCCGGAGGAACTTCCAACTAAGCCCGGATTCCTCTGTGCTTTAGACGCCGAGTTCGTAGCCTTGAGCAAGGTAGGAAGCCGCGCCATATGAGTTGTGTTTGAGCAGCCAGCGCTGAACCACTAGCAGGATGAAACGGAGATCCGGAGTGATGGCACACGATCGGTGATCCGCCCGTCACGACTAAGTTTGGCACGTGTTAGTGTCCTCCGTGGCGATGGACCGGAAGAAGGCATTCCTTTCATCGATGAGTACATATCGACAACAGAAGACGTAGTGGATTACTTGACCGAGTTTTCTGGCATCAAAGGTATGGTCTCCAGCAACTCGCGGCAAAAGTAAGCCGCTAAGCAGTTATGCAGCTGGCGATCTGGATATCGCCCATTCAAGGCACCCGTTGGTTTCTTTGAAGGTATGCCCCAGTGTTGCATTTGGTATGCGGTTGCAGTGTGGTAGTGAACCTTGTCGCAATCCCGTTAGTCGTCATATAAGAAGCTGCGGTTATTGGTCGACCTGGGATGTGTTTTTGTGGGCCATGGCTTGAAGAAAGATTTCCGGATCATCAGTATGTGCCACTCCATCACCTTGCTGCCATTCGTTCGTCTTCGAGGCTGATACAGCTCTTGTCACGTAGATATATTGGTCCCGCCGGAACAGGTTATTGACACAGTTGATATTTTCTTCATACAGAGTCGGCAAAGGTGAGACCACCTGTCTGATTTACTATTCCTATGGACGCCTGTTTTCTCACCCGACCTCAGGAAACTCTCCCTGCGCTTCTTGGCGTGGTACGTGTTACGGCAAGATATTCAGACAGATATGCACGACAGTGTGGAAGACTCGCGAACGGTATGCTTTTTTTGAATGGAGCTGCGGTTGTATCTCTTCATTTACTTCGCTATACCTTAGGCGCTTGCATTGTACAAAAGATATCTGCAGCTGAAGCGAGAAGGACGTTTTGAGCAATATTTGGAAGAAGTGTACGAAGAAGGTCGGCGAACAAATTTCAAGCCGCCGTCGAAACCCATGGCCCCTTACGAAGGACAGACGTTTACGGTTGCTGGGGTGAATATAACTGAGCTCCCACCTCAATAGAATTTTGTGTAGTTTGTTTATATATGAACTCTATCTATTGCCAATACCCGCGATCAAAACGCGGACGCATTCTTTGTCGCACTTGACTCGAGATCATAATGCCAACCTCCCAGAACCTCGATCCACAAAGCGCACACGATGTACTCTTTCGCCAAGCATGTGCATTGCATGCTCGCTCACAGAGTCTACTTGCGGATATTGATGAGATAATTTCCCAAGCGGACACCGTCGGAGCAACCGCGAGATCTACGCTCGCAGGAGGACTACACAAACTCAGGTCAGTTACCAGAGCTGAGAACAAATTCCTTGAAAAGGTATGATTACCAGATAGTCCTTTTTCCATCTCAAACTCTTGAATAGGTTGCTCACTGGCTTCCTCCTAGCTAGTCTCCACCCCAACTTCCATTCGACCTGCACACACATCCTGTTCCAACATCCCTTACCTCAGTGCCGTCTTTCGCCTTGTTCGAACTGAACCAGGTGTGACCCACGTCTTTCATACCTTTAATTATGCGCACGAACCAGGTGGGCCCCGCCGGGAGTCGATAAGAGTAGATATAGTGGCACAGAAAGGACAACAATGGATCAAAGTAAAAGCGTCCGCGTTAAAAGGATTCCAGAATGACCTTTGCGACGAGGAGGAAGAAGAAAGTGAAGAAGAGGAAAACTCTACGCCAAGCTCGAATGATGATTCGAACAAGACACTTCAGGCGAATGGAAGGACCGTACTTGATGGATTTTCTCCTCCGACTTTACCTATTTATCAACAAGCAAAAAGACTGCTAATGGCAGCGGAGCAGAACTCTCTCCATTATCAGACGCCGACAGTGGTCATGAAGTTTGTAGGAAAGGAGGAGGTGGACATGCGTGTACAGGATACTCTGCGCTCAATGGGCATTCTGGTGGAGATACATGGAGATAATGCAAACATCGACCCAAAAGAGCTTGGAAAGACCTACAACGATTCGCAGATCCGCAATGGGCCACCGGATCCTTCGTCCACAAATAGGGGACCTCCCTCATTTAACAACGAAGCCTCCGTCAGTAGATTACAAACAGATGCCACTCTTCATCCAGGAATCGCTGACACATTGAATCTCGATGTGACAACCCTCATCGCTCTCGTCACTGACATAACACATCGATTGGACACCATCCCTGTGGCTGCATTCGATATCCCGTCGCTCCAGCTCCAGGCTTCTCAAGAGACTCGACGACCCCTCTTACCCACTCTGCGCGATATGTTCCACACACGCTACCTTGTAACGACCTCCACTGCACTCCGCAAATTTGTCGACATTCTCAAGGTTCTAGGTGGCCCAACGGAGCAGCTTCGAGCGAAGAATCTAATAATACCTGGAGAATTAGCAACGGACGTCATGGCGGAGTTGGAGGATTATGGATCAAATACGGCAGCAGAAGACGACGCATCTGATGTACGCGTTCACGTCATCGAAGACAGTGCCTCAGAGAGATTTGTTCATCTTGTTGGTGCTCGCGGAACTACTGGGAAAATTCAGAAGCATCATGTAGCGGTTTTTGGAACTGGTGATCGCTTGAGGGCAACCACCGTCACAGCGAATGCGTGGGTAGAACGGACGCTATTGGACGCGGGTCTTGGAGAACTAAGTCTATGGATACACGAGCCACGATCCCTCGTAGAACTTAGGGTGAAAAAGTATAGGGAAACAGAATGTGGTGAAGCTACGGAACCTACTGCTACATAAACTATTTGTGATATATCTACAGTCTAGGTTTTGTATAAATAGTGATTGGCTGTTTGCCGCTTGTTGAGCTCATGCAGGATCATATGTCTGAGATTCTCGGTTTCGCTACCATCCACAGAGTTGTACCAAAATGAAAGGTCTTCATCTCCACAATTTCCAGCCCCGCCTTCTTCACTAAACCTTCAATATCTCTATTCCACCAACAGCCCCACTTGACGGCATGTTCAGTCGCCGTCTTATCCAGCGCGTCATTGAGAAAACCGTATCGTCCTCTTCCATGCTCTAACAATAACACTCTCCCATCCGGCTTACAGCATCTCGCCATCTCACGCAGGGCTGCAACGGGGTCTGAACAAGAACACAGCCCAAATGTATCAATCACCGTATCATATTGACGGTCGTTTACAGGCAAAGCCTGAACATTCATCATTTCAAACGACGTTGGGGGAAAGCTGTGTTTGGCGCTTGTCATAGATCGGTACCGAGTATATGCCTTATGAAGCATTGGCTCCGAGGTATCCGTTAACGTCAAACGTTTTATCGCCGGGTTTTGGGTGTAGTATTCCAAATTTCGTCCTGTCCCTGTCGACACCTCCAGCACGGAGCCGGAAGCCCGCTCAACCAGCTCCTTTCGGCGGGATCCAACCCTCATCAACCACTCATCCCATCCGATTTTACCGTCATATTCGGGAGCTAGGGCATCAAATACGCCAGGATATGCGTCTTGTTGTGAGGGATCCGCGATGCCTGGCGCTGGCGGTGGAGCGGAATAGATCCTGTAAGCGTGGTAAGACGCATATGAAGTTGTTGCGTATACCCCCAACCCAGTTGTGAGGAGCATAAAGTGCCGAGGAGTGAATGGTGGCATGGTGCAGAATTCCTCTACGATCAGGAGGAGCTCCCAAAGATCTGCGTCGTTCAGCAATGCGTAGTCACGTGCTAGATCACCCTGCGCTGTTTCCTCCATCGGCTTTCACCGAAACATCTTCCTTCGCCATGGCATCTCCCCCCGTTATTTCGTCACCTGCGGGTGATCCCTCTCTTCTCGAGGAAAAGCGATGTCGCGATCAGGCTGTTCTTGTGGGCGCATCGGCCTCGTTATTCGTAAGTATACAGGCTGTGTACTTTGAGTAACCTTGCCAAACCTACCTACACTACTACTTTCCGCGCAAGGCGTTTGTATTTACTGTATTCAGGCGTAGACCTGGCGCTGGTTCAGCGCTGGCGCGATCGCCAAATGGGATGGCCTTGATTGCAGGTGTGACTTCCGCTGGGGGATACGGCGTATATCGATTATCGTATGCGCGATGCAAGGAGAGAGCTGTTCAGAAAAGCACACCCTGATAGTGCAGATTACAGTCCCACTATATTGCCCGTTTTCTAGCTGTTGGGCCTGTAAGGGAAGCTGCCAGCCGGATCATTACCAGTGATGTTTTCACGAAAAGAGTCACTTGAGTGAGTAGGCGGTCTCGGACGACAGATCTACGACCAGTTTAATTAGAGAAGAGCGTTGGTCTAGTGGGAATGGGGGGGAGACTTAGCATATGTAGAATTGACTCTGCGGTTCCATTCGCCGACATAATAAAGTAATCCTCAGCTACAGATTCTCTTGTATTCACCTGGCGAGGAGTCTGTCCACGACAACAAGCTTACGGAAAGGGCAGGCAGCATATGGAAAATGGAAACATTTCCTAGAAGAGGAGGTCAAGGAGGAATGGAGTAGCGCGCTGAAAACGAAGTGCCGAATGGCGAATGGCACTCACAGGGGGAACCAAGTCAACGCCCCAAATCAGGTGTCGGCAAATGCCAGCTGGCAGTTCCATCCGGCGCAATGAATTCTATACAACAAAAGTGAAGAGATACGTCCATTTATGAAGAGATACAGCCTCATCATGATATACACACAGAAAAATAAACTTAAATACAAATGACATATCCATCAACGTTATCCCAGCATTGATACTTCGCACCAACCAAGTCA